GAGGAGCTCGACACGCTTGACGAGGAGCTTGAGGCACTCGATGAAGAGCTTGAGGCGCTTGAAGAGGAGCTCGACACGCTTGACGAGGAGCTTGAGGCGCTAGACGAGGAGCTTGAGGCACTCGACGAGGAGCTGCTCACGGAACTCGACGAAGAAGATGGTGGGACAGAGCTACTGGAAGACGTTCCATTGACGCAAGTTTTTGCTGTGTTCATGTCAGCATTTGTAATCATCCAAGCTTCACTGAAACACTTACGATCAATCGCAACCAACGAGACCTGTACAGAGTCGGGAGGGACTCCACTCTGGAACTCAGCAAAGACGTCGTACGAATTTGAGAGGAAAAACGTGGCAAAGTCTGGGTTAAATGCAGGGTTGTTCCACTCGAGAAGATTGATGTCCAGGGAGAACGTTGTAGAAATTGGGCCGTTGAGTCCTGTTGCAAATGGCGAATAGCTGGATCCATTTGTAGAAACAATTTGGCCGTCACTGAACAGCTGGCCGTTGACAATTGTCCACAGAGAAGCAAGATTACAATAAAGAGTAGTGTGAGAATCTGAGACGACGTATCTCCGCTCGACTATTTCCTGGCGCCGACGAAGCCGGTCGACAACGACTGGCGGTGTTTCTATTGCAAGGATGAAAGTATACGGAGGCGTAGTGACAGACGTGACCGACGTGCTGACGGACGTGCTGACCGATGTACTGACGGACGTGCTGACGGACGTGCTGACCGAAGTGCTGACAGAGGTGCTCACCGACGTGCTAACTGAGGTGGAAACAGAGGTCACAGTGGATGGCACTGTTGTAGTTGAGAGAGACCCGGGTGCCGTGGTTGTAGTGGTTGAGAGAGACCCGGGTGCCGTAGTTGTAGTGGTTTCCGTTGCGGTAGTAGTCCTAGAAATGATGATCAGGTTAACTTTATTTATTCAAGCTCCGCGGCTAAGGAAATATGGCACATACTGGGTAACGGTCACTGTCTTGGTCGTGGTTCCCCATATGTTGGTAATGATAGTTGTAGGCTCATTGATATTGATGGTCGTTCCGCCATAGATATTGATGATGGTTGGACTGTTAATATAAGTGCTGATGTAGATGGGAAATTCGATAATCTCGTATATAACATGGATATCTTGGACGGACTGTCCATTTGGACAGTAGTCCCGCCGCTGAAGCTCTCGAGGAAGAACACCGTTGGCAAGGGCAGAGCCGAGCAGGGGAAGCCCCGCAAGCAGTGCGCCGAAACGCATGTTTCAGGCCAATCTTCTCTTGCTTATGGACAGTCAACTGCAGCAATCGTCTCAGCAGGCCACAAGCAGTCGCTGAGCAGCAGAAACGGTGAAATTGAAATATAAAGAGGGACTATAAAGCAGGAAGAAAGCAAACAAAAGACAAAACAACGGCCAAGGGATGGACTGGTCGAAATGAATGAGTGAACGTCGTGCCGTGTCGGTGGCCGCGAAGAGCAGGCTTCGTGGTTTGTATAACCTTATATTTCTTTTTTCGCAGCGTATTGCCTTCGCGCTGGTCAACAGGGCCAAGACAAAAACAGCCCTGGACGGAATGGAGCTTTCTATTGCAGGCCATCACGACTCAGACCAAGGAGCTGGGTCAGTATCCCGCTCGAGCGCGTTCCGAGGAATGGACAGAGGGAGTGTCGAGCGCAATTTGGTTTCATGCGCATGCCACAATTCTACCACCGGCAAAGCCCTTGCTGCCATGCGCTGTATTGTATTTCTTTCCCCGATGGGTAAACAGCCTGGCACAGGGTTAAATTTTTTGCTTCCTCTCCTTCCGGTTGGCGGACTTTGCCCCTCGAACACGCTGTGGCTAGGGAAAAAACGCGTGCTTTGAGCGAAGGGTAGCAATGATATTGCCCCTGAGAATGATTTCCCTCTTTGGAGACATTGCCCACGCCGCCACTTTCGCGTGCTCTTGATTGGCGTTAACGACCGATGCCAATCTGTTTCTCTTTCTTTGGGCCGCCTTTTGTGCCATTGTTATTAGCATGTTGGCTCAATTTCTGCAGATTTTAAAAGTACGGAGTAAAATGCACAAAGCGATTGCAGCATCATTGTGAAGTTAGATTCGGATGTTCCGCCGGGTGACGATCAGAAGACTCAGAAGCAAGTACGAAGTATTACCGTCATAATACCGGTGAGTTAATACCTTAGTTACAAGATTTAAAGTCAATCCGTTTTCTCTTATTACCCGAGGCCTACGAGCCAACCCCCAAGACCCCAATTGGGCCCCCAGTGTCAACTATCACGTATTCAATTTCGTGTCGTCTTGTGAAAAATCAACTACCATCGCATCCTGCCACCGCCAAGAAGGCTGACCCCCCGAAACAATTGAAATGTCAAGGATCAAATTTTTTATTTTATTTCTTTTTATTAGGATAGGCTGACGCTTGTCGTAGCTCGGCCATTACTGTTTTTGCTCCTTCCCCGACTGCTTTTCTTTACCGCCATCACATTTATCTCATAAGGGGTCTCATTGGTGTGTGTGTGTGTGTGTCTCCTTGTTCATTCTTCAGCAACCTCCAATTGCGCCCTCCACCCCAGCATTCCTCTGCATTTCCCTCCCAGGTAGAACAGTGTCCTTGGCAGTAATCTTTCTCATCTCGCCTGTATTCACTGAAATTATCCTGACCTACCCACTTTGCTTGTCGTTCCATCTCCCCTTGCTATTCATCATGCAAGAGACTCTATTCGGATCGATTGCACGAAAACCGCGTGTGGAATGTCCAAAAGGGCCACAGCCCCAAAACAAAATAATAAGGACATGTTTGTACAAGTATGATTTAAGGTCCGGATCGTGTGGCCGGTTAGTTGGCAAAGCACATAAGCCCTTCTTTTCCCTTCGTTCCTTTTGAGGCCTCGACCTCTTCGCTCATTGTCCTTTTCAGTCGGTCCTTTTTCAATCTTTTTTATTTATTTTCGCGTCAGTATACCGGGCCCGTAGTCCTTCATTTTCAATCCTTCTTTCTCTTCTCTCTTTACTCGCATTTTGCGTGTGCGCCGTCGAGTATTGGACCAACCATGACTCTTTCCATTGCGTTAGCCCTGGCGGTGGCAGCCGCCTCTGCCTCTGCACAGTGGGCCGGCGGAGATGGTGATGGCTGGAACTTTGATAGTTGTGTTTTCACTTCCACCCACTACTCAGCCCACACCTCTACCGCAGACGCCACTTCGACCTGGTGCCCTGAATGCGACGCTACCTCTGTCTACACGACGCAGTGGCCTACCGTTTTCTCGACTTTTTGCGCAACCGGTCTAGAGCCTGTTACTTATACCATCACTTCAAGCTATACTGGCGCTTCCAACGCCATTGACCCTACCGGAATTCCCAGTGGCTTCACAACCACTGTCAGCACTTGCACTGTCTGCGGTGACAAGCCTATCACTGCTACTTTGACAGTCTGCACCGATCCTGCCATTGCGCCAACCTATACCACAACATACGACACCGTTTATCCTACTTTTGGCTCCACTGGTCTCGTTCCAAAGACGTACACGGTCACGGAAACCTGCACTGGTGCTCCAGCACCTCCTGACCCTACTCATATCCCCTCGGGATTCCAGACTACGGTTGCCACCTGCGACACCTGCGGTCCCAAGCCTATTATCGCCACGCTCACCGTGCCTTCCGACAGCGCTCGTCCTAACCCAGATTACACCACCACCTACCAGCGGACTTACTCCAAGTTCGGCCCTTCTGGTCTCGAGCCGGCTACATACACCGTCGTCGAGAGCGGCTACGGCAATCCGACACCCCACCATGGCGTGCCTTATGGTTTCAAGGCAGCTATCAGCGTCTGCACCACTTGTGGACCGGAACCCATCACTGCCACAATTACTGGTCCCGCCCATGAGTTTGGCACCGGTCCAGCCACTACCGAGGCTGTCACTGAGACTGTCAGCCCCGTCGCTCCCGGTGCCGATGATGAGGCACCTACTGGCGATTCTCACCCCAGTGGCGACTTTGAGGGCGCTGCTCCGAGCGGCAGCCCCGCTCACGGTGGTTCTTCGTCGGAAGATTCGCCCGTAGACACCTCCGCTTCCCCCAGTGACCATGGGTCTGGAAGTGATGCTGCCTCGCCATCTATCGAGCCTTTCCTTGGAAGCGCACCAAGTCTGTCCATGGGCTCTGCTCTTTTCATGACTGTGGCAATGATCTTCTTCGGAATGCTCTACCTTTAGATTATTCCTTGATTTTTGGTGGGCATGATATTTGGGGTTTCATTTCTATTCTTTACAGTAATTCTATCTGGAGTACTATCTTTTTACAGGCTGCACCATCTCATAGTCGATGCATTTCCTGTAGCTATATTACGAGATGCAAAATTTCTTGTGTGTGATTGCATGGATGATGTTTTCTTATTCTTCATTCTTCTTTATAATATCGCCTTAACTTTCATCTATCGATATTGAGATGTCCAATCTGAGACTAGATCTCTTTTGATACACGCTGTAATTTCCAAGCTTCTCTTGCCAAATTCCCCGGTTTGATTGACCCCACCAAATATTTCCACAGATTACCCATTCCAAGGTATATTTATTGTCTCGGCTAGTATATTTCCCAGCGACGGTCCCCTTCAATGCCACATGACCCAATCCTTATTAGGTTCAAAAAAATCTTTACCTCGGCTCCTACAACCCTTACACGGAGTTGGGACATCCTTGATGGAGCCATTTAACAAGACGAAGAAACGAGGTGGGCTATTCTGAGGGAACCGTTTTCCGATCTCTGAGCTCTCTGCGAGGAGTATTCGCAAGGACAACGAGATTGCGTATTGATATCCCTGCCCATTCAAGGGCGATGAAAAAAAAAAAAAAGTAACGATGAAAGGTGGCTGGCGAAGTCACGCTCAGTAATTGCGTGATGTAGTGTTCAGGAGGGGCAGGGGGTTGTTCAGCTGAGCAGGGAGGGTCAGAAACACAAAAACAGAGTCAGCGGAATTCTTCTGCCGTGAGTCCTCTGTTGCTGGGATACGGCAGAGAATCAAGACACTGAACCACCTCACACAGCCACTTGACCGCATTCCAAGCAACACAACCCCTGTGCAGGCGGTCGTTGTCTGCGCTCAAAGGCCCCTGTATTGCTCGTTGCCTTTATCAGGGAGTAAAAGACCTGCCTTCTCCCTTGGAGAAACAGGTAATTCGGTCATCAAGGAGGAGAACCTTATCCACTGACATCCATTTCGTTTTCGCTGCTCCCCTCGCTTGAGAGATTTTGTGAATCATGTTTGCTGCCCTGAGTGTCATCATCCGAAGGTTCTCCGTCTCCTGAATGGCGCTGTCGACTTTCAGCCCGTTCCTTGCCCCACTCCATCAATTTGGCCCATGCTCTCTTCTGCATTTCGCGAGACTCGCAAAGATCTTTCCACATCGCCTCATTTTCCTTCTTCAATCGAGAAACTTCTTCGTTATTATCTGCGTCTGCAGATGCAGATACATTAGAGCTCGAGGCGGGCATAGCCTTGTTTTGAGGATCATGAGACGACAGTCTGAATGAACCTTCTTCGAGAATAGATGTCGGAAAGCAAATGTTATCAAGTAAGCTATCAAAGTCCTGGTCGCTGGTCTTCTCAGAGACCGACGACGAGACTACGGGGGAAATAATGTTCTCGGATATCTGGGCAGTGAGCGTGTAGTTTGTCGGAACAGCACTGGAGACCGCAGCGGAGCCTGTGTCTGAATAGTGTTCGTCATGACGCGGCTTCAGAACAGTATGACTTTTCAGTTTGGGGTTACTGGTATTCGGAAACCCCTTTGGAGGAAGCAACGATAGGTTTGTGACGGGAGCATAGAAATCCGCAACGCTCGATAGATACCTTCCTCTAGCGATATCCCACCGTATGACTTTCCCGGTTTCATGGCCTGAAAGAAGAGTGTTACCCTCATAACTGACAGAGATACTACGAGTGGGGCCAAGCTCGTGCCCAACGACGGACCAGCGCTCCGAGGGAGAACACATTGAAGGGGCCGAGTTTAATGCCGTATCGTGCAAAGAATTGGTGACGCCCGAATCTTTGTAAAGATTAATTAGCTGGACCGATCCGTCTTGAAGACCAGCGTAGCATGCGCGATCTACAGGATCTAGCGACAGGCACAATGGCGTTGCAGGGAGTAAGAACGTGCGCAGGAGCTCGCCGCTCTGCACGTTCCAGACAATACAGCTATTATCTTCGGAAGCGGATATAGCCAGATTGATCATACTGCTACCATGGCCCATGGAAATGCTAGTGATAGCCGCGCGATGGTTGGATAGAGTGCGGATCGGTGAATTAGGCGGGGATGCATCGGTATTGGCTGCAGACGAGAATGACAGCAGCGAGGAAAGAGACCACACGTGAATATTCGAGTCTGGGGAGCCACTCAGGAGATAATCAGACGCGGAGTCCACTGCTAAAGACGTAGTGGGCTGAATGTGGGATTGCGGCGTCGAGATCTGACGGCCTGTGCACAACTGCAAAATGGGGGGCTTTAGTCCACGATCTCAATCGATACTATCAGCTTTCAGCGGGGATTGAGATACCTCCCACAGTATGATCCTCCCTCCCTCTGTTCCAAGCACTAGGATCCCTGCATCATTGTAATCACCCGCAAGCGCAAGGCTGTGGATTCTTTCCGGAAAAGCGATCGTAGCTTCCTGTCCACCTCTTTCCCGGTTGTAAACGTGGACGACAGCTTTTCCTGCCTGCGCCGCGAAAATATGGGTGTCATTTACAGCAACACAATTTGCAGCAGCTGCGCTCTTCTTGAAGCTTGTCTTGAGCGCAGGAATAGGCTGGAGATCATGTAGATAGATGCCGGCATCTTTTGCAATTGCTGTATTTGGAACTTTTGGCGCCGATGAAGTAGCAGCCAAAAATTGCTCGGTGAGCATGGCTGTCGCAAAGCTCTCAGCGGAGATAATTTTACCCCGCTTTTGCTCTTGTAGCTATCCCTTTTCGCACGTTCAATTGAGAGCACTCATGTGAGGGGATGCTCGAGCAGAGGGGGAAGGATCAAACGTTACGACTTTTGAACATTTATTATTTTTCGGTTTTTCTCTTTGGAGCGTCACCAACAGATGTTTGCTCTGTATGTCTTAGCTTTACTGGATGTAGATTAGTGGTTGAGCTTAAGTTTGATGACATAAGCATCTCGTGGGGTCCAAGCTCAACCAACAACCTACACCATGTCAACGGAAACTCTGATAAGTTAAGTGTATTCCAGGTAGGATGGTTGCGATTTCTTTCCTTGCGCTGTTGCTTGGTCAAGATGACCCTTTGTTGGCTTCTTGACGTCCTTTTCATTTTGCAGCTTTTCTTGCGCCATGGCCATGTGAGCTATGGGGACCCCCGACAAAGCATCGCCGTTGCGGCTTGCATGCTAGCCGGGGGTTAGACAGTTGCCTCGCATAATTAAAGTGGTTTTTGTGAGGAAAGGGTCACGCAAGGAGTTGGAAGAGGGCGACTCGATACAAGAAAAAGAGACTCAACTTCAACACCCCTGTATCAACTTTTCGTCTGTGGCTGCATAATCCTCTTTTCGCCCTTGATCAAAGAGGACCGGTCCCTTTCATGATACTTCCCTTTTTTTTGTTGGCGATTGGGCCTCCCTTACGTTTCCACAGGACAGGGGAGTCTAGATCTAATCCATTATGACATCCTGTCATCCTCTTCCCGACTTATCCGCGACGGATTGATCGTGTGGTGCTGCTCACTTGGATGAACAAGTCCGGTTGATGGAAACATCTCCTTGATCGCATCGGAGCTCCAGTGTGTGAGAAAAACGCAAGGACTTTATGTGCCGATGCCAGGGATCATTGAAAACAGGATATCCTTTTTTTTGTTATCTGAGCCCAGACCTTTCGGTCTTAGACTCTCGCTGTCTTCGTCTTTTTCCAAGGTTTCGAACAGCAGGGTTCCGGAGAGATGCTGCAGTATCTTTTGCTTTTGCTGTTATTCTGCGCAGAGTTACATAAAACGGCGACTTCCCTGCAGTTTCACCTTTGTTTGGTTTCAATTTTCGCGACGCGGTGCAGTCATCCGTTTTGCTTCTTACCTGCGAAACATTTAATATTCAATAGTGATCCCATTAATTTTATTTGGTTGAATCTGAATGAGTGTTATGTTTCTCGGCCACACGCATCCGTCAGCCGCTCTTGTCTTTCCTCTCAGCGGTGGCAGCTCTGCGACAATGGATCACCTTTATAGCACTTCAGTTCTGGCGCCTCAAAGATGCTGTTCATTGCCACGCGCATCTCGACGGGAAGACCACTCCTGCTCGATATCACGATTTCCTCGCTCTCTTCTGCGAATTTCCGGTACTCGGCCTGCCGCTTCTGTCACCGAGCAGGGTGCGGGAGACATCTCCAACCCTTGTTCCCTCAGCAGACCGCGTCGACAAGCATCGCATTCGTCTACAGCCTCTCAGCGGCTGAGGTCCGTTGAGCGAATGAAGGAACCCTTTAGGCTATATCTGTCCAAGCCACACCTACCTAGCCCTCCTTCAGAAAAGTCCTGGATTGAGGAAGACAACTCGCCAGCTTTCGCATTACCGGGAAGCTTTCCCGCCGATGCTTATCCGTCGCACAAGATTTTGGGGACAGCTGTACCTGTATATGCCACTGAGTCGCTATCAAAGGACAGTCCAACTCCGGCATCTGAGATCTCCGCGCCCGATCTACTGGCAGAGATGAACATCTTTGGTGTCGGCGATCAAGAAGGTTTGGATGATCATGCATTTCATGCCACTCCAAGCAGGTGGACCCCTCCGCGGTCATCAAAATGCGCTTGCTCTCCTCGAGGTGCGCCTTGCGAAATGTGCATAATATCCGAATATCAAAGTCCACAATACGCTCCTCGCCAGTCCAGCCTTCAACAAGCAAATCTTTGTCGGGATTGGATTGACATGACCTTGACACCGGCCCGCTCAGAGCGCAGTCGTCATACCCTTTCTGACGAAGAAGCTATGGCAGAACATGCCCGACTGGCTGTGTCTCCCTTGTGGGTCAATCAAAATAAGAACGCCTCAAAGCGCTACGCCATTCACCGCCGAGAGTCCGAAGCCGCATGGCTGGCTGGATCGTGGAAAGACGTGTCCTGGCTGGATGAGCAAAATCTCGATGATATCGAGTTCGACCGTCCTGTCCGTCCTCCGTCGACATCAAGTGGCCGCAAGTCCCGTCTCGCGCGGAGAAGACGAGAGCAACTGAGCCAAGAACTCGATGCGGACGGTACAAAACCGATCGTAGATGATGTCATTGTGTGTTCTCCTTCTTCCTATTCTACTCTTTGATATGTCGGAGGCTAACTCATACACCTTGCTCTTTTTAGGAATACGCAACAGCTATTACTCCGGCAAAACCCAAAATGGTGCATGTCAGACGTTCCTTCAGCTCTTCCCGCTCTTCCCACTCCCGCTCCACTACGTCCTCGTCCGACCAAGATTGTGGTCGGACTCTGGTCGAGCCTGCGACACCCGAACCCCAGCCCGAATCTCACTTTTCGCATATTCTCTCCACCCCACCCGAGACTCCAGAAACTCACGATACTTACGATCCCATGCTCTACCAAAACGATACCACCACGGAGCATTCTTCCTCCTGTTCCTTCCCCTCTCACCCCTCTTCGGCCTCGAAACTCCTTCTCCTCTCCTCCCCTTCACATCCTTCCCACCATCCTGTCTTATCGCCTCTCCACCTTTCCAAGCCTAGTCTCGCAGCTGTATCCCGCCCACTTTTCCTGACCCCGCCCCACTCTCCCGAAAAGCGCCTCCCCACCCCCGCCGCTATTCAGCAGAGTGTAATTTCACCCTCCTCCTACCACCCTTGCTTAAATATCGCTCCCTCTGTCGCCAATGTCATTTCCCTTCTCGAAGCATCCATTTCGAACTTCCCATGTACCATGCTCCAACCCGATTCTACAACCATTGACCTGGTCCGCGATGCTCAAGCTGCCTTGCACGCCGTGCCTGCTGGCCTATCTCTTCACCGCCATCCCCATCCCCATCATCCTCCGGCGGGAGCATATGGAAGTAGTAGCGGCATGACCAATCATCATCAGCATTTTGGTCTGCAGCAGCACTTGCATCACCAGCCCCGCCCTCGCCAGCTCAAGACGGATTTATCCCCGTTCCAGCGCGTTTTCCCTATTACTTCTGATTTCCTCCGCGGCACGCTGTACGCAAACATTGTCGCATGGAATTATATTACTGATTTGATGGCGACCACTTCGAACTCTGTCAGCACGCACGACGAAACCCATTGGAACTACCATCACCAGCAGCGGAAACAGCAGCAGAGGCAACAAAAACAGCAAAAGCAGCATGTAAATACAATTAGTCTCAAAGCAGCTCAGACCCTTGGGTTGGGACTGACGCCGCCATCCTCGTCGTCGTCTTCGTCGTCATCTCATGGTTATGGTACTGGAGCTGGACCTAACGCCGCATCGGACAAAGGTCCATCAATGTCCCCTGCCCGCCTGGCGCGGCTGGAGCGCAATCTCGGCGTCTGCGTGGGCAGGCTCATGGAAGCCATGTGTGGAAAGGGCAGACGAGATGGGGACGCGACATTGGTGACCACTGTTAGGGAAGTGGTCAGGCAAATGGAGGATGCGTCGCTGAACGCAACCTTGACGTATCTGAATTTCTTACGCGTTTAATTTTCCGTTTTACTCTTATTTAAACTATTTGGCTCTAATATCAATTATTGCTCCTTTTGGTTTTGTTTTTGTGTTGTTTTTCGTTGGGTTGATTCATTTTACTACCTTTATACCACTGCGAATGGCTTCTGCTTAATTGTGTTTTCATGTTAAGACTACGTCGGCGAATGACTTTTCTTCTCCAAGATATCCAGACTTTAATGATCATGAACGAGATTTCAATTACATTTCATGGAAAGCTATGAAAGTGAATTACACTATGCATGAATAAAGGTATCATATCATTTCCTTATTAATACGCCATCAATCCCTATTTCCGTTAATGTTTTAGATACAGAAGGGGTAAATCTGTCCGCTAGGACTATGGGAAACCCCAAATCCTTAACCAAATAGTAGGGGTCCGCCACCGGCGGGGCCCACTTTAACAAGGCCATGCTGCTCCTTGAGCTCGCGGGCTCTCTGCATACGACGGTCTACGACCTTTTCTTCTGCCGCCCAGCGTCCTTCGGTCGACTGTGCGCTGCTGCCACCAAACCAGCTTCGGATACCGGAGGGCGTGCCTTGCTTCTTCTGCGCCTGCTCCTCGCGTACCAGCTTCCTGACCATTTTACGCCAATTTTCGAGGCCAACATCTAGACATTCGCTGCAGCGTGCTCGGCCGTCTGCACTTGTTTCATGGTCAACGAGATGTGCTTCCGCGATGTCGACCGCATCTCGTGTCCATGCCAGGCCATCATTGGAAGAGGCTGTGGCGAACAGGATCTCGCCGATATTTGCCATGAGGCCTGCTTCCTCGCAGATCTCGCCCGAGTCTCGATAGGGCGGCTCATCCCCTGTCGGGGGCGGAGGTGGGTAGGGTGGTGGTACTAAAAGATTCTTGAAGAGCGAGACAACTCCCATGAAGAAGGATGGTTTTTGTTGATCTTTAATTTCAGAAACTATCGGAGTAGCTGGAGGTTCGGGGAGAAGGGCTCGACGAGCCCGGAGAACTGAGAGAAAAATTGGAAGAGCGGCGGAAACATTGGAGTTGCGAGCATGATGTACAGCAAGAGAAGTTGACGTTAGTAGGATATTGGCGGAGACGTGAGGAGCATGTGAATGAATGACTCCAGTTTTAGGATCAACGACTTCGTCGGGGTTGAGCAGGCCATCACGTGCGATATCGAGGGCCCATCTGTACGTCTCTTCTGCTGATTCCGGGAGCTTCTTGAAGTCAAGCCAATCGGCGTACGCCAATGCTGCATCGAGCTTCTCCTTTCCTGTGAATCCCTTTGTGGTCAAAATCTTGAGATAAAAGTACTCTGAAGATTCAAATGCGGGTGAACAATCTTCTTCCCGCGGTGGAGATTTGGCTCCGGAAGGAATCGGCTTCGGATTCGGGTTCGACGGCCCGATGACGACGTCGCCTGGAAATGCAATATTTCGTGTGTTATCCTTGACCCATCCATCCAGATGCTCGGCTGCTTTGGCGGCACCCATTAGAGCTTCATAGTATCCCTTCTTCCACGCAAAGGACATTCGCTGAACATTGTAGCCTGCCTTTCCCAGATCAGCGACGTAGATACCTCCGTCTATCTGCTCCCTCACTCCGGCACCATCTTTCTTCGGGTCTTCCAGCCGCCGGATCACATTTCTCCACATGTTCCCCGTCGAGGCCCAATCGACGAGACCTGTGCCGTTAAATTCCGGATCTTCCTGAGCTTTTGCATTACGGTAATTCATCCGAGTAACCCATTTCCATTCTGGGGGGGTGGGATGCTTTCTTTCCAGGAACTCGTTCTGGACGCCGAATCCGATAATCAAGAGCAGGACAGCTGTAGTCCATCCGAAGAATGTGTATCTCCCAGCAAGCCATAATTGTTCCTTGAGGAAACGCTTTCTTCGAGTCGTCAATAACCGGGCAAACTGCCATTGTCCGCCATTTCGTTTGCTGCTGTGAGCGCTTGAAGGCGGTGCGAGAAACGGTAACTGAGGGCGGCCTGAGGCGGGCGACAGCAGGAGCAGCTGCGAGTGTTGGCTAAACGGTCGGAGATTTGCCGGGCTTCTGAGTATTAATGACGTTCGTTGAGATTGACGGAGCAGCGGGAATAGCCCACTGCTCAGCGACCGTGGATAGATCATATTGATTCCGACATAAAGTTAGCTCAAACTATTGCATTCAATGATTGAGCTTGTTCAAGATTGTGGGGTAAACGGACTAAACGTTAGTGTTTGGGGTTGGAAATAATGGGGCGTGAGGGGGGAAACGAGCTGGTGTTGCTTCTCTTCCCGCTGTGGATCTTCCGTCCAAACTTCGGTCCATATCTCGCTCGCCAAATGCAGAGCTGCAGTTAACTAGTCCAACGACATTTCATCACCCTGGTCATTTATCACGGGGTTTTCGGGTCTTGTCAACAATGATGACAGAGATTGTAAATAATCAGAGTATTCCGATATCAGCAGGAAAGGCATTTCAAGATGGCGATGAAACAGCGCGGACATTAGATGAGCTCCTCATCCGATATCTCAATCTTCTAGATCAGTACCAGGCGGTCCAAGCCGAACTGGCGCAGCAGCTTTCCTCGGTATGGACTGAATCAGGAGCAATAGGCTCTAGCGAATGCTTGATTTCTTCTTGATACGTTTTGAAGGTTAGAAGGGCTGATATGTTTTTCAGGGCTATCTCTCCTTGGCGCAGGCCAACAGTTCAACCCAGCATAATATTCGTTACGGGCAGGATTACTATGATGCTCGAATGCAGGCTCTGCGGACTGTGTAAGTCATACATATTACGTTTGCACAAGATGTGTTTTATGAGTGGTCTAATGCTGCTCCAGATCTGTGAAGAATGAAGCTCAAGAGACTTCAAAATTCAAGGTAATAAAGTCGTCAGAATATTCGGGAGTCGATGTGCGGAAAAGCGAACCGGAAAAGACTCGGTCCTCGTTGGAACTCGCAGGTGATGGAAATGAGTCGAGGGAGGAAAAGGAGAAGGAGACCGAGTCAAGGCCAAAGACCAAGTCAAACGACCCTTTGCGCTGGTTCGGCATTCTTGTACCGCCAGCCTTGCGAGCAGCACAAGGTCATTTTGCGCGAGCTGTGGACGCGTCCGTTCCAGAAATGGTCAATATTATTCGCGAAATTGAAAGTTTAGAGACAGAAATCCAATCTGTAAGAAAGGCAGCTAAAACGACGAGTTAAAATAGATCATACATATTTATTGGACAAGAGAGCTTTCCCTTCTGGTTTGATGTATAGCACGATCGTGTACTTTTGTCTTTTTGCGTATACTCGTGAACGGGACCTAGCTCATTCCGAGTCGACAAAGGACACATAGTTATCCATATGGCACAATACCTTTTCATCCCACATCTGTGGGGAGAAGTGATCGAAGTAAACAGGCAGCTGATCAATTAATTCCCCGCGTTGCTCATCCGTACGGAATATATACGCTGGAAATACAGAAAGAATGCTTTGATCAACTATTGACAATCTCCCCAGAAGTTGCTGGTCTTTCGCGTGATGCGCATGCCAGACGAAAGTCTGTCTCGTCAAATGACTTGGCACCTTTTGCCCTACACCTCAGTTCTTGACGCAATTATGGCCTGCGCTCAAATGAGATGCAACAATAACTCGGTCTGTAAGTGCCCTTGGCAACATGACTGCAAGAAAAATTATTTTTATTTTACTTTACTGCAATTTATGCACAGCGAATTTTGAACAAGTATCTTTGACCTTGGACGAAGTTCCATTCTCTTTCCTCCATGGAGTGTATAGTACTTCTTTTACTCCGAATTATGACATACATCGGACAGTAAGTTATGCATATTGTACTCGGATCCACCAATATTTCCACAAATGATAACAATGAAAAAATGAATGTTTGATGATCTGAATGGGTGAGCTATGCTGCTAGATTGGCAATTCAGCCAGTGAGGAACATATATTGTGGGATTTGTTTTGTTGTGCTTTCAATTGTATATAATATTTGTCGAAAAAATATCAAATAATATAATATAGACAAAAGTAAAATTCAATTCACGAAAAAATAATCAATAAAAAAACAATACTTGTCATTTCAACACAAGGTAAATTACAAGCAGCATCTAGAAACATAATAATACACAAATTAAAATTATTTCAATCATTGCAAGCATTAATGCATTGAAATGCGTGCTCTGTTAGTTATCGTAGTACGTTAATTGTACAATTGAAGACCAATCAGGTCAACATACTTCCGAATAAAGACCGATAGGACCGATAAGGCGCTTATCCAAGACCGAATGCGGGATAAAGCGAGGCAAAGTAAAGACTCATCTCGTCCAGAATGGATCCCGAAGGGCGGCCAAAGGGAGGCCAATCATTATTGATGATCCTATAGCATAATATCGCACCTTCACGAATACTGCCTGCATTCGGATTATTTCTCACTCTCTCTTCCTTTTTTTTTTCCTGAATGACATGTCCCATGTCCTTCAACCATTGAGACACTCTACAGCCAAAAACATCATCTTATCGCGTCCTATCAGTCCACCCGACTGTGTCATCGCATCATCTAGACCCTTCTGCTCCTCATCCGCCGCATCCTCCCTAGCAACCCCTCAATCACATTCTCTCGTATTGTTCAACTCCTCACGTCCACCAAACTTCCCTCCCATAAACCCCTCTATTACCTTTTCTCAACCTTTTCGAAAAATCAGCATGACGACCGGTAATTCTGCCGCGCCTCCCGCGAATGGCACCACGGAGGCTGGTCCGAAGAAACTCAAGGCCCTCATGCTTCACGGTTCGTAGTTCCCCTCCCTTACGCCCCTCCTTCCTTGCCTACATTTACCTCCCTTCCCACACGCACACCTCGAGCCTGCCCTGGCGGAGAAATTAACGACTCAAAAGGCTACACACAGTCCGGTCCACTATTCCACGCCAAAACACGCGCTCTTGAAAAGACCCTGCAAAAAGCCTTCCCGGCCGCTCCTGCCATTGGACACGTTCCCTCACACCCTGGCGGTATTGAACTCGTATACCCTACTGGTCCCACGAAACTCCGCGTGTCCGACATTCCGGGCTACGACGTTCAAGGCGCGACCTCGTCTTCGCCGGGCGAAGAACCCGAAGCATACGGCTGGTGGCGCAAAAATGACGAAACGGGGGAATACATTGGACTAGAGCGCGGACTGGCACACATTGGAGAGGTATTAAAGACACAAGGACCTTTCGCGGGCGTGATTGGCTTTTCTCAGGGCGGCGCCGCGACGGGCATGATTGCAAGTTTACTAGAACCCGGTCGGAAAGAGGCATTTGCCGAATTGGCCGCAGCGACTGCGGGCTCAGAGAAAGCCGGCATTGAATTTCCCCCGGAGTTCGACCCGACCAAGACTCCCGGGTTCAGTCACCCTCCGCTCAAATTTGCAGCGAGTTATAGCGGTTTCGCGGCGCCAGATGCGCGATACAAGGCGTTTTATCAACCAAAGATTTACACGCCCCTGCTGCATGTCATGGGCAGTTTGGACACCGTGGTGGAAGAGAAGCGCGTGAGGACATTGATTGATGCCTCGACGGGCAAGGAGGAGGAAAGAGTGATTGTGCATCCTGGTGGACACTTTTTGCCGAGTCAGAAGCAGTATGTGAATGCTCTGATTGGGTTCATAAGGCAGAGTCTCGCAAAGGCGGAGGCAGAGGAAGAGGAAAAAGCAGGAAGGTGCAAGAAAAATGAGGAAGAAAGCGTCGAGGATATGGATGTGCCGTTTTGAAAAGATCAAGTGCTACCATGGTGCTTTCTAGATTGCTAATACCTTCAATAGAGGTCGTCTTGGTATATATTGGGAAACGGCATCGGAATAGAATATAGATGGGATCGAGATTCTGGGTAGATAAAGCCTCATTTTTTGAAAGCATAGCATAAGCATATTTTAGAGAGACTCGGATACTTTTAAATACTGCCTCTAGAGAAAGCTACGACGACGATGAAAATGATAGACTGGATAGAATTTGTATATTGACCACTCTACCGACAGATTTCATTGAAAACAAAGAAAAGAAAAGGAGAATATGATGCTTGCCCGTATCAAATGAAGTGAGCCAAAGTCTAGGTAGACAGCCGAATTTAGATTTGGGATACTATACAACCCTTTGAACCCTTATCGTACGAGTAATGGTTCATGTGCGGAGTGATTTGATCACCCACATTATTATCATTTCCCCAAAAGAGGCATAACAACCGTTGAAAAAAAGAAGAAAGAGACCGTTTTTAAGCTGTTCACTGTCCCTTTATAGCTGCCTTGGCTGCCTTGTCTACCTTGGTCGGTTGGATGCGAGCCATCATCTCTTCCTTGGTAATGAGATGATCAATCCTTTCCAACAAGTCGAGCAAGCTGCTCATGTTTCCGCTCCATTCGTTGAGGACATCGTCTGCATCCCTTGGCTTGGCGAAGTTGACCACCCGCGCTGGTCGGTCAATCTTGGCATAGATGGTTTTCGCAGTGACCAGGTCGCTAATGTACTTCTCCGTCTCTTCCTCGGTGAGGTCGAGGAGCTGGCAGAGACGACCGACCTTTATGCGCGTGTAGTATTTGGCAACCACGCGCACATTGTGCTCAATGACGCGCTTTCTCAGGTCGGTCCATCGTTGGTACGACTTGGGATCAGCAGACTGATTGGGCTCAGCATCGAAAACGTCGGTGCTGCAGAGATGAGGCCCGAATTTTTGCGACACCATAGGCCAACGCATGAGTTCGGGAATGGTGAAGAGTTTGAGAAGGGCCGCGTCCTCGGGCACAAGCGAGTTTCGGGATTCTTTTTGGATGCGGTGAAGAAGATCAGACTGCTCATTGTCATGGGGAGCGAGGATGATGAAGTGGATGACATGTTGGAGAGCCTAAAATCATCAGCATAAGCTTCAAAGTTTCTCACAAGTGACAGAAAGGAGGTGGGGGGGGGGGGGGGAAGGCACGCACCAATCGCAGATGTTCGGGGTTCTCCTCCACGACCTGCGTGTCCAGTACTTGTCTCCAATGCTTACACGCATCCAGATACTTGTCATCGTGCTTGGCTAACAGAATTTGTAGCTCATAGTACCGTAGCTTCAGATCCGTGACATCATCATCCTTTTCCACAGGCGGATCGTCGACGCTTCTATTCTTCTCCTTTTCTTCCCGCTCCTTATTCTCCTTCTCCAGCTGCTCAGGTGTCTTCTTCGGTTTCCGTGCGAAGTACCTTGTGCTGACCTTCCGGATCAGAACACCAGCCTGAGTCCAGTCATCATTCTCAATGCACAATGACACTTGCTGCAAGATGAATTCCGTCTTTTCACGACGCTCCATAGATCCGAAGGTCTCGACCTGAAGCTCGCAAAGAATATCGGCAGCTGCCTTCTTGTCGCCTTGATCTCTCTTGATATCCGAAAGCATTCTCGTAACGCGGGCACGTTCAACTTCGACGAAGATCTATTAAAAAAGCACCTTGTCAGGTTCCCTCTCCTTCTGATCAGGCTTATCAACGACCCCAAGTCCGGGATAAAGACCAACCTTGCCCTCAGTTACTGTCCGTAGCGTCTCAATAACGGAGAGTTTGTTCTCCATATCCGCGTCGTCCAAAAAGCTCATGACGACCTGAACCATCTTGGTCGTAGCTTGCTTGAGTTGGCCATGCTTCTTCGAGAGCAGAATAACCTGCTCATTTAGTAGCGCCCAGTCTCCGGCATTTTTGCATATCGTCACGATCGCGATAATTACTCGTGATGTAGATGCAAGATCAGAAGCCTAAAGAGATGGTAAACGCTCAGCAAAATCGCCATAAATGTCATAAGCATTCATCGTTCTAACCTGTCTCGTCTGCTTTTCCAATACAAGAGCTTTCTCGATGGCTGCTTGAACATTTGTCTAACAGAAACCAATTAGTACCTGCTGTATTAATTATCCGCTGATTCGAAGTCTACCTGAGCGAGCTTCTCGATTTCGGGGAGCTGCTTGTCGACTTCCGCGGTGAAGTCCTTGTCTGGTTTGAGCGACTGCAGCTCAGACATGTTGACAACGAGAGAGATTTTATCAAAGGTAAAGATAGATTAAAGTAAGTTGCTCCTGTTCTGAAGAAAAAGTGACAGAGGTAATGCGATGAGTTTTGTGTAGATGGAGATGTAGAGGAATAGCTTGCTCCAGCCGTCGTCATGTTCGTGATGTCGAGAATTGCGCGCGAAGGCATCTATGCCCGACCGTACCGCAGCCCTCAATCCTCTCGCTCAACCCAGTAGATACCCGGCACCATCTCAAAAGGTCCTTTCAAATTCCGGCCAAGCGTGCAAAAAATACAACGACGTCCCATCCGCGAGATAACACCCTTTTTGAAAAACTGGAATATGATTGATATTGTTGTTAACACAAAATAGCTCGTTAACCATGTGCTTGGTGAAAATGGTTTCCCTCTCGGAGTCCACGGCCGCAATAATCACATTCGTCATTCAGTCAGGGATGAGCCTGGCTACATGAAACAGCATGACTACATTTAAATTTGACGGGTTTGGAGTTGGAGCTACATGAAGCCTTGTTGTTTTGGCATCTTGTCGATTGGGTTGACGAATGGCGTGAAACGTCATCATGCCAAAATCACCAGATCTCTAACCGCATCTTGGAAAACCACATGCAAGAGTTCAATGGCAAAAAAGCCATTAAGTAGATTTCAAGGATCACCATTCTCTTATCAATTTTCACATAATCATGCGTTTAGCGTTCAAAGATTTGCTAGAAATAATTCGTCCTATTTGCTCCAATGTGAGAGCCGTAAAACTAATGCATGCAAAAGCGAAGCAAGCAAAGAAATGCCCATCAGGCAACAAAGCTAGGCGTTTTTCTTGGTATCACACCATCCATCGCTAAGAAAATAAGAATAAACAAAGAAAAAATTTTCAACGCTGGCCAGAGCCGTAGCGCCGAAGATCCTCACCTGTGGTGCTACCATGACGACCCGCCCGATTGTGAGAAGTATCGCCGTGCATAATCTCAGGTTCGCCCACAGTCTGTGCAAAAACACTTGGAGGGACCTGTGCCGCATCCCGTGGATCCTTGGCGGTTGAACCAGAAGACCTAAGGGCAAACGTTTAAGGTCGGGCTCCAAGGACCATGGACTGCTCCTGGATCACCTACGTGTAAGTCTTATTGCCACCAACAGTCTTGCTACCGTCAAGATCGGAGTCGACGCTATCAATAAAATTAGCAACCAGGTCAATCACCCCAATTCAAGAAGCTTGTTTTTCTTACCGAGGATCCACCTTATTGAGGATATCTTGCTTATGGGGGCCGGCAGTGTTAGGCGCAGGGCCAGGTCCCGCTCCAGCTGCATCATAAGCACCATGAGTACCATGGGAGCCATGGGTGCCATGAGTGCCTTGAGTACCATGACCGCCATAAGTATCGTGAGTACCATGAGTACCACGGGTATTATGAGTGCCATAACCAGCACCAGTGCCAGTGCTGCCGTGAGTACCGTGAGAACCATGAGTACCATGAGTGCCATAAGTCTCGTGGGTACCGTGAGTACCGTGAGTACCGTGAGTACCATGGGAATTATGAGTGCCATAACCAGCACCAGTGCCAGTGCTGCCACCGGTGGTGGTTGAGTGACCGGCAGTACCCAGATTGCGAGATCCATCGAGGTCGGAATCCACGCGTGGGTCAAGCTTGTTGGCAGTGTTGGTATTGTGAGGGCCAGCATTGGTCGAGCCATAGCCAGTGCCAGTGCCAGTGCCGGTAGCTGAGTGACTGTGGTGAGTCGCACCAGTGGTGCCGGCGGCGCCAGCTAGACCAGTACCATGGGTGCCACGGTTGTCAAGATCACTGTCAACTCTGTGACAAAATTAGCCTTGGACATTTGCACTAAAGACTTGGAATGACACAAACCTTGGATCGGCCTTATTCGCAACGTTACTCGAGTGAGGGCCATAGTTGGTCGAGCCACTGGTGGTGCTAGACCCGTAACCTCCAGTAGTGCCAGTAGTGCCAGTGGTGCCGTGAGCACCGCGGTGGTCTATCGATGTTTAGAATAGGGAGAGAAATCACCGAAACCGAGAAAACTTACCACGGTCGCTGTCTACACGAGGGTCGGTCTTGTTAGCCACGTTTGAGCTATGAGGACCATAGTTGGTAGAGCCACTGGTAGAGCCAGCTCCGTAACCAGAAGTTCCATAGCCAGAAGTTCCTGGGGCACCACGGTTGTCTAAGCTCTAGAGTAAGCTATTGTTCTGTAAAGTTCCATTTCAAGGGGCTTACCAAGATCACTGTCGACACGAGGATCGGCCTTATTAGCTAAGTTTGAGTCATGAGGTCCGTAGTTGGAAGAGCCACTGGTAGTGCCAGCTCCGTAACCAGAGGTTCCAGTAGTGCCAGTGGCACCGGTAGCACCACGGTGGTCTTAAATTCCCAAGTAAGCAACCATTCTATAGGGAGTTAGCATGCAAGAGCTTACCAAGATCGCTATCGATGCGAGGGTCGGCCTTATTGCCAATGTTGGTATCGTGATGGCCGTAGTTGGTAGAACCTGTAGTTCCAGTGGCTCCAGTACCCGTCGTGGAGTGGTGGGTAGTGGTCGTGTCGTGCTTGTCACCCGTCAGGGCGTCCTTAACCTTGTTTACGATGCTCGACATGATTAATGGAAGAAATATTGTAGGGTATGTAGAGAAACAATCGTAGACCGTAACAGTTCGTTCGTAGACTCGTAAGGCGGGGAAAGTGTAAGCTTAATGGAAGGTGTATTTGAAAGAGGATGGATGATTCTGTAGTGAAAGAGAAGAGAAGTGTGAGTGCGGGGTTAGAGGTTGTTTATATAGTGAAGGTTTACCAGGATTGGTGTGTAGTCATAGGGGAAGAAGGTTCGTCACTATGACCGATTGGTTGTCTAAGAAAGGAAAGAAGTGAAGGAGCAATGACATGATTGTGAATTGGGAAAGCAAAGTCGGGCAAATTTGCCAACATCTTTGTCGAAAATTCCTTGGAAGCAAAACAAACGCAACCGGCTGGCAGATGACGCCTTTCCAGGTTTATTGCTGGGGAAGGAACTTGGTGCAGGAACAAGGGAAGCTCCTTAGGTGGGCCCTACCCGAGGACGTTACTCAATTAGGCCACGAAGAACTTGGCGCTAAACCAAAATTATGAACAATGGTCACGTACAGCAATCCATTTGGGTTAGGATGAACAGCTTAAACGTCATGTACAACTCAGCTTGGCTTGATTTGGAAGCTTCAAGCCACATATCAGCCACACATGTCCCTGAGACTACCCCACAATTCCAACTTTGTCCTGCGTTGCACCGCCACATGAACACAACTACCGAAGCACATTAACCGGACTTCCGAGGATGACGCAGTAGCCAAGACAAATTTGACCATGTACACGTTCCAATTCCACGTACCCAGGCTCTGATCATTTACTTTCAAGGAACATTAGCTTTTGATGCTGAGCTGATCACGACTAGCAAAAGAGGGTGACGCAGTAGCTTGCTCCAATGTCATCACTTGCGTAGCCCAGCCCTTGCAATGTGCACTTGTTCCTTGTATGAAGTGAGCAGTGCCGAAAAAGGCGACCTTATTTGCGAGCAGACTAACTTGCATAGCGGAAGAATAACTCGTACCTGCATAATCAGAATTATCTAAAACCCGCTAAGAAGATATTCCCCTTCAAGCTTCTGTATGCGTCGAATAAAATACATGAACGATGTAGACATGAATCCACTATCTGCCCAGACCATGAAAGCAATGAGACCGTCAGGACATTGTGCGACAAACTCTAAAATACCATGGCATAAACGCGGTATCCCAATGAAGGCTTTCTGGTCCCACAATCCGCTCTAGCAGTTCCTTTGTTTTTCTGTCATTTCGGCACGCAACAACTGATCGTACCAGCGTGAAAGTACATATAAAGTATTATTGTGGGGCCGTTGCGAACTTCCATGTAATTTCTGGACAGGATTAAACGGTAATTCATTTCACATTTCGTTCGGCTCCCTGCTGAATCTTCCGTTTAGTTTTTTGTTATCGATATCATGATACACCCGATTGGCAAGGCAAAAACATACAGTCAGTAACAACGCCGCAGCATGAACTGCGCAATAACAAAGAGGCACCTCGCCACATCACCAGCGGTAAGAGATCTGCTTATAATGGGATAACGCATAGCGCGACAGTGCAGCTGAAACAACCCCTCAATCCACCTCCAGCGGGGTTCAAGTTATTCACTACTTTTGGTGATAGTTTATGTATTTTGCCTCGCATTGATCTCATCTTGAAAACGCCCACCAAGTTGTCATGCCCATGAAGACAAGCGCCGTGATGCTGGAAATGACTGACGACTTGTTTGCGTCTTGTTGAGGGGTTGGTTGTCTGGTAAACGCATCTCTCGGCAAAGCTTGGAGGATCTTCGACGCAGAGTAGTCCATAGGCCGGGGCGTAGACTTCTTGATAATTCGCTTTCGAGGTGTTGGTGGAACTTTTCTAGGCGTAGGAGGAAATGCAGTAGTAGGAGGCAAAGTAGGAGACGGAGGCGGGGACGCTGCAGCCTTCCTCGTCTTCTTCTGCGGACACACGACACTTTTTCTGTTGAATTCCTTGACAAACTCCTGTGAAAGCTGACCTTCGAATATTTCAAGGACCGCCTGGACACGGCGCGCGACACTTTGTTGACGAACACGGGGTCGTGAAGTCCTGGTCGGTTGTGCTTCAGTGCTTGACGATGATGGATTGTTATTTATAATGCGGGGCCGTTGAATCTCTGACAAGCTAACTTCGTCGATGTACTGGTCATAGCTGCGTTTCCGAGAAGGCATTGTCGATGATTTGATAGCCGTGATTGAGATGTGATGATTTTGCGATATTAGGGAGATTCAAAGCGGGACACGCCAAATTCGACAACGAAACGAGTTTGATACTGGCAAGCCGGCGCGCCGATAAGAAGGTTGAAAGCTGAAGTGCGGTATTCACGCAGCGTGACTTTGCGATGGAGATGGAGGTTACACCAAAAAAGGGTACAGTGTGATGAAAAGATCAAGAAACCTCTTATGAGGCAAGTGTTGTATTTAGCAAGGCGTTGCTGTTGTATTTTATGAGATGCGTAACAAACGGTGCATAGGTGATGAAGGGGTTGTGTTTGGCACAAGGCGGGGCGAAAGCAAAACATTGACCAAACACACATCAAGAAAAGGAAAAGGCAATCCTTAGTCGCGGCTTCCATCAAAGCTACTCATGTCACTTGCAACTCTGGCATTCCGGACCGCGAATATCGTCTACGGTCCCAAGCCGCCTGCCTCCTCCACCTCCGCTTCCTGGACCGCCACCACCTCCACTACCACCACCTCCACCACCCCAGCCCCGTCGGATGGATGCACCTGAGCCAGGTGATCGTCTGCGTATATTGAAAGACGATGATTCGGCAGCCGCATATGCGTCAAACTGAACCGAGGTTCACAAGTCAGTTGCTTGTTGTTGGAGATTCCAGCTCCGATCCCTTTTATTACAGAAATCATGAAATCATAAAGATTCAGAATAGACATACCGAGAAAAGTGTAGTCAAATATAGTCCAATGAATATATATGCACTACTAAAGAACTCACGAATGCGAGCAGTGAGCGGCGGGCTATACCGGAACAATGAATCATCAGCACCTTCACTTCTTGCAATAACCAGCAAGACAGAGTCATTTACCTCTGTAATACCCGCCCCTGTGAGATATATGGGCGACTCGGAGCAGACATGTTGTCCTGTCGCCGGTCGATTTGTCGGATGCGAGTTTCCCTTCTTTTTTCGATATGGAGATGTCGAGTAGGACCACATCGCTGGTCCCTTGGGTTGTCGGAAGGGCGGCAGGTGGCGGGCGCCAACCATGCTGGGCTTAGCGAGTCCCCAGATTGTCCGTTTTCTGCCAACCCAGCACTTCACCGCCCAGCTCCGTCTATCAAGGTATTTTTCAACTTTTCTGTGTTTCAAGTTCCTTAGCACTTACGAGGCCCAGTATTCTCATAAACGTGTATTGATAGTTTCGAATAAGTTCAAGTGATGTTGCTATACTCAGGTACGTACTGCTCAAAGATCTGTCTGTTTCTCAGACTGAACAGCGCGGCAGGAGAATTTGGAGAGAAACAGTGAAGCTTAGCCGAATAGCGCAACAGGATCAAGTAGCAAGGAATAACAAAACAGAGTAACTTGTAGTGCCAAATTTGCCGTCTTCCCGCAAGGATCTCAAACTTAAGGCCGTGTGCCTTGTCTTCAAGTTAACGGGCCTCAGTGGATAATGTGTATCTTCGTCGTGCATTCATTCAAGGACTTGACGCATTAAACTAGAGCTTGCACGGTATTTTTAAAATTTGGTGGAATCAAGGATATCCTTTAGTTTCCTAGAAACGCAATCATTGCACTCCCCTCATGTACACCTTGGATAACACCGTCGTCGGGATTAGCAGGCTGATGAAGCCAAACCTCTTCGCTGCCGCGCATATAATGTTGAACACCCGTGCCAAACCGCCGTCTTGCTAGATATGTATAGTAAAATCCATTTCCAGAGCTCGAGAACACCAGCATGTTATGAAAGAAATTGAGAGTAAGGAAAAGGCAGCGTATGTGCGAAACAAGGAGAGGGCACACATGACAAGTCACTCAACACAAACGGATGTAGGAGATCGCCAGATCACCAAAGCAATCCAGATCCCCAACCGCAATCACACCCCCAATTTACACGAACCATCCCCAAGGCCCCCGGCATCGAATCTGACCTCGCGCGCCCGTAGCGGGCAACACTGTAAAGCACTGAATATGCTGGGCCCTTGCGTCGCACCATCCTCCGTTCATCTCCTAGTTTGTTTTCTTTTCTAATGCGAAACAATCTGCCTCTTCTTGGCCAAGACACTCCAAAAATGAATGCGCGCTCAGCTTTTTTGAAGTAATGTATAAGTCAAAAGATTAAAGAAAGTGAGAAATAGAGATTTAGTCGAAATAACAAAAAGCTCAGCACCTCTTATGAGGTGCCTACGAAAACCCGGTCCAGCCGGATTTTACTGCGAGCCCCCTTTTTGCGGCGGAACAGCTTTATTTCATTTTTTGTGGGTGGAAGTGGAAGTTGGAAATAAAGCTGTTCCGCCAAGGGGGCTCGAACCGGTCCGGGCGATGGCGTGTGGTTAACGCTCGCGACACGTTAACCACTACGCCATGCCCGGATCGGTGTTACACGAAAGTGGATTCAGCAGAATATAAAGATAGCTTCGGGACAGAGAAAGCGGAAGGCTGGGAAGCTTGGGGGAAGGAGAGGTTGTTGACTAGCGAGTTGGTGAATGACTGGCATTGTCTGAGCAGGGAAGGCGCGTGGTTGAATGAATGATCGTAGCGAGGCCTGAAGACTTTCGGTGATGCTTAGATGGACGGCGATATCGTCATCAGGTCTTTTTGCTTATCCTAGTTCCAGTAGTGAGCAGGCCTCGTCCTATAATCCGTTGAAGGAGATATGACTGAAACACATCGACGAGGATATCCGTTCATTTCCTCGTCACATATGTTCGAAAGACAGGTCGACGTTCATATAGGCTTATCCAGCAAGAGTATTGCTGCGGAACAATGACAAGTTGCGATTACATACTGATTTTGACAGCATAATCGACTGGGCAAAGCCAGTGAAACTCCAACGAAAGACAAAGTCGCCATACGGATGGAATGTATCAGCGGATAGCAGAGCGACTCAAACAGATAAAGCCCGACTACTGATCAATCCACAGGGGACACACTTCGCGAAGACGAGCATGACAGATTCTCAAACTTGTGGCCCAAAGATTTTGCATAAATTTACGCCGCCTGCAAAACGCCATAATGCAAATGTACAAGGAAAAAATATGGACAAGTCTCAGCCGAGGCGAAGAAAACGCGGAGCAATGCAATCTAAGGCAAGGCACTCGGATCGACCTTCTCAACACCAGACGCGCCAGACATGGCCGCTTGGTTTTGACGCGCGCGCTTCTTAAGCACGTTCTCAATGAAAGCTTCACCTGCCTTGTACGAACTACGGACAAGGGGACCGCTGGCGCAGTAAAGGAATCCCATGTCCAGCGCGCGTTGGCGCCACAATTCAAAGGCGGCAGGTGTGACGTATTCTTCGACCTTCATGTGCCGCTTAGTTGGGCGCATGTATTGGCCAAAAGTTACTACGTCCACATCAATGGCACGGAGCTCTGCGGGGAACTATTAGCCTTATACAAATATTGACTGAAGTGGTGCAGAACATACCTCTGAGAGTCTCCCAGATTTGCTCTTCTGTCTCACCAAAGCCCAGCATGATACTTGTCTTTGTGATCAAGCCCTCCTTGGCCTTCTTTGCCGTGTCCAAAACCTTCAAACTCTGTCGGAATGTCGCTCGGCGGTCTCGCACCATGGGTGTCAGCGCTTCAACTGTCTCTACGTTGTGCGCATACACGTCAAGTCCACTTTGGGCCACCAAGCGGACCATTTCGGTATCGCCGGCATAGTCACCTGTCAGGGCTTCGACAAGCATGGTTGGAGCTTTTTGCTTAATCTTTGAAATTGTTTCGGCAAAGTGGTGAGCACCGCCATCCACGAGGTCGTCGCGGTCAACGGATGTCAGCACCACATATCCCAACCCCCATCGTGAAAGAGCCTCGGCGGTATTCTCGGGTTCGTGGGGATCGAGGGGCGGCGGCGCCTTTAACGTCTTGACAGAGCAAAATCGGCATCCACGCGTGCAAGTGTCGCCCATGAGCATAATGGTGGCCGTTGCAGCGGATTTGGACGAGCCACCCCAGCAGTCGGAAATGTTGGGACAGCGAGCTTCCTCGCAAACTGTTTCCCCCAGAGTCAGTCCAGGTTCTGTATCTGGCACTATTTGTGTGTTCACAAACCTGTATGCAAGTTCAAGCCTCGAAGATCATTTCGAATTTTCTTAAAGTTCTTTCCATCGGGTACAGGCGTCTTCAACCATTCGGGAAGGCGAACAATCTTTTTCTGCTTGCCTTTGGGACCAACCATGGCGGTTTTCAATTCTAGGGCTTCCTCCGGCGACAAGGGCTGTTCCTTATCGCCACCGACAAAGTCAGCAAACGAAGGGCCGGCATTGAGCCTGTCATGAAATGCTGTTTTTGGTCGTCGAGTTGTGCCTCCAGTGGCCGGAGGTTCCGGGGCAGCGGTGGCCAAAGTCCGGATGACTGGGAGACTTCCAGTAGAGGAGATAGACGCTCTCGTCGGAGCAGCGACGATGGAGCGGAGCACTGCAGTCCTTACAGCCGTAGTCATTTTTCTTCTTCCTTGACTTGAGTAGTTCACAGCGCTTGCACACACAACACCCCCGGAGCTTGTCTGGTGAATATAATTTCGGATGCCGGACATCCATGATGCGTAGATGTGATTAGATAATGAATGACTCATCCAAATGAACGTCAGGTACGCATCGAAACATTCAAACGCCGGTGATTGGTGGAAATGACCAAACGAAAGCTTAGCTGCTTTGAGTTTAGTTGCATGTTCTCTTCCCGACGTTCCCCCAACTCGGACCTGGCAGAGGAGTTCGATGAGGCGAGTTCTGGGCGAGTTCTGTCGTGATAAAGACTGATGATTACGGAGTACCACTTTGGTTACCTTGTCCTTCCCCGTATTCCTTCAATCAGCGAAGGTACTCGCTTCTCCCTAGCCCGTTGCTGCCGGTTTCAGCTGGTCAATGGTGGTCGATCCTTCTGGCTCCCGTTGCTCCTGTCTGGATTTTCCCCAGTTCGGCGCATTTGCTTTTCTTAGAGATACTTTTACACGCGCAAGCAGAAATACGACATGCGCCGTCGGGTTGTCGACAAGATGGACCGGTCTAATTGAGATCTCAGGATGCCTCAATGCATTGAACTATCATTCTGAGCACCAAGCACATGTCAAAGTCAGTCTGGTGCAGGGCGAACCAATGGCTCAGCGGGTGCATTGCCAAGATGCAACCTTAAGCCATAACTCGTACCATGGAAACCCAGCTTCGGGAGTTGAGCTCGCTTAAAAGTCTGCAAGGCTCGAACGAATTGATACTCAAGGTACGAAGTACAAAGTAACTTATTTGGAAGAGGGAAAAAAGGACGGAGAAAGAGGATAAAAAGAAGACACGGCGATCTAACGCTTATTTTTCTAACGCCAGCGGCAGGCGGTCCTTTTACGAGGATTTGTACTCGTACTCGTTACATGTGTATCGTATCAGGGCCCTCTGCATGGCCTACCCGTTGCGCACACGGAAACCTAAACATCAAGGTTTTGTATTATTTGGGGCCAAATAGCAATTCTATATTGAAGACACCCAGCTGCTCACCCTTTTGCCCGTCATGAATGAATTGCTCGTTTCAGCATGGGCGAACAGGTGCCGTCGTGCAACCTTAACCCTGCCGAGTGGTAGTGGGCCGTAATCGATCCCGCCAGTTGTCTTTGCTACTCGGTTCAGCCTTTTTTTACCTACAAATGCCGAACCAAAGTGAGTTAGTGGAACCCGAAGAAGGCCTGTCCTTGAGACTGGAACCGATCCTTAGGCCGGTTTGTTTTGCTGGTCTCAATCAGATAGTTGCAGCGCGGCCCGTACACCGTAAATGATGTGAGTTACGTACTACGGTAGTGAGGAAATTTACGAAGTCGTCCCATCCCCAAAAGTCATTGCAATCACACCGTAAGTTAACAAGAAGTGGCAGCGAAAACCTGCCAACTGCCCTCACCTTCGATGTCTCCCTTTTCTCACCTCTCGATTCATCAATAATCCACCAGACATCTTGACCGGGTCCTTGCACACGGATCCTTCAATCGTCCCTCCCACCCAATCCCCACCCGGCCTTTCCCCATTGCGCCGGCTAAAATTGTCCAGGGTAAGTCATACTAAAAAGTATCCCGCTGGCTTCAATTCGCACCTCACTTTCTCGTTGAGCCCGGTTGGCTTAACTTATCATGCCCACCCAGTCACAGAGCCTCGACCACCCCACGCCCTGATCCCGTTTCTTCTATCACCATCCCCACTCCCTCCAATCGTCCCGTCTTCCCCATCTTTCCACTGCTTCTTCTCCCTTTTGTCCTATTCTTCTTCCCCTGTCTAGACCTTTATCAATCTATCGACCCTCTCGTGCCTATCGTGCGTGTCTCGTCCGTCCTTTGGTCATTGGCTCTCCTTGTCGAGACGGTGCTCCTCGCATTGAATCGGGTCACTGACATCTTCTTATCTGGTTGCAGAAGGCAAAGGTCGTGCCAGAGGCCCTTACCGAAGTCCTTGTCGCGTCTCACATAATTTATCGCTCGACGCGAATCAAAGGTTAAGATTCTCGGTCTCGATACGCGAATTCCGCTCAACAATTAACAGGAGCCAACACCTCCTCGCCTGGGGCTGATATAATATCAATATGCCTGTTATTGATCTCTCTCTCGAGCCAGGCTCAGATAGCGAGGCCCGCAAGAAGCTGCTGCTTGCCCATTGGGGAACAACGGCACAACGCGAACATCTCTCCAAATGGCTCGCCGAGTTCCAAAAAGATCTGGCCAAGGCACAGGCTGAGGCTTCCATTGCGTCAGCAGAAGCCGCCGCTCACGCTACGCCGACGAGCGAACCTCCTGCCTATGGCATTCAGACAGCAGCCCCTGCCGCCATTGATCCTGAAACAAGCTCTGTCGAGATTATTCAGTCCCCTCCCATCACCTCTGTTCCAGCGGTCCTTGTCGAAGCGCCTTCAGAGCAAAATAGCCCGACCGTCGAGAAACCTGCTCATGGAAAGCCCCCTGTCCAAAAGCTTACGGCGGAGGAGACGGAGCTTGAGCAGCCGGCCATGGAAAAGATCGCCACTGAGAAAAAAATTCCGGAACAGTCCGTCGAGGATCAGCCTTCTGTGGAGAAGCCTGTTGCCTTAAAGCCGTCCCGCGAACATTCCGCCTCCGAGGAGACGGTTGTCGAGAAGCCTGTGGAGTCACTACTCATCAATATTCCGCCACCGCCATCCGAGGGACACAAGGCTAAAGCCGCCGAAGGCATTCTGCCTGATAAACTGGTAACCTCGGTCAAGGCCGTACCAGTTCATGCGACCCCGACCGCTGTCATTGATATGCGGCCGAATTCTGTTAATCGCGACCCCGACTCGCCTGTCCGGTTTGCCTCGTCTCAAACCACCGTCGCTTCTGTCCACACGACAACCGAACGGCTCCAGTCAGTTCCATCAAGTGGTGGTGACTCGATACTATTCCAGCCAAACATTTTCATATTAGTTCTCGTCGTGATATGCGCCGTTTTGTACCGAAAGTGGCGCTCGAGACCAAGGGAGGTGTTGATCGGGGAAAAGGGTGCCCGGGGTCTAGCCTGAGGCCTAATGCCAGTGTCCCTTTCCCTTGAAGCGTCCGATTTGCTTTTAGACTTGTATCTTTTCCTGCATTTCCCCAGTCCATTTCATCTTCGGTTCGACAGCGTTCCCGCCTCCACGGCGTGGGGCATTCACATCTTTGATGAGTGTTGGTCGTTTCTCACTAACAACGGCACAACGGCTCTTTTGTCCGATCTATATAATGTGTTTTCATTCTTCTCTTCTACGAAGACCCCTTGCATTCAGCGCTGGGCGAGGCGTTTGCAGGTGCGAGCAACGCATTATTACTTTGGGATGGGTTCTATCATTTTTCCGTGGCATGGGTATATTTTGTAGACGGCGGCAAATAGACTTTGTTTCGTAATAGGGCTTAAACGTCATTTTAATTCATGAATCAATGGGACCGTTTAATAGGTCAGAATTTTGAAATTTATATGGATTGCTGCACTGCTTTGATGCTTCCCTCGGAGAAGTGCTCTGATTTTCATGAAAAGTCACCAAGGGAGAGAATGCAGGATATCCCGAAATGGAAAGGAGAGGGCCCCTGGGGCTCGGCTTTGGCCAAAGACTCCGATGGAAGGCGGTGAGACTTCCGAGCCAATCACAGGCTGTTAAACTGTCATCCAGATTTTGAAAAGGTCGAAACTCCAGCAGCGATGGCAAACATTACAAGCGCCTTCATCGAGTAAGCTTCTTTTCGGGGCTTCATTGATAGTCTGAAAATGCCTGTTACACGGGCTTTAAGGCCTGTCTGCATATCCTGCAGGTTCAATCAGCTCACGCTATCTCAAAGAATTTCCCCCCGTGCATTCCATGCGGCGGCAATTCGCCCACGGCCTCGTGTTCGATCGCAAGCACTTCGAGTGTCATCCGCACAAAATTCAAAGCCCGAAGTCACAGAACAAGCTCGGGAACATGAAGATGAATCGGTGTTTCGCGCAGAGTTTTCTCCGCCGCTTTCGGCAGAGCAATTAGAGGCGCTTGTCCGTCACGCTCGACATACCTACGGCGAATACCTACCAGAGAAAGTCCTTTCAGAAAACGAGTATAGACTCTATGAGAGATTGTACGGCCCGCCATTGCCGATTCCCGAATATGAAGCACGCGATGTCGATGGAGAACATGAATCCGAGACAAAAGATTTATGGCTAAAGGAAAACAAACATGGAGAGCTAGAGATTGTCGAGGTGGACCGCCCGGCGGAGTCTCACCAGGAAATAGCTCAGGAAGACCTTGAGGAGACACCCTCCGACGATGAAGCGGAAGATCTTGAACTCCATGCCTCTGATGATACAAACCTACGAACGCATCCATTTACAATAGCGGGAAGATTTGCCACGTCACCGTCCACGCTTCAATTGCCTGCAGAAAGCTTCACCGACCCCGTTACGGCGCTACTGTCTGATTCATCAAATAAACATATATCTGAAGCAGCACACAAAGTGCTTGGCGGTCCTGGTTTGCCATACTCGCCAGGTACTCCAGCATCGAAGCGACACCTCCCCCAGAAACCGATTGGCTTAAGCTCATTTCAGACAAGGATGTCGGATATGGAAAGTAATGTATATGTTGCCGCAGTTATGCCCGGCATATATGCCTCTGTCATGAGCACCCTTGTAGAGGTGAGGAAAAGGCTCGGCACCGAATGGATCAAGGAATTGCTTCAAAAAGAGGGGGGTCCGCGGATTTTGGACACAGGCGCTGGCGGCGCTGGCGTTATTGCATGGCGAGAAGTGCTACAAGCCGAGTGGAAACGTCTTCATGATGCGGGTGAAATTAAAACCACAGCAGAAGAAGCGCCTCTGGGAAGAGCATCTGTAATCACGGGCGCAGCCCCGCTTCGTCATCGAGCAAGTCGACTTCTCGAGAACACAACATTTTTGCCGCGACTTCCTGATTATGTTCATACTCCGAACCCGGAGAGTCTCCTTGACCCTTCTACTCCTTCGACGGGTCGAAAGCAATTTGACATCATTGTGGCCCCACACAATCTTCTTCCTTTCAATGAAGAATACCTGAGGAAGATGCACGTGGAGAACCTGTGGTCTCTCTTGAATCCCAACGGAGGTGTGCTTATTCTCATCGAAAAGGGCATTCCGCGAGGGTTCGAGGCTATTGCCGGAGCTCGTCAGATGCTCCTAGACAATTATATCTCCTCGCCCGGATCCGAACACGTCGCCAGTGACCTACAAGAAAAGGAACGGTCCTCAATCACTGCCTCGCCCCGACTTAAAGAGACGGGAATGATTATTGCTCCATGTACCAACCACGCCAAATGCCCAATGTATTTGACTCCCGGCATCAGTCAAGGCCGCAAAGACTTTTGCCATTTCAGTCAGCGCTACATTCGCCCGAGCTACCTCCAGCGTATCCTCCAAGCCTCTGCTCGAAACCACGAAGACGTTGACTTTAGCTACGTTGCTCTACGACGGGGACGAGACGAGCGTAAAACACATGGCCTCATCCAAGGGTCAGAAGCCACGGAAGCTGCATTCGCTGGCTACGAGACTCCCGCGACTCTTTCCCAGTCCCTTGAACAGGAACAGCAACAAGTCCCTTCCACGTCTTCTCCTTCCACTTCGTCCTCTAACTCTACCTCTACTCCCGAGACATCCTTTGCATCCGACCAAAGCTCTACTCCCACAACTACCTCGTCAAATGCCGAGCCAGAAGTCCCAACTCTCAATACCCTCTCCCTTCCTCGCTCCATCCTCCCGCCCCTCAAACGCCGCGGCCACGTCATACTCGACCTCTGCACCCCTTCCGGCACTCTCGAGCGCTGGACCGTGCCCAAGTCCTTTGGTAAACAAGCGTATCGAGACGCGCGCAAGTCCTCGTGGGGAGATCTCTGGGCCCTGGGCGCTAAATCCCGCATGGATCGACCCGTCAAGCTCGGAGTGCGCACTCCCGGTAAAAAGAATAAAGCCAAGGGCAAGGATGTCTTCGAAGTCAATGTCGGCCAGGAAGGATCCGATGCTGTCCGACTCGCCAGCGGTCCCTCGAAGAAAGTCGTTCCTTCAAAGCAAAGAGTCAAAGGCCGGACCAAGGGCAAGCAGGAGAGATTGTCACATCAGCAGACCTCGCGCAAGGGTGCGCTCGAAAATATGGAGTGATGTATCTTCTGCACTCTCCTTTGTCTATTGTGTCGGCGCCAAGCGGAAATGGTGGCCATGGCTTTTTGCTTGGAGTAGGTGTTCATATAAATTGGATTAGACCACACTGGGCCATTGTAAAAGGCGTGTTGTTTCTTTAAGGCGTTGATGTCTTCTTCCCTCTACGATTTTGCAAAGCTTGGACGTTCATAACTATCTCGACTCTCATTTCGACATTTCCCCTCCTCTCTTGCCTGCATGTACATTTTAGAAATAATTAAAGGATGATTGTAAATAGTGCAATACAATCTCAACCCTCTCCCATCTTCTTTCTATACAGATTTACCTATATCTTTTCATGAGCAAAATCAAATGTATTCCTTTGCGACGCGTCCTTGAGTTGATCCAAAAACCTGATATCCATCCTATGCACGGCGGCGACACACTTTATCACATTTGCGTCAATGAACCACATGTGTAACTAACGTATTATCTGACGCCAGCATTATTTCCAGTGAAAAGAAAAAGAGAATGGTAAATCAATTAGTACGAAAGTCGTCAGAAAAAAATAAAAAAAAAGTTCCGGTACCGGGAATTGAACCCGGGGCCTCGCGGCGCTGGATGATCAGACACCCATGAAAACGCGAAATGTTAGCCACTACACCATACCGGATTGTAGTTGAAAAGGTAGCTCAAAAAGTAATCTATATTTCAACAATGAGAAACCTCTCCAGTAGTTGATGCTGGAAGCTACCGCTCTTTCGCAATATGCATTGTCACGGAGCTGGTTGATAGCTGATTGGCTACAAGATATTGAGCGAGTGAATGATTTTTGAATGAGTTGTTATTGACGAAAATTGTGTGATGGTTCTTTTCTCATAGGCTAGGATTTTTTTTTTTTTTTTGGAAATTATTGTGAAGGGATAGAAATAATTTCAACGTTTATCTCAGGGAGCAACTGTCAATGATCATTGACACCAGGTACCCAGCTACATTGAAGATACAGCCATATCCGTAATTTATCACTGCGTTACACATAGTAGGGGTTATATTCCAATACTGCAAGGATAACAAGCCGTCAGTGCATCCGCGATTCCTGAGTGCATAGAGGTGGTACGGTCGATATCGTTGCGTCCTTTGTAGGGTTTGAGCGACAGGCAGGGCAACCAAGCGAGGCGATGGGAGACCGACAGACGCCGAGGAAGACCGAGGATAGGCAAACATACTACTGCTTGGTGCAAGCGACAAGGGAAGAAAAGCGAGGTGTCAACTGGGCAATCAACAGCAGGGCGCGAAATCCCATGCTTGACCTGATGCATGGGAAAGGCTGCGCCCTTTGAAAGTACGAGTAACAAAATTGTTTAATCAATGTTCAGCTCGGCCTAACTCACCCTAGCAGGTTTCACCTCACAGGAGGAGCGAATCGGGAGCGGCCCGATGATCTACAAACAAAAATGTCATATGTGATTTCAGGCTTGAGGTACTGTATTTGACTCCACCAAAAAAAAAGTGGTGAATTCGCACGGTTACCAAATGGCAGCGGCAATAGACGGGTTTGAGGCTATCGTAAAAGTGGCGGGAGGCGCCGCCAAGGGGCCAAGGGGGCAAAGAAAAGCTCAGGGGTCGTGCGTCGGCTTTCTTTTCTTTTCTCGCTCTGATGACAGCCAAAAGAGTACATGTTGTGCTAATATGGAGTTGCACTGTATAGTACGGCAGGCTACAGCAACGCCTCGCAGAAAGAAGAGAAAATGTTCATGCCCGACCGAGACTTGTCAAGGCCCGATGGAACCTTCGGAGCACAAGCCGATCAGGCTGACAGCTCCAGAGAGTCAAGAGGCGAGATTGACCATTCAGGAAGGTAGGGCGCAGGCGATCATGAGATTTTTTTTGGGCACAATAGTACGTATGCAGAAGGACAACATGTGGAGTTCTTGTTTCGGAAAAGACAGCTACGACTACGGAGTAAGCTGATACGGTCAGACATAATACTTGCTTGAACTCACGAAATGTAATATAAATGTTTGTTACGAAATATAGTCCCTGTAATTGCAGCAACAAGCATCTGCCAAAAGCTCTATAGAGAAGAAAAACGCAAGTAATTGTACTGCCCAGGTCATGCGCCTTGTATTATCGGGCCTGACAGCGGGCTGGGCGGGAGAGAGACCAATGGTTACGATGAATGAGCCTATCAATTTTGGCCATATCTTCACCTAAACGTGGGGGCACCTTTCCCAACGGCAGTGTCAACACCACAAAGCTTTTTTTTCTTTTGCCGCCTGGCGCCCTGTGTCCACTTACAGAGTAGCATAATTACTTGGTCTCGTATGAAGGTACTGTTGTGCCAAGGCTGTTAATAGATGATTATGTCAGCGTCCAATTGTAGGAGGGAAAAAGTCTAAAAGTTGCCCAAAATAGGAGGGGCAAACGATTATGAGGACTTGGCAAGATCACGGCACTTGCGTCGGATTGGGTAACCGTAGAAAGTACCTCTTCGCCTCTCTCTTACCAGTTTTCCCCTCTTCATTGTGTGAAGAGTGACATGCTGGTACTTGTACTCCGCTCCGCCCTTTCCTGTCTCCTCTCCCACACACACACCATTCTCTCAGTCTCTTCTGGGTCAGTCCATCCGCCCTCACTACCGCTGCTCTACTACTCACTACTGCTACTCTCTCATCCAACGCCCTTTCCCATCTGTCCACACACCAACTCTCCCAAATCTCCACCACCCCTACTCTTGGTGTCGGTATCGAGATCCAGATCCTGCCCTTGCAAGCTCATCTTTTAGGGTCTGCGGCAGCCTCAACCGATCAACCTTTGGTTCGACTTTAATCTCGACGTCGTTCCAAAGTCACCCTCTGGTCACTCCCGAGGACTAAGTCTCGTACGTCTCCTCTGGCTAGAATCGCCAGTTGCAACTTCCTCGGTCGTTGCCCACTTGTGTGAGGTTTGACAAGGTGCGTGACCAGACTCTGTGATTTTCAGCTCACATGTTCGTCCATTCTTTCCCCCCTCGTCGACGACTATCTGCTTCTTGAAATTCGGTTTCGTCTTTCATAGCCCGAAAAGTGCCTCTGGGCTGTCGAAGCAGACGAACCCTTTCGGACACGGGCTTCTCCGTTCGAGCTTCATCTGACATTTTCTACTCTTGAGGATTAGACCCGAAATTACCTCCGCCTGAGCCAGTGGATCTCCTGCTGCCGCTCATTCACCGTAACGCATTCACTACGGGTAACCTCCATCAAAAACCTCTCTACTCTCCTATAAAGGACACGGTCTTGCATACCCATCAGCCTTTCGCTCATCTCGCTCATTCGGCAATATGGCAACCATGGTAAGCACACAACAGACTTCATTTATCACTATAGCATTCCCGATATTTACAAAAACTCGAAAACATCGTTTCGGGTCTGGCTTTACTGGGCTATGGTAGGCGTTCAAATTAGCCGTTGTTTTCTACCAAGAATCAAAACTGGCCAGAAGCATCGCTTAATTTGTTGTCTATTGACCCCCTAAAACTTCCAACACATTGCTTTATAGACAACTTTTTTCTTGAATGTCGATGTTGACCTACTGTCTCTAGGATTTGAGAGTTGGGAACAAGTATCGTATCGGCCGCAAGATTGGCAGTGGAAGTTTCGGTGATATTTACCTGGGTAAGGACTTCCGAGGGCAGCTTCGTGCTAGAGGTTGTTGCTAACTCTGACCTTAGGCACCAATATCATCTCTGGCGAGGAGATTGCCATTAAACTTGAGAGTGTCAAGGCCAAGCACCCTCAACTCGAGTACGAGGCTAGAGTCTACAAGTCCCTTGCCGGAGGCGTTGGAATCCCCTTTGTTCGTTGGTTCGGCACAGAATGTGATTACAATGCCATGGTTTTGGACCTGCTCGGTCCCAGCTTGGAGGATCTCTTCAACTTCTGCAACCGCAAATTTTCCCTCAAGACTGTTCTCCTTCTTGCCGATCAACTCATTTCACGTATCGAGTACATCCACGCCAAGTCATTCATCCATCGCGACATTAAGCCGGACAATTTCCTTATGGGTATTGGCAAGCGCGGCAACCAGGTCAATGTCATTGACTTTGGTCTGGCGAAGAAGTACCGTGACCCGAAGACCCACTTTCACATCCCTTACCGTGAGAATAAGAACTTGACCGGTACCGCACGATACGCCAGTATCAACACTCACTTGGGAGTCGGTAAGTAGAAATAATTTTGCCTTTGCTATGTCCCAGCTATTGCAATTGCTAATTGGTCTTCAGAACAATCACGTCGTGATGATATGGAATCCCTTGGATACGTCATGCTTTACTTCTGCCGTGGATCTCTCCCCTGGCAAGGTCTCAAGGCTGCCACCAAGAAGCAAAAGTACGACCGCATCATGGAGAAGAAGATGACTACCCCCACTGATCTGCTCTGCCGTGGCTTCCCGAATGAATTTGCCATCTACCTCAACTACACTCGGTCGCTCCGTTTCGATGACAAGCCCGACTACTCTTACTTGCGCAAGATCTTCCGCGACTTGTTTGTTCGTGAGGGCTTCCAATATGACTATGTCTTTGACTGGACCGTTTATAAGTACACTGCTCAAAAGACCAATGCAGCCGCAGCCGCTGCAGCCGCCGAGGAGCAAAAGGCTCAACAGGACGCCGCCGGCGGCAACGCCGTTGCTCCGGCCAAGAATATTCGTACTCGGACCGCCAAGCAGCCAATTCAACCCCAGTCGCCGGCGAATGACCCCAGGATGTGAGTTTAACATGATAGCATCGTTCCTTGTAAGGAACTCCTCTCTCTGCGTTTGGTGTTTTGATGACGCTTGGCGTGGAGGTTTTGACTGCAAAGTACTGACTTTTTTGATTGAGTAGGACTCGCTCGGCTGCGGCCAAGAACGGTCTCTAAATGAACAATGAAATGCTGAGATGCTTGTTCTCAGTGATACATATAGTATGATTGAAGTTGCCGTTAGAGGTGTTTTGATATTGCTTTCGATCGAGCAGTATGCCCTCATGGTTTCAGTCTGCTCCAAGTTTCGTGGGTTTCGATGGTTTTATTTTCCATTAACGCCTGGCATCCGTCTCTGTTTTCTCGTCACTTTGCCGCTAGACTGGCGCGTTTCTGGATTCTCGGGTAATCTTTGAACGTCTGAGCTCGAGCTATCATTCCCATGAACCGCACTCAAATTCTTGACTCGCCTCTTTGTTCCAATCCCATTGTTCATTGTCCATCCGCGTCTTCAAACTATATTCGCGTGGTCAGGTTTTACAATGATGGAACATCCGGCTTGTCTGGTATTTGCGTTTTCTCTTTTTCCCCCTCAATTTATTTCCCTTCTTCCTTTTTCCGAACGGGTCATAATGGCGGAACCCCCGCCACGATCAAAGTTTCCATCGTTCTCCTTGGACTCTGCAGCAGTGTCACAAGGACACAGCTCCCACCTTTAACAGCGTCGGAATCTGCGAGGTGCGGCCTAGTAGTCAATCATTTTACGCACCTTTTGGGAACTGGGCAAACTGAGTTGTGTGCTTTTTTCCTTTCTTCTGCCTTTACTGTTTTGTTCATTTGTTTCTTTCCTCCGTAACCTCTCACAATCTCGTTTTCTTTTTTTTTTATTTCATTATTTTCGTTATTTGCTTGTCCAAGCCAGTCTTAGCCAAGCCGCCAGGTTCACCGTGGAGACGAGGATGACTTGATCTAATTGGTAGTGGAGTGGTCGAACACGGTGGATTATGGCGACGAGGCGAGATCTAGAACAAGACGCAATACGGTATTGATGGTGGAAATTATGAAGCGGGTCGCGTCCGGGGTGGCTTATTGAATTCCTCGAGGGGGTGGGGAAGTGAGGAGATATTTATTGCTTCTCTTTTCTGCATGTGCTTGCTTCCTCTTAATCGAAATATATCTCACCGAAAATCACAATCCATGAATATGTGATGTGACGTTTGTGTGGACTTAAAAGTATCTGGGTATTTACGTATTCTTTTTTTAGGACAGTCTCACAGTCGACATTACCCGGGCCGTTGACATGCAGTGGATCTTAACGATCTCAGATATTTCATTGTTGAGGCTGGGTTGAACGGACTCTGCTCGGCGAGGGCTTTACGAGGCTAATTTTGCCTTGGGCTTATTCCTTTTTCAACGACACTCGTTCACATCCACAATGAATTGGAAGATATAAGTCATGGAGATGACCTGCGCGAGAATTTCTATCGGGCTTCTTTGACTAGTACGTCTAATTCCTGGCCGCATGGTGTCCTTTTCACTGAAACGCTTTCAAGACATGTCCTTCTCCTTGGGCTAGCACTTCGTAGCCTATACCTGCGACCAGTTCAAACTCAAATAAAGAGCTATCGACGTTATTGTGAAACCAGTCCCAACGCCTCTCTTCTCGTGGGGGCGTCTGCTTTGAAGAACGGCTTCTCAGCGAGCGAAGTTACTCGAGTGCCATGTCGGGGCTCGGAGTTCTAGTGCTGTCAACGCTTTTGTGCAGTGCAGACGACTTTCAGTCCCTATCTTACCTCGTAATCCCAGCTTGCGTTATGTATAGTGATTCTGCTAACTGTCAACACCTGATCGGCTTCAACGAACCGCTAAAATTCCTTACCTGTTGTCCCAAAGGGCGGACGTTCTTGGTGTCCACTTGAATCGAACCTGAATGTCGACATTCCGCTCATACACATCATACAGATAGCCCAATATCAAGTCACTTTCCGCCTTATCCAAACCAACAATAGAAACGGTCATTGCGCGATTGACCCATAAAGCTTTCCATCCTGTCGCCGGATGTACCCGTACGAGGGGATGGACACGCTCAACATATTTGGGTCCAGCAGTTGGATCATTACGATCGAGGTATGGATGGGCACTGCGATAGATAGCTTGCTTGCCATCAATCAACTTACGGAATTCAGGGCTGAGCTTTTCATATGCAGAATAGCCCGACGCCCAGAGGGTGTCACCGCCGACTTCAGGAACAGTATCGTTGTGAAGATGAGTGACGCCAGCAGGTTGCTTTTCGTGGACAAGATCTCTAGAGAAGCTGTGAGCTTAGGCCTTTGCTTGACTGATAACGGCGCAGCATACGTATGCCAACGAGACGCGCCCCCTGGACGTCTGAAGTTTGCTTCATTCTCGGTGGCTTGAAGCTCAGGCCATATCACAGTCACTCCTTCCACGCCTGGGACTTGCGGCACTTGCGGCTGGAGAAGGCATGAGTTAGACGATTGTGTCATGGAAAAACTTATCATAACTTGCATATTGGGTTGCGGCTTACATGCACTTCTATTTCGCCAAACCACTGTCCAAGTTCCTTTTGTTGTTGTGGGGTAATGTCCTGATCACGGAAGAAGACGACGGATCTTTCTGCAATCAGAAGCCCAAGCTCATCTTTTTGCTGAGCTGTAAGATCCTTCAGCTGCAGGCCGACTATTTCGGTACCAATATGTTTAGTCAAATGAATGACCTTTTCGGCTGCTCCAAGTAGAGCTTTCTTCTCTGGATCAGCTCGCGAACCAGGGTCGACATGTTCTCGATCCTCGTTTCGGATCGCAATAACGTCGTCGAGGTAAAGAGGCTTTGCTGGACGGTACGGATAACCGTTTGACAAATCAATGCCTGCTTTCTCGAGTCGCGCTCTTGCGGTTGCAGGTAGGGCTAGGGTATCCTTTCGCGGTTGAACATAGTCCAAAATAGCGGGCACAATGGGGGCTGGCGCCATGATGCAAGAGATGCTTCAGGAATCTGGTTTACTTGCTCAGAATTGTTTGTGAAATCTGCCAATCGCTATTTCTTTTTACATTGCCCTGGAGTTTTATCCTCGTGGTTATTTTGTGTTTCTTGGATTACGAAGCGATCGTTATCTACATTGAATTGCGCGATCTCGTCAATGCATCACGCACTCCTGTTCCATGCATGTCACAGACCCATCGTTATACGCTGAGTTTCAGAGCCCATAATTACATAGTTGACTCGCAATTATAGTTTTGTTGCAAAGCACGCATGATTTACCGTTTGCTTTATCTGAAATCGTCGCGCTACCTGGGATACTTACAGGGATTCCCCGCTTCCTTGGCGTTGACACCATCGAGCAATATCTCCATTGGCCTGCGACAAGCTCACGCAAATCTACCTTTACAACTCAAGCACGAGTGAATGATTCGCGCTGAATAAGTTGAACAACCGTTATCATGCTATCTCAGGACCGAAGAAAAGAATGTTATCTTTGGGAGCGACGTGCCCCTGTAATAGCGCAACATGGATTGCCAAATTCGTGATATCAAAAGTTTTGGATGGATTCTGGGCACTTGCTGGACCGGAAATTCGAATCCGCTATCCGTGGGCAGGGATGGATATCACACTGCCAGAAAAAGTAGTTTAATATAGGATTTGAATTCTGTCACATCCTCGTGGTAAACAAATTGTGACAGACGGAGAAGAGTTTTTGCTGTGAATATGGCCCATGGCACGCTTGACTCGTCAAAAGACCGTACTTCTGTCTTAGAAGCAGAGGAAAATAGTCGTGATGTCTCGGAGATAGGAGAAGTCAAGAGTCCAGGCAAACCTCCCTGGTGGTCGTACATCTGGGTAAGTCCTGGAACTTCGGTTATAACTGACTATTACTTACATTGGAATATTTCAGGACTATGATCCGGAGCAGACAAAGGAAGAAAAGAAATTCCTTCGAAAACTTGACACATTTTTATTGACATTACTGTCACTTGGGTATTTTATCAAGTACGTGAGAATACCCGCGTCATTGTTGTCCTTCGCGTTTGGAATAAATAACTAACTTTAATCGTAGGAATCTTGTAAGCATGATGTGTTCAAATTGTCGAATACCATTCTTACCATTCCAAGGACCAAACAAATATCGCAAATGCCTTTGTCAGTGGGATGAAGGAAGACCTGGCCATGAATGGCGATCAACTAAACCTGGTAGATGTAAGGGGACTTCTAGTATGCACAAAGGAGATACAATTCTTACAACACATTGGTATAGACTGCCTGGACAGCCGGCTATGTTGTTGGTCAAATACCATCACAGATTATAATAACAAAGGGTGAGAATAATCGAGTAATCATCCGGCAAAATGCTCAGACTGTTGATCTTTCCTAGTCCGACCATCCATTTGGATTCCATCCTGCGAGCTCATTTGGACAATTTTGACGTTTTGCTTGGCTGCCGCAAAAACGTCTGACCATGTCATTGCCATTAGGTTCTTTGTGGGGTTGTTGGAGTCGGTGAGCAATGTTTAGAGTTGATATCAAAGAAAAGGCTCAATGCTAAACCCCGCAGGTCTTTTACCCTGCCGGACACACCATTCTGGGAGCTTGGTATAAACCCTCGGAATTGGGTAAGAGGGCGGGTATATTTCATGCATCCTCGGCTGCTGCTGCTATGTTTTCTGGATACCTACAGGCCGCAGTCTATAAAGGACTGAACCACGTAGGAGGTCTGGCGGGCTGGAAATGGCTGTTTGTAAGTAGTCTAATAAGACGGAGATGCTGGTGTTTCCGTCTCTCTGACTGCCAACACAGATCATGGATGGGGTGATTAGTGCTCCGATTGCCATCGCAGGATTTTTCTTGCTTCCCGGTGTGTATAGTATGAGAGATGACTCCAGACGGCACCAGCACTGACGTGTTCCAGATACTCCTGATAACACTCGTGTCTTTTATTTAACAGAGAAGGTAAGCCAATTCATGATAAAATGTTTCTCTTCTTCTGTTTGTCACTGACAAATCGTAGGATCGCACTCTAGCACGAGATCGAATGGCAGCAATTGGTAGAGCACCGCGGACACGACTTGGCCTGTCAGCGTTCAAACGTGTTTTCGGTATGCATTTTACCTTTTCTCAACCATTTATACCATCTATCCTAATAATAACGTCCTCCATAGGCCGCTGGCACTTGTACCTCTTTACTCTGCTATATATTATCTTTATTAACGCCTCGCCGTCATCGAGCGTCAATCCATTTTCGCTGTGGATGAAGTCGGAACATTTCTCCGTCTACAAGATCGTAAGTGATATCCTGCACTGATACCGAATTGTTCAGCCCTGTCCCGGATGCTGACCATGTTTCGTCATCAAGAATACCGTTCCTACCGCACAGTCCGCCATACAACTCGTTACGACTATTGTCCTAGCTATTCTCAGCGACCTCTTTCGAAAACGAGCCCCATTCATGGCCGTCTCTACTGTACGCCCTCTTTCCCCGGCTGCCAACTACTTCATTTTATTTTCCCCATTTCCATGGCGAAACACTAACACGCTTTTAGTTCTTTGGCTTCCTATCCTCCATCCTACTAGCCGTTTGGGCTATCCCCGTCGGTCTTAAATGGTTCGCCTTTCTCATTCTCCGCGGAGCCGTCCCTTATGGTCCGTTATCCATGGCCTGGGTCAATGAAATATGCGGCGGAGACGCCGAGGAACGTGCGATTGTACTAGGCATCATGAATGCCGCAGGTTATGCATTCAACACGTTCGTTCCTCTCCTTACGTATCCCCAGAGTCACGCTCCCCGCTTCAAGCGCGGATTCATATATTCCACGGTAGCGTACGGCTTTGCACAGCCTGCTATCACGCTAGCCATTGCCATAATGTATCATTGGTGGGACATTCCGAGGAAGGAAAAGGCAAAGAAGAAAGAAGATGAAGAGGGCGGTGTCATTCCCAATAACGGTGCTACGGCCAGCGGTGAGGAGACAGAAGATGCACGAGAGGGAATCATATCCCGGACAAAATAGACTTGGGTTTGCAAATTTTGCATACAATTTGTTCAGCTTCGACACGATTAGATGCTTCATGTTCACATTCTAGATTATATATCTTACGGACGCCCATATCCTTGACCATACACACAATACATAAACATATACTTGCTCAAACACGTTTCTTATAACCCTAGATATGCCGCCAACTGTAAATGGAACGTCTCAAGAAAAACAGTAGCTGTATAGATGCTCTGATCTCAGCATCGTGGCCCTACTGGCGAGTTGGATTGACTCTGAATCTTGTAGATGGCCAAAAGTGGAGGCTTTGCAGAGAGATATCATCTAATGGATGCATTACACATACGCATAGATTCCGACCATCTCAAAGAATAGGCAGATGAACCTACAGAGACTATCGCTCTGTCGAAAGTGATTGGGGCCGGATGGGTTTAAAACACCCACATTGTTGCCTGGGGTGTTTAACCATTGAGAGAGCTCATTATGGTAGATGCGTTCTATTTTTTAAATCCTGGTCTTGAAAGTTTCAAACCAGCAAATCCCGCTCTCCGGGATCATATGTTGGGAGTCATTGGTCACTTCATATTCTACACCGCCTTCCGCAGTGCGGATGTGCATGCATACCAAGGAGCCGCCCTGCGTTCCCGCGCGGGTATTTTACAGAGGCGTTGGTTATTTTTTGGGAGCGCAGGTTTCTGCGTGCCCTCCGCCGGCATAGCCGGGAAAAACAAAGATTTTCATCACAACCCGGGTCGAACTCCAGTTGTACGATCATTTGCAGAGGTTCCGAGCTGAGGATCATGATGAGGGTCAACTCGAGCTCACGATGGGGTACCAGCGCCAAACCATCTCAAAAGCGTTATGGTGTCGTGATCCTTTTTTCAGCTGCGTGTTCAAACCCACCCGGCTTCTTCTTTTGACCAATTCTGTGCCTCGTACGACGAGATCTCTCCTCGAGGGTCTGAGCTTCGGCAGTGGCATCGCTGTTCTTGTAGACCAAGGAACGCGGTGATGATCGACAACCTTCTCGACTCCAACTGCTTCGCTAGATCTGGTTCAGCTTGCCGGAGTTGGGGAGAGCAGAATCTGGTGAAAACATCCGGATGTGCAGTATATGCACGCTGGATGGCCAGTTCCTCTTGCAGCCTTTTTGCCTTTCTGGTTTCGAATGGTCAACTGGATTTTCCATGTAAACGGCTTCTGTGAAACAGCTTTCTCCTGTAAAATTAGGGATGGTGATATGCATTTGTCGATTTCTTTGCGACTTTTCGAGATAGAGATTATTTGAAGAACGGCAGGGACTTCATGAGAAGCAGGAAAGTGCAAAAATTATATGACCGCATGGGAGAACCAACTCTGCTGCTGGGACTCCTTTGTATCTTTTGAGCATTTGCTTTGGTTTGTTCTCTGCTTATCCAAGCCCACTTTGCTAGACTGCGCTGCTTCTCATGCTCTTCATCTTCCTCGACAAGCCTTCCGTCGGGGCCAGCAGCTTTCTTTTCTTTATCATGTTTGTATTCCTGAACTTCAACAATAAATTCGATAATTCGTTCCTTCGAGAGTACATTGAGGAAGCAGTTCCTTCACGTCGTCTCTGGGATTTGGCAAAGATTTGATAGCACCCATCTTTGCTAACTGCTTCGCTGTTGATTCAGCACTTGGGGTCCGACTTCGGAGGAGACTAAATCCTGTCTCAGATTTGTAGAGTCTTGTTAGTCTGTAATTTAATCTACTCAGCTCCCGTACAGATCTGGCTGCAATCTAAGGGCCACACAGATCCCGTAAAGCTCCTGAGCTGGCCAGATATTGGTATTTTAGTCAACCATCAAAGAAAAAGAGATTGCCTAGGCATTGTTCAAAGGCCAGTAAGAACCAGGTTCCCTTATTCTTCATCATATGTGCTTTGTCTAGGATCAAATGACTCGATTAGCTATTTGTCGAGTTATGTCATGGCCGTCTTTGACGGTTTTGTTTTTTCCGGCCAATATTTTTTGGCCTACCTTAAGAAACCCTCGTCCCTCGAATTTCTCATCGGGAGGTACGGGCGGCGAGCTAATGGCACTTAGAGGACCAGCCTCTGCAGTACCGTTTTCTGAATGCTTCCTGCTGGGACGGAAAACTGCCTGACGTGTAGCCTTCGCCTTCGGCCTTGTGGAGCAAGAGTGGCAGGTGATTGAGTCCTGAGTATCATCACTTATACACCCGGAAAGTAAACGTAATGAATAAAGTATAGTTTCAACTTCCGACTGCGAGAGGAGGCGATATTAAGATGAGAGACTTAGACCCTCGAGAACTTTGGCCAGCGTGGCGCAAAGAAGCATTTGCCGGGGAAGTAAAGTCCAATATGCTTCGTGTAAACGAGTCTATGCTCCGTAAAACCGCGTTCTTATGGCTGGGCCTAGTGCGTTTCGGTATTGTTTGACTTTGACTCATGCTGCGAATGCAGATGAAGACGACGTCTAAAGTAGAAGATGTAGATAGAGTCATAGGGTAAAGTTACATACAGTGCACAAAAACAGCTTGGTGCACTACACAATGTGCTGGATTCCCATTCTTTGGTTGCTTCCACCTGCAAGTCCCTCCTCCCATAGCACCTTGACCTGAACAGTGATGCTGCCGTTGAAATTTTTTGGTTTGGAGGTTCTGTCGTCTGGTTCTTTGGCTGTCTTTGCGCCTTTTTGGCTCTTTTCGCCCATTCTCGGACCTTTTTGATAGTCATTTTATCAATTGAAGTGATGTTTGTAAGTGATTCTTGTAAATTCGGAGTTTACAAGTATAGTCATCGAGTTCGAAATTTCCAGAAAATTCAGATTTTGATCTAGGCGGTTGTGACGCTTTATTTTCACTGGTCTATTGACGAGCTTTTTGAAGACTCAGCGCTATGCCAAGAGCAGGATTGGGTCGTTTGCCTCAAGGACCCGAAAAGCAGCAGGCAGACGAAAGCGCGAGGTTTGATAAAAGGCCGAGAGATGCGCTTGAGAGGAAAGATAACTCCAAACGGTGCCAATCTAGGCGAACGTATCCCCAAGAATTATCGTCCCATGCTGGTTATATGCTGTAGTTGAATGTCCTCCACGCCCTTCGACCATTTGTAAGACGGTTTCAAGTCCTACAATGTAGGATCGATAAGCTTTCGAACGGCCTTGCTGCTGTCTGTTTGTAATTTTCCTTTACTTCTGAGAAAAGCAGCTTGCTAAGCAGACACCACGGAAAGATGTTTCGGTGCTTCGTAGGACACTAATCATCGCCGAGTGATTCCTTCCTTTCTTACAGCCGTGTTCGGAGAGCTGCAGGGAGTACCCTTGTAGAGTGAGCAGTTTGCTAGCATGAGACAGTGTCTCTTCCACAATCTCAATCTCTTCCACAGTATAATTTGATGTTTGCTGAGTGGTGGGTGCTGTACTTGCCAGGATGACACTCTCATGGACTACAGCTCCTTCAATCGGTTATTCTTTCCATTTCAAGCCATTCCACGTCAACCCTTGTTCTATATTGTCAAGTAGGAACCCAGCCCTTTGGCTATATTTTGCTCTATCGTCGCGTTTCGAGAACTTGGAGATTGGCGTCACGTCTAGCGAGGAAAGTCATTGCCAGGCGCCTCTGGTCTGTCCGGCATTGCCTCGCTGGCAGAATTTCTGATCTGTGCAAGATTGGCATTTGACAAAGGTAAATTTGGAAGGAAACTTACTGCAAGCATGTAACAAACTACCAGCCAGGTCTTTCCTAGCCCGACAATATCTCCAATGCAGCAGCCCCTGAGTCCGCTGCGTTGAAAATCCAGAATGGCCTTGACCCCTACGGGCTGCCAGAACTTGAAAATCTGATGATATCTCATCCAGCTCTCGGAAAGAGGAAGCTAGTCGCGCCTAAAGTCTTGGTCGGACCCCGGATCATATTGCAATTATACTGCCATTTTTCTTCGTCTATCAGCTACACTGCTTCTTCTGAAATGGTTATATGCTGCAACTGATGTGCTGGACCAGAAACATTGAGCTCGCGATGTCGCTGTGCTGTAGACGTGTGATCAAGGAGGCGTTCAGTTGCCACGCGAGGTTATTTTTCTGGGCGTTGGAGATGATTGTGTGCTTCAGCGGCGGTGTGGCCACTACAGAGAACCCTTTAATAAGTCGTCGGTAAAAGTTTGCATATCCTAGGAACCCGTGAACATCGCGTACGTTCTTAGGAGTCTCCCATTTCTTAACTGCTTCCACCTTAGCGGGGTCCATCTTCACTGTTCCCTGGCCTACAATTAGGCATAGGTAGGTAACCTCTGTAGCATTGAATTCACACTTCTTAATGTCCACCCGGAGGCCGGCAGCCTGCAAGGCAACTAGGACTTTCTGGACGTGTCCCCGGTGTGTCTCTAGGTCATTGCTGTAAATCAGGATGTCATCTTGCTTGCTTGAGATTCTTCAATAGCCAGGCTTCAGAGGCCCTAGGCTGCTGATGAAAGCGTGAGTTGTCCACTGATCAATATACTTGTATTTGAGCCTCGTATGGCATCAGGATACAAATGTTGGAGAAAGAAATCCAACGTTCAACAATAAGAATCTGCGGTGTTGAAGTTTAATGAACTAAAAATCATCCGGGTGGTAGGTCCCCGTCAACTAGAAATTTATACAAACACGTTATTGCATGTAGAAAGGTTACCTAGGGAGGGAGACCAGAAAGCTCGAACAACCTATGGGGAGGGCGACAACTCTTTTATAGAGAAGTATGACGCGGAGTTTGCTGGTGAAGGAAGAGGCAGTGAAGAGGAGATTTAGCAACTGCAATGGACAAGGACAGGGACAGGGACAGGGAATAGGCAGATTGACTCGCAACGGGAGTGAAGCGTGGAATCACTGACTCAAAGTAATTGAAAGGGTCAAACACACAAAATATTATGAATTCTTTCCTCAACATTCGGGTCAATTTTTGCTGTGAATGAGTAACAAGAATTGAAAAAATGGCTGTTGCCTACCGCTGGGAGAACCTGCTCCTAGACGCCATTGACCAAGGGCTGCTGTCTGCCTCGATCCTCCGACACTGTGTCTTCCAAGGACCAGTCCTTGACACCGCCCTTCCAATCTGCGATGCTTCCGTCCTGCGGCTGAACAACCACGACTCTCACCTCCTCCCCTTCAATGGTCCAGTCTCGGCCGCTGCCTTGGCTGCCCGGTGCACCCTGTAAGCCGACACCACCCTGCGCTTGGTCCTCAAAGCTATTGTTCTCGACATGAAGGGCCTTGTACCACGCCTCCTCATCGCTTCCTTGTGACACTAACCTCGCGACGCCATTGATGGTTGCGCTAATCCTGGACAATGAGCTCGAGTTGAGGTCGAGAAGCATGCTCGCCAGACTAGATCTCGGAGCGGGACGAGGAGGAGAACCCTCAACACCGGCATCTGAAGGACGAGTGGGCGGGCGATGCGAAACCCAGTCATGCACGAGCAGACTGACGTGGGGATTCTTGGCCATGTGCTGGGTCTTTTTGGATGAAGGGCTGGTGGTCATAATCACGACGGGATTGGGAGTGAAGGGTGTCGAGGGAAGGTAGGTGTAGTTCATGAGTGAGACATGAGGAAATAATTCGTCGCACGTTCCTAGATGAAGCTATCAAGGGTTTTGATCAGTACGTTGGTAAGGGCGGATGTATAGATAATATCACTCACGAATCGGGCATTTTTTAGACAAGCGACAACCTCTGAAGGGAGGCTGAAGGCGGGAGGTAAATTCGTCACCGTCGTGGACGACAGTGGTTGGGTGGGAGTAGCCATGACAGTTTATTTCGGGTGTTCAAATGTGATTGACAGGAGTGACTTCCTGATAGAAAGCGGCTCAAGTCACAGTAGGGTATAGTATGATGTTGCGGATGATGATGTTAAACTACAGTGGTTTAGCTGCCCTTGGTGTATCCGAAGCCGGCGGCAGCGGCGCTATCGGGCATTTTCTGTCTAACGTGGTACAAGGGCCCGACCGCTCACGGCAAAAGATGGAACTTAAAGATCTTATTGCACGGCGAGCTTCACATACGATGAGTTTACCCTCTGAAATATGCCAAGTCAATGAGTGAAAGAAAACAAAGAGAAGCATATCATATGGTAACAATTGTTTCACAAGGAGCAGATCATTTGTCAGAGCAATTGATCAACGAAACCAAAACAAGTTGATCAGCAGGAAAAGACGACCAGGGGACCCCGCAAATCTAAACTGGCTAAAGTACCTGTGATGTCACGCAGATTTACCTGTTGGATCCAAGTCACCCCCGCGTTTGGGGGTAGACTTGTCTAAGATACCTTTGTGCCTTAGGCAGATTGGCTGGTAGATTCCCCCGTGTTCAGCAAATCCAGACCAATTATCAGTTAACTATCAGTTAGTTTAGTCCTATAGTCCACCAAATTATATTAAAAGTGAATGGTCGTGTGTCTCTTTTCCTCACGTCACGTTCCGCCCATTCCACCTCCATTGACAATTCTTGACCCTCCGCCCTTTTCTGCACCTCTTGCAGATACCACCGACTGCGTGGAGTGTTCGTATCGATTGATTCTTCTTCCTGTCGCCTTCTCCTGCGACAGGCCATTGTATCTAATCTCTTTGCGTTTCCTCGCTTTCTCCATCAACCTTTCTTAACCCGTTCGCTGTCTCGGGCTCACGGCCCCGTCAACAATTCCTCCACTTACCTGTACCTGAGTGTGTTACCCCACAGATCGGTATCTCTCCGATTCGCTCTGTTGCCCTCCAGTTATCCTTCAGCTCCAGCCTGTCTCAACGCCTGCTGCTACTCACCTCTCCAAAAACTTCAACTACTCCAACCATGCTGTCGCGACGTCTAGTCTCGAGCTCTCGCTCTTTGGGTTCTTCAAACTTTGCTCTTCGCTCGTTCAGCACCGCCATACCGAACCAACAACCTAAAAGAGCGCCAGCTTTGGCAGACATTACCCCAGATGACGCCCCAAAATTCGAGTCGCGACAGGCCATCTTTCGGGAGATGCTCGCAGCAGCAAAGAAGAAGAAGCAGGAAGAAGCAAGTATGTAATCAATACACAGCTCGAGCCACGCAGATACACTCGCAAACCAAGAATTATAGACTGATGATTGGCAGAAGCAACACAGGTCGTTGGCCCGGGGCCAGTAGAAGCTGCGAAGCGGAAAGGAGGAGCCTTTTCATCCCTCATCTACGGTACCAAGGAAGGACAACAGCTGGATAAGGAGATTGAAACATCATTTTCGCAGGCATTGGCGAGAGGAAAATACGTTCATTCAATCGTCTTTCATGATGTGAAACCGGACAAAGTCGATGAATATGTTGAATTGGTGGGCGGCTGGTATCCTCGCATGGCGTCCATGCCGGAAAACAGAGTCAACCTCGTTGGCTCATGGCGAACAGAGGTGGGCGACTGTGACACTTTTGGTACGTCAAATTACATCAATTGCAGTACCTCCTCGTCAACCACTTGATGCAAATTGCTAACTTGACCCATAAGTTCACATTTGGGAATATCAAAAGTACCAAGGTTACCATGCCTCGCTCCACTCCATTGCCTCACACCCAGAGTTCCCTGCCTTCGACAAGAAGCTCAAGTCACTCATCACATCCAAGAAGACATCTCTGATGCAAGAATTCTCGTTCTGGCCGACCACACCGCCTCGGCAGCTTGGAGGAGTATTTGAACTACGGTCGTACACGCTCCATCCCGGGAACCTCTTGGAATGGGAGACCCACTGGAGGCGCGGTCTCAAGGCACGCCGTGAGGTCATGGAAGGAGTAGGTGCATGGTTCTGCCAAATTGGCGACCTCAATACCGTTCATCATCTGTGGCAATTTGCGGATCTGGAGGAACGAAAAGTGCGACGAGAGCAGAGCTGGGGCATTGAAGGATGGGGAGAGACTGTGCACAAGACCGTTCCCTTGATCCAGTCGATGAAGAGCCGGATTTTGATCCCTATGCCTTGGTCACCAGTGGCTTAAAGGAGAAAGCTGCAAAGTTTGTTTTGTCTTGTGGGTTTATTGCCTGCAGTTCTGATGATTTGTTCCAGCTTCGAAGCTTGCAATTTCATTGATTTGGGTTTCCAATTAGGGTACGATGGAAATTTCTCGGAAGGAAATAGGTTGCATACTGCTATTTCACAATGTTTATTTGAATGAAACCGATTATATCGGACTTTTTCTTATTATTTTTTCCCCCCTGTAGAAGAGTGAGCGATAGCTACAACAATATTATGATTGGAGCTTATAGAGCAACTGTGCGACACGGAATTTAGCGCCGGATAAGAGACCCCCAGGTCCCCCACAGCGGGAGTTGGCGAAACAAACGACGTCACAGAGCGCGCTTTTAATCCAACTTTTTAGCCAGCAAGACGCGAAACCATCGCCAAGTGGCTTATCACCACGCTTTTCGTGACATCCCCTGCCCACAACTTTTTTTTTTTTTTTTTTTAACCCATTTCTCCCTTTTTCTGTCGCCCGTATCTTGTCTCTCGCCGCTGGCGATATAGAGCAAAATGGTTTACATTCGAACGTACAAGCTTCCAAACCTCAAGGAGTACAAATACTCCGGCGTGGATCATTCCCTTGTGTCGCGCTATGTTTTGAAGCCATTCTACACCAATGTCGCGATCAAACTCTTTCCCATGTCCATGGCGTAAGTTATTCAATAGAAGAAGACGATGGGTTGGATGCCGCGAATTGCTAATTAATCATTTAGGCCCAATGCCGTGAGTTTTCTAGCTCTCCCTTCTCCCTTCTTTCCGCTAAGATAATCTAGATCACCCTGACCGGCTTCAGCTTCGTGGTCATGAATTTCTTGACCATGCTCTGGTATAATCCGACGCTCGATCAGGACTGTCCTTCATGGGTATATTATACTTGGGCTGTCGGTCTCTTTCTGTACCAGACATTCGACGCATGCGACGGCCAACAAGCGTATGTCCTTTTTCCAAGACGGAGTGCACAATGATACTGATTACGAAATAGACGGAGAACTCGTCAAAGCGGGCCATTGGGAGAATTATTCGATCATGGTATGTTATACTTGCTGTTAAGCCTCCTAAAGTTTATTTACTAACGTACGCAATAGGCGTCGATGCTTGCAATACCTTCCTTGAAGTGCTCCTCTTCGCTGCGGCCATGAACCTCGGACAAGGCTGGAAGACCGTCTTGACCCTCTTTGCCTGTATGTGTCACTTTCTTTCCCTGTGCTCAGAGGTATAGTCATTAACGAATGCGGCAGCTCTCCTCACCTTCTATATCCAAACCTGGGACGAGTACCACACGCACACCCTCACGCTTGGCCTCGTATCTGGCCCCGTCGAAGGGATCTTGACCCTCTGCATCGTCTTCGCAATCACTGGACTCAAAGGGGGCGCAAGCTTTTGGCAGCAGTCTATGCTCCAAACTGTCGGAGTTCCCAAATTTGACTTTATCCCGGACACAATCTACGACCTCCACTTTAACGAATGGTACATGGTGTATGGTGGAATCGTTCTAGTGTTTAATACCATTCAAAGGTTTGCTTCCGCTCTTCTATTTACAAAATTGTCGCTCGTGCTGACTCGAAAATCTTTCAGCGCTCTGAGCGTCATGAAGGCCCGTCGTGCCCGCAACGAGCCTGTTAAGCCTGCTTTGCTTGGCCTGGCTCCCTTCTTTATCACCTGGACCTTGACCGCGGCGTATCTCTATCTCCAGCCTGTAATCCTTAACCACCACCTCATCCCGTTCGTCTTCTTTGTCGGCCTCGTCAACGCGTACTCCGTGGGACAAATGATTGTCGCACACCTGTGCAAGGCTCGATTCCCCTACCAAAACATCATCGCGGCGCCGCTCCTCTTTGGTGTCATTGACAGCCTTGGTCCGTGGCTGTACGATCATATCGGCAGGGGCTGGCCCAGCGCATTAGGCAGCGACGTGTACCAAGTCGCATTTGTCTTTTTGTGCTTGGGTCTGAGCATTGGTGTCTATGGTAGTTTTGTGGTATGTCTTCCATTCCCTTTTTTACATCCATCTTTTCAATTGCATCTCGAATTTCCCTTTCTTTCTACTGGAAGACCAAGAAACTGACAATGATTTAAAATTCTAGATTGACGTCATCTTCGCCATCTGCGATTATCTCGACATTTGGTGCCTCACAATCAAGCACCCGTACGTGGAAAAGGACGAGGACAAGAAGAAGGCATAGAAACGGTAAATTGTCGGTTTTTGTTGTTGCGGCATTAAGAGGTATATACTATATTGTAATAGACACTATCAGAAGATCCTTCCAAGCGCAAATGAAACATAGCGTTGAAAAGAATATGATGGACCATTTTCTCACCTATGACTTTATTGAACCATATCCTTCCACTATAACGAGAACGTCAAAAGAAGATTTTTGAGTTGAATTAATGACAAGACTTGTAATTGATTTGATGAAAATGATATGATACATCTTTCATTCCAAACGCCAGACAACAAAAAAAAATTCATACCAGGGACCAGAATATATGAAGTTTCAAGGGAAACGAATAAGGGGGGACGGGACGGGAAGTTACCGGGATGGATGGATGGATGAATGGATACGTAGGCTGTAAGTGTACGAAAAAATTAGAGACGGGCAAAGAAGGAAGGAAGGAAAAGAAGGGGAAATACGGTTTATCCGATTTAAAAGAATATACCTCCTTCATGGGAATTTTGAAAAGATGTGAGAAGAGGCAAGGAGAACAGAAGTTAGTTTTCCAGGAATAGTGTTCAAGGCCAGGGAAGACATTTTGAGAGAACGCGAGAACACAAGCTGAAGAGGGAAGAAAGAGATGGTGTTCTAAGCAACAGCATTGATGAGCAGGGCTGCGACGCCTTCTTCCTCGGCGCGAACCGAAATCTTTGTCGTGACGCCCGTCTTGGCAGAGTAGGCCATCTTGACCAGCGCTGCGATTTTGCCGCCGAGAACTGACTTGCCAAAGAGCTTCAAGGTATGCGTTGAAGTGTTGATGGCAATGTCGGTTCCTTCGAGGGGCTGCAGAGCGAGCGCAGCGGTAATTTGCTCAGTAGCGTCTATTGGAATAAAGAATTAGCCTCGTTGGTTTTGACAGTAGAAAATCTTGACATCGAGTGAATATAAAAACGTACCTGAAATGCTCTTGACGTTGCTAAGCTGAAGAGTTTCCTCGGCCTCCTCGCCTTGAGCGCCGGTTTGCTCCCACACGTGGTCGAAGCTGCCGGCAAAGGCGGGAAGAACGTAGTCGCTGCCGAGAAGTTCGAGGTCCTCGACCTGGTATTCGTCGTCGTAGCCTTCCTCTTCCGGCTCGCCGGTCGTTGGATCAATCTCCTTGCTGGTGAACTTGAGAATGTTGGTGAAGCTGGTTGTGGGCAGAGAGGCGCCACCATCGACACGCTTGAAGGCGACGTAGACGGTGCCAGGCTCGTCGGTGGCGAGCTTGGGAACAGGAATGATGAATTCCTCTTCTAGACCCGCTTCTTCCTCGTCAGAGGGACTAGCCACCATAGAGACATTCTCGAGAACGGTGTCAGGCAGAGTGTTCTTGATGTCAAACTGCAACACAATGTACTCTTTGAAAATATGCTTGACAGCGCTGACAACGTATTCTGTCTCCGATTCGGTCAATTCGATAACAGAGGAAGACTTGAGGAGAGCGCCGAAAGGCCTGATTTCTGGAATGCGCGTGAGCTGCTCGGCATACTTTTGCGCAGCTGCAGAAACTGAGGCAGCCACGTCCACGCCACCCTTTGCCGCTCCCTTGGTAGGTCCGGTAGAGGGAGCCCGAAGCGTCGGCGTAGCATGAGTGAGCTTCTTGGTGCGGTCTTCGGCATCGGCCTGTTCGCGAGTGACCACAGGGATGTTTTCGACGTCGAATGGCTTGCCAAAAGTAGCCTTGTCGTCTGCAGTGACGTACATGACGAGCTGATGCTCAAAGACAGGCAAGGAAAACATTGAGTCGTTCTTGATAAAACGGTTGGCCGTCTCATCATCCTCATCCATCAGTCGGAGGTTCAGCGCAGCGCGGTCGCGGACTTCATCGTCGGTGTCATCAAGACATCTTGAGAGCAAGACACGCACGCTTCGTTTGACTTCAGGGTCTTTCTGACCGACACCAAACTTGGCCAAAGCCGTCACAGCAGCGGCCCGAACGACCGCATTCTCGAGAACAACGCGGTTGTAGATGTAGCGGATATACTTGGTCGGATGGCTGGTCTTGGGGCCCTCCAGACCCAGGAGGTGAAGGATACGGACAGCGAGCTTGGTGAACTCGCAGTCCTCGATAAATTCGCAAAGATGTGCCAAAGCTGTTTCAAGAGTCAGCATGCTATATCTCAGGGGCTAGCTGTCAAAGTTTTGTTCCTCTGCAAATACATACCATCTTCTCTGCTTTCCGGGACGAACTTGATCAAGTCAAACATGCTCTCCACGACACTGCGTTTGAACTCGTAGCCTCCCTCGTCCCGAAGCACGCCGCTCAAAAAGGCTAGCATACCAGACTGCTTGCTGGGGAACTTCAAGCACAAGGTGCGGATCGCTTCAATAATGGTGACCTTGAACTCGTCGCTAATCTCGGCCATGAAGCTAGAGATTTGCTTCATCAGTCGATCCACGCTAGACTCACTACCAGTCTTAAGGAGAGCAGTGATGGCAAAGGTGGCAATGGACCGGTTGCTGTTGGAGATGAGCGTCTCAAAGTCCTGGTTGCAGATTCGGACAGCATCCGGACGCGTCGAGGCAAAAGCGTGCAGAATACGAATAGCTGCAAATTTGGTAATGGCGCGAGGCGAAGAGAGGTTGATTTGCATAACCTGGACCGCATGCTGGACCTCTGCGTCAGAGGCGTCCGTCATCTCGCAAATAGCTTTGGCGGCTTCAAAGTTGACCATGTCGCTCTTGTGGCGCAACCAGCCGTCCAGAAGTTGCACCATCGGGTTACGCAGGCTCGGGTCCTCCGCAGCCAGCTTCGCCGCCAATCTGACAAGCATAATGGTAGCTACAGGGCTCTTGACAACACCGGGAGCGCCAAGCTGCTGCACCATCTTTACCAGCGCCATTCGGTCGTGAGATCGCATCTGGTACAAGAGACCAATTGCGTGGTACTGAGTCATATAGCTCGAGCCAACGGGAGCCAAAGAGCTACTGGAGCTTCCAAAGCCAAAGGAGAGACCGCCGGACGACTTGGACGATGAGGCTGCCTCTTGGGTCTCGCTCTGCCACCGTCGAACAACGTCACGGGCAATGGGAAGGAGGTGATATGACGAGACGAGAGCGGCCGAAGAGACAGAAGGGGTCTTGTCGACAATGGCGGTCTTGATCAGACGCTCGATTGCTTGGACAGTCGTAGCCTAATGGAAATCCGTCAGCCTGAATCCCGTACCTTGCCGTTGTTAATTTCCAAAAAAACATACGTCTATTACTCGGCATAATGACCGGATGGCGTTTGCACGGTATACTACATCGCTTCCAACAGCTGTATCCTTCATGATACTGCTCGTGACCATGATAACGTCTTCGGCGGTGTTTGCGAGCTCCTTGATGATGAGGTAGACCATCTGACGCAAGCTGGCATCTTTATTCTGGAAGAGTTTCGAAATGCCGAAAAAGAGAGAGGTAGCTTCATTCGTGGGAAACTTTTCGCCCGTAAAAAGAAGAAGAGCAATCTTTGTTAAGAGAATGCGACATCGTCGTGGTGAAATGGGCGAGGTGTTAAAGAGGCGTGCTATTCGTAACGTATGGTTAGCGCAAGCTGGCTTTGAGCTACACGAGCTCACGCATACCTTCTTGGAAGACAGAGACTCTGTCGACCTTGAGGATCGAGGAGTCAACGTCCTCATCCTTTTTGCTGAAGCTCATATTGTCGGTAGAAAGGTGCAATCTATGGTGATAGGATCGGTCTCCAAACGTGAATCTCGGCGAGCCGATGCCTTGACGCGGCTTCTGCCCCTACTGGATAAATTCCAAGGTTCTCAGGATCGATGCAATTGGACGCGGTTCCGGATGAAAATCTCCAGCACGATATTGAGAACAAGCCCCAGAGAGATTCCCAGCTGCGGCAAGGGGTCGAAGGGAATTGACGTTGATCTGGGGGTGTCTCGAGGTTCAGTTAATGGTGGTGGTGCTTAGACCGGAGGATGCCAGAATGGCAACGTCTCTCCAAGGGGTTGTGTGCACAAGCCACTGTGGCTGGTGCAATGAGCAGGAGAGCTCTAAATAGGACTCAACCACAACTGGCAATCTTCATGTAAAGCTTATAGAGATTAATTAGCTTAACATTAATGAGTAAAGAACATGCTATGATTGTAAATTTACATTTTTACACAGTTCAGCGCTGGATCAAAACCGACAATTACCCACTTGAGCAAATGCACCAGCCACATACACATCAGTGGCTTGCTCACCGCCATGCAACAAACAGAGCAAACATGTGGCGGTCCCCAGATCCGCTGCCTACGAATGTTCCAATATCCACATAATCTCTAACAACATTGAGCTTCAGACATCTTTCCCTCTCAATTACAGCTCTTTCTTTCTATAGAAGTTACCCAAGATGGACATGCCAGTGAATGTCCCGGTCGACGACCCCAACGCCGACACAGAATGGTGCGCAGCAATCCCGCAACTCCACAATACCGCATTTCCCTTACTATCCGTCCGACAACTTCCTTTCTAACACGGCCACCATGGTGCAATTAGGAACGATATTCTTCGCAAGCACGGTGTGATACCAGAAAAGCCTCCGTCTCCAACTCCTTTTATCGAAGAAGCGCTTGTTGAAGCGCGACGACTTGCACATGAGAACCGCCTCGAAGGAAAGGAACTCGATGAGCTCGACGAGCTCGAAGAGGAAGAAGACGAAGAGTTCCTCGAGAAATACCGGTGCGTACCAACACATCATATCATTACTGAAACCACCTTTTCAACCCCATCCACACGGTCCTGTATTTCGCCCAACTAACCCAGGTATAGGCAACAGCGCATGGCCGAGCTCTCCACTATCTCCGCCGCCAGCGTACACAACCAAGTATACCACCTGCAAAAGCCCGACTACTCGCGGGACGTGACCGAGGCGTCTAAGAAATCCTTTGTCTTCGTCAACTTGACTTCCTCGCTGGGTACGAACGTCGAGTCGCGCATCCTTACTGAGCTCTGGCGCGAAGCTGCCCGGAGATTCGGAGACGTCAAGTTCGCCGAAATGCGCGCCGACATGTGCATTGAGGGATACCCAGAGCGGAATACACCCACGATATTGATATACAAGGACGGAGACATCCAGCGGCAGATTGTCACGTTGAGGGAGTTGAAGGGCAAGCAAACGAAGCTGGAGGGTAAGCTCCTCCATTTCTTTTGTTTCTTCCATTTCCTTTGTTTCTCTTCCATGTGACGAAATCAACTGACTCATCTCACAAACAATAGATATCGAACAACTCCTCATCTCCGTCGGCGCCGTGAAGCAGACCGATTCCCGACTAAGCAAGAAACCCGGCGACGAAGACGACGACGGCCAAGACAAGAAATCTAGCCTTCGCAGCTCCGCTCGACCGACTAGAGCCGGGGATGAGTCTGATGACGATTGGGACTAAAGCGTATTATACCATTTTATTTGATATGCCTCAAGCGGTTTCCCTCATGTCCATTTACCCTTTTACGACTATCCTTTAGATGCATTTCCACCGCGGGTGTATTCGTTATGTATATAAGGTACGCGATTTTGTCAACTCGCAAAAAGAAAAAGCGCGGGCTTGAGTTTTACTTTGCTAGGATTGCTATCTATCTAGAGCATGGGCCTTGACGCAGCGGGCTGCGTTTTTCATTTTCCATTACTTACAATGAGGTTTCGTAGCTACTCATAGCTACGTTGGCCTGCGATCATCATTACGCGGTATATAAACAGGATCAAGCTCACGTTGGACAAAAAGTTTGGTAGTATTCCCGGAATTGAAGAGAAAGAAAAATTGCAGAAAGAATCGGAATTGCGACGTTGCGCTACTGTGCTACTTATGATATCGTGGTATATGTAAAGCATAAATGAAAAGAAATAGATTCTCAATCTCCCGAAACCCTGGTTCCGAACCCTTCCGTAGCACCTGATAACGCCCTTTCCCCAGAGTATGTTTATAGATTGCTTTGAAACCCACAAACGCCCATTTTTCCTTTACTAGCGAGGCTACGCATAGATTTCTTTTTTGCGTTGCCTTTTGCAGTATCCGCGCTTCCTATCCAGGGTTGGACTTGCCTGGCCATAGAGAGAAGCAGATACAGGATATGGAATATTTTCAGGTCGTAGACATGTCCAGCATGCCTTGCCCTGCTCAAATCAATTCATCGCTTCCGCTAGCAGCACTTGCTTCGATTGCGCGCATGACCTCGCCTTCTCCAAACACTGGCCCTTGTCCATCGCACTGAGTGATCCGCTTGAGGCGCTCGCATACATCACCAATGTCAACCAGACCCTTTTTGAAAAGAGGATGTTCGACAATGATGTCCCATGCTGCGCCCGCGGCCAAAAGACGCTCCCCTGTTCGTTCGCTGACTGTGACGCGATGAGCAGATGCTGAGCTGGCGCGGTGTCCCTCCTGCAGACTCGTCGTGAAATCGACCGGGGAAAATCTCATCGGGCCGACAGTGACGTTGGCTGAGTGATGGTTCGGATCACTTTGCGCATGGGCTCCGCCATTCGAGCTGTTGCCATTGGTAGATCGGAGTAGCTCATTTTCCATCGAGACGTGGTGCAGCTCGCGCTCGAGACGCTCCTTGTCAGCTTGCATTGTAGATAGCGCTTGCTGCATGCTTGTAAGCTTGATCTCGAGTTCTTTGACGTGTCGCTCTTTGCGCTCGCGAAAGGCTCGTTGCCTGTTTGTTTAAAACCCGAGAATTAGTGGAAAAGGCTCTATGTGTAGGTAGATGGAGCAGAGAGGTAAAACGGGAAGAAACCTACGCAGCTCGATTCTGCTCTTTTCGCCGAGACTGAGCAGGCGTGAGTTCCTTCTCTTCGCTGCTGCTCCGGCGTATTTGGTCGTCGGGGTCTGATGGCTTTGCATTTCCTAGGCTTCCGTTCAAGGCGCCTTCAGGAGCAGCATTGTGTATCGAGGATGATGAGTCGGACATGATACCGTTGCCACTCCCGTTCAAGGCCTGGTGAGCCTGTTGTTCGAACTGGGCATAATTGCTCAGTTGCGAGTAGCCTTGATCAAAGGGGTCTTGTGCCTGTTCAACGAGGAGATCCGAAGCTTTGAATTAGCTCGCTGCTCATACCAGTACCGGCAGACGAAATAGAAAGAGATAACTTCCAAAGAGCAATTATAACAAAGGAGATTGCCGGAATCGTACCTTTATAGCAGAGTCACCAAAATTATCCGAGTCCACATTGTTCGTTCCAGCTGTAGTCGTTGGGAGGCCAAGGTAAGAGTAAGCTTGGGGATCAGGATTGTAGTAAGGATGGTGCGTGTATTCCATGGCTGCAAATAGCTTCAGTAGCAGCGGTTGAACAGGCGTCCCTAGTCTCAGTCTTTCGCGGACAACTTGGTAGAATTATACGGAGTCGTTGTGGGTTGTGGCTGGATGTATCCTGTAGATAGGTATTGTCTGACAAATGCAGGGTCCAGGCGGATTGGTAAAGCTTGGAGAAGCTTTCGAACGAGCGTATTGATGAGGCCGGTCGCAAAAAGCTAGAAATTGTGATTGAAGAGCATGACGGCTGAAGAATTGCCCCAGAGAGACTCAAAAGGCACAGGTGACCTCAGGTATAGTAATTCGTGTGGATGTGAGCGGAGAGCAGTCCGCGCATGTGGGGAAACTAGAAAGTGGTCGAGATTCCTTCCGATGTTTTCGCCCCTCCCGTTGCGGGAAAAGGACCCGAGACAAGGCTGAACACTCCAACGACACCACCAACATAACGCTACAACTTTCTGCATCATATAATTTCTCACTTTCAGCGAATGAATACAACATGACAAATATCGTTCAATGCTTTGGGTCTCTCCTTTTCTTTTTCCCTGTTACACATTCCTTCTCTGTTGCATTCGTACAACCCTATTCCTCGATTTGTCTTACGTGTTTCGCACTGATGCTCCTTTGACAGTGACTGCTGAATTGCACCTATTGTTTTTGGTTTTCAATTCGTATTATATTCTGAAGCAGGGAAAGAAATAGTCACTCAGTTTCTCCTATGCGTCACATGCCTTTTATAATTCATCTTCCTTCTCTCAAGAAACCTTGTGTTCTATGCGTACTTTCTCAACAACGGATCATTTAACAACCTCTGCAACGCTTCCGCTTCCATTTGCAGCTTGACATCCACCCCATTATCTGTCCAGTGTCTCTTCTCCTTCCTGTCTTTCACTTCCGCATTCAAACCTCCTTGCACACCGTCCTCTTGGTCCAGACCATTAGGCCGTGCCTCCATCAGCTGCAAACACCCATCCACATCCGGCATCAACGGAAGAACATATCTCGGGACGTTTCTTCCATCACCAACAAAATCAACCTGGTACACATTCAAATGTGCCCATGAAGTAACAATCACATGATGTCTTCCACAGAAACCATCCCAATATCTTTGCGCGGACACTTGATGCGCTTTTTCATGCAAGAGAGCCGCCACTGAAGGGGTGGTAAACAGCGCAGTCGTGCCGCGAATACCAAGGGCTATTTTACCCAGCGGAGAAGAACGTGCTGCTTCAAGGGGAAGAGAGTAGTGGGCTAGGAAAATCGGCGAGCCCACAAAACGCTCAGATAGCTTTGGACTGACGCGCGAGCGGACTCCGAGCGTGAGATCCAGGTGGATAAGATCAACCCCAGAGGTCGTCGTCGTCGACGACGACGATGTCGTGGAAGAGGACTTGGAATCCCTTGCGCGATTGATTAAAATCCACATATGCGCTAATATCGCATCATGTCTGCTCGGCAGGCCAGCTGCAGACGACTTATCCTCTTCCGCTACTGTCGCGCAAGCTGTCTTCCATATACGAGTTATTTCCTTGCCGGTGAAATGGACGAGATAATTCCCAACAGGAGCATCTATGTTCCATTGAGACCATGGCATGGGTTTTCCCTCGCTTCGAGCATCCTCTGAGCCCGCGAATTCTTCGGGGATTTTTGTGGCTTCATCCCACCCGTCCGGACATCCCTTCTCCGAAGCCCACCAGTCGAACCGATGCACTGGCAATTCCTGGGCTGCATTCACTATCTCCGCGTCTGGACTCGGAGAATCGATATCCCCTGCAGCAGCGAGGTCCAGTAAACTTGGATCAAACACGGGCGAGAGCGCTGGTATTTGAGCATTTGCAACCATTGCAGCATTGACGGCAGCCCAGTCGTGCATAAAGTGTGACATGGCCTGCGCGTCTGCTAATGGGTGCGCAAACATGATAGCTATAGCGATGCCAGCGTCCGCAAAAGTCGTGATTTGGACTTTCATTCCTGGCGCACCTGCATCACCCCTCAGTGCCATCACTGTGGAGGGAAATAACTCTCTTGCCCGCATGCTGGATACATCCCACACTTTACATTTACCTGCCCGATCCTCTCCACTTGGAACGAGATCCTTCACTGCCATGTTGTCACAATATGCTTCGACAAATTCCACACCCGGATCCGAAGGCGATCCACAAGTGACTTGTACCCTGCCATGTCTCTGCGTGTGGTCATTTACTCCGTGGTGCTGATGAGGTCTCTGGGGCCGCGTCCATTCAAGCTGCCCGGCCCAGTGTGGGTAGGCATTTAGCGTTTCCTGCAGTGATTGCTTCAAACATGCTGCGCTCATGGCAGTATGGCCATGGTCCGATGTACACGAAGGTGGGTCATATATCCAAACGCCTGCTGTAGCTGCGAAATTCGCAACGGTTGCATCAAGGATCGACAAGGGGATCGTGTGCTGTGTAGTTTCTGTACCTTGGAGAGCCTTTGTTCTGCAATGCGTAGTAGGAAAAAGTCGTGATTGAGAATTTATATGAATGCTTAGGGAAGAATCCGTGGACATGATGAGATATATATCGCTTCGAGATTGCTCTATAGCGTGCAGAGATGGCGTTGGAGGGACAGGAACACTCGGAGAATTCGAGATACTGCAAAATGTAGGGAAAAGAGAAGAAAGTTAAGTGAACTAACACATCGATCGAAGATATATGATTCAAAAAATGGAAAGAGTCAAAGCCACCTAGAAGCAATGCCGCACGCAAGCCCCAATCATGATAGGATAGAAATTGAGTAACGCCATAGAGAATAAGTACCAGACGCATGAGATCGAATGAATTGATGATCTTGTTTGACATTTTGCCGTTTCAAGCTAGAAAAAACTTAGACAGACTTGCCATGGATGCAAACGATAGGAACAGAAATTGCCTAAATAGGAAAATTGACAACAGATGACTCACGATGACTCGCGTTCTTATCTATCTGCAGCTGATAAAGCTCCGGTCCCCTCCAGTCGGGACTAAGAACGGGCTGACATGTAACATACAACATCCAGTATGGCTTAAATGCTGGATAAAGTGGACAAGATGGTCTGCATATATACTCATTTGGATACTTCAGGTAATTTGATACGTTGCCTCGAGATGCCGTCCAAATCGTCGCTGACCGTAATACTTGACGGGTTACGTGCACATCAAAATAGTTGTATCTAAGGTATTCAAATGATCTTTATTCCACAACCACTGAAAGCGGAAATCATGTTGAAAGGAATCAATGTGAGGCTAGAACACACAGGTGATGAAAAGAGAACGTATGATTTGCACCAAAGGAGAAGAACCAAAAAAATGTGCTATGACCTCTGCGCATGTGGGTAATCGTAAGTGTACAAAAGCTTTGGCTTCTACGACGATATCGCAAAGCCATTTCCGTCCATGAGTCAAGAAGACGGAATATAAAAAAAATAAACTGGTTACGCACGAAAGCAAACGAACAAAGGGCAATAGACATATATGCCTTATCGAATTTAAAAACACATAGACAAGAAAGATAAATATCGGCCACTAAAGGGTATGAATTATAGCCACAACATACGACAGACGGAAACGAGGAGTAAATTTAACCAGACGCCAAATGACATTGTGTGCCCTTGTCTCTTAAACAAGAAGAAAAGACGAGACCATAGGAAATTTTATATCATGTTAGGTTGAGAAGCATGACCGGCGGTCGAATGATTTCCGATCTCGCGAGCCGCAATGCTTTGTTGTGCCGCTTCCTCTTCGTCCATGTCTTCGAGGTCAAGCTTCTTCCTCCAATTGGCCAGACTGTTGCTCAGCTCTCCACCTTCATGGCCGCCGGCAGGCTTGTCAAACTCTGAGGTGCTGCTGAGGCGGTAATTCTTGTTTGTAGTCTCCCAGTGTGACCGAAGGGCGTCTAATTCAGAGGCAAGGCTGTCCAGCGCGACTGAGTTTCGATTGTCCTGACCATAAGCTGATTCCTGGGACATGCTATGGTTGCTCTGTTTACTCTGATGACCGGGTCCTCCATTGGCCGGAAATTGGTGCGATTGGCGGCGATAGTTGTCCACAGAAGACTCCACCTGATCAAGTAACATGGAAACCTTTTGCTCAGCATCCATCGCCCGCGACTCCAACAGTGCATTCTCGTCTTTGAGCTGGTCAAGCTCGACCTTCATCTTTTCAGTGGTGATAGTGAGCTCATGTTCCGTATGATGAAGGTTCGCCCTGTTTTCGTCTCGTTCTTTCTTCGCAACCTCCAATTCTGCCCGAACATTGTGTAGCTGATTCTCCAGTTGAGTCACGGAAACGTGCACCTTTTCTTGCAATTGCTCAATTTCAGTCTTCAAGGACTCACGCTCCTGTTCCCACTTTCCATGGTCTAGCTCTTGAGAGTTTCCAGACTTCTGAGCTTCCTCTAAATCACTCTGTAGCTGCTCGTTTTGGGCCTTTGACTTGGACAGCTCGTCCTTCATCCTGGTCAACATGTGCTGCGTACGATTGACATAATGGACAGCCGATCGGTAGTCGTTTTCCAGTTGTTCGAGCTTTTCTTGGTACAATTTTTCCGCCTCTTGCTCCCGAGCTTCGTAGTCAGACTTTATTGTTCGTTGTGCTTCGAGACTGGTTTCCAACTGCTGTTCCAGCTCACGAAGCCGGAGCTGATCAGGAGTGCCAAATCGCGACCCGCCACTTCCAAAGCTTCGTGTGCGCGAGAGCTCGCTCCCATTTGGACTCCTTTCATTCAGCAGATCTTTCAAGGCTCCATGTTGTACCGCAAGAGCATTTGCTTCGAGCTGATGGCTTTCCAATGACTGTCGGAGGTCCGTATTCTCAACTCGCAGAGTCTGCGCATCCTTGATAGCAGTCTGCAGCTGCTTGCGAATTGATACTCCCTCTCTGCTTGCCTGTTCCTGATACGCCTCAAGACCGGCAATTCTCTCTTCGGCGCGGCGAAGTTTCTCAAAAGCAGAGTCAGCAGCAGCGTGGCTCGCTTGCGCCGCAGTAACTGCATCATCGAGTTGTTGCTGGAGGATTTTCAGACGGTCGTCATTCGCCCGGCTTTGTGTATCCGGACTGCTGCTCTCAGTGATTTTGCTGAAGCCTACCTCGATGGTCTGTCGATGAGCACGGGCCTCGGCAGCGTGAGCTTCTGCGAGCTCTTCCGTTTCGCGGAGCTTCTTCGTTAAGCTCTCTAGTTCAATTGCTTTTTGATCACAATTATGCTTGAGCTCTAAGACTTCCCTGTCCAAGTCTTTCCGAGTGTCCCTCTCTTCTTCCAATTTACGTTCCAAGAAGGAGACCTTGGCTGTAAACGTGGAAACAGTTTCTCGAAGCGAAGCTAGACTATCCGAATGAATCTTTGCAGCCTGCGTAGCCTCATCAAGTTGCGATTTCAGCTCTTCGTTATCGACCTTCAGAAGCTTCATCGTAGCTTGGGCATCGGCATTGTTTGCGGCTTCATCGCGTGCCGTCCTTTGGTAGGTGAGAAGATCCGCTTTGACGCTTTCAAGTTCCTGTGAGCTCTGCTGCTTATAAATGTCAAGTTCTGAAAGTCGTTTCTGACAAGATCCAGCCATGTCCTCGGCTATTTCACGAGCTTGTTTCTCAGTCTGCACTTCGGCCTCTCTGGCTTCCAATCTTGTGCGCAGGTCTGTCTGTGCTGCGAGCGCAGATGCAAGCCTTCGACTGATCTCATCAAATCGGTCGAAATCTCCATTTCGAGTCTCATGAGCAGAGTCGGGCTGAGGTGTCCCTGTTTGGCTCCCTCCTTGGGCTGCAAGCTTAGCTTTTGCATATACAGCTTCACTGACTGCAACGTCTCTTTGTTTCTCAATTTCGGCGACCCGCTGAGCAGCGGCGAGTGATTGTGCCTCCAAGGAGTTTTGTACTCTGACAAGCTCTGCTCTCATAGTCATAAAAGCCTCTACCAAGGGGCGATCATCATTACTCAGGAAATCAGCGCCCCGTTCCTCCAGTAAGGGCGAACTGGAACCGCTTGAAAGATAACCAGCTTTCCGGGCTAGGGCAAGCTCAGAAGCATACCAAGCAGCCTTACTCTTGAGCAACTCTAGCTCCTTTTGCACGTCTGAACGTGGCTCCTCGATTGAGGTTCTGGCTCCGACACTTTCACGTTGCTTTTCCTGGGAGTTTGTTTTGGACTGTTCTTGTGTTGTAGCAGGCGTTGACCGCCCATCGGTAATAGCGTCTGGTTGTGTTTCACCAATTCTATTACTAGCAGCCTCTCCTGCGATTTGCCGAGACCTTGAGCGAGGCGGATGAACGATTTCGGGAGATTCGTCACGTGGGTTCTGAGGAGAAGCAAGTGGCCTGGATTGCATTGCAGATGCAGAACGCTCATTGGTAATCGGGACAAATTCTCCTGGCGGGCTTTCCCGTCGAACTGGTGACCTATTCTCTTTATCAAGTGAGGCAGCTCTCACTTGATCCAACGGCTCCGGAGCCTTGTCGCTCCGTGTGGGTGTCTTGCTTCGTTGGGTTTGTATAGGCGGCAAAGCTCCGTTGACCCTGGGCGCAGGGGCTTGTTGTTGCGGCGGCGGTCCCGAGGGCGCTTGCGCTAATGAGGCGCGAGGAAGACGAGATCCTACGCCGCCACCCGGGCCACTTGCTTGATTCGGATCTGGGTCTCTCGATTGAGGTCCTTGAGGGGCAAGAACGCTCTCACGAGGAGCACCCCCGACCCTTTTAACGTCGTCTACATTGTTTCGGAGCTCTTCCTTGGACGGTTGTTGTATTCGATTTTGTGGTTGGACTGGCTTTTCACCTCCACTGGGCCTACGAGCTCCAGGAGCGCGTTCTGCCACAGGCCGCGGCTGTGGTCCTGGCTGATCATTCGGGTATCGAATCTTTCCAGTGTCCAGGATGTAAGAAAGACTTAGCTCCCCGGCGTCGCGTGGAGCAGAGCCAGGTTCTCCTCCAACGACGACGATTTGCTTACCATAAGCGGTCATGGTATGTCCAGAGCGGGGGGACGGCGACGGTCCCATATTTTGAAAGGTGTACCATCGACGTGTCGAAATTCGAAATGCAGCAAGGTCGCCAAGGTCATTGCCCTCTTCTGTTCTGCCACCAAATATATACATCACATCATTGACCAAGGCAGAAGCATGACCCTCTCGCGGCGCAGGTATGTAGCCGATGCACTCGAGGACCGACCAGTTGTTCGTTCGCGGATCAAAAGACCAGACATCGTTAAACCATTGTTCTCCATTTGTGCCCCCAAATCTAGAGATATTAGCAGACAGAAAAAGCATGCTGGTCGCGCCGGTCAAGAAAACCTACAGGTAGAGCTTGTCATTGAAAGTGACTATGGTATGATTGGTTCTCGCCGGAGGTACGGGTCCTGTGGTCTGACTTGCATCGGGGCTGTTTGGGACCAGGGTCTCCCATTTGGGAGAATTCAGAGCGCTCAGATCAAAGGCCATCAGGTCATTGAAGTAGTAATCTTCAACCTGACCGCCAAATACATATATCTTGGAACCTAGAAGATTCACGGTATGTCCATAACGTCCAGCAGGTTTAGGGCCTGGTGGAGATACCTTGGTCCATTGCCGAGTAGCTTGATAAAGGTCAGCAAATTAGGATGACAATGTAAATATGTAGCTCCTCACAGGTATTTAGCAGATAAAGCGTATCGTCTAAAACGTCCTTGTCATCCAACTTAGTATCGCCGCCAAATATAATATACGCGTTGCTGACAAGGAGACTGGCATGTCCGACTCTGGGGCCAGGGCCCTCAGATGTGGTCGCGATAGGATAGCATGCAAGATTAGAGCCGCCAGCTTCCAGCATCCACAAGTCGCCTTTAACAATTGACCCATTTATCAGCCCACCCATGATATATATGTCGCCTTCTTTGGAGGAGACTGCATTGGCTGCGGCGCCATAACGGGGGAAGGGACTCGGGTGAGTTGTTGGGAATGTGAGGCGGCGATTGGACCATGGATATAGTGAGGCATTAGGATTTTGGGTTGGGCCAGTCGGGTTTCGAGGAGCCTGCTTTGCAGTGTCAGCAACTTGAGCAGTGGTTGCAATCGGAAGCAGAAATTATTTCTCCGTATTTTTAAACATCAATTGAACATGATTCGCAGAAGGAAATGGAAAAGGAACAGGAAAATGCTCACTTGTGGCTCTGAATCTTGTCTTTCCCGGACATTCTTTTGCTCAGGACTCGGCGTTCCTCCACTCAAAGAATTATGAACGCTACTGGCAGGCGTCGGTGTCTGGTTCACCGTTCGATCCTTTTCCCCATCTTTCGATCGCGAGACTCCATTGGACGTTGGGCCATCTCTGCTTGATGGAGGGACAGGGCCAGTATGGTGCTTTTTGGATTTGAAAAGAAAGGCCATTATGGGCTGATTTTCAGGAGCACAAGTCTGCTGGGAGCTTGCACGATTGAATACCAGACCCTAAAACGCCGGTGCAGGAAACACGCCGTCGTTCGCCGTGATCGGAATAATGTTGCCGGGACGTGCCACGGGCATCCAGAGAATCAGTATGAATCCAGCGCGGATGGTCAAAGTTGCAAAAGATGAGACCGGATTGCCGTTAACATGAAGATCCAGGTTTGACGGGAGAGCAGGGGAAAAGGCAGCCGTCACTGGACGCGCGGGGAAGAGTGGAAAGAGTGTGATATGATAATGATGATGATGATGATGATAATAGAGAGAGCGAATGAGAAAGAAAGGGTGCAGCTGTCGTCACAGAGGAAATGAGTGCTTGGTTCACAAAATCATGATACGAAGCAGAAGAAAGACAAATCCCACCTGGGCCTCTAGCAGCAGTGAGACTTGTCTAGCTGGGAAAACACGATTATTCGCAGGTGCATGGACCTTTGGGGGTCAGAATATCCAGGTTGCTGCTCTTCCTCCAGAGACCCAATCGCACGGGGAAATAGGAGAAACGGAGTCCCGACTCGCGATTCGCGACAAACCCGGGGCGAGGCTTACTCTACGCCAAAATAGGTTCCAACGATAGTACATATAAATTGATCCGTAGTATTATCACACTACGACCAGAACACAATCAAGAAACAGAACAAAAAATCTGATGGTTTTGTCAATCACAAGTTTTTTGTTCTTTCTTTTAATCCTTTAACTGTACAATTCTTCCACAGACTGTCACCGGGCCATTGATTGAGAGCCCGGTGTGCCGAGAGAACCTCCTCCATGCCCCCTGTCAGACTGAGCTGAGACAGGAAAACCATTCGGCAGGTACGAGACAAGTCCAAAGGACACTAGGGATTCAGAGTGCTGCAGCCAGGGTCGCTATCGCACGGCCGGTCCTTTACCCAACTGGGAATCCCCATAAAAAAAGGGGTGCACTGAAGATGTGCGATGGCTGGGCAAATCAGCGTTCTTTTCCTTCCCAAACTTCCTCCAGCTTTCGCGAAGACTCACTACCGAGTAATCTACCTTGATTCTCATATTTTCACCAGCCACTACGAGGATTTGGGCCCATATTGTCACGATCAAAACGAGGCACAAGTGTCTTGGTTTCTGAGGAGGATTTCTGCCAAGAGAACCAGAGGAGGAGCGAGGAGGGTTCGGTTAGCGCAACCCGCCAGGACTTTGGATCCCGTCTCCCAAATTTCCCTAGAGTCTTTACCCAACTGAGCCAAGGTTCGCGTCACCATAGCTCCGCTTCGCAACGCAGATAACCATGGTCGTCTTGGTTTCCCACTGAAAGTCACGGCCAAAGTTTCATCAGGAGCACTGGAAGATAAAAAAAGAGGATTGAGATCCTCTTACAGGTGAGGTGACAATTTATTCTCTTGTGACTTGTTTGAAAAAGCTGTCGATCGATCCATGGTGACTGTCCGTGTCATTCCCCAACCAAGGTGATCGTCCTTCATTCCATACCCATCCACGCTCCTCACAATTTAACCAAGGGTGGTCCGCTCAGGGTTCAACTGCATTGCCGTTACTGTTCGCAACCCAGGATCCGGCAATTTCTCCGTCTCGAGGCCGAAGGCGCGGTTCGCTCACATAGCCAGCAACACCCTTTTGTAGGTCATCAGCGAATGTATTTTATTCAATTTGATTCATGCATGTAGAGAATATGATGCTCAAAAGGGCTTGATCTCCTAGATCCCAATGTCTGCAAGTGTCCAACAAGCATCTGATACGGACCACAATCTGTTTGCATCGAAGCGATTATAATAATCGGCAGGGTCTCGAGAAATGATAATCGCCCTTACCTACAAGGTACTTTGTACCAGAGGCTAGAGAACGTGAGGACTGGTACTTTCCCCACGCTCCAAACAAACTGAGCTGAGAGTATCGTATGCACATTTTGATACCAGTGATAATATATAAGGAGTTGGAATGATTTTATTCTGTCGTCATAATTCTGAGGAGCAACGTCTACTAAAACATAGAAGTCATTACCGTATGTGGTTCTCGAAATACTACACATTTGCTTTGGCGATAGTCGACCTTCCGACATTGTTCCTTTTACGTCGCATATTTATAGAGGTCTAGAAAGGAATAGACCAGAAGGTAGCTAATGTTCAATTCAATGGCTGTTGTGGGCTATTTGTGAAGATGAGGATGAGGGTGAAGAGGATAAGTTAACGTGGGTCGGCAAGTTCCGAGAGATTGGCGAGCTGGAGCTTATCCTGCGCTTGGTTATCCTGCCGACACCCCTCGAGGTCCCAAGTACCTCTGGTAGTTTACTCGTCGGAGTAGTGAGAACGAGGTCACAGAACGCTACCGACGTAGCGCTACCTCCCACTGCTGCGTATCACCACTTTCTCCATCATCACGAGAGCAGCCACTTGTTTATTGGTTGCTTTTGTGATATTATCAGAGGCACTCACAGGGCTTCGACAAAGTGAGTTCGTTACATAGAGGTTAGTTTCACCCTCGACCGGCGCATTTGAAATTGCGCTACACGAATCTCCCGAAGATATGCGGAGTTGTACACAATTAATATCATCTGTCTGCTTGGGCTCCCCTCCGCTTTCCTCCACACTCTCAGAGCTGATATACTAAACGACTATACAGCTTGCCTTGCGAAAGGAGAAAAATTGCCTCGAGGGCGGTCAGCTTTTGTCTTTTTGGATTGCTGGCGTCTCCAACTGTCCGAGGCCGATCTGGCGCAACCCCAATCGTTGCCGCACACAGATTCAGCTGCTGCACATTGTCAGTGCATGCATAACAGAGTACTGCTGGAGATCTGATTTGAACACCTTTCTCTTTCGAGGCAACGATGCCTAAATCACGATGAAAAATACCCCACCGGCAATGTATAATAGAGAGCCTGACAATTTCGTTCCCGGACAAATGCCTCCAAACCAAATCAATGGGATCTCGGCTCATCAAGCCGAGCCCGCTGCAAGCTCTCTCATGAATGCCTCAGCTACGCAACGGCCCGATTCGGCTTCCTCAACCTCGACAGCCGGTGAGGTGTCTGAACCTATACCACGGCATGCCGTACGTTTTCCCTCGGGTACGAATGTGACAACCCTTGCCGACACAAACGGACTTGGGAAACAATTCATAGCGGATGATGCCTCCTCCAGGGACGATTCCGATGCGGACGATGTCACCGGCAACGGTGTCAATGGCACGGAAAAGCCCAAGACTGCTTTGTTCCGCTCCAAAAGTGATTTTGGTCCCAGAGCGGATGGGGCAGGCAAAAGCGTCGCGGAACATGACGAAGGTGGTTGGACTATGCGGCATGGCTGGGAAGACCAATACTCCTCTGAAGAGTATCTGTCCTTGCTGACCTCCGTAAGTAGTACTCGTCCCTGCTGGAAGCGCATGACTCGCAGGTTGGGCTGACGACGTGCTGCCAGGCTTTTTACATGTACTACACAGATAAACGCCACGAGACCGGAGGAAATCCCAAAGATGAAGGTCAGCCATATCCACTCCAAGAGTGGCGTATGAAAGATCGTTTGAAGACGGTGTCAGCAGCACTTGCCATTTGTCTCAACATTGGCGTAGACCCGCCGGATGTGATCAAAACCAATCCGAGCGCGAAGCTAGAATGTTGGATTGATCCTCTTTCAACCAACACGGCAGCCCCGAAGACGATGGAGCAAATCGGAAAGAATTTACAAACTCAATACGAGACTCTAAGTATTCGTACTAGATATAAGCAGTATCTCGATCCCTCAGTCGAAGACACCAAAAAGTTTTGTTGCTCACTCCGGCGCAATGCCAAGGATGAAAGGGTCCTCTTTCACTACAATGGCCATGGAGTGCCCAAGCCAACGCAGTCGGGAGAAATTTGGGTCTTCAACAAGAACTACACACAATACATTCCAATTTCACTCTATGACCTACAGTCATGGCTGGGTGCGCCGAGTCTTTTCGTCTACGACTGCTCGGACGCGGGAAACATCATCTACAACTTCAACCGTTTCATCGAAAAGCACGAAGCGGAGAATGCCGAAGTAAGAGACAAGGACCCGAACGCTCAGATCATGAGCTTCAGCGACTGCATTCAGCTGGCAGCATGTGGTCGGACGGAGACGCTACCGACCAATCCTGATTTGCCCGCCGATTTGTTCACTTGCTGTTTAACAACTCCTATTGAAATCGCACTCCGTTTCTTCTATCTGCAAAACCCTTTACCTACCAGCTTGAGCGCGGAAGACGTGCAGAAGATTCCCGGTCGTCTCCAGGAGCGCAGAACACCACTGGGTGAGCTAAATTGGATCTTCACTGCCATTACGGATACCATTGCCTGGAATATCCTGCCACGCCCTCTTTTCAAGAAACTGTTTCGCCAGGATCTTATGGTTGCCGCATTGTTCCGCAATTTCCTTCTAGCACAGAGGATCATGCGAGTCTACCAATGTCATCCGCAGTCATGGCCAGAGCTTCCTGAAACGCACCACCACCCGCTTTGGCAAAGCTGGGATCTTGCCGTAGAAATGGTTGTCTCTCAGCTTCCCATGCTGATTGAAGCTGATGAGGGGCGGAGACAATACGAGTATCAGCATTCCACCTTCTTCACTGAACAATTGACAGCATTTGAGGTCTACCTCAGCCACGGTGCCGTGGAACAAAAGGCCCCTGATCAGCTTCCCATCGTTCTCCAAGTCCTTCTTTCCCAAGTACATCGACTGAGAGCGCTGATCCTGCTCAGCAAGTTTCTTGACCTTGGGCCATGGGCCGTGAATCTTGCGCTTAGCATCGGCATATTCCCGTACGTTCTGAAGTTGCTCCAGTCAGCAGCTCAGGAGCTGAAGCCAGTCATGGTTTTCATCTGGGCTCGCATTCTAGCCGTTGACCAATCTTGCCAAACCGATCTTCTCAAGGACAACGGCTATCAGTATTTTATAAGCATCTTAAACCCTACCTCGGGTATTCCGGTAGGAAATGCAAGCGAACATCGGGCCATGTGCGCATTCATTGTGGCCATGTTTTGCAAAGGATTCCGTCAGGGTCAAGCGGTGTGCTTAGGACCAGAGCTTATTGATGCCTGCCTTCGCCATCTCAGTGACGTTGAGAACCCGCTCCTGAGGCAATGGTCTTGCTTATGCATAAGCATGTTGTGGGTAGACTTTCCAGAGGCGAAGTGGGTCGGAATTCGATGCCTTGCTCATCAAAGACTCTGTGAAATGGCCCTGGACCCCGTACCGGAGGTCCGCGCGGCTATGCTTCACGCACTCACCAGCTTCTTGGGCATTCCCGACCTCACTGATCAAGTCGCGCAAATTGAAGAGTCCATTGCTTCCACAATATCAGTTATGACTACCGATGGAAACAGTATGGTTCGAAGAGAATTGCTCGTATTCTTTTCGACTTTTGTCAAACGATATGAAAATAAGTTTATTGTGGCGGCTTATGAGCAGATGGTTGAAGAGCGCGACTTTCTCCGGCATCCTCAGTCTGATGCAAGTTTACTTCGAGAGTATAGATATGCCTACTCAAAGAGCGGCTCCCATTCGGCAGACGGCGGAATATCCAAGGGAATTTCACAAGACAGCGTTCACGGTATGATTTGGAAACATCTGCTCATCATGTCGATCGATCCTCAGCCAGAAATTGCTCGAGATGCGGGGATTATTGTGGATTATATCCATGATGCAGCCCTCCAGTCGTCTCTGGCCCCACTCGTCCAGCCAGCTATTGACGAGATCATTCGTCTGTCGAGCCGATCCTCCCTGAGACTTGCGCCTGTGGAAACTGCTACGAAGATTTCTCCGGTACCAACTTCTCCCACACAGTCCAACACGCCCAAGCCAGAAGGTTATATTTCTCTTGGCATGAAGCGCACTGCAAGTGTTGCAGCATCTTTAAAAAACCTCGCCCTTCACGGCACTACGACACCGGAACCCGGGTCGGGTTTTAAGACGCCTGGAGACCAGAGACTTTCTGGACCTCCGCGATCTCGAACACCCGCCGAGTGGAGCAGGCCTCCAGATGAGAACGACCAATTCTCGAGTACTTCATCTTATCAGCCTGCCAGGGTTCCAACCTCAAGGGCCTTCAGATCGAGAGATCTCAAAGATCAACCCACTCTTCCGTTGACCAGCAAGTTCTTGGAGTGGTCTATCGAGGCACGAATTTCATCTATAAACTTATATTTATCGTACTCTTCTAACAGATTTTAGTACTTCCGAGAGCCGCAAATGAAGCCGAGCGAAGCGGATGAGCCAGGGAGTGTTGACTATAATCAGCGCTTGTGGCGTCGGACACGCAATGAAAGAATCATCGCCATGACGCAGCCGCAGAAGGAGCAGGCAGCAACAAGCAGATGGAGTCAGCCGTCAGGCTTCTTGAACAATGGAAACCAGCCAAGCAAGCTCTGTTTCCACCAATTCGAAGATCACCTGGTTGTCACAGATGACCGGGACAGCGTATGGTATGTATACAGACTGCACCTCATAATTGCTTAGCCAGTCAAGCAGCTAACGCACAATAGTATCTGGGATTGGCAGCAGCAACAGCGTCTCAGTCGATTCTCGAATGGCAATCCGTCGGGCTCAAAGATCACAGACGTTCGGTTCATAAATGAAGACGACCAAGCACTATTAATGACCGGCTCATCAGACGGGGTGATTAAGGTGTTTCGGAATTACGAAGAGCAGCAAAAAGCTGAAGTGGTCACTGCATTCAGAGCCTTAACTGACCTAGTTCCAAGCAACAAGAATGCTGGACTGGTATTTGACTGGCAACAAGGTCAAGGAAAGATATTAGTAGCTGGAGATGTCAAAGTCATTCGAGTGTGGAATGCAGCCACCGAGATCTGTACAAACGTAAGGCAGTGCTCTGAAATATCCTCCCTCTTACTTAATGCTGATGAAACATGAAGGACATTCCCGCACGTTCTGGGTCATGTGTCACATCCCTTACCTCTGATCAAGTAGCTGGTAATGTGTTCATTGCTGGCTTTGGTGACGGAGCCGTTCGAGTTTATGATCAGCGTCTGAGACCGGCCGAAGCTATGGTAAAAGTCTGGAGGGACCACAAGCAGTGGATCACCAACGTACATATGCAACGAGGAGGCATGCGAGAGCTAATAAGCGGAAGTCGAAATGGAGATGTCAAACTATGGGACATTCGCATGGACGCTCCGCTCCGGACGATCAAAACAACCAACGATGTGTTGAGAAGCTTGAGCGTACATGAACATGCGCCAGTATTTGCAGTGTAAGTTTACAAGATGGTTTAATCATGCGCAATGCATTTCACAGAAACTAATGGGTCGACCTTGGACACAGTGGTTCTGAACGACATCACGTCAAGGTGTTCAACGTCAACGGAACACTCCTATCCAGCGTAGAGCCCTATTCAAGCTTTCTTCATCAAAACCGGACGTCGCCCATTTCCGCCACTGCCTTCCACCCTCATCGCATGATGCTTGCGTGCTCTGCGCTGAACGATACCAATATCAATCTCTTCAGCTGTGAGGAGAAGAAACGAAATGCTTGGGAGGGACTGACGTAGGGTATCTTCTGCTACTCTTTTTTTCTTGTGTATGTTCATTTTCTACTCTCTCGGCTTTATATATTTTGGGGTCTTTATTAGCCTGCCAAAAGCCAGGGTACTGTATTTATTGGGATTGCATTGGATGGGCGGAGTTATCTTGACTGGTTTATACATAAGAATCCCAAGGACGTGGCTTGAGGCGTCGTGGGAACTTGATAGCGTCGTTCTCTATTTGAATAATGCGAATACCACTGCTTTCATGTAACCACGCAATCATTATGAGTCACGGGTAAATCTTGAAGTATAGGTGTTATGGTTTCGCTGATCGTCGTATTGTAAGACTGCGGTCAACTTGGTCGCTCCCCCTCGGTTGGATGAGTCATCAGCGTGGGAGGGGCGGAGGAACATCCCACTTTATTCTTTGGGCCAAAGCGAATCCAAAACATCCCCCACCACAGAGACTTTATTTTCATTTCTCCGCAACCCCAACAATGGCTCCGCAAGAAGAGAAGCCTGCCGCTGCGCCAGTCGCGACGAACGAGCAAACTCTCCCTGAACGTCCCAAGGAGGAGGATGCTGCCAAAGGCCCTTCTAAGTCTGCCTTGAAGAAAGCTGCAAAGGAGAAGGAAAAGGCCGAGAAGGCCGCCAAGCGCAAGGCAGAGGAGGAGAAGCAGAAGCAGCAACAGGAGGCCAATGACATCTCTAAGGATGACTACGGCGACCTTCCAATGCTCGGATCCGAAGTCGTCAAGCCCAGCGGTCTCAAGCGCGTTCACCTGCACAACCTCACCGAGCAAGAAGCCGACCAGACTATTGTTTTTCGTGCGACTGTCCACAATGCCCGTGTTCAGTCCGCCAAGCTGGCTTTCCTCGTACTGGGCCAGCGTCTCCAGACAATCCAGGCTGTCGTCGCTGCGAGCGAGACTCTTTCGCGGCAAATGGTGAAGTGGGCCGGTGGAATCAACGCCGAGTCGACTGTGCTTGTGCACGGTCTGGTCAAGAAGCCCCTCGAGCCCGTTAAGTCGACTACCATCTCGAACCTTGAAATCCACATCCGAAAGATTTACACCATTGCAAAGGCCGAGCCCCAGCTGCCTATGCAGGTCGAGGATGCTGAGAGACCTCTGCCGGCTGAGGGCGCCGAAGCTCAACAGCAGGAGGACGACGGACGACCGATTGTGAAGCTTGACACCCGACTTAATAACCGTACCATTGACTTGCGAGGCATGCACAATCAGGCCATCTTCACCATCAAGGATGGTGTTTGTGCTTTGTTCTCTGAATACCTGCGCGACCACGGCTTCGTCGGCGTGCAAACCCCCAAGCTCATTGGAGGCGCCTCGGAAAGTGGTGCTAGTGTTTTTGAGGTCAAATACTTTAACCAGAAGGCTTTCTTGGCTCAGAGCCCTCAATTGCACAAGCAGATGCTCATTGCCTCTCGTTTCGAGAAGGTCTTCGAAATCTGCCCCGTCTTCCGAGCCGAGAACAGCAACACTGCTCGTCACTTGACTGAGGTGAGCTTTTGTTATTACCGATTACCAGGCGATTGAGCCTCGCCGCTGACATTTTTTGCAGTTCACTGGTCTTGATCTTGAGACAACTTTTGAGGAAGACTACCACGAAGTTGTGGAGCTTCTGGAGAACTTGTTGCTTCACATTTTCAAGGGCTTGAAGGCCAAGTATGCTCGCGAGACTGCGCTTGTACGCAGCATCTACCACGTCGACGAGTTCAAGCTGCCCGAGGCCGGACAGGTGCCTCGTCTCAGCTTCGCCGAGGGTGTCAAGATGCTTCGTGAGGCTGGTGTTGACGTCAATGAGAACGACGACCTGAGGTACGTTGCCAGAAGTATATATATCTTTGATGATTTGACATTTTGCTCATGAGTATATAGCACCCCTGACGAGAAGTTCCTCGGTAAGCTCGTGCTGGAGAAGTACGGCACCGACTTCTACGTCCTCGACCAATTCCCTCTTGGTGTCCGTCCGTTTTACACCATGCCCTCGCCTCAGGACCCTACCAAGTCCAACTCATACGACTTCTTCATGCGCGGACAGGAGATTCTGTCTGGTGCTCAGCGTGTGCACGATGCTGAATTCCTCAAGAAGCGCATGTTGGCGCTTGACCCGCCCGTCAACCCTGAAGGTCCCGGTATTAAGGAGTACGTCGATTCGTTCCGGTACGGCTGCCCGCCTCATGCCGGTGCTGGTATGGGTCTGGAGCGTATTGTCATGCTGTGGTTGGGCCTTCCCAACATTCGTCTCGCTCAGTTGTTCCCCAGAGACCCTAATCGTCTGGCGCCTTAAACTGCTAGCATTCTTTGCAAGCAAAAGTTTTGGAGCGTTTTACTGTTAATGGCATTACGTCCATGAATATACTAGAGAAAGATTCTATAACGATGACGTTAGATTAAATGATGACCATCTATACTATTCAATATCGTTCAACTATTCTATAATGTTCTGCAAACTGTAAATATTTACTCTGATGGTCACCCACGGGACCGTTCTACTGTCTTAAAGACGTCGGAGGTCGGCGTTCAGTGTACCGGGGTATCAAGAAACATGAAGTGGTGGTCCGTGCGTAAATTATTATCCAACCGCAGAAACAACCAGCTTGACGCAGAAAGAGGAAGATATTGCCTTGGATACGGTGTCGCTGTAGCTCTTACCATGGCTAAGAAAAGAAAGAGCAGCTCGGACGGTGCAGAAGCAGCTCCATCTAATAAACGGTCTCGCCAGACGCAGGGGGATCACGGCGACAATTCCCGCTCGAATAACCAGCCGCGAACAGACCCAACAACGGGTCTGCGGAGCGCATTTCCAGGCCTGGACGATTATGACGGCGGAGAGCTCTTTTACGGTCCGGCCAACGATGGCCTAGAATACCTTCGAATGGTCAGGTAAGATACCCTCTGACCTTATTTTCTGCTCTTTCGTGCCTCAGAGCTAAAGCTTCGTTTTTCTTCAATCAAGGCTTTTTTTGCTGGTAACTTCGACCTGTTATTGACCAGTGTCTTACGTGCTTAATAGGGCCGAAGCCAGAGGTGTTCCGAATCTTCTTATTGCGCCAAACCCTAGCGGAGAAATACGAGCGCATACTTTTGCAGGTCCTCATGGAGGGTACTATTCAGATGGCGCATATACAGCTCTTCCTGTCGTCGCTGGGAACAGCGCTCCTCTCCATGCCAAGGAGCCTCCAGCACCAGCGCCAATCGCAGATCCACAAGCACAAGATCAAAACGGCGAGTTCGAGCTCAATTACGATGATGACGAAGGCGGCGAATTGGCAGATAGTGCCGCTGGAAACGATTACCCAGCCGAAGAAGTTGAAGAAGAAGAAGAGGAAATATATTATGACGAAGCGGCAGAAGAATACTATAACGACAACAACAACGACAACGAGGCAATGCTCGATTCCACGCGTCGACTTCAAGCAGAATTCGATTCGTGTCTATGCACAAGATTCCGTCTGCGAAAGCAAAACCTCCACTCTGATCCACCAGCATCGGCCATTGCCGCACTCGACGACAACCATCCTATTTCTTTACCTTCGGGGTCACGCATAGCATATTCACAATGGCGGCGGCTCGTGCGCTCTACGGATCCAAACCCCGTACAGCTTGCGAGCATGGACCAAAGCAGCGTGCTACGACTGATTAAGCTCCTCACGCCGCTGATGCTGAAGCGCGGAAAGCACATCTCAAAACGCCTGAGCGTGTGGACGTGGAGCTTACTCTGCAGACTGGAAGATGTGGGATGCCTGTCGAGCGAAGAAGTCAGCGTGGTGCGAGACTTGGGTAAGCGCGCCGTATGGGTCAAGGCGGGCCTGAAAAGGAATCCAGACGGGTCGATCGAATTCGCAAATGATTTGATATCCAATCGTGACGGCCAGAGTCATACCGGCGATGCGAGCGACGATGAATCAGGCTTGGAGTATGAAGAAACAGGGCAGGAGAAGGCTGAAGAGGAAGATGAAAGCGAAGGCGTACATGGAGAATCAAATGAGACCAACAATGAGCGGGACATTGACGAAGAGTACGAGCCGCCTGAAGCTGAACCTCTTGATGGAAATCAGGTTCACTCCAATGAGCCCTACGAGCCTGGACAGGATAACGATCCCTCGCACCTAAAGAGCACCGAGTCGGACTCGGATCCGGACCTCGCAGCTGCAAAGGCACGCTTACTTGCCCAATTACCTCCAGATTCTCAGACTCAAAATGCATCGCAAGTACATCAGGTTCCTCCGTCTCTGCCTCCTCTTCCTTCGCCGTTAAAATCGGGCGACACGATATCTGGACATGTCCCTGGCATCGCGCCACAAGACGATATATCAAAAGAGGTGGACGATGACGATGACGATGACGATGATGATAAGAATACACAAGCTACAATCGACATGATTTTGGTAATTGTCGGGGAGTATTATGGACAGAGGGATTTATTGGAGTTTAGAGACGTTTGCACATAATTTGCTGGTTTTGTTATTGTCTGCGTTATTGCTTTTGCATGTTTTCACTGGCATTGGTGCATTGATCCGGCCGTTATATTTGTCGTTGGCTTCTATTATTTTTCCGGGTCACTGACCTTGAGTTCATCTCAGTTTAGTAGCTTTGGGCCGGGTGGAGGAGGGAGGAGGGGGGAAAATGCGAAGCAGTATTTTTTAGGTTTGAAGGAATAGTAGGTGACTGGCACAAACACATACAACGAGCTGCAATCACATCAATACTAAGTAAATAGCTAAAGATATCTTGTTAAATGATATATACTTAAAGCTAAATGTCAATGTGTAACCGAAAGTGAAAATGAACGTGAAAGTGAACGTGAACGTGAACGTGATCATGAAGGTAGAATGAAATAATACTCCTGAATTTCCATGCGTGTATGCCCCGACTTACTCCGACTCCCAAGTATGCATATTATTCCAACGTTAACATATGCTCCAACTCCCGACTTCCAAGGTTAACTTATGCTTCTTAGCTCCTTAACGCTCCCAACGCTAGCCCTACTCTTCCACGACTCCTAGTTCCAGAATGCCCGTCTTCCTTGGCCTCGAGGTCGCCAATAGTTATGGTTGTGCTTGGTGAAAGAAGCGATGAGACGGGTAGAAGCTAAAGATGTTAAGATATTAAGACGATAAGACGATAAGACGAGAGGGCGGTAAGAAGATAGAAGATAGATGGTAGATGATGAGTGAGAATGACAAATGCAGAAATGACAGGGCTGATAGGATGATAAGAGGATAAAATAAAAAGGCAATAAGAGGATATGATATGCCACGCTATAATATGCTGCGATAGAGAAGAACCGAAACGTTGACCGGAAAATCCAAATGATAAGAAGAGGAGAAATAGAAAAAGAAAAAGAAAAAGAAAAGAGTTCGTGACAGTCTGTTATTCGTGAATGGAGAAGAAGACGGATAAGATGGATAGGTGAATAAGGATCGTGCGATAACGATTTGATGAAAACTTCGGGTGTCGAAGCAGGTAAGGTAGTGACGGGGACTGCATTGCAAGATGCAGACGAGACACCGAGCGCGAGCTACTATAACATCTCTGCAACCTTCTCCTCAATGTCTTCATCGATGCCGAAGAATTCGAGATGGACAGTCCAGATACCTGCCTTCTTCGGGTCCTCTTCTTCTTCTTCTTTTTCTTTCTTTTTAGAGGCGGTGTCTCCGGCCTTCTTCTCCTCTGATGGCTTTCGAAGTCGCCGGTCCAGGGCAGTAACAGAGCGGCGATGTGGACGATAGATTGAGGAGTTCTGATTTTGAGGCCTATACCGATCATACTGGGTATATCGACCGGGCTGACGGTGGTGGCTGTAATGGCCATATCGGCCGTATTGACTGGGCTGACTAGGTTGACCGTATCGATCGTATTGACCATATTGATCGGCAGAAAAGGCAAACATATCAACCATTTCTTCTGCCTTTTTCCGCTCCTGCGCTTCCTTCCGCGCCTTAGCTCGCTCCTCGGCACGTTCTTCCAATAGAACAACCAAGTCGGTCAGGTCACGGCGGAACCCTTCAACCCGTTTCCATGCGACACGCGTACCGACTAGCACTCGTCGAAGGTTCCTCAACGGTCCCTCGTCGACGGCCAGAAATAGGTCGTCAGGGACCATGTTGGTTTCGACACCAGAATCGCCCGAACTATCCAGCTCTAGCGTTTGCAATGGATGCGGAGATTCCGGTGGCGCATTGATGGGATCTACAAACATGCCGGATATAAAATCCAATGGCACTCGCAGTAGAATAAGTTTGGGGCATAGGAGTAGCAGCCTGTCTAGTGACTGGTACCACAGGCAGGGGATGTTATGGTCGATGTGCAAGTGCGTGAGCTGTGGACCAAGTACTTCAAGCATGGCCAAGATATTCGTGGCCCCGACCGTTCGGCAGTGCTTGATTGTCAGTCGGGAGAGGCTGGGAGGCATGTTGGTCAGGTACTGCAAGAAATGGTTCGACACGCCGCCTGTCAAGTGCAGTGTTTTCAGGCTCGGAGGCCACGTGCTGGTGATCGAATCGTAGCCGCGGTCATGGTTTGCGCATCGAGGGAACCAGAGTGTCTCGAGGTCAGTGAGAGGTTTGAGAGCGTGAAATAGATCGTGCAGGGAAATGGACTGCGAGATGAGTGATAGGTCGAGATGTTTCATTTTGGTACATTTGCTGAGCGCGGCGAAGCAGTTGATTCTGCAGTAAATGTCAGCCTCATGCCATACCAAGGGACAAGGGAGCATCAGGATTCTGGAGAACATACGCAAATGACGCTTGTGGGGCAACGAATTCCTCAAGTCGAACCTTGACCCGACCCAGCAGTCGCGCTGTTAAACTCTTGCTGCCATTGTGCACCAGCTCTCCCATGTCCAGTCTCCGGACCAGGTCGGCCAGCTCGCTCTTGCGAACATGTGCGTTAATGGATGGACAAACAGTTGTTATGAATCTTGTAAAATTTCTGCCAGTAATGTGCGGACTATCGTAGAGGAGCGGTACGGCAGCAGTATACCATGTCCGCGAGACCAGACAGCAGGACCATAACGTCGTTTGGGAGCTGGGTTTTAGCGGGATGAATGATAGAATATGAATGACTAGTTCTGGAGGCAAATAGATATCTTTGCGGGCTTTGTAGCGCTTGCTGGATGACTTGCGACTGATAGGATTTTCATCGATATCCATAGGATCGTCAAATTCTCTTGCGGCAGAGCCCGGCAATAGCGTCGCGGGAGCCATGGCCGATGCAGAGGACGAAGACGTTTGAGAGGAAATGCCCAGTGGAAATCGGCGGGAAGATGAGTTTAATTTGTATAAGAATGGCTGGCTGATGACATCCTGATGGCGGGGAGGCGGGGGGTTTAAAGTCTATCTAGAAGTCTAGCATGGTGTCGTTGGTGTAATCACTTATGGTTATCTCAGTGTCTCTCGGGCCGTGCGATGGGCCGTGCATGTCGGGAGTTTCAAACCCCAAAAACACCGATGGTGATGACGACAATGGAGATCGAGATTGAATGCAATTCCCATATAATTCTCCGATCTTCAGGTCCTTGTGGGAGTGGGGGTAAGTGCCGCCCTCCTGAGCTGATCCAAAGGCGGTGGGCGGGGGGGATGGGAAGAGGTTTGGTGAGCAGATGATGATGATGGACTGCAGAATGATGAAGAATTAGGTGCAACTTGACATGCACGTTGCCGAAGATCGATGCAACGTCAGCTACACGTGCATAAGAGATCTAACCAAAGTCATTTTCTCCACCTTACACAAAACAAAAAGCCTGTCATGCAAAAGGAAATTTCCTTCTTCTTTCAATATTGTGATATTCCCTGTCCCTGGCTCCGCTCTTTTCTATCAGTCTAGTGATATTATGCACAGTACTCAAAAGTAAGTGATCTACAGCTATCCAAAAGAACCGTTGTGTTACATAAAATGCAAAAGTAGCCCCAAAAGAAATGCAGCAAAAAACAAAAGTCCTTCCCCGTCTACTCTTTAGGCGCTCCCCATCCCGCACTGTTCAGACCCCAGCGAACTGCGTCCCATACGTCGTCGCAGATGGCCCGGGGCGTATGAGCCGGCTCCCCGCCCTGATAGACCCCTGTTCGCAGCAATAGAGAATACCACTCACTGCCAATCGGAGATTTGAAGTTGTTTCCGCCCTGGATATCGGACTCTGGGTTGTCTCCTATTCAATGCATTAGTGGGACTTTTGTGGTTATCAATCGGGGGTTAGCAAGACATACCGATCATGAAAACACGCTTGAGTGGGGGTAATGATGCCTTTGGGAAAAGAGCCTGTCGATGCGAGATGAGAAGCTTCTCGGCAAATTCATATGTACCCTGATATGGCTTGCCCATGATTTGCTTGTGCAGATCGACACCCTTCTGTGGCCCTCCGGTCACAGCGGCCCAAACACCATCCAACGCCTCGCGGAAACCACCCTGGCCTAGTCGCGGGAGGTGATATGCCGCCGCCCACAAGAGGTCAGGGTTCGAATAGTAAAGCGGGGGCTGTCCATCCTGCAAGTATCCTCGATTGGGCAGACTCGGATCGTTGTTCTTGGAGGAATAGGTGCCCAAGACACCATTGGAGGACAAGAGAACATCCAGCACAATCTGTGCGTCGGCCGCCCAGTCCCGGGGATCGTTGTAGACGAAAATAGCGTCGATCTTCAGGCTCTTACTAGGATCCTCCGCATCGATGGGGCGGGGAAGAGGCCGGGCGAATTTCTTGTAATAGTCCATGAAGTTGTAAGAGAACGGCCAGATAGACGGGTGCGCAACGATAATGTCGCCTGGTGTGACCACATTCCGGAAGCCGTACCTGACAAGAAATTTAGCCATCATAAGCCATTGCGATGACTACGGTCGCAAGGGAAGTCACCCACTTCTCAGCAACTTGCCGACATTTGTCTCCGTCACCGCCGACTACCATGATGCATTTGTCCCGCAGCCCTTCCTGCACGCCGTCACCCTCGACCATCTGCGCGAAAGGGGTATGACTTTGCACAAACATGCTAAGATCCAGAGGCACGTCCAGCTTCTTACTTAATTCTGCCACCCGATCGGTTTCACTTTTCCCTCCTCCATTAGTGAGGAGAATGAAGGGGATTCCCTGCTCTTGCAGATAAGAAAGCGCCTTGTGTGCTCGGGGGAGCGGGCTGGAGCTACGGAGTAGGACGCCATCAATGCTGCAGAATGGTCAATGGGATATCCTTTCGTAATGAAAGCGGGCGATCATACTCAAAGGCGAATGCAAAATCCGGTACTCTTGGTGAGTTGCTCGAGGTCTGAAATGCCCGGGCAGTCGACTTCTGAGCTCCGAGGATCGATGGCTGGGGGAACCGCGGGTACGGACGTCTCAGAGGCACAGCAAAGGCATTTGACCTTTGACAGCCAAGCCGAAGCAGTCTCACCTCAAGCGCAGAAAAAGCCATTGCGCTCATCAGCGGAGCAAACTTGCAGTGGTGAATGAGTTATTAGTTTGTATGGGACAAGCATATGACATAACTTAGGTATATGCTTCCTTTATCGGAGTGGACGGCAATCCCCGAGCCGCTCAGATTAGAGCTCCCGGCGATGGGAATTATCAGATCGGTATTGCCGCCAAGGTTCTCACATGAACAACGACAATTATCTGTGTTTCATTGCTTAGTGATTCATCTCTTGTCTATCAAATGTACCTCAAAATTTAAAAGTGATCAATATCTACATATTCCCTCCAGGCGCAGAGGAATATTCTATATATCTATGTACAAATAGAAGAGCAGCCCAGTATATACAGGTCAAACGGCTGTCTGCTTCCTAGCTTATTCATCCCAAACCACGCAAGTCACCTCGCCATCAATGTGAATCTCAGCGACGGGGCCGAGAACCACGCCGCTGGCAATATCACGGGCCAGGATAACAACACGGCTGCTGTCGGACAGGCCAACAGCGAAAAACTCGCCGGTCTTGCTGATGGAGAATTGACGGGGAATGGAACCGCCAGCAGGAGCCAGCTCGACAAAGTCCAGCGAGCCGTCAAGCTGAGGCTTGAAGGTAGCAAGAGAGTCGGAATACTCAATGGTCGCATTAGTAGAGTTGCCAGAGCCGGTGCTGGGGATGATAAATGAGGAATCATTGCGGTTGGAAACGGTAATGAATCGGTTGTCAGGCTATTACGAGGTTGTCAATTTCAGAACTTTCTGATAAGGGAAGGGTGCATCAGAGTAATGACTTACCGACAGCTGAATCTCAGCAGCAAGAGCGCCGTCAGGCTTCTCGGGTCCACCGTACGAAGTGGTTTCAAAGATCTTTTCAAAGGAGATACCACCGGCGGCGGGGTAGGTCACCTTGAAACCATCAATGTGGCTGGTGAGCTCACTGACCAGGTAGAAGTAAATTGGCACCTGCTTCTGAGGCTTGCCTCTGGGAAACCAGAAAAGGCCATGGCGAGGGCCATAACCAGGGTTCAGTTTCAGAGGCTCTGACTCTTTGAGTAAAGTGGTCTTGGGGTCAATCTTGAACACCCGGACAAGATCGGCGCCGAGATCCGGGCTCAGAACGTACTGTCCAGTGGGATCTAGGATGGCCTCGTGAGGATGAGACGAGTCCTGTCGAACAGGGTTCGCGCCAGGGTGAGGGAGGGTGAAGGTGAAGTTCTGAATCTCCTCCACCTGGCCCTGTCGGGACAAGTCCCAGACACTAAGACCGTGGCCGGTACTGGGAGGAGAAAAGTCAGCTTGCTTGACGCGCGACAGACATTCAGCTGGGTGTTCTTACTAGTGGGCAATGGCCATTGCAGACGACCCCTTGACACCATTGTAGATGACTCCACTGACGGGGCCGGAGATTGTCGCCTTGCGGTCAAGCTTCACCAGCGAGCCGTCATCATGCACCTTGTAGGAAGTCAAGCTGCCATTGGGCACCTCAAGACCCTCGTCCATACAGTACAGCGTACGGTGTTGAGGACTGAGAGTCAGCCATGACGGGTTGGGGCTCGAAGCATTGGTAGAAGAGACGGCCCTAAGATCGTAGTATCCGTCGTAGCTCTCAGTGAGGGAGAGAGAGGTGATCGATCCCGCATACGATGACACGAAGAGATTTTTCGCGGCAGCAGATGTCGCCAGAGCGACAAGGGAAGCAAAGGAAAGATACATGGCTTCTGATGATAGCTTGCGACCGCAGAGTCAATGCCAATCGCTGGATCGGCTGCAGTCCGTCTGAAACGGTGGGATCTGGGGGAGAGGGCATGATTAAATATCCCAGTAGATCACACGGCGACAATCATAATAAGAATGATACTGTCTGCCTGGGTTAATGCAGTTGCTAGCGATTAGGAAGCTCGGTATCTGCCAAGTTTGCATGCATTATTGGAGTAGCTGCATATCCTGTAGCTTGCTTTTTTTTTCCCACCAAATCTGCTTCCAGCAACAGGGATTAGCTGTCTACGCCGAGCCTCTTGGCTTTGAATCCACCGAGATGATCGCTCATCGTCATTGAAGAATTGAAGGGTACACGTAATTTGAGAGGGTCAACGACGATGTCTCTTGGCTCAGAATGCCAAGCCAGGCTGTGGTTGAACTGGCTCACTGCGCATTCTGTCTTCATTTTGCAGGTCGGCAAAAGACACCGTCTGACCAGCGCAAACCCAACCAATTTCTCTCCTCCAGTCCCGCCATTTTTTTTGCACCTTCTCCGTGGTGATAATCCACCCGTTTAGCAGATACATTAGAACACGAACGAACTTCTTCTTGAGCCCTTTCAGACCGGCTTACTCCCACAGCTTGAGGACATCCCGGTAGTCAGTGAGACAGATCGCTACCAAGTACACGCCAAGACACCGGTGTTCCCTTAGGGAGCAAAGTTTCGCTTGTTCCACGGATAGGTGAGATTTGGCGCTGATGCAGGAACAGAATTGGACGTTTAGTTAACGTTAACTAGACGATGGCCCGACGACGGACGCATTGGCACCAGATACAAGTACATAGCATGACACCATAAGTACCAGAGATGGCAGCTGAAATCCAACCACCAGGGTCGTGGTTGACTGCCGTCCACGGATCGGCCCTTCTACTTCGTCCCGCGGCCTGTCCCCCACCAGATGGTTGATAATCTCGAGGGCCTGGATCAGTACACTTGATCCATCTTTAAAGTTTGCATACCCTCTACCGAGTACTTCCGTACAATTTCCCTCTGACGACAAACACTCATCTGTGGTCTGCGGCAGTTGTGACGCGTGATCCAATTTTTCCCACGGTTCGTGACCAGCTTGGCGAAGATGATCGTCGCCAGACGGCCTTGTCCTCTCGGTAAATGCTCCAGCTTTCTCGATAGCTCGAGCGGCTGTGTTGATGAGAAGATGCGCCGCCGAGGGTGGCCCGACATCGGCCAGTAGAGTTGTAGATGGATCCGGCGTTGCTTTAAACACTCCAGGCTCCTTGGCGTATAGAGTAGGCAGCCTAATTGTGAACCACGTGGGTGTCTTTAAGCGCTTTCATGCTTCTCACGCAGTTAAGCCTTACTCCGCTGCATTTTCTATCTCTGGCTTGGCTCGGGCTTGGCTCATGCGATTATTGCCTGTGACAATCGTGATTCGCCGGCAATTCGGGCATGCCCCTTATCTGCGCGGAAATAATGATAGTGTTGCGGAAGCCGGACCCAAGAGACTGCTTCGCAAAGATCAACGCACCATTCTTCCGGGTTGGAGATCCAACAAGGGGGGAAATTAAGGTTTGGAAGGAGGCTATGATCTTTCGCTTTCTGCATGTGCTAGGAATAACAAATCTAGGAGTAATATCATCTTCTTTGTCAGCTGCTTCTTCAGCATGGCAGTGTCTAATCTCCGCTTTTTTTTCCATTCCACGAACTTCAGCAGCTCTACACACCATTGCTTGCCTTTTCACGCTTCAATCGTTCTAGAAGAAGCTGGTGTGTGGCCCAAAGACAGGTGCCAGCTACAAATATAGATTTATCAGTCAAAAATGTGGCTTTTGCAGGGCAAGACGAAGTAACATTGCTGAGAGCTTTCAGGGGCAGATGCTCAAGTGCAGTAAATTCACTAAACAGGCTTTGATGCAATTTGGACAAAAGGCCTTTTGATTCGCTGCTCGGTCATGCTTCAGCCCGTGAATATGACAATTTATTGGGTACCAGAGATTTGGTTGCTGAGCCTGCCCTTCAAAGTGAGCTTTGAGAAGTGAGACTAAAGAGCGAAAAAGCATCAATCAGGTCATAGAACAATGTTTATATATTTCATTAGAACCGCCGCCAATCTTCTTGAGATACTGGAGTCGATTTTGCGAGGCGCCACGGAATCCGCGATGACTAATCAAAAGTTGACGTCCTTGCTACCTGAGGTCAGTGACAGTACGACATTAACATACCTTAGCCAGTGAAACTCCATTTCATGAAAGTTCGGCAAGAGCTTTCATCCCAGATCAAATCTCATCATTCAAATAATTCTCATGTTGTCGACCATGATGTTGTCTTCTCAGCCACATCACTATCATTACCCGTATATTCTGTTGCCGCGATAATGCGGTGAATGCGTGAAGATTCTGCAGAGATTATTTCCAAGCTTCGACCGAAACCTTGTCTTGACAAAATGATTCCTGTATTTCCTCTGCAATCCCGTGCGTTCAAGCTGGAGACGTATGAGTAGTATGAGCATATTCAGAGTCCGCGGCGCTCATCCGTTTGTTATTTTGAAGAAATTAGATACTGTAATGCCGCTGATCTAGAGCTCAATACCTTTAGACTTTTCTCGTATCATAATCAGAAATTCCTTTGTTTCTGGATCCTAAGAGCGATATTCCAGTTGCGGAAGTAACATTTGCCGTGGTCTTTCCCAGCCAAGCAGTCATGTGCGCCCTGTTTGGCAGCGCTCTAGGCTGAGCTAAAGCAGCGACATACTGATTCTGTTACTTACAACAGGTTTCTGGCTTACAATGATGCATGATAGCAACTCATAATCGATAGGTGACATCAATTCTCCCCTTTGATCGAACCGGCTCGAGCTTCATATTACCTTGAAAGAAGCCTGGCAACATTGCATTTCTTGTCCTTTAAAAAACGCTTCGATGTTCGAAATTACAGAATGCTCTTAAAGAATTTTATCTTATGCTAGTGTCTTCGTGGTTGGTGTTCTGTTCGTTTTCAATAAGCCAGAATCACGAAAAAGCTTCCTCCTCATGCACGCCAAGCAGTCAGCGCTTCTGAATCCTCTAATCAGAATCCATGTGAATCTGATCGAAACTCATGTCCTTTGGACCTCGCTCTAAATTGTTCGATGAGCAATTTTAATTTTTTTGCACATGGTTGGGACCCCAAACTGGCGGGCAATACTCGTCCTCGTCGTCGCCGTGAGTGATTGTTCAAAGTACATTCTCGAGACTAAAGCTGATACACAATGACAGGCGGGCGACGTCCAGCCCCGGTAACAGCATCAAACATGAATGCGGGGCGTGCACCCATTGGGACGCCAATGAGGCTTCCCATCAACAGCAACTACTCCCATAACACCACACACCAGGCCTCCTCTCCCGAGCAGTCTCGGAAGCCCGAAAACGAAGACCCGCTTCCCGCTGGTAGGATTCCATCCTACCAGGTGCAGACAGAAGCTTTCCTTTCAGCAATTCAAGCATCTATACACCAGCCTACCGCTGATCCTCACACAAGCCCTTCGGCTTCCAATACTTCGTTTGCAGCCAGAGCCCGCGCGGCTGAACTCTCTGCTGCAAGAGCCAGACAAGCAAGAATGGCTTCCAAAAATCCCGAGGTTTCTCCGCTTGGCTCAATTCCTCTCAATTCCCTTACCAAGTTTAAGCCAAGCTCTAGAAGTCGGACCAGAGCCTGGAAGCCTCTCAACCTTGATGGGTTGGAAGGTGTGCAACGCCCATCAACCTCAAACTCTACCACTTCCACTCTCGCTCCATCTCCTGAACGTTCTTCTTCAAAGCTTTCAAGCATGGTTCAGAGCTCGGGTACAGAGACTATCACCGATACTGTCCCCTTCATGAGAAAACCAACTTCTGTACAAGAAGCTGTAGCTAGAGGGAATCTGGCACTTGGCTACCAGGGTTCTGTTCCGAGCAACACGTCTCACAATGCAGGCATGCTAACTCAGTATTCCTCCTCTCAGAACAATCCTACATCTCAATTCGTTCCTGATAACGTCGCTTCAAATTATCAAGGTTCGCCGTCCATATTCAAGGCGAGCCGGGGAGTCTCTGCGGCTGGTGGCTTCGGAGGGGCTGCCATGCCAAACTCTTTCCAGAGCCCGTCTCAGGTGCAAGCCTATTCATTTTCCAGCGGAGGATTTCCAGTGGCTACTCGTTATGGCTATACTAGGAACCAGCAGCACGGTTTTCAACCCGCTCTGCCTTTCTTCAATCAAATGGCTGATGATCCTTTCATTGGTCAGTCCCCTTACGCAGCCAGCCTTGAGATGGGTGTGGCATCGAACAGCTTTCAAAATACGTCAACAGTTCAGGGAGGGGGCTCATGGGACACTACAATGGGAATCGGCCTCGATATTTCTACTGTCCAGCCACCTCCTGGCTTTGGAAACCATGGTCCTAAGACCGAAGATTCTACAATTGAGCCATATACTCCGACGATGGCCCTCGCCGAGCGTGCTCGACATGCAGAGACCGAATCCTCGTCCGAGAAGCGAGAAAAACTTCTCAGGACCCTTAAAATCATTGCGGAGTCTGGCAGGGCTCGTGGAAGTGCCTCTGCTCGAACCGTTTTGTATGACCCACTCAAAGAACCTTCAGCGGATGATATCGGCATCGAGGCATTATCTCTTGCCGAGCCCGTTCAAACCACAGCTACTCCTCAGAATGACATCGCCAGCGCGCGTGGAAGTTGCGGTCCTATTGGTTCCAGCGAGCCATTGCCTTGGAAGGACAGGCTCGCTGATATCCACACTGAAAACCCGTTCGGTATCAACCAAACTATTCATAATCAGGTAGTTTTTGGAGAGCACGTCAACGAGTCTAACCCTTTTGCGGTTTATCTCAAGCAGCCTGTTCTTAGAGAGGAAGAGCTTAATGCGGGAAACCTTGAACGTCTTCAGCGGGTAGATGATTGGTTCCATCAAGACAATCGGTTTCCTAGTGAAGTACGCAGCGGCCTCAACCTGGCCGGGGAAAGTGATGAGCTCCTTCGAGGGCAATATAAGCAGCAAAGCCAAGGTCTAAACCATGAGAACAGTTCCAGGGAAGGTCAAGCGTTTACAACTAAGAAGGGCTCTGCATTTGGGGCTGTCGGATCTGGCCGTCCGTCTTCAAAATCTGCTGCTTCCTCAGTGACCTTGGGAGAAGAGCAACCGCAGAGAATTGAACAAAGAGCGCTTAGCACTGGTAAAACTGGGATGGAAAAACTCTTCAACGCCGCTCTCGGTACGCTTCAGGGCTACGTTTCTCAGCCACCAGAGGTACAGGCGGGCAAGTTTGGAAGCTTTGCTCGAGTGCCCGAGTGGTGTATTGACAGGAGTCCGAATGGCGCAAGCAGTTTCTTTGGCGAGGACTGGGGAGCGCCACCGCAAAGGATTGGAAGGGATCCTCGCTATCGCTTGTTTGGACATGATGCAAGGTATAACCTCTATGAGGATGCTGAACGTCGTCTTGGTAGTGATGGTTATGGACGACGTTACCGTTGATGGGCAAAGGGGCGCCAGTTAACTCGCTAAGTATGGCTCACCGTGCACATTAGGTGGATTTAGGTTAATCAACTGGTTTAGATGCTCAACTTGGCTGGACGATTTTCACGACCTATTTCTGGGAAATTGTCCAAGATCTTGTTTATGACTTGCAGCTGCCTGGGGCTTCCTCAAGCGGCGCTAATACGCTTTGCCTTTGTTTGATCCTCATTTTCTTTAAAATATGGCGAACCCTGCACCCACAAATATTCACAGGAGGCAAATCTGCGCCGAATTTGGGGAATTAGGAGATGCCTACCCCGTTCTCGGGTGAATAACTGTTATCATTTCATTTTCCTAGCTCTGATTCACACTTATCCAAGGAATATTTCAAGTACGTATGCTTCTGAGGCTATCCAGCACGGCAATATGCAAATTAACTTATTCTCTAAATGACAATTCATTGCCTCCAAACGTCTATATAAATTCCACTTGCTCTTTATCTATGCTCTGTAAGCCCCCGCGATATTTGATATCCGATATCCCTCTAGGATCTATAGCCGTGATGTGCTCTCGTCTTGCGAGACATCAAACCCCAATTTGGCTCTGGCAATTTCCATATCCTGCCGTTTATTGCTGTATTTATTTTTCAACACAATCAACGATGTATAAATGCGTCTTTAAGGTGTCTTCTTCGCCTGTCATGATCAAAACTGGAATACAGAAGAATGGCAAGACTTTGTATGGTAGTGCTGTTGGCGTTGGCGTATGGTCAGCTTGCCTGACCATCTGAACTTCTGAAGTACTTGGTACAAACACAATTCATTCATAAGAAATTCGAGTGGGAGATGAGTGGGTATAAACAGGATGGCTCTGAAAAAATTCCCCCCTCTCAGTATTTTCAAGCTCTTGACATCTTGTCACAAGATGACGTCGCGGTCTGGGCCGAGACCACAACTACTATCGCTGTCATGTTGCTAACTACTCTGCCACTACCCAAGCATCTATACAGATGTTCAAACGTCTGGTTGTTGAGATATTCCACCAATCGTGATTGATTCTAAACGACAAGCTTCAAAGTCAATTACTGTCCTTAAACGACATCGAATCAGATGTACTTAGGAGCTTACGCATATTCCCTTCTCTGCTTCAATCCACACTATTCGGCAGGTCGCATGTCTAGGCTTGGCCAGTAATCTTTCTCTTTAAGACTTTAACATTTTCTCCCAGCCGTCCAAGCTGGAAAGGATCGTCCCCTCTTACATTGCAACAGAAAGAGGAAAACAAAACATTAAGGAAAGAGCTCTTTGAATTTGTTTGCTTCGAAGAGAAAGTTATTGTCCCTTCCTTGTAACCTGAGTGGAAGCGAAAAGGCTAATAATTGGGATTTATTTTCTCGTTACTCGAACTAAAAACAAGAAGAAGATGAGTGAAGCCAGTTCTGCTTAACACCGAAATTTCTTATAAGATACAATTTAGTCCATTAATTGTCGGATTTAAGAAATCTGGAAGACGAAGAACCGAAACGCCTCATCTTCAATGACTGGGATAAGACTATTGAACTTATCCCGCCGAGTTGTCGACAAGACTCGAAAAGTCAAAAGAAATCCTTTTTGTCCCCGGAATGCCTGCAGATTCATGTCTTGCTTTTCGATGGCTGGACCTTACTAAAACCTACACACTCTCTCTTTCTTCTGAATGTAACCTTCTTTTTTTATTATTTTCATCATCTATTGTACGATTACGGAATCTTTGGCACGGTGCGTGCTTCTTTTGCTCCGGTGCGCCCGAGCTTGAGTGGTCGCCTCCGCAAACCGCGCCTTTCCTCCCCCTTTCTGTACGGCCAGAGCAGATTGGGGGTGGCCGGCCGAGCTACATGCAAGCTCTCTTGGTCCAGGTGAGTCTTACGCTCCTGACTATGTGTGTGTATGCAGCTAACGTGTATGTAGTCTCGTGCGCGGTCTGCTCCCCTCTGTGTGTGGCGTGCTGTGGGGCTGACCGCAGCCGCCCTGTTTTTGTGGGCTGTCGGATCAAATCTGGCGTACGTGGTTGGGCGTGTGCCAATTGCATTTGGACTACCGGACTGGTCGTTGCATGCCCCGTGAGTGATATACCCAGCTTTGTACGGATCATCCTAACTGGTGAATCGGTGATAGATGCTTAGCTTGTGTGTACAAAGCTGCAGTTGCTTTTCTTGGGCGTTGGGATGGGTGGCTGGCAGCTAGCTTATACGAACGAACAACAAATGAGAAGTTGCTTCTTTTGCTGGGCAACTGGAATCAACACGTTGCTCTTGGGTGGCTTAGGGCCATCAGATGGAGAAAAGCTGCATTAAAAGCTCCAAACTCTCACATATTATTTTGTGCAGAAGGGGAACACGCTACATCCACAGGATACTGGGCTTTGTCTTTCTAAGGTATGGAGCTTTGTTGATAAATCAATCTTCATTGCTAAGTTCAATACGTGGTTGAGAAGTTCTCTTCCAAGGCTGGTTGACATTAGGCACACCCGCTGCTTGAAATCAGACTCCCACGGCGTACAACTGGGAGCGGGCATCGGGGGAGTATTTTGCCGATCACCCATCAAAGCATCAAGATATGGTTAATCTCAAGGCTACAATCAATCAAAGCCAGCCTGTCAACTACAATTCTGCAGACGAAACACTAGCAACCTCACGAGGATATGTGCATGTTCAAGAACTCAAGGAGTTGATCAACACTTTCGAATACTACGTTTCCCGATCGCCGTCAAGCCAATCAAACTTTGACTACTGAATATTATCAAGCTATGGGACAACTGCCTGCTTGATTCAAACTCCTGTTGCACAGTATCAGACTGGGACAATTTGACAACCAGCAGCCTGTGCTCTTGGTCAATCACAATAACAACAAAATTGCTATCACCTATTACAATCGACAAAGGATGGCCAAGTGGTATCCAGCAAATTAGGTGTCAGGTCTGGCAAGAGTCCTTACAAAAGAATGGTTGGGACTCTTGGGAGTGGATATCAGCTGAGAATTTCGCTGATCATCCAACCAAGCTCTGGCTCACGATGGAAAAATCGGTCCGTGTGTTGGAACTTCTAGCACCATTATTTCAGCAGCATGCCTGCCGTTGAGTTTCGACCATTGGTCTTCATACAACCGAGAAAATAGATGGCACAGGTGTGGCGGCTGATTGACGTCCATGCATCATCAATTGCGCAGACATATGCGCAGTGAACAAATTTGAAACCAGCAATAACATTTTCATGTCCCAATACGCACAGATATTCAATTACAAACTAAAATATGGAAGTATAACAGGCCGAAATTATCTGTGGATGATCATAAGATGGCTGGTCTTCCACATGGAAAACAGAGAGATTGCAGCAACAGGTCTTCCTACCTCGAGAACTCCGCGATGAGATCATGGGGGTGCTTGTACTTTGTTGAGACGTTATTCAGGTCTTTACATGAGTTTCCCCAGATTTACAGGGATCCCACCCTAACAGATTTTAATTAAAATGAGCCACGAATGTCCTCTGGTATGGTTGCATTCAGACCTGCTATTTGGCGCTTCATCAAGGGTCAATCTTGACGGGACATGATAACCATTTTGAATAAGCCATTGAGTTGATGGACCACGAATGGAGTGTCAGTTCGAAGCAGCTATAGAATTTAGCGGTTGAAAAGGCCGACAGTCCAATGATTCTCTGTGGGGTCACTGCATTCTATCGCTGCATATAAAATCATTTCTGAAATTCAAAATGGCATATTGGAAAAGGAAATTTCAAGTTGACTGGTTGGTTTCTTCGTTTTCTTTGTTCTTGGTTGCCAGACAATAATGAACTCAGAGTATTCTCTTCCTTCTTTGTTTCTTTTATTTCTTCCGCAGACTTTCATTGTTATCAAGACAAACAATGTGGAGTACAATTAGTCTTGTTCAACAACATTTATATTCGTTCACAACTTCCCATTTACATGTCCTGTATCATGTTCATTTCTGTACAATTTTAGCGAACAACTTCAGAGCCACCATCCGTGTTTCTCAGTTGTTCAGCCTTGCATGCAGCAAAATCACTATAAATTCATCCAAATTCCAGGTGCAGATGTTTACTTTTGATTCTCATTTACCACGCTTCTAGTATTTATCAAGCTCACTGCGTACACGTACTATTTCCAAACAAACCACAACAGAACAACCCAACTCAGCCCAACACCGATTTTATCGTAATCCACAGACAAGTTCCGATCCTCCAATACACAAAAACCACAGAAAAAATGTATCCTTCTGCTCTGCACCCCACTGTCCCTGGTTACCATGGTCCCGCTAACAGCACAGTTTCCAGCATTTTGCCTCAACCCTGCAATGGCCAAGCCAATGATGCTTCGAAGCTAATCTCCCTTATGCGCTCTAACACTAATGATATTATTGCCATCAAGAAGAGCCTTGTTTGGGGCAGCCCGATCTTGAGATCTTGCGTGTTGGCTCCTTACCAACGCAGATATCCCACTTTTGAGAAGTTTCTTCGACATGTGCAGCCTTTGATCAACGCAAATGAAGTAAAAGGTAATCCGGCAAACGAAACAAAAGAAATTGACCAGGACAAAGACATGCAAGCCTTTGTTGACAAGCTTGTCAATGACGAGTCCGACGACAACTTCTTTATTCCCAGCATTTCCCCATGTTCCGCAGATATTGAAGCCTACAAGCCTATCACATGTTACAATGATTCTTTTGATCTCACGGAAAGGTACGCCTGGGTGGACAATCTGCTCGAGCAGCGATCTAACATGGAACAGTTCAATTCCGCAATCGAGGATGACGGTAGTGACCTCGACTGTATTCTTAACCCTTGTCTCAATGGCCGGTTCGAGTTCCGTCCGCTTCCCAAGAGTCCAGTGCCTAATAGACCATCTTCTAATGCAATCCAGCAACTCGAAGAATGGATCGAGTTGGCGAAGTCACTTGCCAGACGATTCGATACTCCGAGCATGCTTAGCAGTGCTACTGAGGAAAGCGAAAATGAGTCTGAGGTTTCAAGACATAAATACCAGATCAACAATGAGAGTCCAGCCTCGCAACTGTCCTATCTGCCTCACTTTCACTCGCCGCCGGCGTATTCTACCGCAACCTCGACTCCCATGCCAGTTCCCAGCGATGCAGACTCAGACGAGAGGTACAAATACATCAGAGAACGATTGGACCTTCAGACCGCGCGTATCAGAGAGACTCGAAGAGAAATAGAGGATCTCATGACAGACGCTGATTGGGAAGCAATGGCCAAACTTAGATATACGCCTGGTTACTTTGACCTAGATGAGTATGACGAAGAGGAAGAAGAAGGTTCGGAGACTCGATCCATCGAGTGTCTTCCCAGCTATTCATCTCTCCCACTTACCCATCATGCTATTACACACCCTGCCGCCACCCGTCCCAGAGCATATGCCTTTTCCGTATCTCCCACATCATTCCGCACGTCCTCAGTGCCCGTCACCGACTCTGAAGCAAGCTGGGGAAACCTTAACGCCGCTGAACTAAGCCTGTGGAAATTTCGGCCCAATGCTCCTCTCATTCCGAATGATAATCTCCAGGAGTGCACCTACTTCCACGAAGGAGTTCGCTATGATTCACCTTTTCCTGGATACCGACCCGCGTCCCACGGCAACGCGTTGAGAATCAGGTACGCTGCATCTTCTGTGACTTCTGAATATGGATCCGACGATGAGATTGACGTCGATCAGCAAGTAGACGATGATCTTCCGAGCTTGGAAGAGACAGTCGCAAAGTACCTGCGAGGCCTAGATGATGAAGAAGCGGAGGACGAAAACCAAGTGAACGCCTCGGCTGACAACAAGAATGAGCAAGAGCTTCAAGACGCACTCGCCGTCCTGACAGGTATTGTAGACCGAACTACCGCTGCAGTCGCTGAACTTGAGCAAATGCAAGCTACAGATGACGCTGTACATGGGCATTCCCTTCAGAAACCCAAAGCGCAGTCCCGTGCATCTTCCAAGAACCATCGCCGTCAGCGTCAGCGTCGTCGGAATCGTGCCCTTCGTGGTGATCATAACGATCGTCCCCGACGCTCCATGGCACGACCCGCTCCACAGGGACAACCTAGCTCAGGAAACCCAGGACGTTCCTCACCCGCGCCACTGTATCTTGCTACCAACGACCTCGCGCCGGCGAAGCTCAAGCATCCTCGCCCGCAGCGAAGTACAGCTCAGCCTGTGGCGGATATGGAGAAGATTAGTAGAGACCTGGAGCTCAAGGGTGATCGTTAGCAGTGTTAGTATCGGTCATGTTGTTGATCTTTTTGACATTTTATTCTTGCTAATTCTCTTGTTTGACATTGCTTGGGAACGAAATAGGTCTTGAAGTATAATAGATTTTGCTGTCTGTTTAGTAATTGAATTGTTCATTGTATCGCAATATTGTGCCCTTTGAGAGTGAGGATAAAGAATTTGGATGAATGATCAAATCAAGCGCCATTCTAGGGTTGGTTAGCGTATGAAGAGGGGCGAAAACGGACAAAGGAAGAACGATTCGGCACGTGAATCTTCTCTGGATTCGAAGAAATGTGGAATTGGGCAATAAAAGATATGATTAAATATTAATAAGATAAATTAATGAAGACACAAGAGGTGCTTTCATCGCTGCTGCGTAGAATATGAAATGCAAATGCAGATAGATGCGCTGCCATAAAATGGTCAAAAACTCTGCGACAATTTTTTCCCGGCTGCAAACAAACATTCTATCTTTCTCTCTATCCTCTCCCATATCTCATAACTAACATCCTCGTAACAGCATCAAGATTGACATCGTCGTAATCATTTAAGTGTATTCCCAGACGGGGGGGTTGGGGCCGGTGTATGCAGGCGCGAGAGCGTCAAAGCCGAGACAGTCACTGACCTTGCCGCTCGGGACGTTGGAGTCGCTGAGGCCGTTAATGTTGGCAAAGACCTGGTAAGGGAAAGTGCCATTCGCGTTAGGGCAAGCAAGGAAGCCAGTGGCGCCCAAGGCGGTGGTTCCAAAGTAGCCAAATGAAGAGCCGGGAGTGTAATTGAAGTCGTCAGTGGAGGATCCGGGCGGGATGTAAGCAGAGTGAGGAGCAGTGAAGCCAAGGTAGCCCTCGGGAGCGACGTAGATTTGCTGGCCACCAGGAACCTCGACGTCCTAAAAGGTGAAAAGATTAGGTTCCGTTAGAACGATCGTTACCGGAATGGGAACATACCAGAGAAGCGTAACCGCTCTCGTACGCAAAGACAGTCTCGTCAGTGTTGTTGGGGCATTGGGCCGCAGGCAGAGGGCAGTAAGAGGCAGTCTCTCTACCAATCCAGAAACGACCGCCGGCAGCGTTCACTTCCTGAAGGTGGACGGGCGAGGCGGAGCGCGCAGAGATGATGCCAAAGTAATTGGGAGTCGGCTGAGGCGCGCTGCTCGAAGAGGCGGAAGAGGAGGAAACAGAAGCAGAAGAACTCGAGGGCGACCCGGTGCCAGTGGGGTAGTAGGTGTAAGTGACGGTCGAAATCACGGTTCCGCAGGCAGGGGGAGCTTCTGATTTGTGATGGTCCCTGTCCGCGGCGATGAGAGCCGGGAGGGCAGCGAGGATGAATGCGGCGGAGAACTTCATCTTCGTGATGTCTGTTTGTCTAGCAGATGATCTCTGTTCTGGTGAGGAAGCTTTGATGGCGGTGGGGAAGAAGTTGTTTTCTAGGGAGGCATTGACGCTTTATATCTAGAAAGCCCTCGACGGTTGAGGCCAGTCATGCTTGCAATAATGCACCAGTAACTGTTCCAGTGACATAAGTCGGTGGAGAGACAATACGAGCAATGCGAGATGCTAGATGCTAGTGCTAATAAAGTAGCGACGCGACCAGCTTTGGAAAGGCTTCAGACGTGGGTCCGAGGGTAGCTGGTCAGGGTCGCATGGGTTTTTTTGTTGGAATTATTGACCACAGTAGCTCTCACTGGACAGTGAGCATCGAGCATCTTTGCTAGTCAGCTCGTGTCACCCTTGTTTAGGGTGGAGAAACAAGAGGAACCGTCCTTAGCGGCGGCGGGAGCAGGAAGGATTTGGGTATCATGATTTGATGATCAGTTTATCGTTTCATCGCACTTCGTAAAGGGGGAAAAGGAACAACAAAAGTCGCATAAGTCAATTATTTGTTGAGGCTGCTCATCGGTTCCTCGGTACAAAGGCTCAGAATAGTCGGGTCCCTGCGTTGGCGACGAACGGTAACATTAGCCATCATGAGTCGGGCTCAGAAGTTCTTTGCTTTCTCCCCACTGGCCAAGAAACTTGCCGTCATTCGCGCAGTTTCGCGTACCCAGTAAGGAATGACAGCCGGTTAAAGCAACGACCTGCTCCCTTAGTGAACCAGCACTAAATGCACGGCCCGTCCACTTGTGGAGCTCGGGTGACCCTCAGTTCCCTCGGAGACCTTTGAAAGAAGCCAAAAAGTTCTCGTATTTTCGCCGTCTAGCCTTTTTAATCCATACTTCCGAGGAGAGCCATCATCCTCTAACGTACTATTTTTGAAAGCCTAAGCAAAGTGCTCTTGTGGCGGTGCAGGAAAACGAGAGGGAGGCCCAACTTGACGTACAGCAGAGGACAGCTGAATTGAAATCGGGATACAGTGATGTCTCCGCAATGATGGTTTGATCTCTTTTGTGTTGCTTTTTCGTCACGCTTGCGTGTCCTTGCAGCTGCATTACTTCAAGGGATGAGCAAATGATGTTCAATCAACGTTACATGTGCCATCACCAAAACGCATGCTCGTCCTGAAGTAGCAATACAGGTACCTGAACTTACCGTAGCATTTTCGGCGTCCAGAATACACCCCTTTTTCGCTATTGAGGCTTGCGCCATTTTATTGGGTACCCTATGTGACTGTGGATTCATGGGAGCTGCACCCCGCGTAAGCAGGTACCGATACCCTCGATTGTCCCGCTGCAGATCTCCCATTGGAGGGTCGCACTGGTGCCTCACCTCAGGAATGATGATGTAGAAAGATGAGCTGAGATGAGCTGTGCTGGCCCTTCTCAGTCTCAGTCGGGACGATCTGAAATGAAAAACACGTTGATGAAGATCTTTGTCTCTGATAAGATTCTCGTGGGATTATCTTCATACAGTTTATTTTGATACAAACTGCTTCAATGGGACTATTCCCACTTGGGCCATGTTTTTGTGATGTCACCCGCAATCATTCTCCGCATTGAGCAGTCACCCTGTTGCTCGTCTTTGAGACTGGTTCTGCCTTTCGCTGCAATCGATTGAGTATCACCATCGCTTGAATTTGATCTGGGACCATTTTTCGTGATAAACGTGAAACTGTACTGACCGGGCAAAGTCTCCCGGATGATCCCAATCGTCAAATTGAAGAAGTTGAAGCTCAAACCGTCATTACTGAAACCTCGAGTTCTCTCGCCGAAGCATCAAACTCCGCTGATTCACTTCTATGCTACCTACTCCACAATGGCCGGTGAGACTCCGCCTCCAGCGTTTTTGACCGCCATGGAGCATGTCTACGGGTCAATAAGGTCTCTATCCAATGCAGACGCTTCCTCATGGACCCCACCTCCCATGTCCGAAGGCCACAAAGGCCGCTACCTTTGGACAGACAGCTTTGGCGTCGTTAATCTTCTGACCCTGTACAAAACGAAAAACGATGAGCGATACCTGTCGCTGGCTCGGCAGCTAATCCATAAGGTGCATTCAATTCTAGGTTTCACACGCGACGGGTCGGCTCGTTTGCCCGGTGCATCCGAGGAGTGGCCTTTAAGAGGAGGCTTACGTATTGGCAAAGAGGACGAGTCAGGACCTGACGGTGACGGCCAATACCATCACTACCTCACAATGTGGATGTTTGCCCTAAGCCGGATGACCCTGGCTTCGGGAGATCCGTGGTACAACGAGCAGGCTGTTTCGTTGGCCGAGACTATTCATCCCCGTTTTGTGTACCCAGCCCCGCACGGTTCTGGCGGGAGACCACGCATGGTGTGGAAAATGAGCATGGATCTTTCCCATCCCCTGGTCCGCAGCGAAGGGAATCTCGATCCCATGGATGGATTTGTTGTCTTTTCGTTACTGCGGCAGGTGGCCGCATCGAATATCCTAGAGAAGGAAATTGGGGAGTACAAACGGATTGTCGATACCAAATGGAAGGGCTACAGCAGTGACGATCCGTTAGATCTGGGTATGACGCTGTGGACCGCACATTGGTTCAAAGGAGAGCAAACGTGGGCGACGGGACTCGCTGACCGGGCAGTAGAAGACTTGGGTAAGTAGACTGTTCGAGTTGATTGTCTGATGCCATCATTTGTTTCATTTGATGTGTGTTCCCGTCTCCTTCGATTCAGATATCTCGACATGCATCTTTCCGTCGTGCATTTGCCGTTTGTCTGCCTCGAAATTTTGTGCGCATACTGACATAACCCCAAATGCAGATGACCTCTTTGAGCAAGACTATTTTGAAGTGCCAACCAGATACCGTCTTGCTTTTCGTGAATTTGGAACCTGCCTTGGTATTCGGAGTCACAACCTTGGGCCAGGATGGGACGCTCGCGCTAGGCAAATTACCTCTGCCTGGGAAAGAGCCAAGCTGGTTCCCGATCCTGCAGAAGAACATAAGTCCGGTCTCATGAATAAGCTTTTGCCCATCACCCTGGTCATGTACGCTACAGCACTATATCCCGGAGGTAAGCAAGAACGATATGCATTCAAAATGATCATCTTCTGACGCATGTCTCAACTAGGCTTCCGCAAAGGGTTTTTCGACTCTTAGACTATCTTGCATCGTCTCTATTTCCTCAACAAGCTTATTTGCTTTGAAATTTGAGCAAACACGGTCTGCACCCTTCCGTCTTGTTTCATGATTCGATATTTTTGCCTCCACCGACGCGTCGCCGGATAGCAGCATCGACAAACGACGCCTCGTCTTTATCAGAACAAAAAAGAAACACAACCCACGCCGGCGTCGATCAAGTCGGTCACAAGGGCAAAAAATTGTAAACCGGTGATGGTCAGTACGGGGGTCGAACCCGCGACCTTGGCGTTAACTTTGCCTTACTGAGTAAGGAGCCAACAAGGTATTAGCACCACGCTCTAACCAACTGAGCTAACCGACCGATTACCCGGTGCTTGATAGACGCCCAACCCCCAATATGAAACTTGCATTTTTCATACAGCGAGAAATGCCGGACGACATTCCTATGACGCTTTGTTCTAATTATTTCCAAAAGTTTGCCACAGATCCCAAAAGTTGGCGAATACATTTGCGTTTATTAACGGGTTTTTGCATGAAAAAAATGACTCACAACAGCAGGGTTTGTTATCATGGCTTCCCTGACATCTAGTATTTTATGATATCCGCCCTGCTAAGGCATCAAGTGAGTTGTATGCACTTGCAGTCAGGTTCTCCTCTCTGCTTGGTTCAAACGGAGTTTTTCTGCAGTCATGGGTTTCATTTTATGTCCTATGAGATACTATACAAGGATAGCGCGTTGGTGGGCAGGATGAAAATGTGATCAATCTGGCACCGAGCGTCAATGGCCAAAGAGAGAAATCAGAAAAAGAAGAAGAAATTTTCTTACCTGATGATATTATTGGAAATTCTGATCGAAGATGCCTGTAATATATGCATCTATCCATTGATCTCGAGGTTCTCACGCTGGTCTCGTAATTTTTGAATATTATTGAATTTCTCAAGTTCATTGAATATAAATACTACTTGCAATATTCTCGGTTGACGAGAACACTATTGTTTTCCTTTTTCTTCTTTACTAAACCATTAAAGGCCGAAAAGACCAAGATTGTCCTTGGTTCTGATCAACGAGATCAATAAAAAGAAGCTCAATTCCCAGAAAATAAGTACTATTCTCATCATACAGCCATGATTTGTCGCGTCTCCGTGCTGTGATCCTCAAGATTAGGCTAACACCGAGCACAGACAATACGGCTGGGTAGTACGACTGAAGACGAAAAGCCAAAAGGCCCAAGGTGGCTGAAACGGTCCACCGTAACACGCGTCGCGAGTGCCACGTTCCGCGTTCTTTCCCCCGCGCGGCATTTCTTATCGTATCAGTTCTAGTCTGTTTCCCGCGAACGTCGAAATAAATAATAAAAAACTCAGGGTCCCCTTTCCCCCAATTCCTTCCTTCCCCTTGGCTGTCTGTGCCCTCCAATTGAACGAAGTCATTGATTCTGTGCAATCCGTGCGCCTCGTCGCTTCCCCTTCCGCCACCACCCAATGGCGTCAGAGCCTGTGCTCCCGCCGCTCATTGCAGGCGGCGGCGATAACAGCAGCTTGGCCGACTCTGCCTTTGAGGGTTCTTCAAGTGACCCCGCCGTCTTCTCAAGCGATGATCTACGTGATGCCTCCTGTGACGACTATGTCTCAAGTCATCGCAAGAGACTGTATCGCGGGGCATGGTGGGGCCTAAACAAAACCCGCAGAAAGCTGCGGCGCACCATTGACAGTGGTGTCTTTATGGGCAGCGAGGGCACGGATGGCAGCGCAGATGATGTGCTTGAAGAGCTTCATGGAAGGTCGCCTCTCTCAACGGGTATCAATGGAGAAGTGAGACGACCCTCTGCGCAAGGCGGGCTGGATATATTTTCCCTGGCTAGCCAACGCAGACAAATACAGACCATTTCGACCCACGACAATAGATTTCATCCATACTCCCCGGCGTCGATCGCTCCGCGCATCGCAATTGAGTCGCGTGCGGACAATATCATTGGACGTTGCTTGGAAGGGGGCGTAGATCGTGTTGATCTCTCGTATGTATAACTTCCTTTGACCCCTACTCCTGTCAGAAAATTCTTCAGTGTGTTGTGCCCAGAATTGACCGGGTCATTGCTTTCATATCGACATCAGAGGCCAACGCCTTAATTTCCTTTCCAATTCGACCATTTCCCAGCTCAAGCATCTCGTCAAGACGCCGCAGTACGAAAGCGCTTCCTTGGACTCGGATTCGTTCGAGTCAATGATCCCTTCGATTGATCTGCAGCTACAAAGCAACCTGCTTCGCTCCTTGCCCAGCGCGCTCTTCCAGCTGGAGCATCTCACAATTCTCAATCTTCGGTACAATTACCTCTCAGAGCTGCATCCTGCGATTGCGAATCTTACGAATCTCGAAGAGCTTCACCTTGATGGAAACGATTTGCGCTACCTGCCCTATGAGATCCTCAAACTGCTAGGCAAGGACGGCAAACTAAGGAGGCTCTTACTCTGCTCGAACCCGCTACTCAAACTCGCCGCAGAGCCGATAGCCGGGCAGACGGGACTTCTCTCTGCGGCGGACGCTGTGGCCGAAGTTGTGCGCGCCAGAGCCCATGCTCGTGCCAAGGATGCCGAAAAGCGTGAGTCTGTTCCTGCCGGGGAGCAGCAGCCTTCGTCACAATCGCATCCCTCGTCTAATCAGCCCGAAGACTGGGAACCCCGTCACCTGATTTCCACGTCTCTCAAGCTCCTTGCCATTGACGGCTCCCTTTACACCAACCCCACGTCTACCATCACGCCTCCCTGTCCTATCATATCCTCCTCGGCCGGATCTTCTTTGGGAGTGGCCACTCCTGGCCCGCCATCTTCAGTCTTTACTTCTTCTTCCGTCTCTGCTGCACCATCTCTCTTCGAGACCGCTCTGCGCGTCTGCCACAGCAACGACGCACTTGAGCACCTGCCGGCGCTTCTACCCTTGGACACTCCAGAATCCGTTTCTCGCGCTCTTCGCGAGACCTTGCGCATCAAAGAGTCCGAGGATGAACGCGTGTGCACTGTCTGCGGCAAATGGTACCTTTTGCCCCGAACAGAGTGGATCGAGTGGTGGGATTGCATCCCCCCACCTCCTGGAGTCCCGCGCATCCCTCCTGCGACCGTTGAAGAAGAAGTGACGAAAACGATTGCTCGCGCCGTGCCTTTGATCCGAAAAGGCTGCTCGTGGGCTTGTCGGCCTGGTGTCCCCCCCCGCACGGAGAAAGCTGGCAAGTAGACGCGGTCTGAATTGGGGACGTGACTTGGACATGATGCTGCAAAATGGCCAATTGGGAAAGATGGCCATTGCTATATTCCTGTGCTTGCGCAGTATCATTATCCTTATCACTATCATCATCACTATCATTATCGTTATTATTATCGTTATTATTATCACCAGTATTGGTATCCTTTTCGGTCATCATCTGTATCGGTATCTTTTCGGTCATCATCATCATCAGCATTAGTATCAGCATTTTTTATCATTAGTATTTTTATTTTCGGTATCATACGTATCATTAGATCAATCAATCATATCTATTCCATCTTAAACATTCTTTTTTCCCTCATATATTCGTTCATTCATTCTTTCTTTATCCCCTATTTTTCTTTCTTTCGGCTTGCTTTTCTCAGCAAAAAAACCCAGAGATTTTCGTGACCTATAGCACTCATGGCCACCCTTGAAAGACTTGTCCCTTCAACTTGTGACCATCCAGAGCAACCGGAACTGGGTGCTGTACAACAAGACGTACTCTACTTATGCTACTGTAATGGTAGCTATCTCAACAAAGGCCGGATGGTGTAGTTGGTTATCACGTATCGTTAACAAGTCGCTCCTTTCCAGGACGCTTGGATTCCGATAAGGTCCCCGGTTCGAGTCCGGGTTTGGTCACTTTCTTTTTTGCCCTTATTTCTTTCCTCATTAGGAATAATTTTTTTTTTTACTTATTTTTCTCTTTTCGTTCTTCATTTTTCCCCTTTTGACACATTTCACTTTTGGGAAATTTTTCATTTTCACTTTTTCTATTTGCTTTTTAATTTTCAAGCGACGTGAGCGGTATCAATGAGGACGATGGTGTCAGTAGTTGACAGGTTGATGTCATTGTTAAGCGTAAGAAGGGGGGGTGCGACCAGATAGGTAAGTGGGCATGCGTAACTTGAGAGACATTCACTCTAAAGCGAATTGGAAAGAGGGGGAAATTTTTGGGGTTTGTACGTATCTACCTAGGTTGGAATTGACTTTTTGAGAATGTCTGAATGTGCGATAAATGTGTACTCCGTAGTACGGATTGCTTAGTGCAGATTTAACTTTTTGCTCAAGGTGGAGAACTACCTTTACGGAGGGACAATGGCGTGCTGCACACCTGGATGGTAGAATTGCGTGTACGTTTGAAAACTCGTATGGGCGGGCAGGGAGGGGCTACTTGGGCTCGCATTTTGCGTCAAGCGCACCATGGGCATTGAGATAAGAAATTTTTACGGATTTTCGAATTATCATGGTACAATGACGACAGAAAACACAAAGACGAAGATAAACAGGTACAAAGATAACATGCGACAAGGACACGTTCAGTCGTCATCATGATACGCCACATCCGCTTTCCTCGCACTGATCACAACAGATGATGGGGAGATGAGCTCATGCAGATGCTGTTATCAATCCTCCTTCGAGAATCCCGTATCCGGACAAAAATATAACAGGTCAAGAGTGTGCAAAGTTAAAGGGGTGCGAATGGGGTTGAAATAGACAGAGTAGGTAGACAAGGGCGAATAGAGTATTGGAGGTAGGTAGGTAGCTTCAGAATGCCAGCCGTCGTAAAAATCACATAGGACGCGTAAAGAAAAGCTTGTACGCTTCTTTCACGAAAGGAAAAAACACCATGGAGTCGAATAGTAAGGCTTTGTGTGTGATCCGATGCAAGATATCCGGAACTCCCAATACACCCATAGCTTTTGTTCGTTGTCTGAGTATCATCGGTTTCCATTGTCTTTCGAAAGGAAGACTTCCATCTTCTATCCGGCGGATCATCGTTAGAAGAAAAGGGTGAAGTAGAAGGTGTAGCTGTAGTAGGTGTATGTCGAAGAGTAAAGAAAGAGAAAAAACAACGAGAGGGAAAAGACAATGAATCTAAAAGAAAAACAAGAAAATCTTCTTTCCATCCATTAAATTTCCCCTCCCGGAGTTTGAAAAGGTGTCGTTAACGAAATGATACAGTTTCCCTCCAACTTGCAAAACCCCAGACACTAACGATTCTCCATCCTCGGAAACCTTCAAATCAACCCATCCATGTTTCCATCACGCGTGCATGCCCATATGAGAGAAAGACTTTTGACATGAAATGTTGGACGAATCGTTTACTTTCTCCGGAAAGAGCAGCCCTCGGTCAAACGGGCCTTGCCACCAGTGGGCTGGCAAAGGACGGTGGAGCAGCCACCGCAGATGACGACGGTCTGGGCGTGCGAGAAGACGGTGGTGATGGTGAAGCAGCCGGGGCACTTGACGTCCATGAAGAAGGACCGGGGCTGGGGCACAAGGGTCTATAATGTCATTGAAAATCGAACCGTTAGTTGGGATTCCTATCGATAGCATATTGTCGAGTGTGATATGATCGAATATAGATGGGTTTGTCGTGCTGGTGAGGGACAAGGAGCTTATCTCCAACGCACCTTAAGCTTGTGCTTGCGCGCCTCGTGCTGAGGGCTGGGGTTCAAAAGATCGACCGCGAGAACCTATTTATCAAAACCAACAGAGTCAGCAATCTGGCTGCCAACTAATATAACAAATTTTCGAATCGTATGCGATGGGTAGATGGTGGCTGGCGTGATGATGCCATTGTGAAAAATTGCGTCTCGTCGTCTAGGCGGCTATCTCGGGGGCTTCAAATGTCGTGTGCTTCGTGTTCGTCGGGGCATCGTTCGAGAGCAATTCGGCATGGGTAAAATCAAATAATCCTTACCATCTTGAAGGATCTGACTTAGACGTCGGATTCAAATTGAAACAGTGGATGATTCTGGTTGTTCCGATGAAAAAGAGCGGATCGCAGTCGATGTCCGTCGGTGGCGATTACGGGATAATCGACAGTCTCGTTTCGTGATGGAGAACTCGGTTGGGGCTCGTGGGAGCTTTCCGTGCGCTAAGGGCTAGGGCCTACTTTTTGGCGAAATTTTTCTCTTCTGTTGCGCAACGCTTTCAATTCACGTCTCAAGGCTCGAATAGTAAGGACGCCAATTGCGCAAATAATATATGAATTATGATTGAAATTGAATTCTCTTGAGAGATCCCCTGCTCGGTTTCTTATAGGAGACGTCGTGGTTCAGTTTTTTTCCCATCCGGTCGTGATGGATATGCTAGCCGACCAATGAGAATACTTTATCGAGTAATTCAGTCGAGCAGTGTCTGGCACATTCTACATGCGCATCCTTTACGGTTTTTCACATGCTCAATGGAAGTCAATAGACCTTTTGCAAGAAGGAAAAAAATAAATTAAGCATATTTCCCCTACTCGTACAAAATCTGGGGTATCGGGCAGACCGCTTCCTCCCGTGACTCCAACCCTCCACCAACTCCAAATTTCGCGCCCCCAAGTAGAAAGTGATAAACAAAGAAACCAAAGACAAAAAAGCCAACCAAAAGCATTCAACGAGCGTAAATCATGGCCTGATTACACAATAATTTCGCCACATCTTCGCTGCATTGCGAACAAACTCCAATCGCTCTTCGCCATCGTACAACTCCAAAACAGGCACAGGGAAGAGGGGAAGGGGGGAAAGAATTAAAGTGTAAAATTTTGGAATATTGCCACTATAATCAAGACATAATGGCGGTAAACATAGCTAGAGAGATGACTAGAAGCGCCATAGTAGGACAATCCACATGAGAACTAGCACCTTGATGTGCTGCTTGAGTGGCCGAAGCAGATGCTTCGCTGGTTGAGGATGAACTGGTTCCCTTGGTGGTAATCGTGTGCAGCGAAGCAGAAGCCGAAGACTTTAATGCTGATCCCGTGGCTTGTACGAGAGAATCAGTATCGGTCGCCAATGGCAAGGTGGTAGTTTCGTTCACAGCCACGATTTTTTTGGCAGGCTCTGTAATCTCTGGATACTTGAAGAGCAAGCTGAGGGTCCGCGTAATTGTAGTAGTAGACGTCGAGAGTTCAGTAGTAGTAACAGTCGTATTTTCGTCCTGCGCCAGAGCAAGGAGTGGAAGCAGAAGCAAACAGAGAGAATAGAGAAGCCGCATCGTGACCGTGTATGATGGATAATCTCCTTGAGCCGGTGTATCGTGTTTCCTCCAGAGAAAAGTGAAGGATATCAAGGGAAGCCCGTAATTGTTTGACGGTAAAAGTTCCTGAAGAATATAGTGTGATAAAAGAGTGTGATATTCGTCTCTTCTTCAGTTCTTGCAGAGCCGGATATGGCGACGAGGTCCGAAGACAGTTGATGGTGGTATCAGAACGAATGACTGAGTGAGAATAGGTCGGAAAAGACAGGCGCAAGCACAAGCACAGCTTGTTCAAGCAGAAATGAGTGTGATTGACCTGTAGAGATGAGCGTCTGGCCCTGGACAAAGAGTGACTGAGATGACACGCAAATATGCAAAAAAGAGAAAAAGAAAACAAAAAACAGAAACGCGACATGTCATGGGTCTAAGCGCCTCAATATATAGGTCACCCCAGCGCCTCTACACGATTGGGATTCCATATTCCCGGTAGATGAGAGGGCTGATCAAAGGGGCACATGGCAAATCATGAAGCGCAATATACAAAACGCCCCTGTTCCCAAGAACGAGCCATTTGAAACCATGTAGACCAAGCGACCATGCATGATGATGAACAGTCGCGTGAGCCCACACAGCCATTGAGGGCGTATGTCTTGCGCTTTTCAGGGCCAGGTCCTCTCATCTGCGGAAGACGCCAGGGTCTCCATTCTGAGACTCAGGGGCATCAGTCCGACCAACCAATGCGCCATAAAGTGTTTGCAAAACAGCCAGAGTGGACGAGAACAACCAGGAACCATTTACCACGACAAAAACATCAAAAACAAGACAATTTACTCAGTCGCCAGACATTCCCTCACTCACCTCTGGTCAGCTTTCTCCACGCATAATGATGAAGATGGGCGACGAATATTGAAGTCCAATTTCAGAAAGTCGCGTTGCTGTCAATGCGCGCAAACTAAAACCTCGTGGAACAGCGAATTATGGGACACGGACGACACTGGTAATGGGCACTGACGCTGAAGCTGAAAAGCCAAGGCCAAGATTCAGCAAAGAGGCCAAAGACCAACCAGTTACTGCATCGGAAAGATGCGCATTATGCCATGAGCCAGTGCCGTCAATGCGATGCGATGCGACCCGAGATGCGACCCGAAAACCATGGTGTTGCTCGGGGCATGGGGGGCATATAATAACAAGACTAAAATCTAGTACAAAATCCACATTACTGATTGTAGATCCCTATCGATTCCATGATGGTAGTGCGTGCGGAGCGGGGAAATGACCAAATCAGTACACAGGGAATACTTTAGGGCAGCACAAAGAAATAAAATGGACGTTTCCAAAGTGTATGCAAAAGAGCATACCTCGCATGGAGCATTGACCAATAGAATGACAAAGGGAGATGAGATGTGCTGCAGCCCAAGTTCCGTGTAATTTCGCGAATAAACCCTGTGCGGCACCCAAGTCAGTGTACCTTTCTTTATGCGAATAGGGAGGGAATTCACAGCTAGCAACGACCGGTCAAGTGTATTATATACATTGCTATTCCTGGTATGAAGGAGCAACAGTCAATGTTAATTAGTTTGAATGAATCCAAAATGATTGACTCCCAGATGAATCGAGGGCCAGATCCACCAATTAAAGTTTAGTGAGTGACTGGCGGCGGCTATCGTTTCTCTGTGGGGCTTTAGCTCCCTTTTTGACAGCTATCCGACTACTGTCTGTTTCGCCCATTCGCAAGCGCCCATCTGAAAGACATCAATGAAGAGATATATCATTCCTGAGTTGAACTCGCTGACAGAAGGACTCTGTGTTCGTGGTAGTCCTAGAGATAATATTTCTTCATCGTATTGATCATATGTATGCGAATCCAACATCTTCGCGCGTAGTGAATCTTACGGGTATCAGAAGAAGTCAAAATGAATGACTGACTATCATCTTGAGAAATTTCAATCTGCTGGTAAATAAGACCATTCAGACCGGCGACAATCATCTTGCAATGAGAGGTATAGCGAAATGAGGTCTCTTCTTGTTGTGAACTAATTTCAATCATGGGTTGAACTCATCCGGTCCGGGTAATCCCGCCCTTTTCAACCAACCCACCTCCAACATCGTCAGCATTCGATACAACAATCTCGTCCATAAAATTGCCGGCATTATTCATCGTTTGTTTTATATATTGATGACTTCGATTCCAATAGTTTGCTATGGCTCGCCGCCGAACAGATCTAAGCGCCCAGGTGAGGCAGCGAGCTCCAGTAGAAACAGAAGAGACAATAAATAGCAAGGGTAAGTTTCGACTGCCGATCTTCAAGCGCTTGCTGACCAAAAGCAGCCTCAAGACATGGTAAAATATACGCCTTAAGAACTACGAAAAAGCAGCTATCACCTTGAAAATGGCTATCGAGCGGAACATACCACGGAGCCTAGACAGGCTCATCTGGTGCAAAACATCATTATCATTTCAAAGGAGCAACTTTTGGTTTCTGGTACAGCAAACGGCATGTCGCATTTATTTACTAGAAAGATCATAACTCCCTCTCGGGGCCGTAAAAGATTGAAATCTGGCCATGCCGTGCCTAACAATCAAGATGGACGAAGACCAAGCGAAGCGAAGAGCATCGCCTACCGGGATGCGAACTACGAAGAGTGGCTTCAGGTACACGCCGGGTTCTACATGATCGAGCATGCGCTTCGGATCTCGGAGAAAAGTGAAAATCTCTGCAACAAACTCCTTGAGACGAAGCATATGCCTCCAACGCGTACCATATTTAGTGACGAGACTTTCGAAGAAGCCTGTCAAAGACTGCAAGGCAAAAATGAAGCTAGAATAGTACAAGATATAGCTCGACTGCTTGTTCCCTCTGCGGATGCCCTCGCTACGTTCAGCGACACACGTTTCGAGGTTTTGGTCGAGAGTGTCGACGAGGGTTGGAGTAATTCCATTCAGGTGACAAATCCTCGCCCACAACCTGATTATGCCGTTGGATTTAGGGAGACCGCCTTTACACCTGAGCAACTGAAAAAGCTCAAACCTGCATTGGGTCATCCATTGTACCAGTCCCATTTCATGGCAACCTACTACATGTGCTTCCCGTTCCTCACCAGCGAAGCCAAATGTGGTACTGCAGGACTTGGCCTTGCAGATCGCCAAAATGCGCACAGCATGACGCTTGCGGTCAGAGGCATCGTTGAATTATTCAAATTGGCCAAGAGAGAAAACGAACTAAACCGGGAAATTCTGACCTTTTCTGTTTCCCACGATGACCGAGCAGTGATGCTATACGGCTACTATCCTATTATCAACGAGTCCCAATTCACAATTCACCGCCATCTAATCCGCAGTTTCGACATTCAAGACCTCGATGGCAAGGAGAAATGGACAGCATACGGCTTCACTATCGAGGTTTATAACGAATCACTTAATCTCCTCGACAAACTCCGATCCGTCATCGACGAACTGCCGCCTGACTTCACCCTGGAACAAACCCAACCAGCGCCAAGTGATGAAGACTCTCAGCCTTCTGCGTCAGATGAGCTGCCAGAAAGGGCCTCTAAAAAACGCAAAGTGGCTGAATAGACTCCGTCGATATATATAGACGACTTTGAGACCGCGTATATGTAAGGTGTACGCTGTTTGCTCAGCATAGCCATGACCTTGGAACTTTTTGGCCTTTTATTTTGAACGCTTTTGTATCATGACACACAGCAAATCAGTCATGTCATTCACTCTTTATATAGTATTTACTCTGTTTGGATTTATCAACATGTATACACATTCTTGTACCCACGTTTAGCATCGTCATATATACTCCTTTTGAATGGACTCTCACTAGCCGTCCTTAGAATACTTATACTAGTACAGCTCATTGCATGCAACAGACTCAGAACACTACCACCAACTTACAAGCTGAACTATGTCGTACTGTAAAATATATCGTTTGTAGTGAAAGCAATTCTATCTTTAAGTAACAGCAACAGCAACCTTCTTTTTTAGAACCCCGACAAAGGCTCAACCACGTGACAAAAACAAGGAAAAGAAAGGAAAAAAGGAACCAAGCCCGCAATGCTTCCTGGTGATAGTAGTAGAATAAATGACTAAGAAAAATAATAGATACTATGATTCATAAACAGCCCCTAACCAGCACAACCAGCACTGGCTATATCCCTATATCATAATCTAAGCACTACCATTGACAGCAGTAGCAGGCTTCTCGACCGATCCACGGACGCCGCCCTGGGCACCGACTTCACGGGCGGTGATCTGGATACCGAGATCACTGCCGACGTTGATGACGACTTCGACCTTGGATCCCTTCTTGGTCGCCTTGATAGCGGCCTCTGCGAGGACGGTGTGGACCTTCCACTTCTTTTCGCGGATTTCTTCCTCTTCGTCTTCGCTGTCGGTGAAGTCGGAGACGTCGTCCTCTTCATCATCATCATCCTTCTTCTCGTCGGCCTTGGGCTTGGGCTCGGGCTTGCGCGAGTGGATCTCGCGCGCGGCCTCGACAATCTTGATCAGCACGTCGCCGCCCTCCTTGGGGGTGGCGAACTGGGCGGTGCGGCGGGCGGGCACGGCGGTCTCGGGCTCGAGCAAGGGGCGGAAGATGCCGTGGTGCTCCTCGGCGGAGATGACGAGGGCGCCAATGGCGCGGTTGAGGTGCGGGGCCACGGTGACCACGGGGTGCGTGGACTGCTCAATGTCCTCGTGCTCGAAGCCCTCGATCAGGCTGGCCTGGATGGATGCGCCGCGGACGGCGAGCTCAGACGGGTTGATGGCGGAGGTGGAGGTGGAGGGGGCGAGCACGGTGGTGGTCTCGGGGAATGCAGCGCCGACGACGCTGGCAATCTTGGGAGTGTGCGAGCTACCGCCGGACAGGATGACCTTTTGATTATCATGTTAGCAAAAGGACGATGGAGAGTACACAACAAAAGAGAGCAAAATTGGCATACCTCGTCAATGTCGAGGAGGTCGAGCTGGGCCTTGGAGACGGCAGTCTCGATGAGTCTTCGGAACTCGCCAAAGACCTTGCTGGAGAGCAGCTCGTAACGGGTGCGGTTAATGGTCGCGGAAAAGTCGATGCCTTCGGCCAGAGACTCGACGCTCAAGGTGGCAGTGGTGCCCAAGCTGAGAGCCTTCTTGGTGGCCTCAGACTCAAGCTTGAGCTTGGCCAGGCTGCGGGCGTTCTCACGGGGGTCGGTCTTGTGCTTCTTGACGAACTCCTTGGCAAAGTGGTCAATAAGGACCTGGTCCAGCTTGGAGCCGCCAAGCTCGGGGTCGTGAGCAGTGGCAAGGATGGTGTAGAGACCGCCTCTTGAGGCAATGACGGCAACGTCGGAGCGGGTGCCGCCGAGGTCAGCAACGACGACAATCTTGTCAGAGACCTTGGCCTCGGGACGGGCATCGTAGGCGAGGACAGCGGCAACGGGCTCGTGGATGAACTGGAGAACGTCGACGCCAGCAGCCTTGGCGGCCTCGGTGAGCGCAGCGCGCTGCTTGTCGGAAAAGTCGGTGGGGACGGTCACGACGGCAGCGTTGACCTTGTAGCCCAAGTACTCGGAGGCAGAGGAGGCAAGGCGGCGGATGTGGCGAGTGGTAATCTCAGAGACGGTGACAGTGTTGGGGGTCTCGGACTCGGAGTCGTGGATGGAGAAGGCAACGGTAGACTCGTGTTGCTGGGGGTGAGCAGAGGCGTGGGCAGAAGTAGGGTCGACCTGCTTGAAGCTGCAGTGAAAAAACAGTCAGCCAATCACTTCTAGAACTCCCAAACTTGGATATTCTCCTCCTGTCTCTGTATCTTCATCTTCCGTATCATATCCTTCATTGGCATCAACAACGTCAAGGGGTAACGTACTCCTTTCCGAGGAAATCTCTAAAGTAGGCAACAGTGTTCTTGGGGTTGCGGACGAGCTGAGCCTTGGCCTGGGTACCGTGGAATTCTTCGCCGGAGACGTAAGATAATATCGAAGGAATTTGACGGTCTGCACAATCAGCATATATCTCTTTTACTTTTAGGCCAACGCAACGAACCTCCTTCTTCGTTGGCAATGACTTCAGGCTTGCCATCCTGTGTCAATCGTCAGCCCAGTCTTTTTCTCCCCTATACCGAGGATTCTATCCCCCTCTTCAACCAATGGTCGGACTCAGATATTCAGACATACAGCACCAGTGTTGGCGATTGAACTGTGGGAGTTGCCAAAGGAAATACCAATGGCATGACGCTCAGGCGTCGACGCCGCAACTTCTTCCGCACTCATTATGAAATATATGACTAGGTTGTATCAAAAAATGGGAAAGTATTGAGTTCTGTACAAGTCGTAAAAACTATTGTAATCGTTTTCCGTGCAAGTCTCTTCGTTTGTCTTTATTGCGCAATTGGTTTTGCCTGAGCGCTGCACTTTTCTCTCTTCGTCCCAAAAAATTTCTTAGCGCCGACTGCCGACTATTTTCTGTCCACACTTTAACCGTCGATCAACGTCAACTGTATTGCACCCTGTGTATAGTAGCTATAGGGCTGCAAATATCTCCTCAACTCCAATGGACCGATAATTACCTACACACCTTTCTACACCCTGGACATCTACTCTACGATCCAGAAAACACTATCCCGTACAATGACAACCACGACATTCGTTCTTCCGGGGGAAGACATACCCTCCTCTCTCCTGCCCACACCATCAACCGGTTCCTCTGCAGCTCCGCTCAAGCTGGGCCCTGGACTCGCACATATCCCACCCGACACAATCACGCCCGTTGTTGCAGGAAACTTGTGTACCGATGCGCGGAAGAATGCGATCTGGGTAGAAAATCCCGGTGGAAGGGTAAGATGATCCCAAGCTCCTTTGTGAAGCAATGGAAAATTAAAACTAATGGAACTCCTACAGTACATCCCCGCCGCATCCGACCTCGTCATCGCCACCGTGCACCACAGCAGCATGGACTTCTACCACTGCACTTTATCCCCCTTCTCCTCATTGGCACAACTGCCCCAGCTGTCCTTCGAAGGGGCCACCAAAAAGACACGCCCCATCCTTGCGCCGGGAGCGGTCGTGTACGCCCGCGTCTCACTCGCCAACAAACACATGGATCCCGAGATCGAATGCGTGCACCCGAGCACGGGCAAGTCCGAGGGCCTGGGCGAATTAAAGGGCGGCATGGTGTTTGACATTTCGCTCTCGATGGCGCGGCGGCTGATGATGCCCCGGCCGCGCGAGCAAGGGAGGGTCGTGGTGCTGGAGGAGCTGGCGGAGCGGATACCGTTTGAGATTGCGGTGGGCAGGAACGGCAAAGTGTGGGTGGATAGCGAGTCGGTCAGGGGGACGTTGGCGGTCGGAAGGGCGATTCAGGAGACGGATCGCAGGGGGTTGGGTGTGGATGAGCAGGTCAAGTTGGTGAAGAACCTGGTCAAGGGGCTGTAGGTTTGTTATGGCGAGGAAGGGAGCGGGATAAGAGAATGGGATGGGAGAAGAGGAAAAGAAAGGAGGCAGGGAAGGGAAGGGGTGAGATGGAAGGTGGACAAAAAGGAAATGCATGGAATGGCGTTCTGGTGTTTGAGTATCTGAAAAAAAGATTTACTCTTCGGGATAACGGGATGAGTTGTTTTTGGGAATAGAATCGTCTAGAGTCAAAGACACTGAATGGATTTTGACAGTACAGCACATGTCGAGATGAATAGAGATAGATATGGATTGATATGTCAACGTGAATGGCCGAATAAGTAACTCTTCAATTGATGGTTCAACTAAATCTATTGATGCTCTGGACAATCAGAGTCATGCGAGATACGTAAATGTGATGCTCTGGACAACCAGAGTAATGCGAGATACGTAAATCTATTTACCTGGACAACTAGAGTAATGCGAGATACGTAAATGTGATGCAGAGCTAGCACACAGTGCCTAAGCAAACGGACCTCAAGCCAGGTAGATTTGGAAAAACAAGACAAGGGCAGGAAAAAAGCAAGAGTGACGGAAAGTGGTGGTGGCGGGTAGTAGAGGAACAGAGGAAACAAACACACAGACAAAAGAAAGAAAGAAAGAAAGAAAGAAAGAAAGAAAGACAAAAGAAAATTCAGAGTGAAGTTGAGAGAACAATCTGGGCTAGAACGTGTGTGAATATGAACAGAAATGTGAAACCATGAAAGAAAAAAAAAGTACCCAGGGATGTAAGCATTTGATGTGAATTGGGAATTGACGAAAGACAATAAAGAGTAATTAACAGTCGTCAGTGAACGCCCGCTGAAGAGCAAAAGATAATTTCAAATTCATGTCTTCATAAAACGATGCAAGCCGGCTTGCAAACTTGACCGCGAAAAAACTGCTCAGATTCCCCCCCGGCTCAAATGCAAAGAAGATTTTCTCTCCCTCAAATGTCTCATATCTCATCCTCATCAATGAAAAGCATAACGCAGCACAACGCCCATCAACCACACCACTATGCGTCAAGATATGTCGAGAAAACCTCAATCTCTGCAAACTCATGCTGACGAGGTCTTTGGCCACTCAATCCCATCTCAGCCCCGCCTCGGTTCCATGTGTTCCCTCACAAGGCCGATTTCCGAGCGCGCGATCTTCTGGTCCGCTTCTCTTCCCGAGGCTGCAACAACTGCTCCTTGAGCCAAGGGCCAACCGCACCTTCATCATTGACGTCGACTATTCCGCGAGCGGTCTTATCCTGTCCCGTGAGCTCGACAATCTCTAGACCTCTCAATTTGCTGAGCGCAGGCATTCCGGTGGCAAGCCTCATCATCGACGGGACGAAATACTTATGGTGCACCCCCAAATGTCGCTGGTTCAAGTCCATGTTGATGTGCAGTTCCTTTAGGAAGAGGCTTTCCGCGAGGAGTTTAAAGGCCTGGTGAGCACCCCAGCCAAATCCAAACGTCAGTTTGCTAATGAACTTGCGGCGCTTCGGACCAATGGCTTTGAGAAAATTGCCAAGTTCACCAGTATTGGCAAAGACGAAATGGTTCTCGTGGTAGAAGATGGATAAGGCCTCGTTGTATATTTGTTTGTTGACAAGCAACAGGGACAGGGAAGAAGGCGGGATGCGGATAATCTCTTCGTTGCCGCTGAAGCAATCTGTGCATTTGATCCGGCCACGAACCATGTGGCTGTTCAAGGGGCAGCGCGCCAAATGGGTCCGAACAAACGAAGTGTCGTCCGGCAGGGTCGGTTTGATCTTTTCGGAGGCGAGCAGATGATAGTGGTAAATTTCATTCCTCAACTCCGCAGGGAGCTTCAGAAAAGGGAACGGCATCTTGCTTTCAAGTCTGCTTACAGTGGTCAGATAGGAATAGGAGAAGCCTCTTTCGATTTTGCAGTCTCTGCTCACCTATTATTGAGATTCTCTACTCTTGCATTCATTTCTCGCAATTCCTGTTGGATTCGGACCAATCTGTCCTGAACGTTACTGGACGCGGTTTGACCCATTCGGTTACGAACAAGCAAATCGCAATATTTGAGAAGATGAAAGCCTTCCAGTACTCGTTATCTCTTCCACAAAGACGAGAGTCGAATACGGAATTCAATAATCGATATTGTTGTCTCGGCAGTTGTTTTCCTTTAGATAGCAATTGAAGCCGTTCCGGATGTTCAAGATTCGGCGACAGAAATGAGAAAATCGAGGAGAATATATCGCGAAAATTTCAGAGGTTCGACGGCGATAAGAAAAAAAAAGGATCCCGAAGCTTGAGTGGGAATTGACACCTGTCACTGAATTCAGAGATTAGTCCAGATCAAAACACGACCAAACGAGAGTGAGCAGGCTCAATTGGACTCGATTTACTAACCTCACGCAATATTGAGACTCGAAGCAATGCGGAATTGCAACAAATATAAGCAGCGTGCAATGATATCGTCAACGAACCACAAAACTACCGAGAGTTGCCGCCACGCTATGACAGCCCTAAAGCCTTGGAACGAAATACCGAGATCCGCAACGATCAACAACAAAGGCTCAAACGACAATTGTCCGCCTCGATGTTTGTAGATGAATTGAAAGACCGAGATCCCAACTCAACAAGCTATCACGCCACTTCCAAGTCGCTCGGCTCTGTCCCAGAAGCGTGTAACACTCTACGCCATATGTCCCAACGCGTATCTTCGGTATTGCGTACCTGCAGACTGAGCGGAGGGGGTCTGGACAATCTATCCGACAAGTAGTTGCACGTATAGCTACTTGGGCTCAATGGAAGGAGAACCTGTGGAGCCTTTGGACGGGAGAGTGTGTGATTGGTTGAAGCTTCTGGTGAAGGGGACGCCTGAGCGCCTTGACGAGGCCTGAAGGTTAATGATTTATCGTAGTGACCAGACAGCGAGAGGTCTAATCAAGACGACAACCTTGTAGACGGAGAGGAATGAGATGCAGTGAAGTAGGACGGTGACGCAGGACGTGAAGCCTCTCGGTGATGAATTGCATCAACGATCACCACGGCAGGAGGACGATGGTGTTGATGATGATAATAATGGAAGAAGGTAAGAGGCAGTAGTCGAAGTGGAAGAAGAGACACGACACGCGAGATGGAAAGATTCAAGAATTTAATTTGTTTATGCTTTGATCAAATTATCCAAAATGGGAGAAGAGGACAACGGTAGTCATAGTTACGAGTGTCAGGTCAAAACCCCAAGCGCGAGAAGCCCTGACGACGCAGTTGTAGAATATACACAGAAAGTAGAACCTCGGCCAAGCTAGAGACGCAGCTAGATTTTGAAGCTCGAAAAGAAAGTGAATGTCGAAGGTCACGTTATATTCTCCGAGGTAGTAAAATTGGCTGTCTTGAAGTTCGTTCGTCACGTACTGAGGTAGTGACGAAGGCGAGGGCCCCGGACAAGAATGACGCGAGAGATCCAGGGCCAGCACGATGAAACGGTGCATGAACTCATGGTGGGACGGAGTTTGTACTCAAGTATCGTACAGGGGAACGCCGCAGGGAAAAGATGAGGCTCTAGGAGAGGGGTGAAGAGCCATTAGACGGATGATAAGATCAGTAGCCAAACGATAACGTAGGAGTGTAATAGTAGTAGTAACGTTACTCTGCGGTCAGAGCGAATTCATTTCAAAGAGGCACAATCCATGACCTAACCAATTTGAGTTCAAGCTTATCCGTATTCGGCAGAGCGGTGACCGACCACTAAAGGCGGTGAGACTGGCAGCGTGATTCTGCCGGTCCACACTCTTTCCCCCTTTTATAATTCGAGCTGGCTGAGTCACTGCTATTTTCTAACACAAAGGACCTGAGGGACTATATCGTCAGGCTCCATTTTTAGTCTGTTGTCAATTAGTATCACGTGAAAATATTTGAAAATTCTTTCGTGGTCGAAAGTTTTGTTTGTTACGCAAAATAATGACGATTGCTTGAATTATCGAGGTGCTAATAGCACTGAAGATGGTCGTGATCTAGCAGCGAAGCATTCTCTTCCTAACTGTTACAGACTGTTAATTTTAAAGGGGAATTACTAGAGTGTCAAACTTGAATGATGATACAATAGAGTTGAATGACTGATACGATTCATTTACATTGTTCACTTCAGCAAGAAGACGAGTAAAATTATAGTGTTTGAAATGATGCATTTCTCAAGAAAAAGTGAAGCTCCGATGAGACTCCAGTCTAGACTCTAGCTCTATGCTCTATAGCATGTCTATGCCGAAAAAAAAAAAGTGAAAATGCAGAAAATGGTAGCCAAAATGAGACTCGTGACAAAAGATACGCTATACCGTACATGAGATGCATTCCAAAGTTCGTAATCATCGAAACCCAGGAGCCAAAACGCCAAGATCGTAAAACAAATCAGAGAAACGCCATAGGATATCGTACAGGTGAGTGAGGAATCGTCAGACTAGTGAGCAGGAACGTACTCAATCTGGACGGCACCACCCTTCTCGAGGTCGTCCTTGTGGGACTCGGGGGAGTCAATGCCGACGCGAGTGTTGCGGAAGCCATCGAGCTTCTGGGCCTGGAAGAGGTTGAGGTAGATGGGGAAGGACCAGGCAATGGCGAAGCCAGCCAGGGGCACACACATGGCGAGGCGGGTGCTGTTGAGGGCATCGGAGACGACACCGAGAATGGGGGGGAAGACGGCACCACCCGAGACCGAGGCAACGACAAAGGAAGCACCGCGCTTGGTGTGACGACCGAGGCCACGGATGGCAAGGGTGAAGATGGTCGGGAAGATGCACGACTCAAAGAAGAGCACGAGCGAGAGCATGGCGATACCGATGTCACCCTTGGTGGCGATGGCGGCCGAGATGAAGGCGATGATGGCGGTCATGAAGGCGAGGAGGACGTAGCGCGGCTTGACAAACTTCATCGAGATACCGGCGACAAAACGACCAATGGCGAAGAGACCCTGAGCAATGGCGAGCTGGTTGGAGCCAGTGGCAGAAGTCATGCCGGGCTTGACCTCGGTGACGTAGTTGATAAAGTAGCCGGCAATGGCGACCTGAGCACCGACGTAGCAGAATTGAGCAGCGACACCCCAGAAGAGAGTGTACTGCTTGCGCAGGGGCTTGTCCTCGAAACCGGTGTCGGCAGAGGTCTGTTCAGCCTGGTCGGCCATGTCGGCGTCGGTCACCTCGGGAATGGGAGCGAAGAAGAAGACGACGGCAAGGAAGAAGACGAAGATGGCAATGCCAAGGTAGACCCATTGGACGCTCTGAAGGGACTTGCCATTCTCACCGCCAACATTCTTGAAGAGGACCTGCGAAGCGAGGATGGGAGCGACGACGGTACCAATGGCCTGGAAAGCCTGAGCAAGGTTGAGACGCATCTCAGAGTACTTGGTCGGACCGCAAGTAGCAATGAAGGGATTGGCAGAAGTCTCGAGGGTGGAGAGACCGGAGCCGACAATGAACATGGAACCGCAGAAGCCGCCAAAGGAACGCTTCATACCCGAAGGCCAGAACATCAGGGCACCAACACCGTAGATGCAGAGACCAGTCATGAAAGTGTAGCGGTAGCCAAACTTGCGCACGATCCATCCCGAGTAGGTCAGAGGACCAATGAAGTAGGCACCAAAGTAGGCGGCCTGAAGACCCGAGGATTCGGCACGAGAGATGTCAAGCACCTCCTGGAAATGCTTGTTCAGGACATCGAGAAGACCATAGGCGAAACCCCACATGAAGAAGAGAATGGTGACGAGGGCGACGGGGAAGAGAGATTGGCGAGTGGTGATCTGAGAAGCGCCGGTGACGGTGTGGTCATCGACGGCCTTCTTGGAACGGTCATTGGCAATGGCCTCAGCAGCCGATGGCCGGCGCTGGCCTTGGAATGCTCCGGTAGTCATTTCTTTGGTGATGGTAGCGACTCTGGAGATCTTTGGCAGAGTGTTTAAGATGTGGTTTGTGCTGAGAATTGCGAGCGGAGTGATTGTTTTAGTAATGTTGTCTGATAGATGACTCTCTAATGATGATTGAGTGAGGAGATTTGAGATGGAGTAAAATGTAGATGAGACTATTGGATTGATTGCTTTATGAGATCGGTGGATGGATGAATGTATTGATGATTGATTGAGAGATGCTGTTGGATGATGATGATGGTAATTGAGGGAGAGGAGGTGGACTTATATAGAGATTTTGAACACGTCGACGACCTTGGAGGAGCATGGTTGAGGATGGTGGGAGCAATTGGCAGCAATGGGTCGGATTCGAGACGAACAGAGTCTGGAGTTGGCCTGGTTGGTACGGGGCCAAGGGTGGAGGAGCTTACTACTGTACTCTAGTTTGGTTCGTCGCCGTAGATTGAGTTAGTGGAGAAGTCGGTTGGGGGGCGGGACCATCTGGACTGGGGCGCAAACCCCACATGGACCGACTGTTTTTCCGTCCAGCCCGGACTGGAAAGGAAAGAAACCCATCCAGCCCAGTGGCGCAGGAGGGTCGGGACTCAACTTGACTGGCCCAGATGAATGGCGATTACTATAACTAGTAAAGCTAACAAAAACACTAAACTATATGGGGAGATTACTAGCCGCATGAGGCTTGACGCTCTGTAGTGGACTAAACGACGCCATTCTTGGCAGTTGATTGGCTGACACTCCTGACAGTTGATCCGCCCAAAGTCCCAACCAGACAATCCTTCGACTTTCCTCTTCTGCCCCACCGTCGCTGTCCAGACACGAGTGGGTCTGGGGAAAGGAGAAATTCAAGCGTCGATGAATGACCAAGCACGACGAGACGAGATGCTGGTGGAGACTAATCCCCAGATTGAGCCCAAAAATATCTTCTCTCTATTCACTCAACGTCACCACCTGGGTTTTTCCACTCCTCTGCGGAGGTATGCAATTGCACGATCCACCAATTGGTAAAAAAATTTTATTTGGTACTTGCATACAACTGAGTGAATTGACTTTTTCATCACGTAAGAGCTGCATATTTGCCTCAATGAGGCATTCCGCTAGAAGACTTGTCGAATCCGTTCCTTGCCTTCGAAACCGTTACAGCAGCACACCCTCAGGCAATGAATACGGAACCCTACGACAAAAAGTCGCTGCTTTCGTGGTCCAATGACTGCTCGACTTCAGCGCCACCCAGCCAGTAAGATGAAAGATTCGTCTACCCTAGCCAATAGAGATAATTGCCGGCGGCGATAGTGTCCGCTGTGCGAACCAATGGTGTCCATGTCCTGTCCTGTAAACACGAGACGCTATGAGTAAAACTTTCACTAGGTTCGGGCTCTATCTGGCTTCGATCCTCTTTGGCACCAAGTTAATCTCCCCACGGGGAGTAAAAGGAATGCCCGTGTCGCCAATGCGCACGTCCAAGGAGTGTTCAAGGCATCAGGGGTCAATAGCCTTGCATCTTAACAGCGGAGCCGTGGCGCTATCCTTGGCCCTCATGGCACACCGTCCAGGCCAGTCTGACCAGCGCCCCCCAGCCAAGGATATCCTCGTAAGAGACACTAGCATAGCTTTCCTCTTCAGTGATCTCCCCTTTCGGCCTTGGAAAATGTATTGTGCGAACGAACCAGCCAAGAAAGTAAGATCTCCCTAGACCCAATCGTCAATCGGAGAAAAAAAGGTAGGATAATGACCCACATTGGACTACCCCGCGGGTTTATCAGTTCTATCCGCCGGCGTCAAAGCCTAAATACCAAATGGGAAAATGGAATATCAAGGTTCATTGGCAATTTGTGTTGAGCGCCATTTTCATTTGGCTGGACGCGTCAGGGCTGAACGCATGACACTCGATAAACAGCCTGGCTGGCTCAACATATTTTCAGAGGCGTAAGACTTCACTGCGCGCCACGCTGGTGTTGAAACAAAACGATAGTCTCAAGGCGTGATAAGAGTACAGTATATTTGTTTGTGACAGTATAGTATATCGTAATCTGATCGCTAGCAATGCACAGGGGTGATGATGTGATGCAGAGGATGAACCTGGTGATGTATGCCAAGCAAGTGAACGAATCAACCAGTCTGATGACGATCGTGTCTGTGCTTCCAATGCCAAATCAACCCCAGAATTGACCAAATAACGGCCCAATAAACCATTTGAACAGAAAAGTCAAAATCGAATCATGGCCCCATCGTAGTCAAAACAGTAGCGTCGCCCAATTCCTTGGTCAAAATAGGTAGTTGAAGCGGCTCGAGCCTAATCAATTCCCCAGATCCAGTAATCAAGCGATAGAGTGGGGACTCGAATCATGATGAGATTGGATGTCGAGTCCTGCCATTTCCAAGGATTCGAGCATTGTTTGGACTGGGAACTGGACGCTGGGGAAAAAGTGGGTCAACCTCAGGCCATGCTGCTCAAGGAGTGTTCTGTAAGCGATTCATGGTCTAGAGCGGGGCGACCAGGGGAGAGGAGACCCCATGGATATACCTAGTCTCAACACCAAACGACTGCCGGCGTTTTCTCAATAAAGCCATGTCAATTTCCAAGGTCCCTGGCATTTCATAGCATGGATTTGAGAAGAAGAGTAGCGGGGCCTAACTCGGCTCCACATAGATTTCAGAGTACCGTACCGTTTGGGGATCCCAGTGACAAAGCTCTGTCCTCAATCTCCACATGAAATTTGCGGGGTCATAGACTATCCGCATCGAGGACATCAAGCTTATCCCCACAAACAAAGGTCGATTCAAGGAAGATGAGAAAAGAGACCCACTTGAGAGTCGAGACCCGTCTACGCCCATCTGAAGCAGTACTTCGGAAAGAAAAACGTGGCAACGTCCTGAACGACGTCAGTATACCAAAAAATGACATCAAATATATCGCGCAAGATTGATTGAGAAAATACATATTCCTGACTGAAGGTATGCCCTTGCTATATTCGCATATGAAGTATTACCCATCGCGAGATTCGCACAAAATTCCATAACATATTGTGGTATCCAATGGACTTTTGCTTATCTCGCATTTCTTGGCCAGCATGCTCCAGGGCCCCCCAACGACACAACGCGCTTAACCCCCAACTAGTGCATGGGATGCAAGGTTCATCGATGCGCGATACATATGCAAGGCGCCCTGTATTGGCCACTATTGGTTGCGACTCCTGGAAGGCGTCGAGCTTTCGACAAAAGAAGTAATCAGAACAAATGTCGTCGAACGTCGTGCCGCGAAACATGATCGAAAACCAGGATCATCAACGATGTTAACCGCCAAGTGCCAAGCGCTCTCCTGGCAACGTACTCCGTAAACTGTCACTGTAATAACTGTATCTCACCCACCTCAACTCGCCATGGCCTCAGCGCTTGATAGATTTTTTACCTGTGATTCTGCGGGCTGCACGCTACCAAGTATTCGGGGATTTGGTCCCTGTGAACAATGCAATCGTCAATTCTGCCTAACCCATCGTCGCCCGCCGTCTCATACATGTGACGACACGGTACCATCTCACGACTTTTATATGCCGTCTCCTTGACTTGTTCTGACAACTACACAAGCCCCTTTCAGATGATCTATTTGAAGCCAAAATACACGCTGAAGTAGAAAATATTCGCGCACAAATCAATGACAACGCTCTCTGCGAACGGGCCTCGGAACTAAATGGCGGTATCAAATGCGAAATTGAGCACCCGCCCGCATGGGGACGCGGATCCCTCATGGGCTGCGCCAACTATCACGCTCGCATTCGCTTTACCGATAGTAATAACGGCTGCTCTGCTTGGCTCATACGCGTGCCTCGAATGAATGGCAGTATTCCCCAACCACTCATCGACTACCTCATTCGCAGCGAATACGCCACGCTCAAATTTCTCGAAACGACAACCAAAGTGCCTGCACCCCGGGCATTTGATTACGGCATCGCTGGCGAAAACAAGAACAAAATTGGGGTGAGCTATATCCTCATGGAAGAAATGCCCGGCAAGCCCTGGAACATGCAAGGGCCGCGCGGGAAGCGCTCTGCAGACGACAAAGACAAGGAAAGAGTGTGGAAAGGTTTAGCAGATATTCTGATCGAGCTTCAAAACCATCCATTTCCGCGGGTCGGATCTCTCCTCCCGGGCCCTTCGCCGTCAGAGCCAATAGTTGTCTCTGCGCTCGCCAGTGAGCGATTTCTCGTTCTGAGCCCTTCGGGGCCATTTGATACAGCCAGCGATTATTATGCTTCATTTGTGGAGCAAAACATGGCCCTCATTGCGGATGGCCAGCTCTTCACATCTTTCCCTGCAAATGCCTATCTGGTATTCTTGTACTTGAAATCCCAGATCCACACTCTCACTCTTGCAGCAGATCCGGACTGTAACTCGGTGGAAACTCTAGAAAAATTCTACATCAAGCATGTGGATGACAAGGGGGACCACTTGATGGTGGACGACGAGCTGAATATCACCGGGATCATCGATTGGCAAATGGCTCGTGTCGTTCCTGCACGCGAAGCATTCGGTCCGTCTTTGGTGACTGCAGAAATGGGCGATATTTACAACGGCATGTCGTCGTTGACTGTTCATGATCTTGCATTAGCTCGCTTCTTGAAAGCCAAGGGCGCAGCTGGTTTGGCTCGGGTGATGAGCAAAGATGAACGATTGCGAAGATTCTTCTTTGGTCTTGACGTGGATCTCCCTTGGGATGAAACACTGCGTTTAGTCCGAGGCATCTGGGCTGCGTTTGGCGTCGAAAGGGATACAGACTGGACCACTTGGAAGACGGACATGATGGAGCGACATGGTCATGATGAACACCTTCAGCACATTTTAGATAGATTTGGGCCAGGCCCATGACAAGTTTCCGTCATCCGCTTTTGTTCTTCAAGAATGGATGTTGGTGTTGCGTGGCCGTTCATGTTCAATGAACACCCGGCCTCTTCAGCTGACCGCCCCCAGGGACTTATACGAGATGTTTCATCTTTTTTATACTCCAATATATGATATTTCCTCTGTTAAATAGAAAAATTATGATCAATACCAAGTATAACTTTGTAGAAATATAGGGCTTAGACTTATATTGAGACTTGCAACCATCAGAAATTCCCAATTTCCCAGTCAACCAACGTCCCCGTGTCTCCTGTCTCCCGCGCCTCTGCGTCTCCGCTCAAGATATACAGGCTACTCACTTCCATTACAGACTTTACAGTGCTATGCGCCGCCAGCGCTGGAGCATCTTATTCAAAGCCAGGGTTCTCCGATTAAATGAGCGCGAAAAAGCCAATCTAAACCGCTGGTTCGCACACCTGGCGCAAACAGAGCAGAGTATTTCATGCAGGAATGCCCCGAATTCCTGAAAGCTCGACAAACTTCATTTTGAACAGTACAGTAAGTTCTAATGCTTCTTTCTCTTCCAAAAAGTTTTGTGATCACCGATCAGCCGTGTAGTAATTATGCCGCATTGTCCACAGCAACGCAGCTTTGGAGAGGGTTTAGCCGCGGACTCCCCAGATGGACATACATCCCGCAGACCGGCTTCTATCTGGAACCGACTCCATAAACCTGGCCAAACCTTGGCCAAAAGTTGGTTCTGCAGAGGGGGTGAGGGGGTGGTTAGGTTCCCAATGGAAAAAAAAAATAGTCAACAAGTGGGCTCAAGGCATATAGATAGAGACGCGTGTGTAAATGCTCGAAGCATAGTTGAAAACTTGATTACAATATGCATGAAATAATCGAACGTTCAACGGCGGAGTTCTGGTATAGATTATATATAGCGCAGTTGGCATTAAGAAGGACAATGGAATGCTGAGAGGCGGGAAACACCAAAAACGTCCAAGTGACGGATGAAATATTAATGTATTGATCCAGAAGAATCGAATGGGACACATTGCAAAAGTAGTAGCAGCAGTAGCAGCAGCAGCAACTGCGGGAACGGCCGTGCAAGGGCAGATACATAATTATCTATAAACAGTGTACCTTTCCAGTCTTTTTGAAAAATATACATAGACCGTGAATAGCAAATCTCGCTATAATACATAGAACCTTCATACAATACGCCATAGCAGTGCAATTTGCAGATGAATAGTAAAAGAGATTGAAAGTAAGAGAGAACATTCATAAGAGAAAGATAAAAATGCAATACGTTCGTCAACGCTGGATACCCATCCCCGCGTTACTGAGCTGGCATAGGTACGACCTCCCACATTTTCTCCCCGGGTTTGCGCTTTGTTTTCAAGACTTGCAAGGCACGTATGCCACAAAAGCCGCCAGGAGGTGCTGTGTCTCGCACATCTTCAAATCGATTGTGAGGAGCAGGAATCCACACGGTATGATTCACAGACTGGCCTGGGCTCTCGAGGCGACGAGAGTTTAGTCTGGGCAGGCCAGCGATTTTGGAAATGAGACGGTGGATGGGAGGATACAACTTTTCAAAGCGCCGGGTCGTTTCTAGCCATCTCTGAGTCGATTCGTCGTATGCAACGCGGATGAACGGATTCACGTATATGCCCTTGAGAGTACCGGTGCGAACTGCAGCTGCGGCTTGAATGTCTGCATGAATGAGGCAGCATTCGGAGCTCTCCCAGAACATTTCCTTTTCAGCGCGAAAGCGGAGCGGAGGCTGTGGAACGTGGTCTACAGACTGCTGAAGGTCTATAACAAAGTTTAGCAAGCATGCAATGGACGATGGCAGAGGGGATCGATACATACCTAATCCTGCAGGAATCCATGAAGCTTTGGGTGGTTGAAACCACATTGCATCGAATGCAACCATTCCGCCCCAGCAACTTTGGACGGGAATGGCGTCTTTGCCGCTTAATACATCATTCCTACTCTGACCAGGAGTAAACCAGGGAAAGAAAGGGACTCCCATACTGTGTCCGTTGACATCTCGAGTCGCAAATGTGTCATAGAACTTGAAGGGGTTGATAAAGTCAACAGCACAGGCAGCTGAGTACTGAGCACGCCCCTCAGAGTCAATATTGGTAGAGAAAAGAAGGTTTGCCGCATCGACTGGAGAGAAGACAACGTCGTTCAGGAAGAGAATTTTGTCAAACGCGGTAAATTTGCCAATGGTATCAAGAGGCTGCAGCGCTCGGTTTCGCACTGTGGCCAAGTACTCAATCCGTTTGATGCGTTTCTCTCCCGACGGTAACTCTACCTTTGGAATATTTTCCCTCGGGAGGTGTTCTGAAATGATTGTTGATCGGCCTTGTTCAAGACATGAGAATTAGCACCAGAATGCATCGAAAAGTCCGCTTTACATGCGAAAGCAAGAAAAGAAAAGGTTGAATTCCAAGCTCCTACATTTGACTTTCTGCCGCAGCTCAGCAAGAGCTTCCCTGGTTTCAGGGCCACTGTCATTTTCGTAGATGCTGAGGTAGGTATTCTCAGCCCCGAGTTCGTCAATCAATCCTATCACAGCCTGTCCCCATGCACCCCGGATAAGATCTGCATCAACAATATTGGCTGCTATGAAGACCTTTTCGTTGAATGGGTTGCCACCGACGTAGTGAGCCGGCCGGTGGAGATAAGAGGGATTCAGTAAAGGGGTAAGGATAATCAGCGCAAGGAGCGCCAGGAAGAACAGTGATATGAAGGAGAAGCGGCGGATTTTGCGACCCACACTCGAAAGAGCGATCCACACGATTGAGTAATAAGACACTTCAGCGGCAGGTCTATCTTTGCAGGCGTGCCAAAGCTTTGCGAGCAAAATAGTGTGACCGGATTCATCTCCTGCAGAAGAATCTCCGGCTCTTTCACTCGACGTTGGTAACAATTCATAAGAGTGACCCTGACGCTGCATTGTAGACGACAGCAAACAAGATCTGGAAGCAAATCACACTGGTTGGAACGAGAGTCATTCCATCTTGACAACCCCCACAAAATTCTTGGCCAGAGCTCGGGAGGAAGAGGCACTGTTAAACTGGAAAAGCTCTGAACGAGCATAAAGCCGCCATTTTTCATTGAGCGTCCGGGGGGGCGCTGCCGCGTCAGAGCGGCGGCGGGGGGAGCCAACAGGCATACCGTGCCCAAATTATCAGAATTCAGCTGGTTCATTGAGCCCGCCCCAGCATCCCCGTGGAGAGAAATGTGGGTGCAATTGTCTGGCAAGATCCATGCTACATACCTAGTAGGGAGGTATGTAGATACTGTACTGCAGGCATCTTGTGGGTCCAGCAATTTTTTGTTTCAAAAAGATTGAGATGTCGGCAGATGGCGGCCCGACATTATTAACCAATTCTATCATCATACTTAGTTCTCTTTTCAAAGTTATTTCGGCGCGTCAAGCAGAACGTACATACGGAGTATGTGTGACCTCGATGTAAAATCTTCAGATCCCCTTGTTGACATGATTGTGCATGATTCTTCTGCACCAAAAACTGCCCCATAACGGCGCAAGCAGACCTTTTCTATTATCAGAACAGAGCTGATTTTCCAGTCACAATTGCATCGAAGTCGCAAAACTAACGATCAAACTTTGTCATAAAATTTCCCACGTAACCTTCCTGAGAACAGCGCGGATAACCGGCCCGTGGCGGGAAATCTCGGGAAATTTCGCAGAGCGAGGCCCACTAAAAAATGGTTCAAAACCTTGCTGCAACGTCTCGATGAACAAATTTCGTACGAGGAGTGACATTGCGCCCAAGTACTCGCCCGCTACATCCGCCATGGGAGGCACCTGATGTAGTGCATCGGAGGTTATATGTTAGATCATTGGCTGGGGTTGAACGAGTGAGAGCTTAAGTTGTGTTTTTAGGGCGGCAGAGCCAGAAGATTAGCCGCTTGGCATCTCTTCTCCGTTAGACGCCGGCATAAGCGACAAGGAGAACCCCTGGTACGTGCAAGCATGAGTCGGCGTATAAATTGAGATAAATTAATTGATCCCACCATATTTACTGATCGGTTCGATTTATCCTGGTAAACCAAAGCAACCTCTACTTCGGACAAGATTCCGTACAGAGCAATTATAGCAAGGATATCAAACTTTGTGAATACGAGTGAGGCCGATCGAAGAAGCAAAACGTGCAACTTTTGAAGTAACAAATCGTCAGTATTTAACATAGCACCGATTTTAGTTTGCTCAACTTACAGTATATAGCAAAAATTAAACAAAAAAATAAAAAAAAACTACCACTAATTCGTATCCGGCTTAGCTTACGTCATATGGTGTATTCAACGACCGAAATTATACGAAAGTTCTATGAGGATGAAGTGAACGGGAAAAAAAGGTAAAAAAGAAAAGAAAAGAACAGAAAAGAAAAGCGCGCCAAAAAGTGGCCCACGAACGCCAGAAATCTCCGGTCAACCGGGTACCAAAAGAACTGGTCTCTTGGCAGACTTGGTTACCCTTTGTCTAGCCCACGTTGGTTGGTTTGTTTCGTCCCTCGAACTCCCTTACCCCTACTTGTCTGGTTTGGAACGCTGTACTGCTACTGGGAAACGCTTCAACATACCTATCGTGTAGGGGATGGATGTCAAAGAACCAAAGAGCTCAGCCGATGCTCGACTTCCTATCTTTCTGGAGTAGATTGTGCTCTGTTTGATCAAGCTAACCGTTCAAAGCAAATGAAACACTTTCTAAAGTACACGGCTGTTTTATCCTAGTCAAGGTTCTTCAGAAACACTCGACTGCTTGCCCCCTTGACCTGATCTTGTAGATCTAGAGTGGCTCGATGGTGTGGGGCAAAGTACAAACAAACGACCTGGGTGTCTTTGTAGCTCGTGTTTTTTTGATTTGATTTTTTCTCCATTTACTTCCGATTTCCCCCTACTATACCACTGGGTCTTAGTTCTACGTTTACTGTTGTATACCAAGCAAAATTAACTCGTTTGACAGGTACATCCTAGTCAATGCAAAAGATTGCTCAATTTTCACAAATTAAACAAGAAACCTGCTGTGAAATCTTACAGATATTGCAGACTTTTGCCAGTTTAAACATTGACTCCAAACTCAAGTCGACTCAGTATCTTTCTACCTTTCGAAATCTTTGTTTGTCTTGTCATCTACCAAGACCGCTATTTATCTGGTGGAATCTCTTCCAAACTTAAAACTACTGTCTCACTGTCCACATTGCGGTAATTTCCCTTTCGAATATACGGCCACAAGAACGAATACTGATTAGCAGAGAGGCCCCTTGATAACTAATATTTTATTCTCTATTAGAATTACTTTACAAGGAAGTGAGACCGTGATCCTCATCAGCACAGCTAAGTGTAAGAGAATCTCCACCACGAATTGTTCTTAAGTGGAGCTTGCAACAGAACTCTTTAGTTTGTTGTGACCTGCATGAACAGGGTGTACTGTTCGGATTGCCAAACACCTTCTCTAATTGGGGTTTCCTTGTGTAATTGCCAGGTTTCATACTAATAGGGTTAACAAGTATTCCGCTGTCTCGTTTTTTCATACCCATCTCCTCACGCGCACGCGCCCAGTCCAACGATGAAATGATCAATTGCTTGTCTACATCCCCTTCCATGACCGGTAAGGAACATGGTATGGAGAACCGATCCCTGAACCCTAATCATGCTATCTCATAGTTATCCAATTCAGCAAGGAATTAGAGTGGTGGTCCGATATCCGGACATTCTGTTGACAACCCACTACAATCGATCTCCCGGCGTGATTCGAACGAGCTCAATATGATAGCCGCGTTGGCCCTGGATACCCTGCTCTTGATAGCGTTTTGTGAGAATCTCGTGCCAATCGGGTTTACCTACGGCAAGATCCCGAGAATCTGAGCTGAATCGTGCCTTTTGAGGTCTTGATACGCCTTCATGGTGCGGGGGCGAAAGGGGGGCAATGTGCCGGGCCACCGCCGTGCCGAACTGCTAGCTAGGAAATGATTTAAATATGCCAGTCAATCTCTCGTTGGAAGTTCGTCAGCACAATACCAAAGCATTGCAAAACCTGTGTCAATTGTCTGAGGTGAGTCTCACAGTTGATCGAGGTTTAACAATCACTGATGAAAATCTTAAAAACAGGACATCTCGTCGTTCATCGTCAAGCCAAATCCCTGAATCTGCTTCAAGGAGCTTTTATTTAGGTATCTTCATCTGTACCACCATCTCGTTTGACATGAAAAAAGTCATTCTAACGATCCTTTTTGGGAAATTTTAGTCTTCGAAAATGCGCTTCCAAATCGTCGGTGCGGCGCTTGCCCTCATCTCTCCCCTTGTCTCCGGCCTTGGAATCAACTGCCGGGGAAGCAGCAACTGCCGCGGCTGTGCTGTTAACCTCTCGTGGTTGCAGGACCAGATGAACGGCATCTCCGATGACACTTGGTTTGCCAATGGGCAGCACGTTACTTGCCACAGCTGCGAGGGCTCGCTCCAGAATGGCCAAGTCTGCGTCTTCGTCCAGAATTACCCTCAGGGCCTCGATGCTGGCACCATCAAGTCGAAGCTGGGTGACCTTGCCAACCACGGGTGCAATTCTTGCGGTAGTTGCCCAATCCTTCCTGGAAACGATGTCAGCACCGGCATGGTGACTGTCAACTATGTTGCTTAAAGGCAGATGTATTATGCTTGCAGCTCGTGGGTCCAAGGCAACTGCGGGCTGGTTAATTACAATGGATGAAGGGTCAGAACTTGGAAATCAATGTGCAAGTGATGAAGACCTCAATTCTTGTACATGAGTATAGATTGCAAGTAAATACATTGTTTCGGTTTCAAGAGAATGTCATGGCCAATGGATTTCAACATTCGGGGGATTCAAATGCGTACCAATTCCTGTTCCTCTGAGACGGACATTTAGTATGTGACACGAATTTTGGATAAAATTGGACAATTTCCGACAATCCTTGTTGTTTCTGGTCTCATCCCAATTCCAAGTTTGCAAAATCTTTTCCAGTTTCGTAGCATCGTGATAATGCTGGGAGGCTGTTCAATGTTGTGATGTTCCCGCGGCTGCGCGGCGGCTGTTTCGACAAGCCCTAATTATTTAGCGGCTACTTCCATTGGTATTATACGGTAGCTTCCTTCCGATCCGAGGGTGGGTTCCGCGGCGATTTCGCTAGAGTCACTCAAAGTACTCTCTGTATGGAGCGAGGGGAGTACGGAGTACGTGGTGTCGGAACACCTGCTTCCAACCTCAAGCGTCAGGGCGTTTAAACTTGCGACTTTCCCCAGATGGCCCATACGCTCTCTACCTTAGCTCGACTCCCACGGGTAACCGTCGTATTTGAGATTGTCGTAAACCAACTTACATATCCGATATATGCGCCTCTCCATCATCTTCTCGTCAATCTTCCTTTTTATGTCGTGGAAAAAAAATAAGCATGTTATATAAATAAATCCACCTTCGGGTCTGATTCTTCGCACGCGGGTTTGGAGAGTACGTCTCAATCGCCACTTCCACCCATCGATCGTTGCTCCAGGTTATGCCCATTCGCACAAAGAGTCCAAGATGCGGCGGTCGACTGGATCTACCGATTAACCGGTTATTGTCGGAGAGAGAGAGCTCACAGTAATGTGGAGCATTTCCGGAAAAGGGACAATACAAGAAGATATGAATCGATTAAAGAAGGAGTTAGTAAAGTAAGTATGGATAAGAATATATACGTATATAAAATCTCCTATCAAATAAAAAGGTACACATGAAGATGCGACACTAGTGCCACAAGAAGTAACAAAAGCAAGTAACAAAATGATGAGAGGAAAGAAGGGGTAAAATGAGCTAATGTGGGTTGAGAGTGAAAGGAGCCACCCTATCTTATCCTATCCAGATTAAGATAAACGACTCGTCAGGTATGTGCGCTTGGGTGGTGCTACTCAGATTTAGCACGCACAGCTCAACACGTAAGAGGTGACTTTGTGAGACTTGTAGTCGAAGTTGGAGGTAATAGACAAGATGACAAAAGAAAAGAAGAAGAAAAAGGGAAATAAGAGACAAAGTCGCCTTGTAGGGTTGTAGTTCATCATCATCATAATCCTAGCAATTTGCAATTCGCGCTCGCTCAACTGACTTGCCCCGGCATGCCAGTCGCTAGAGGTGCATGGTTCAAAGATATGAAAAAGAAAAAAAAATTACAAGATTACAATGAAACAGTAGAGAGAACAAAGGAGCGCGGAAAAGGGATTAAAATCCCGGCCGAGAGCAAAATATAAAGAAAAACACAAAATGAGGAAAGAGAGGTCGGACCCGAATGAAGGACAGAAGACACTAAAATATGCTGAAAATACAGGGACGAGGCTTGAAACATAGCCGAATAGATGGACGCTAAGAAGATCGAGTCAAGACCGGATGATAGGGGTAGCAGCCGCGCGCTGACGACCATAGAGCAGGACACGAGATCAATACCGGTGCAATTCCACGCCGGATCACAAACCTCGGCTATCACCAAGGCCTGCTCGCCCGTGGAATTTGTGAAATGAGAAAGGAAGACAAGGACCAAGAGCTGTAGTGAGACCAACGAAGGAGACATGAAGAGAAAGCCTGACTCAAAAGAGGCAAAGATGTAAGTTTATTACAACGTCGGAATGAGAGTGTAAATGACTGCCTGCCACAAATGGACGAAAGAGTACCTCAAAGCCGGCACCGATCTATCCGAATTGAACAGAATATGCATCTTCGTTCTCTTTTTTGGTGACTGAGCCAATGATTCAATGATCAAAAATTGAGGTTCTCCCACGTTTATACACAAACGAGGCATTGCGTATTTTGTAACCCAGAGTAAGTTGTAGTCACAAAATTCTGAGAGTACAGATCCAAAACGAAAGACGTGATGCCCTGACGTAGAAATGGCCGGAACAATCATAAAGGAAAGAATGTTTATATGCGAAAATCGGTAAGATCAAGACGCCATGCTCCTGCACATACGCCTCATCAAGTCAAGATAATGGCAGCAAAGCGCAGAGAGAATTCCGTAGGGAGGTGGTTGGAAAGAAGAGAACAAATTTGGGTTGTACAGTTGGGAATGAGTGAATGCTACTCTCCAAGTTTGCCGAGGCGAGAGCTCGAAAAACCGAACAATAATAACAGCCCGGGAGATAAAGCTTGACTTGAAATGATGCCACGAAGACCAATATGACAAGCTATGAGACTTTAACGGTAACAGTGACTTTTTATCGCTCAATCTTCTGCCATCCATTCAGAAATGCCATTAATCCAACACCAAGCACGACCACTCCAAGTATGGAAGCGTAAGGAGCAGACTGTGCCAGGTGATTTTGGGCGAGCATTCCTGACCGAGACAGCGCTGCTGAATTGTCCATCTGTAGTCCTGACTTTTCTGAATCGCCAGTTGCTGTTTGATCGCTGGAGAGGATGCCTCTCATCGAAGCAGAGGGCGATGGGGATGAAGAACGTTGATAGGAGCGTGATTGACTAGCATCTGACTGTGTAGCAATTTCCGTGTTGGTATTCCTTGTCCTCTTCCCTTCCTGAGCTTCCATGTCTCTTCGAATGGACTCGACCATTTCTGCAAGGCTCTTTTTCTCGGTGGCTCGCTCTTCCTCTGCGACCTCGGCTCGTCGTTTGTACTTCTCCATCTGCTGCTTCATTTCGTTCATTTCAATCGTCATGAGGTCAAGCCTCTTCTGAAGACGCGCAGCAGAGGCTTCTGCGGCCGAAGCTTCCTGCGATGTCGCCCTTGGTACCTCATCATCTACGCCATCGGTAGACGCTGTCGAATCGCTAGGCTCGTTTGAGTCGAGGTCGGGAAATTTGGAGACTGAGTTAGCGTCAGTCTCTTGGCTTGCACCTTCCTCTAGAGTTCCGTCGAGTCCGCCCGTCGTAGACTCTAGCTCTAAGCGCTTGGCTCGCTCTTCTGCACCCTCACGAGCCGAGCGCTCTTGGGTCAACAGCTCCTCCAAGCTCTTGACACGTGCTGCTTGGGCGTCAATCTCCTTCTTCGCTGCTGTCAAAGCTTCAATGAGAGAAACTATTTGATGCGGCGATTCAGGTTTTGAAATGGATCCGTTCATGGATGGAGCCTTTGGTCGCTCAGTGTCAGAGCGTCTGAGTGACGGCTGGGCGACAGAGTCTATTGCGTTGAACCGAGCAGAGTCCGGTTTCTCGGGTAGCGGCTGTTGTGGCGGAGGAGCCGGAGGATCAGGGAAACGCCCATTGATGTCTACCTTGACCGGCGTGCCTGTTGGGCGTGGTTTGGAAAGTTCATTTGCTGGATGCTTGCTATCCTTCTTGCCATCGTGCGTCAGGAGTGTATTGAAATATTCTCCGGTTCTCTGAAGCTCTTGTGACTGGTGCCTGGCCACTCGAAGCTCCGTCTGCCAAGGAATAATTAGAACAATTCCACTAGTGATCAAGGCTTGCTTTCAGGAACAACTTCGGCTTACCATTAGTTTCTTCACAATTTGCTCCATTGTTACTGGTGTTAACCAAAAGTTTGTGTTTCGTTGCTGCGCCATGGCACTCATGTTGCTGCCAGCGACGCTAGGGTTAGCTGGTCCGAGTCGGCCATTGGTACCCAAACCAGCTTGGTTATTTCGTGCTCGTAGCTGAGCGACACCTTGGCCCAGCTGCTGACCCACCGCCAATGAATTGGGATTCATCGGGTCAAGATCCCCAAAGTTAAGATCTAATGCATTTGGACTGCTCAATCCAGCATGTTCGACACGAGCAGCCACCTTGTGATGTACCACCGTTTTTTGGTCCTCGCTAACAATATCAATACCCAGCTCCAGCATGTCCTGGTCTCGCAATTCATGGGGTTCCGAATCTCTATTCTCTGGCGACAATCGCTGTCCGTTTACAAAGGTACCATTGGACGATTTGACATCTCTAATCCATACCTTTCCACTTCTATCTGCCCACACTTCGGCATGCTGTCTTGACAGGACTTTTGAGTCGAAATAGCCATTGAGAGGAGTGGGAATCGTCTTGGCATTTGTTTGCCGACCGATCCGCAGGACTTCAGGATAAAAAGGAACCGTGATTGTCTTTCGCTCAAAAGTTCCATTCATCGGGAGTAGTATGAGCATAGCCGTAGCCTCTCCTTGGCCTTGGATGCCCGCGGCTCTGTTGCCATTTTGCTGGATATGTTGCGAGGGAATCACCGGTGAAGGCTGATGGATTGCGGACATTGCCGAAACTGCCGAAGGCCCTGATGCAGGCGATGCAACTGAAAGAGGCCTTGCAGGAGAGATTCCGGAGATGGGTTCGGCCTTGGACGATGGCCAGAGGCCTCTTGATGGCTTCTTTCGCGTGCCCCAGCCGGAGGCCTCGCTCGATCCGGTAGCGGAGTTTCCGTTAGGCTGTGCGGCAGAGTTTGTGATCGTCGATGTGGAGGATGAAGATGAAGCGATGGAGGAAGTCGAGCCAGTTCGCTGGCCGGCTTTTCGTGGCATAAAGATGCGGGAGATATCGTCCGGACCCATGGAGCTGTGACCTGGCTGGCCACCGTTACCGTCGTTCCATGACGTCCGGGGAATATGCTGAAATGGCGAAGCAACGGCAGTCATGAGTTGTTGAGTAGAATATTCAAACGCTTAGATTGAGTCTTGAGGTTCGATCATCACACTGCTCGCGTGTCGTGTGCTCGCGAAACGAGAATGAGGCTGAACGATGGAGTTCCCAAGTCAACGCGAAAGCGGTGGAGAGATGAATATGATGCCGTGGTAGCTCTCTACATGGGCATCAGCCGAATGAAGGAAACTTTTTAATCCGGAGGTCTTCGAGGAATATGGGCAACACTTTTGGTTTCACTTTTCGACATGTCAGCATTTCAGTTGCTTGGTGCGAAACAAAGGGAGTCGCTCTCCGCGTCGGGCGGAAGAGCGAACACATAGATGCCATGCAGGATCTCAGGACTCACCGAATAAGCGTCAAAGGATAAATCGCAGGGCAGAGCTGACAGGAGGTCGTGGCAAAGCGAGCGGACTGGGGATGAATAAAGAATAGAACTGAAGTGGGTGTTAGTATCGTTGTCGGAAACTCTCTTTTCGCTTGGGAGACTCTGGGCCGGGGAATGCTTCAGGTATCGATCAAGTGCAAATATTAAGGCGACGCAGCAACCCAGCGCGTTACGAGGTACGTGGGTGCGGGTAAACCTTGTCAACCGCTTGAATTGTGATTCGTTCAGCGACTTTGGCTACAATGGCATTGGTCTACGTAGTACGACAACAATAATGTGGAAGGAATCACTGCAGTGCGCAGTATTGTACGAGTACCAATGGGCGTGATTTCTGAGCAGCGACTGAGCGAATCTGGGAGGTTATTGTACCATGCCCTTCCCAGAGTATACTTTCGCTATGGAGGAAGACGTGTTTCCCTCGGCACATCAAGTAGACACAGCGTAATATCGAGGTGCTTTGACAGACACCTCCACGTTCGAAATGGTCCTGAAATGATGATCGGTGTAAATACTCTCAAAGCCGTGTTCGATGAATTTATTCTGATATTACCCTATTATGACTCGAGAATTGCTCTGTATCTCAATTAAAAATGATTTCCTCGATGTAACTTATCTCCAAAGTCGAGGAACCCCAAATTCCAGTCATGTGATCTACAGCATGACGGAGATGGTCCGTGCACGACATACAGTTTAGTGAGGCCGGTGAGATGCGGAAAGAAACAAGTAGAGAATCAGAAATTGAGCTGCTATCCAGTCCCATTTGAGGACGATTTCAATTGGTCGCCAAGAATCAGTATCAATTGTTTATAACTACTGTCTTATCACCAGAAAGTTTCCCAACGAATCGTTCAGAATGCCCGTTCCTGTTGGAGCTGCCGGTGGAGGCATGCAAGGTCCTTCGACCTTTGACAAACGTAAGTTTCTAAGCGCTGAGGTTTGGCTATGCATTTTAGGCTCTTGTTAGAAGCAAATGAAGCTAATACTTTGTAGTGAAATTGGGTGCGATGATGGGTGGATGTAGGTTCCGAACTTTGACAAAAGTGTCTTTGCTCCGAAAGACAAAACTGATAGCTTAATTTCTCGCAGCTGTCGGCCTCATCATTGGTTTCATCTTCGGTGCGCATGCCACATACTCATCATAATCTTTGCTGTGCAGATATTGACATAAGCTAGGCGGTGTCAACATCATCAGATTTGGTGCGGGGCCGAATGGCCTCATGAGAACACTGGGCCAGTACATGCTTGGTTCTGCCGCGACGTTTGGGTATGTTCTGCCTCATCTCAGTCAAACAAAGGCGCTTGCTGATGCTTTTCGAAATCACCAACAGATTTTTCATGTCCATCGGTAGCGCTATAAGATCAGAATCATCCCCCATTGCTCACGAGGCTTTCGCAAAGGCACGACGACACCCGATGATCATGCCCCGACAGTACTCTAGGTTATCCCAGCAGCAGTGAGCGGTGATACATTCGGGAGGGTGAAGGGTTAAACATTGCGCCGCGGGGGAACATAAGGGACTTCTGCGGCCCTCAATTTATTAGGTCCATACTTCCAGCGTACTCTGGATCTTCTTTCGAATTCCTCGGGCCGCATTATTTCCAAGCAATATGTACATTATTGGACATGCTCCAGACTCATGAAAAAAATTAAGCGTATTGATTATCCAGATTAAAGTAACTAGGCGCACTAGCCCATGTCGACTGTTCTGCGGATGTAGACAATTACAGTGTAAGTCGCTAATGTCGATCAAAAACCATGCGAAAGCGCGAATGCCGACATGTGATTGCGTATGCACTGGAAGCTGCAATGCCTAAGCGTGAAAAAAATTTGACTCATTTCATGACCTCATGCATGTACAGAAGAGAATGAATAAGAAAATCGATACCAAAAAGAGGGAAAGCCTTGACCTGAAAGATGCTATCGGGGATATTAAGAAGTAAGGGCTGTGGAGCCGGATAGATTGCTGAAATAAAGTTCGTGGGAAAGCGGTCGAAATAGGTATGAAGAAAGCTGTACACCAGTGCCGCTGCAGTAAGGACAAACGAAGGGGAATTCGAGGTGCAAGTCTGTAGATTACAGAAAATCAATAGACGATCACATGAGCGAGCAGGTGCTTTCATTTTTGGAGTTAGAGCTGGCTTTGACCGACAAAGCCACTCTTGCAGCTTCGGTGAAGGCCTCGTTGACCCCTCGGTTTTTCATAGCGGAGCATTCTGTCTCAGATTAGCTTCGAAGCTTGCGTGCCATCGCCCGCAATCCAATCTCTTACCCAGATACCGTAAAGCCTTTATCCTCTTAGCCACCTCGAGGCCCCGGTTATAATCAATGGTGGGCTTCTTCTCTTGTTCGTTGACAACTCCGGCATCATCCTCTTCTTCGGCTTGCTGCTCGCGCAGGTCGCACTTGAGCGCAACCAAGACAAGCTTAACACCCTGACAGTTCTCTGCAATCTCTCCAACCCATTTCGATTCAACGTTTTCTAAAGAGTCCTTGGAATCGACCTGGCCAGTAGTTGCGTTAGCCAAAACCGCCGAACAATTTCTGGCCCGGCCCCACTTACGCTAAAGCAGAGCATAATTGCATGGGTATCATCGTATGAGAGCGATCGCAAGCGGTCGAATTCTTCTTGGCCAGCAGTATCCCAGAGACTCAATTCAATGTGTGTACCATCAACAAAAATGTCTAAATCGATCAGCGATTGCAGACTGTTCGGCAGTCCCATCACGACGTACCATGGACATAATTTTCTAGTTGGAGAATCAGCGCAACTGTAATACAATGAGGGGAGGAGAGAGTTGTCACATACCGAAGACTGTAGGCTCACTTGGACAGGCGCAAAGCGTTAACGGTTGGTCAAGGATGAGTCGATTACAACTTACTAAACAGTCGGGAAGTAGCTGCAGAGATGCCCGTCAGTAGATGTATATTATCGCGACCGAGAAAATAGCTCACCCTCTTGTGAAGACATTCAGTAATGAAGTCTTACCGCAAGCACCGTCGCCTCTGTGGCACGTTAGTACTTGATCATGCAGGAATGTGAGAAGGAACGACATACAGAAGCACCAACTTCCGTTGGACGGTCTTCGAACCACCACAAAGAGGCATTGTGGTAATTTGGCGTAGAATTGAATTCAGTAGGATAGGTATGAGAAATTTTATTGTATTGCAGGCGAAGTTGTCAAGATGCAATGGCAATACAAGAACGTCGGGGAACTGGCTTGGCGGGTCCGGAATGACGCCGAGGCAGCAGATACGCAGCAATGAGGCGAGTTGAGAGGGAGACTAACTAACCTCATTTTGCGTTCGGCTGGGGTAAACGGAGACGAACGAGACCAATCCTCCCTCTCCTCCGCGACATGGTCCCTGATTCCCTGGCGAACTATGACTGGTTGACGTCGCTGCAAAATAAACCATGAATATGCGGAGTACACCCTAATGAAAAGTACCTAAACGTACAAAAAATGGGACAAGTATGAATAAAATTGAATATGATGGGAAAGAATTGAAAAATAAACTGAAAAATAACAAAAATAAAATAATAGCAAGAGTCAAATGGATTAAAATTAAGATTAATTAATTGATATAGGAGAATATCAAGAGTCTGATGCATGCGGTTGTTTGGAGCTGTATAAAACATCCCATGCTCTCACATGATGCCCCAATACACATCGAATATATCAACATCCTTTCGCAATATGGGAGCATAAGTGACACTGGGCTCTGAAAATACATTGCTCGTGCCTTCTTGTTTTACATGATCTTATCTTGGAATGCTTGAAAACATGTGCGCAATATTCACTTGCAAAAGGAGTAGGTATACAATGCTAGAAGATTAGCATGATCCAGATAGACAGAGAGCAAAACATCGACTTTTTTTAGAAGAACACAGCAGCTGACGAGCAACTCTCATTATGTGCGCTTAGACAAGTCGAGTAGAGACAATTTGGCGGGCAAAAGCGCTTGGGGCCGATGCGGCCGGAGGCGAGACGTGGAGGAGACTAGCGAGAGCTCAACTCGGCATCCGTAATCGCTATCGGTTGTTGTCCAAATAGTGGGTAGCTAGAACTAGGCAGCTGGCTCACCACAAACTCCACTCGAGACACAAACATAACTCACGACAGAGATTCAAGTCCTCAATACGATCTCGCTGTCCTTGCTCTGCTTCGATCTTCTCATAGGTCTGCACTTGGAACACTGACAGCACCCATTTACCACCGCGATAACAATGTCTGACGACGATGACTTCATGCAAGATTCTGATCAGGAACAGTAAGTTGCAACTTCGGGAGTCTGTGTTAAGGCAACCACTAACGGCAAACTAGATACGATTTTGAATATGAGGATGAGGACGAAGAGGAAGATGGCGGAGACGTCGATATCGAAAACAAATACTACAATGCCAAGCAAATGAAGGTCGACTACCCGGAAGAAGCAATCGATGAATTCTTAGGCGTTCCAACGTTGGAGCCAGAGAAGGGAGACTGGTACGAAGAGGACATACCGGACAATTGTTTTCCTTGACTGATCAACTGTAGGGGCTTCAAAGGACTGAAGCAGGCCATAAAGCTTGAATTCAAGCTCCGTCGGTATCAACAGGTCAGCCAGACCCCGCTCGTAACAAACCATGGGATGCTCACATGTCGCTGCAGGCCATTGAGCATTATCGAGAATTGCTCACATACGTCAAATCTGCTGTTACTCGCAACGACTCCGAAAAGTCTATCAATAACATGCTCGATTTCATCGAAAAGGCGTCCGAAGATGAGGGAGCTTACCAGTGCATGGAGGAATTCTATTCACAAACGCTAGCCTCCTTTCAAAGCACAAATAACGAGCGGCTCTGGCTGAAGACAAATATTAAGCTGGCGAGGCTTTGGTTAGATCGCAAAGACTACGTACAGTTGTCGAAGAAATTGCGCGAGTTGCACAAGGCCTGTCAAAGAGATGATGGAACAGATGATCCAAGCAAGGGAACATACTCTCTTGAGGTCTATGCCTTGGAAATCCAAATGTATGCGGAAACTAAGAATAATAAACGACTCAAGGTACGTCATATATTCTGCCGTCGAAAGCGAAGCATATCGTAACTCAGATTCAAAAGGCTCTTTATCAGCGCGCTCTCAAGGTGCGATCGGCCGTTCCGCACCCGAAGATTATGGGGATTATCCGCGAATGTGGTGGGAAGATGCATATGAGTGAAGGTGCGCTTCAGCCTCCATGATAGAGATACACCATGCTGATCATGGTCCAGAGAATTGGAAGGAAGCGCAGAGCGATTTTTTCGATTCCTTCCGAAACTACGACGAAGCTGGGTCATTACAAAGAATTCAAGTGCTCAAGTACCTGGTCTTGACTACCATGTTGGTCAAATCCGACATCAACCCCTTCGATTCGCAGGAGACGAAACCCTACAAAAATGATCCGCGGATCGCCGCTATGACCGATCTTGTCGACGCGTATCAGCGAGACGACATTCACCGATACGAATCGATCCTTCAACACAACCAGGATGTTTTGAATGATCCATTTATTGCTGAGAATATCGACGAAGTCACGCGGAACATGAGAACCAAGGCCGTGCTCAAATTGATCGCCCCGTATACCCGGTTCACCCTTGCTTTTGTGGCCAAGCAGTTGAGGATATCGGTTCCAGAAGTACAGGACATCATCGGGTTTCTAATCGTGGACAAGAAGCTCCAGGCCAAAGTCAATCAAGAGAATGGGACTGTTGAGGTGGAGGTCAATAGCGATCTCGGTCGCACCCAAGCTATGCGCGAATGGAGCTCGGCCATTGGTTCGCTTTTGAACACCATTCTGAATGAGGGCGAAGGTTTCCACTCAGAGGAGTCGCCGTTTGCTGGCGTCGGCCACTCATCTGGCATTGGGGAAGCTGCGGGATCACTGCACGCATCCAAATTCACGGGCGGTCCAGGCAGGCCGAAGGGCGGCTTCAAGGCTCGGGGCCTCATGGCGGCGAGGCCGCCGGCGCCCGGTGTTAAATGAAGAAAGTCTCGTTTGCTCTCCACTTCAAATGTCTTGCTTTTCTTTCTCGGCCAGCTTTCGGCGAGGTGAACGGGCAGGAGTCAGGAGCTTGGAGCCGAGCGCGATCGTGCCTGTTGTGCATGTGTCACCACAGCAGGCTCGGGAAAGCCCGCGAAAGTGGGGCGGGGGGCGACACGCATCGGGGAGAGGGGGAAGCAAAGGTGACGGGGAAAGGAAGGATGCATCTTTTGTTTGTTAGAGATACTTTTTTTCTTTTCTTTTTTCCCTTTGTTTGCCGTCGCACCCTTATTTTTCACATTCTTATTTTTAACACGCATCATTTTTACACACGGTCTGCGGCAGGCTCTATGCGGTTTGGTTTAAGGTCCACGGAGTCGGGCGTTCCTGCTTGAGGGGAGCGGTCTCAAATTCCGATCAAGGATGTCTGCCTTGACCCGGTTCCTGATTTACGGAGCGTCAATCTCTCTACGGCGGGAATCTGCGACGGGACTGGTTGGTGTGCTTGGACTGGCTGATGCGGGTCGCCGGTCCCAGCATCAAGGGACGACAGAAAACAACAAAGGCAGAGCTTTGACATTACTGTGTATTCGCTGGGGGACCAGGACCGGCTTGTTACAGAGCATGGCACTGCCAGATCTTCGGAGGATGATGAGGGAAGGTGGATGGGGGAGGAGTAAGAGGCGTGATCAAGATGAGTTTGGCGATATGTAGTCAGATATGCTCGATCCCCTTTCCACTATGGCGGGTCGTCGTTCCCATGTCCGTCTCCCATCGCGGCGGCCGTGCGTGTCGGGGGGGTTCCTTACAATGCGCTAACTAAGGGACCTAAGGGTAGTTAAGGCAGGCCAGACTGCTTTCGGGAAAAGCTCCACTATGCGGTACGAAGCACTACGGAGTACACTGTAGATGGAGCCCGAGCGAGACCCGACAATTGATGTTGATCAACGACGCCAATTCATTCTCGTTTATTGCTTTTTCTTGATGATCATGACGATGACGATGTTCTTGTTAAAGCTGCTGCTGCTGCTATTGCTGCGACTAGTCCTGCTACAGTTGCCCACTACGATTGCTTCTGCTTCTAGTAATGCCAACGGATGCTTTTCACTAACACATCTTAATACTGTGTCCGTGCCCTGTTGTATACCTTGCTCCTAGTCTCCCTCTTTCTCTTCCTCCTCTCAAACCCCCCTGGTCGGTCGGGGTTGACAAGCCGAGGCATCACCATCATTCTGCTGGGGTACGCAAGAGACGGACAAGTCAAGTAGAGTACTATCGAGGTCGTGCAAGGGCAGAGAGATGCCCCAATCTAGTTTTTGGTGTCATATTTTGTGTCGGAGTCGCCTTTTCTAAATTTACTTGGCGTGTCGTGGTCATCATTATTAATCATTACTTTCATCATCCTCATTGTTTTTTTGTGCTGGTCGCCATGTCTCTGTTCGCTCACTCTCTCTTACCCTTGGCCAACTGCTCTTCTCTAAATCCTCGTTCTCTTGCCTGCCATTCGTGGAGGGGGGGGGGGGGGGGGAGCGCAGGCGTGTATGTGGGAGTCGTGGGCGTGTTTTATTACCCATCACATTTCTGGGGGCACCAACACCTTTCGGCATCTCCGTCGCGCATCTTCCTCTCCTTGGACAAGAGACAGTCCCATTGGTCCCCCAGTCCTGACGTCGCACATGACTTTGGGTCGCACCAAGAAACCCTCTTGAGCCATGCAGTCCACTTTGAGCATTCCACGACCTCTTCTTTCATTGTGCTCGTTCTTTTTTTTTTTTGCCGAGAAAGGTAAATAATATTGTACGCCTTACTAATGCCACGAGACTCAATAGGGACGCGATGTATTTTCCACTTCTGCAATTGCACGTTTTTCAAGGTAATTTTACGTTTGAAGGTTGTCCAACTCGATGGCCTACGCAAGATGCGTCAATTCCGCTCTTCAATTTGTCACTGTCACTATACGGCAATGCTAATCGACCAGGGCTCCACAATAATGGCGCCAATCGCGAAGAACTAGGAACTAGGAAGCCTGGTCACCTTAGCTCCTTCTCTGGCTGGCTGTCTGTCCGACGCTGGACATGACCAGGGCATGGTCATGGGCGTGTGAGGCTGGCTTAGGTTTCGCGGGTCCCGGAAAGGCCCCAGACGCTCCGCTGGGACGGGAAGCTCAGACAATCGATGCATGGTTATCTTCAAAAGAACGTGTACCGTACAGGGGGCAGGGACATTGCACATACATAAGGTGCGTCTTTCCAAGACGCCGGTGAATCTTACATGATGATTGATAGTAGTTAATAGATGAAGAAGATCAAAAAAGAAGCAGAAGGCGGTGATGACTATGATGATGAAGATGCTTAGCACACACCGATGGGTCTCCGCTTTTTTCACGTTTTCAGCATCGTGCCGGTCTAACATTCCCACCTGGGCAATCGTGAACCCGTCATCTGCCATGGCATCGGGGCTCGACTATCTCATACATTCTTTCGTCAGGCTGTTTGATCCGCACGCAAGGCACGGTCCTGAACGCCCTCGGCCCTTCCAGGGATCCATGATCATGGAAAGATGGATGGGGCTGCTAGGGTCCCGGATCTTTCATGGAGCTCTGACTTGTATTCTTGGGATATTCCGTGCGCGCGCACTGTTCAAGTTGAGGCCGGCCACGATGTGAGCTCCCATGCTGACCTTTTTCTCTCCCACCCTTCATCCCCCTTCCCCAAAGTCTGGTCATGCATAATGTGCCTTTTGGCGCGCGTTTGCATGTGTACTGCTCGGCCCCTGGTCTTCTGGGTGCCATAGTCCGGATCGGACACGAGATGGGGCTTGCTTTCTCAATCACTTTTGTGGCCTTTCGCCAAACACCCCCGCTCGCTCAACTTTTCTCCGTCTTCTGGGCTTTCTGTCGCGGATCCACCTTGGCTTTCAACCCCCCCGCCTATGAGTGTGTGCCCTAGCGATCGTAATGCCTTGCCTCGTTTCTCTCTTTTGCTTTCCCTTTTGCATCATCCGCCGTGGGTCCAAGGTCCCCTAGCGCATCAACCTATCCAGGGGTGGGAGGGGAAAAAGACAGACTGTGGCGGGAGCTAATTACGCCCGCCGCGAGCATCGTAGACATTGGCTGCTTCCCAGGAGCATCTACTCTTGACTCGAATGGAAGTATGCTTGCTTGAAGACAATCAGGTACCATACAGGGAACATATTGTGATGCTGTCGGCTTTGAATGCTTAAGCTCATTCCACAGCTGGTGATATATCGGAAAGACAAGGGAATCGCATAAAGAAAAAAAGGCTGAAGGGAGAGGAAATAGGCAAGAAGCGCGAAAGAGCATCGGGACCTGGCGTTTACGGCAAGCAAAAAGAATAGTCTATCGAGGCCCCGGGAAGCCTCAGAATCATAGACGTCTCTTCCGTCACCGGTTGCAGGCATACTCGGCCCGTGAGAAAAGGTGATGAATGCCCCCTTCTGTTTGTAGAAAATGGAGCTCTGAGGCCCAGATGAGACACTCTCCCAGGCGCTCGTTTCACCCGTTGACAAGCTCGATCAGATCGGCCTGGACGGGGGTTCAGAGACGTTGCGTCCCCAATTCATCATAAAGCGCCCATTCTTCTCGTTTCCTCTCTTTCCTCTCTCCCTTGCCCCGAGTCCTGCAAGCTTGCTGAGGAAAACCAGACCGGGACCCTGATAAAGATTGCATGAACCGCGTCGATCGCAAACCCAATTTCCTAGCTTGTCTGTTTCTTGACCGATTTATTGCTGGCTCCTTATATTGATCTCCATCTCTTTATCTATCACGATCTCTACCCGTTATTTGGCACATTTCTCGCTCACACATACTTACATTACCCCCCACCACACACAACTCTCTCGCACGCGTGCGTATACACACAAGCACGTACCAAGGTTTTTTCTTTTGCGCTGCTCTTCTTATTGGATTGTGGGGCAATGAACGTGCAACATTTTGCGGCCGTGAATGTGGCCCGCCCTTACAGATACCACGACCTAGGTCAAGGGGCAGGGGAAATAAGAGGATCAGGCCCAGGAACCGAACTGATAACGCGCCTTAATCCAGGGGATTGGTCATCATCCGACAAAGCGGCAGCGGCGGCAGCAGTATCCTCATCATCGGGCTTGCCATCGTCAAATCTGTCTTCCTCGACGCTGTCGTCGTCGAATGTGGTCGCTGTGCAGAGACTGGTTCAAGGATCCACCCCAGTGACTACAGCAGTGATGCCAGTGAGGGTGCCAGTTGGAGTTCCCGCTCCGGGTCCAGTTAGCGGACCCGCCAACTCCATCTCCTTCGGCCCGTCGGATTTTACCGCCCTAAGCTACTTTACCTCCCCAGCTCTCTGTTGTCAACATCAACAACCACCACCACCACCACCACCACAACCGCATCCCTCGTCGACCCGCTACAAGATGGGCTCCATGCAGTCCGACGAGGAGCTGGCCACTCTGCAGAAGCTCTCGAGCGAATATGAACCAGACGTTCAGGTGAGTGATATTAGCGTCGTTGCTGGACTTGGATATACCCAGCAAAAGCAAAACGCCCCCCCGTCTTGAATTAACGAAGTTCTGATCGTCCCCCACACACGCAGGGTCCTCTCGTCGGCAAGCGCCAATCGAGTCAGGCCATTACCGCCGAATATGCCAACGCCGATCCAGCATTTGTTCGCAAGACAAGGGTGAGGACTTGAAGTTCTGTTGACGCTTTGACGTATTTACTGGATGTTCATTTGTTTCTTTCACACAGGCACTACCCCAGAAATTCTCTCATTATCGAACGGTCAAAGGAGATGGAAATTGTGGTTGGCGAGGTACGCTGCTCGAGCCCGGGTGCCGTTTGCTGAAGATGTTTTTATTTGCAGTTTGTCAGTCTTGTTAACCCATCTCGTGTGTTCATAGCAATCGCCTTTGGTTACTTTGAAACCCTATTGAGACTCGGGGACAAGAATCAAATTGCTGCAGAAGAGGCTCGACTCAAGTCGCTCAACAATCTCCTAAACGTTGCCGGCTTCCAAGAACATCTTTATGAGGACTTTGTCGAAGAGACAATTCTGCTACTTCGAGAAGTTGCCTCATGGGTCCCAGTCACTGATGATGGAGCCGCTCTTTTGGCCAAATTCAACGACTCCTCCATATCGAATGCCATCATCACTCACTTTAGGGTAGGCCCATGATCATAATCTTTTTATTGAGATGTAATTTTGGGGAACAATTCATTAACGGTGCCTTGACAGTTACTTACCAGCGCATGGATGAAAACACACGCCGATGCTTATCAACCGTTTATCCCGGATAAGACGGTGGAACAATACTGTGCAACCCAGATTGAACCTTACCAGGTTGAGATTGAGCATGTCGGAATGAACGCGTTGATTGACTGTCTTATAAAGTCGGCCGGATTCGCAGTAGAAATCCTCTACCTGGACCGAAGCGCCGGAGAAGAAGTTAATACGATCCGCTTTGAGCTAGAAACTTCGGCGGGAGAGGCCGTCTTTCCAGACGCAGCAACCATGAGACTGTTATACAGACCGTACGTCCGCACCTCGCCAATAGGGGCGCAAGATTATGTCGGCAATATCTGGTTGAAGACAATGATGGCTAACTTTAACATTATCAAGGGGTCATTATGATATTCTTTACAAAGTTGAGGATGTTGCAGAATTGCTTTCTGCCGCGACACAAGTGCAGCTCGTCTCTGATCTCGAGTCGTTTTCCCCTATTCGCGATGTACCGATGGCGTCGACCTATGGCCAGTTCAACCCGTGGTTCGCCGAGATCCCTGGCATGTCTTTTGTCCCTGGTGTGCCCTCGGGCCTGTCGGGTCTATCGGGCCTGTCCGGCCTGACTGGGTATGGAGGTTTGGGCTCGCTATCGCTGATGCCGACAAGTTTTGCACCCGCTGCCGAACCTACGGTGCCTCAACCATCAATGACACCAAGTGCTTTGCCCATAAGCCCTACTCCGACGGCCACAACGCCCAGTTTCCGACCGTCCAAATACGAGTATGAAGCGGAATTTACACCGGCGCCGCCGGCAAACCTTCCATGCCAAACGGCAACATTTCGAAAGTAGGTTCACCAATAGTGGTCTTTAGTTTAACTTGTAATTTAATGTTGATTCAGTTCTCACTACAATCCGGCACACTTTTTGAATTCCGAATTTCAACCGGAGATGTGGACGCCTGAGACGGAAATTAAATCGGAAAGCAAATCACCGGATCAAATTCGGCATTGATACATGACGATGCTGGCTTGACACCGCGGACCAGGGTCATCGCAGCAGCACGCTACCTTGCCAGTGAACATCTATGAATTTCGATCCGTTACCATTGACGACCAACCTCCCATGAGCGTCAACGTCGCATCATCAAATCTCCCATTTCGCATCTTCATGCCCTCCCTTCCATTTTCGACCAATAAATAATCTCCCAATTATCACATATATTCCATCCAACCCAAATTTACATTATGACCATGCCGCTCACGATCTCCACCTTTATCCCATCAATCTATCTGCTTATCCACTTACGCCGCTGCACGACAAACTAACGACTTGATGACTTGCTGATTATCAGCGTTGCTTTTCTTTTAAAGACTATATTTCATAATCATCTGGTCTCTGCTCATTTCGTGCCATTAGTCTGAGCATTTATTATGATTATTATTTTCATGTCCACGATATATTGCGTTGATTTGCTTGTGGTGTGGCTGAGATGGTTTCTTCATTATTAAAATTATTACCGCACTTTCTTCTTCTTTTTTTTTTCTTGTTTTCTTTGCAAGTTACCAAGATATCCTTATCCTTTAGGCTTCTATTTTTCAAGACTCGTCATTTCTTTATGTTTTCCCCTTCACGTCTTGGTCTATTACAGCAGCTATTGACTTTGACTTTTGTTCATCTTATTCTTAATTACTTAAGAGCGGAGGATGAGGGCAGACCTAAGCATGGCCGCATGAGCAGGGAGGGCTAGCCCCGCTGAAATAGACGGAGTGCGTTTCAAGGATCTAAGAAGAAGCAAGTGGATTGCGTTTTTGCCTCAGAAGGCCGAGAGGCGCCGGGAGGTGGTGTGAAGACACGAACAAGAGGATCTATTAGAGCGGCCAGGACGGAAAAGGGAGCTAGACTTACTAGAAGGTTCAGAGCTCTAGGCCTCTGCAGGCTTACTGTCAGATCTCGGATATCATATCTCATATCTCACATCTCGGGTCAGATCAGATCAGCTTAAACTTGAAACAAGGGGATATGCAGTGCGATGCTGCCCTGTGAGACATCACGGGACCTTATTAAGGCTAGAAGTTTCTTTTTCCGAAGGACCTGAGGGAGGCGAGGCCATTCTGAGATTTCAAAGCAGTCTTGACTTTTAGTTGATTAGTCTTTGTGGAGGTCACTGGTCACTGGTCACTGCTTGAAGGCAGATGCAGGGCGGAATATAGGTTCACGTAGAGACGTAATTAATATTATATTATACTATTATCTTATATTTTACGACTATCATCTTATATTTTACACTATCATCATCATTTGACGTGGATATCATCGTTCTTACATTCCGTATTTGACCGTAAATGTAATACTCTTTGATGCCGTCGCGGGCGTTTGGATACTAGCATCGTCGTTCCCTGGTCCGTGGTTCGTAGATCGTCTCTTCATACCGCATAAAAACATGATTTTGGGCAACGGTTCTGATTCTATTTCCCTTCTTTTCCCTTCTTGCCTTTTGTTTCTTTTCGTTTTCCCTTCCTCTCCATTTCCCCCCCCTTATCTAATCCCATGGCCTGTGCAGAAAATAGAAATAGAAATGGAAGGAATTGGAAAAAAGGACATGCGCGTGACATATTTTTGAACCACTTACATGCAATGAATCAGAGAGGCATGGAATCTGTGCCTTGTATATTTGATACTCTGACACTCTGACACTCTGACGACTTGGCGATCTGACAATCTAAGCGTTTCATAGCCTGGTACACCATACAGTGGTCCACATATGTAATCTTACGTCCAGACTCCAGACTACTCGTATATTCGTATATTCGTATACAGTATACTCATGTTTGCTGACCAAGCCCATTGCTTGCTTGCTTGCTTGCTGACCATGCAGACGTTTAGTCTTTTATCTTTTTCTTTCCCACCTCCAAAAAGAGTTCTTGTCATTTAGTTTTGGACATTTGGACTTGTTTTTGCTGACTAGACGGACCAGGCTGAATATGCTGACCAGTCACCACGCTGAAACATGCAGTCACGAAATGCAAAACGTGAAACGTGAAACATGACTATGTTATGATATCGTGATATCATGATGCCATGATACATGATAAGTATACTATGCTCTCTGTCTTGTCTGTCTTTCTGTCTGGGGAGAGAGAGAGTGTGTATGTGTGTGTGTATGTGTGTGGTTGTGTTTGGAATGATACATGTCATATCTCATTTTCATTTTCATTTTCATTTCCATTGTGTTTTGTACTTTGTTTCATAAAATTTGTTTCAGAAACTTAACCTCGATCTTAATCTCACCTCACCTCAACATCAACGTAAGCCTCACCTCAGCCGTTAGTCGTCAGTCGTAGTCATCAGCCATTAGGCATTGATTCTCAGCATCCAGAGTCAACAATCAATGGTTAGCAGTCAGCGTCAGTAATCAGCAGGCAGGATTAGTTCTCAGCTCTCAGCATATCCCCGCCTCGCCCCTTTTCTCTATAATGTTAGTCAAGGCATAGCAGCGTAGAATACCAAGTTAGGCATCAAATAGAGTCGACGTTGCGGAGGGTACAGAGTAAAGGTAAAGGTAAGGGCAAAAGGTAGAGGTAAAGGTAAAGGTAAAACGTAAAAAATAAAAGGTAAAGGGTGAAGGCTAAAACAAACTGAAATGCTGAAATTCTGAAACGCTAAACAAACGAAAAAAAAAAAAAAAAAAAAAAAAAAAAAAAAACGAAAGGAGATGGGGCGTCCACGCTCGATATGATACGGGGTATACAAAATGTGGATTCAATAAGAATAGAGACTAGTACATCAAAGTCAACATTATGAAGTGTACGCATGAAACTGAATGCTGAACAAGGGGGAAAAGATAGGGGATGAGTGGGGCGTAATGCGTATTCGGGCGAAACAAGATGTAGACTCAATCAGGGCAACGATGGTGGAAATGGAAGAAATGGAAGAAATAGAAGAAATGGTAGAACACGGGTAGAAGGTAGGTGGGAGGTGCCTGGGAAATAAGCAGGAAGGAGAAGAGAATGGGAGGAAGAAAGATGGGAGAGGGATAGGATGTTTGCTGTACTAGCTATTGCTAGAACAACCAAGGAGACAGTTACACAGGTGTGTCGTGGGATGATTCGGGCAGGTATGAAGATAGAAGATAGAAGATAGATAAAGGAGATAGAGGATAGAAGATATGGAGAAATGGAGACATGGAGGGTGAATGGAAAAGAACTTAACAGAATATCTGGCACGATACGGACGTCTGATGAAATGCATGAATTCTTGTCTGGAGCAGACGAGCAGACGAATGAATAGAAGGGGAAAAAGAAACAAGAATACATAAGAAGTGAGAGATGGCTGGATGATAAATGAAAGGCTAGAAGAGTGGATGGATAAGTGAACAAATATAAGGATTGGAAAAAACTGGCAAAAAAGGATGCAAGCAATGTACGGAAGTAAGGAATAAGGACAAAGGCGAAAGGCGGAAGGCATAGAAGTATCTAAATGATAAATCGGACACGAAAATAAGACGATCGATGATAAACATCACGCAAAAATAATCACAGTAGGTAGTTATACATCTTTCATTGTCCTCGCACAAGCTCACTCTCTATATCATGCGGTTTGAATGTAACATGAGACGAGTGTTTTGCAAATGAAACACACAAACACGCTCTCCCTCTGCGGTCTACCACAGTCACACACAGTTCCTCTCCGCGCAACACGTTGACAAAAGACTACCATTCTATCGTATCGTAAGAAACATGTCCATTACATTCCGCCCCTAGCTGCAGAAGAAAGCCTATCTACAAAAAGACGTAACTGGCAATGGGCATGCTGGTAGTGGAGAAGAGAAGAAGGCGAGAAGATTTAGTGTCCGGCAGGCTTCTGCGTCTTGGCAGCGGGGTTGCGGGGGTCGTTCTTGTACTCGTCGGCTGCAAAGGTTATTAGTGTGCTGCTGTATAGCGAGTCAAGGTTGCGGAATACATACTGTTGGCGAGGGCATCAGCAAAGGAAGCAATGCCGTAGAAGATGATGGCGCCTAGATAGCAGTTAGCATTTATCGTGTGCCTCATAAATGTTGAGGTGCAATGTGTCGGTGAGCATCGTGAAGTGTTCCATTCCGTCAAACAAAGGCGATAATGAGCTTCAATCGTCGTAGGACCGCGTAGTGGTAATTCATATCAATTTCCCATCCGGTTTGTGATGTTGCTGCCTTCCAATCGGAGACGAATAGATTATATGTTGCAGCCGTCTTTCTTCGTTGATTTTCGGTATTTAAAGGCCTCGCATCTGGATATCTTTTCTTTTCGCGATAGATTATATCGATATGGATCGGCGGACTCAATTGATAATTCGACATTTGACATTCGACATTCGATTCCGACATCCGGCGATTGAAGCTCAGGCACTTCGCATTGACAAAACACAATCGAAATCTCGATTTCCGATATTTATAACTTCGAGACAATATGCCTCGACCCAACCGACACATCCACCTCGATCGATTCAACATACCGGCAGCGTAGAAAGGAGCCATTGGCTTGGCTGTACACAACATAACGTTAGCCATTGATCCAAATTCAACGATTGCTACTCCGCAATTGCCTAGAGACGAGATTGTTCTGGCAATGAGACAAGACAGCAGGCCGTTGGGATTACAGATCCTAAGGACCAAGCGGGAAATACGCACCGACGGGCGCCGGGAACTTCTTGCCGAGAAGAGACATTTTGGTTTTCTGATACGAAGAGCGGAGAAGGAGGGAGATGGGACGTTGTAGGATGCAATTGAGACTCCGCGGGGACCGGATAGATGAAGGCAGTTCGACGTTGCGTTGCGTCGGGTCGGAGGTTGATGGCGAGGAGCTTTCGTTGCGGGTTGCCGGGATTGGATCCAGTGCTGCTTTAAGCCTATTGTGGTGCTGCTTTAGATGTACTTTCTCCGGTACAGAATTGAGTGCTACTAACGAGTTAATTTTGTGTGGAGTGAATGTACCTCAGTACCGCACAATCAAAGGCGACAAAGCTGCGTTAGTGGATTCTACGGTATTGCGTAGCGTGCTAGGCGCGACCGAGGGGACCGAAGGACCACAACACCAACAGCATGTCGATAAGGCTGGCAGAAAGAGTGTAAACAGTGGGGTTGCAAACCGTCAGAGAAACTTATAATCGACGAAATCATTCAGCCTGCCCCGCCATACAATACTACAAGTTACGTTCAGTATAGAGAACTCTTAAAGAAGCGGAACGAAATGTCCTCGTCCCTCGCAGGATGCGTTGCGTCGCTGCAATCTTCCAAGCAGCTGCTCGAATCATCCATTTCGGTCCTCGATTCTGGCGTGCGTGATTTCCCGCGATTATCAAAAGTTTTGCAGACAACAAGGGTACGTGTATAATCTGTTTTTTCGTTAGCAATTTACTGGTCATGACGCCTTTGCTCCTCCAATCTGCACCACAAATCTGGACGTTCTGTGCTAACTACCAAACCCAGCACTTTGAACTGATATCGGAATCGGAACTGCAAGCTGCACAACAAGATCTTCTCGATGAGATTGGACCCGAGGTGACACGTCTTCTCGACCGCGTGAGCACTCATCTCGACAAGCTCGAACGACGTCAACAATCTCTTATTGCAAAGGCAGAGCTGCAAGAGGTGCGGCTGTCGCAGGCGTATGGAAAGCAACCGTCATCATCTGCGTCAAGTCGGAAGAGTATGGGCTATGGCATCAGCGGAAGAGGAACGGAGTCGAATAGAGGAACTGGCGTCGAAGCGTTGAGGCTGAAACATTTGCGCCAGAAGAAGCAAAGATTGAGCTACGCAGTGGAAACACTAGAGTTACAGGCACAGCAGAGAGAAAGGCAATTGAGAATGAGTATGGCTGCGCAGTGACCACGGAGAAGAGATTTACATTTTTTTTTTGCATAACCTGGCGTTTCGAATTGGGATTGGCAACACGGTGCCAAAATTTATCATTGATTTGATTGTGAAGAGGTTTGGAGGCGTTGCAGAAGGAGGATTTCTGCCAGAATATTGCTATATGGGTATCTCAATTGTATGAAGCTTTGTGAATAGAATCTACTTGCTTGGAAGACAATGCTAGTCCTCGTTTCCCATGACAATGTCAAGAGACTTACGGCTTACTGCCACATTGTGTTCCAATGCGCTGAGCTTTGCCATGATAGCCAAGAGGCTCGGGTCCTGGCTCTGTACCCTTACTTTTTCTTTCACTTTTACTGCCTTTCCCCTGTATTGAAACTCTTCCTCTGCCTCATCGTGGTCGGGTTTTCGTGTAGCACCAATGGCCGAGGCAAGACGGTCACGTAGACTGAAGCCTGAAAATGTATCTGGCGGTGCGTGGGCAGGGTCTAATGTGCGTAGGGAGAGCTCCAGTGCAGCGTCTGACACGGACAGATGGAAAGCCACATTTGAGGGTAGCGGGGGGTCGAATACCTATGAGACGCGGGTCAGCCAGTAACGATAGCTTCGGAAAAAAACCACACGCACCCTCTCGTCAATAGGATCGTCCCACCAATTGCCCTGGGTCGTCAAGCCCTTCAATTCTAGCTTGGCTTCCTGTATGTAGTCAAAGAGCAAGCGCAATTGACCGGAGATGAAGTTTGCATTTTTGGCATCGCCCGTCCACGTCGAGACATCAACAATATCCAGAGACTGATTGATCAAATTACGCGCAGTGGAGAGCTGGTTGAGCACAAATGGTGGTGCGTCTGGGGATGATGAGAGCAGCAGCCTGTAGCTCGATGCTCCTCGCGGTGGAGGCAGAGAAGGGAGCTTCACATGAATGTCCTGCTCATTGATCAGCAATTTGCCCGATGGTGAAGTCAACTGTGTCTCCACAGAGGCATAGCCAACGTACTCCTTTGACGATCCTCGATCCGACACGTGTGACGAAGCCTTTGATCGTCTCCGATCTCTGTGACGAGAGCACAAGCGTCGATCCGGGTTCTGTGGGTTCTAGCAGGGCCACACATTCCTCAAGACCGGCCCGAATAGAGGCCAACGTCTCCTGGAGCGATTGCAGGAGCCATTCTAGCTCACGAACCTGTTGCGGAAAATCTAGAGTCAGAAGCTGGAAGCTATCAAAGTGACATATTGCGTCGGATGTGTCATTACCAGAGACTCTTCTTCTTTTTGGATCCGCTCTTCGGTCGAGATGGGCGGGTAGAGGGCCGTTGACATGACGCAGTAGGGCTAGGATGCTACGCACGAATCAGGCACACTGACATTATTATTCGGGGTCAGCTGTGGATTAAGGTGCTTATGGGAAGCGATCTCGTAAGAGTCAAAAGGAAATAGTACAGGACGGCGTAGGCTCACGATTGTTGACGCTTGGCGTTTAGGGATGTCGATCAACACAACTGTTAGTTCATTGGCTTTATTTCGATATCAAATCAATTTACGATATTCAAAGTGTCAAGCTTTGAGGCTCTAATGCCACGTTCTCAATCCTGTCCAATCCGTGGTCTACTAGACTCAAGGATCGTCACAGGCATTGAACTGTGAAGCTCAACTCAATTCGGTTACGTAAAGGGCATAGCGCAAGGATGGGATCAACCACCAATCACATGATGAGTTGGCTGTGCTCGCCTGCCAGCCAATCAGAATCCATGGTAGCTGTATCTCTGTGAAGGAGGAGAAGGTGACGTCAGAGTTGAGGTGAGGTGGTTGTGGCTTGACTCGTCCACAACTGGGCTGAAGAGTTGCTTGAATCACGACGGACACGGCCAACTTGGGAGCTCGATAACGTCTCTTCCTTACCACTTCCGTCTAAATGGACTGGAAGAGATGCTATGGAAATCATGGCTAGAGGCATTATTGTAATGATACTGTATGTGAGTACCAGAGTTTTCTATGATCATGTCCAAGCTTGCTTTTACTCTCGCTGGTCATGCGATCATTGGCTCTCTGGCCGACGGCTGGTCAAGGATGCAACCAGTAATGTGCAACCAATACAAGAAGTTTCCTAAGAACAGGGAAGTTGAGGACGAAAATCCAGGTCTGGGATGTGACGATGACGGATGAAGGATGGAATCGATGATGTCTGAGCAAAACCTTGGGCCTCGATCGACTCTAGGTCCATCCCGCACCTTTTCCCTTTGTCGCCCCCAATTAAACTTGGGCGTTTTACCTCGCTCTACAGTAGTTCTGTACGCTACCGGCTACTTAAGTCATAGCCGAAAGACTCTAAATGGTGAACCCTGGCCTTTGGGCGGTGCAAAGGAAACCATTACGTCGTTGTGTCCTTCATCCCTATGAAACCCTTCCTTGCCCACATTCCAGCCCTTTTTCTTCTTCCACTTCACAGGCATCTCTCTCCTCTCTCGTCGCCAATTTACCTACATTGGAGCATTTGTCTTGACTTGGGTTTTTACACCTGAATCTTCCATTGACCTTTTTCATATTGATATAATAATATTATTACGCCTGTATTCGGCGACTGCTCCCTTGTTACTTTTTACTTGCTCTCGACGGTCATTAGTCAAATCTGCCCACCATGGGTGCAGCACGTAAGTTGAAAATATGTTTCGCAGCCTAATTTACTGAATGATGGACACGTATGGCTTACGACTTGAAATTCAGGGCCCGGCATCGCCTTTGTGTCGCTCTTCTTGACCGCAGGAGCTCTGCTCCTCATGTTCTTCGTGATCCTCGGTGGAGCAAAGAACCATAATCCCCTCAACGACATCTACTTCCTCCAGGTCAACACGCGGGGTATTCCCAATGCCCAGACGGTGTCGCGATGGACCATGTACCACATTTGCGGTGTCGTCAACGGCAATAACGTGAACTGCGGAAAGTCTCACCCTGCCTATCCATTTGACCCGCCACGAAACTTTGGAACCCAAGTCGACATTCCCTCGTCCTTTATTGGGTATGTAATGCGCCTTTGTCATTGAGTGTGCCCCGTACTGACAGTAAAAGTACGCACAAATATTATTACATGTCGCGGTTCATGTTCGCCTTCTTCTTGATCGCCCTCTTCTTTGGCATCTGTTCCCTCTTTTTGGGACTGCTTGCCATGTGCAGCAGACTGGGAGGCGCCATCTCTGGCTTCATGTGCTCCGTGTCCCTCTTTTTCCAGACCATTGCCGCTGCTCTGATGACGTAGGTCACCCATCTCTTCAAATCATTTTCATTGCTTGCAAGTACTAACTGCATCATAGTGCTTGCTACGTCCTCGGCCGAAAGCACTTTAGAAACGCCGGCCACTCTGCATCCCTTGGCGTCAGGGCCTTTGCATTCACCTGGACTGCCGTTGCCTGTCTTTTCTTGTCGACAATCTTGTTCTGTATGACTGCTCTTGTAGGCCGCAAGAGCGAAACCACATACACTCGTCGCTCGAAAGGCAGTTTCTTTAGCAGAAAGCGAAGCACTCGTTCGCGCGGCAGCTTCGTCGACAACGAGAGCCAGCGCCGAGTCAAGGACGAGTACGCTTAAATGGCACTTGCAGTGTCCTAATGTACGCGACGGAGAAAACGTATTTGAACAAGCTGGATATAATACCCATGGTGTCTTCTCTTAATTGTTGCACCGATTGATTTGATGAGCATACGATTCCCATGTCTTGATTACACCTAATTCCTTTTATCGTCAATATTCCCTTGCATTGCAGTTGCAAGTGCAGCAGAAGAAGGGTCATGATATCGTCTGAGTTCCGATCAGGTCAATTTCCTGTCCTCTGAACATGTCTTCGTTTCTTTTTCTTCTTCTCCCTTAGGTATTTAATGTGTAGTAATATGCCTTATATATAGGATGCACAGTATGCAATACGAACATCTCTATAGTCCACTAAATCAATCAGTTTCAATGGTCAGTGCATGAGGAACCACCTTTTGATTCCCCATTCTGGTAGCCTGCATATTCTGTATGATAGATTGCGTGGTTCAATCCATGCATGTGATATTCGCATAATGATATTTTGTGCAGGGATGTGCCCACGTAATGCAACTGGCTATTTCGAAGACAATTTCATCCTATCAGACTGCCCGCATATTTCATGACCGCCCATTCCACTCGTATTATTCCTTTTCCCGGAGACCCTGATTCCTGATCTACGGAAATGTGTGGTGACCAGTCCCTTTTTCCGCGGGTAAAATCCACACTTTTACACGGCATCCTTGCTAACCAGCGAAAAGGCCCCCTATCTCGTCGGCTCTACGCGCATCCTCTGCGCCCATGGGTCAGCCCGGTCTTTTCACCAATGACATTGCTTATAAAGAGCGAGGCCTTTATCCATCAACCACTCATACGATTTGTCGGTAGCATCTCCTCGGGCCAAGGTGGGATGGATCGATTCGGGTAATGGAGGCGAGGAGATAGTGGATCAACCCTAACTGTTGTCAGTATGGAGAGTCTTTCTCCGAGGGGTCTCTATCGCTGCTTTGGTAGGCGGAAGAGGCATTGGCGGCGATGGCGTTATCCGATAAGCTCCCTTTATGTGTCTCATGGCAGAAAAAGTTCATGGCCCCACCACAGGGATGGAGAGCACTCAGTCATAACATTCAGCATACACTTTTGAACTTTTTCAATTGCCTCGCAAAGGATGATGGAACATCTTCAATAGCTGCAGTCTCGCTCACTGGAAACTTTCAAGGAGAATATCCAACGATTGTCTTACCACTGCGGGAAATCTAGGAGAGCAGCAGACCCTGCCCCGAAGGCTGACGTTGGTGGATCTGAAGCAAAGAAAACATAATTCGACGTCCAGTATACCAATCTCTGCCAAGCATGACACCAGCTCTTCTCACTGCCGTGGATTCTACCTCCCACGTTCACCTTATCATTGGATCGAATCCCCTCGCCGCAGCCAGATGTACGCGATCCGTCCATGTCGGCGCGCGGCCGAAACTAATTGCACCTGCAAACGCCGAGCTGCATTATAGTGTGCAAAAGCGCATTGAAGATGGCGAGGTGGAATGGATACAACGAGAGTTTCAGGAGGACGACCTCCAGCAGCTGGGCAGAGAAGAGATTGACCGTGTAGTGGACGCAGTGTTTGTCACATTAAGCCCAAAAGATCCATTGAGTATGCCTTTCCTAAGACAATTTTTCCTTCTTGAGCAAACAATAACAAATACATTCTAGGCGCACACATCTCATCTCTTTGCCGCCGCCTTCGTATCCCAGTCAACGTCGCTGACGCTCCTAATCTCTGCACATTTACCCTTCTTTCCACACATACCGATGGCCCTTTGCAGATTGGCATCACAACCTCTGGACGCGGGTGCAAATTATCGTCTCGCATTCGGCGCGAAATCGCCGCTGCATTGCCCAAGGGGCTTGGTGACGCAGTCGAACGCTTAGGTACGGTGCGACGCAGAATATGGGAAGAAGATCATCGAAGCAAGGCTACAGACGGCGGCGAGCTCGAAGTCGAAGAAGACGAGACCGGTCAAAGCGCGACATTCAATCAACTTGTACAACCCGAAGACGAAGATGCCATTCGTTCCCGGCGGATGCGCTGGCTCAGCCAAATCTGCGAATACTGGCCTTTACGCCGTTTAGCCAGTATCTCTGACAAGGACGTTGACGCTGTTCTGCAAAGTTATACTGGCCGCCGACCAAGCCACAAGGAATCAGCAAACGGTACATCATCCGACCACATCACCTCTGCCGATGAGGAAATAACCTCCACCTCATCAATCACTTTCTCCAAAGACCTGACAAGGCGCGGGCTTATGGTCCTCGCGGGCTCTGGGCCCGGCAACCCCGACCTCCTCACGACCGCAACCCACAAGGCCATTCTCGCCGCGGACTTGATTCTTGCCGACAAACTCGTGCCCGCACCCGTTCTCGACCTCGTTCCGCGGCGGACACCAGTGTACATTGCGCGCAAATTCCCCGGCAACGCAGACAAGGCGCAAGAAGAGCTTCTGGAAATGGGCCTCGAGGGTCTACGAGCCGGCAAAGTTGTCGTTCGTCTCAAGCAAGGAGACCCCTACATTTATGGCCGCGGCGCAGAAGAATACGACTTTTTCCGCGCACATGGATACACACCTGTAGTTTTGCCTGGCATTACATCTGCTTTTTCTGCGCCCTTGTTCGCCGCCATCCCGCCTACCCATCGCGGCGTCGCCGATCAGATTCTTGTTTGTACCGGTACGGGTCGAAAGGGCGCGGCTCCGGATCCCCCGGCCTATGTCAAATCCCGAACTGTCGTCTTCTTGATGGCCCTGCACCGCCTGGGAGACTTGGTCGACTCGTTGGTTAATTTCAAGCCGACCTCGCCGGTGTCCTCCACCGCTACAGGAGCATGGCCCGCGTCTACGCCCTGCGCGGTCATTGAACGCGCCAGCTGTCCCGACCAGCGCGTCATCAGGACGACTCTCGAATACGTCTGTGCCGCGGTCGAAGAAGAAGGCAGCCGGCCGCCTGGATTGTTGGTCGTGGGGAACAGTTGTGACGTTTTGATGCCTATTCCGGCCAGTCCATCGTCACCTTCATCACCTTCCTCGCCCTCTGCTGATCCTTTGTCTGCCGCTGCTCCTGTGCCTGCTCCTGCTCCTGTCAACGGATCGGATGTTGTGTCCACCGAGACCGCGTCCAAGGGTACCCAGTCCATTCAATCGCAACAACAGCAAGCAAAAAGAAAATGGGTCGTCGAAGACGGATTCAAATCCTACGACGACTTGATGGCCGCATGCACCGGCGTGGGCGACTTGTCTGCATTGGATTCACTAAAGGAAGTTGAAGTCCAGCCCGAGTCCTAGCCTTATTCATTTACTCATTTATTCGTTTATGCATTTTTTCTTTTTCTTCTTTTAAAAAAAAAAACATCCAGAGAGCGAAAAAACAAAAGTTGGCAAAAGCGAAACACCATTTTCGGCGTTTTGATAATTTTGACATTTTTCGGCGGGGAATTTTGTAAGATGATATTATATCCTTGGACGATTTTCTTTTTGTTTGTTTTTCTCGTCCTCTTTTTCTTATCTTTTCTTTTCTTTGGTTTTTATCTTCTTCTCGTTTGCACACTCTGCTTGTCCCAGAATCCGGGAGCGTTTTATATCATTGTCAATATGTATCATTTCTCATTTATATTCTCATTCTCATTTTCATTCTACCTATATATATTCAACATACGGTATACCATACGTACCCTGTAAAAATCACAGTATATACCATATCAACATTTTATAAGAGGAAATGCAAAAGTATTTACTAGTTTCAAATGTCCAAGATTCCAAACTTGTTTACTTCAACTGTTCCACTGTCCATACCATTTCCATCCCTCGAAGAAAAGAGTTACGGACTGTAAGGTATGTATGTATGTGCACTGTGCACGTGTTTGTTGCCAACTTGTCATTCAATTCAATTTTACAATGAGGTGCTGGATGCAAATTGCAATGGAGCATTGGAGCGGAATTTCAGAAAAGTGGGCTGCCGACGCAATATGCATCAGCGGTCAGCCCCATCTGGGACGTGGACGTGTGTCGGCGTGACGAGGCTCGGTGAGGATGATATGCGTGTCGACTGCGACTACGGCTACGTAAAAAGGCCGGGATGCTAAAGGCTAAAGGCTAAACGCTAAACGAGGCCGGAAAGGGGTTTGTTGAGGGAAGAAAGATGTGACCGTGTGACTACCTTACCTGAGAAGGCTCAGAGGCTCAGACAGAAGGGTTGAAGACTTGAGGTCAGGTATATATGCAGAGGAGGGGGTGTGTATTTCTTGGGTCCTGGGATTAGCCTGTCGAATATATATGCCAATCCAGCAAACCGTGGACGGGTTGAAACTGGGACTTTAGGGGGAAAAAATGTCACAGGCGGTCCCTTGGACGTTGAATAAAATGGTACATTAAGTCAATGAATGGACTGTGTGGTAAAACGAGCACCCCTGCCACAGGGCAAATATAAATAGATAAATTTGGATATCGACGGGACGAATGCATACAATTAAGAGGATTATATAGATGGATGGATATATGCTGGGTACTAATATTAAACGGTAAACCTAGAGGGGTGGTTAAAAAAAAAATAGAAAAAAAAAAAATTAATCAGTCTCCCAAATGGCAGTGTTCGACTCGAATTCCCGCAAGACCTCGCGCGAGATCTCCCATCTCGTGAATTGCGTATTGCTGACGGCGTTGTTGATGGAATTGTTGGCTCGCGGTTTGGCGGTTGTGGGGTTGTTTAGTGTGGATGCAGAACCAGAACCAGAATGAGCAGACTCAACGCCGTCGGCATGAGCAGTAGTAGAAGAAGGATTCGAAGAACAAGAAGGAGAACAAGGAGAATGAGAAGAACAAGAAGTAGAACAAGGAGGATGAGAAGAAGGATGAGAAGAACTGCTAGGCTGAGAGATTGGAGCGGAAATGGGCTCTCCAGTCACCATACATCGGAGCATGTTCTCGCACCACCGGCCCTGGGGGGTAGTACTCTTGCCAAGCGCCTTCCAGGCCATGCGCAGGGGAAACAGCAAAAAGAGTTCGCCCGCGCTGCGCTGGTGATCGAGCAAATGGTAGTGCACGCCACGACAGACCTCGATGGCGGCGCCCGTGGCCATTTCATTGAGATCAGCCGATGGGAGGGTACGTAGTTCCGTGTCATTTGCAGTATTGGAGGGGGACGAGGGCGAAGGAGTAGCAGACGCAGATGCAGATGAAGAGGGAGATGGAGAGGGAGATGGAAATGATGAAGATGGGGAAGAAGAGGAAGAAGGATGTGGAGAAGGAGAAGCAGAAGCAGAAAAAGAAGCAATAATCTTGCTGTTTTGTGGCCTATGTCGATCGTTTACAAACGGATCAAGAGATGTAGGACTCCATTTGGCGCCGGGGTCGGCGCCGGTGCCGGTGCCGGTGCCTACACCACCTGGACCCGAACCCGAACCAGAGAGCTGCTCGTCAACAGATTGGGCGACTTCAAGCGCCATGATGAGAACGGCGTTATACAATCCAATCTCGTTGGCTAGGCCGAGTTTCTCGTAGAAGTATATACTCGGAAATGGACACTCTGCACGATCAACGAGCACTTCGTATCTCGCGCGCGGGTTCCGTGCTTCCCATGCCACGCGCCATCGGAATAGGGCCTGGAGAAGAGCGGTTGTGCGGCTCTGGATTTCCAAAAGACGAACATAGCAGTCTGTAGGGTCGGAGGAAGATAGTGCCTCGTTGTGATCCACGACGAGATCGGGAATGTCGGCGTACACGTCCATGAGATGCTGCGCGAGGTCTTTTTTCAAGGGGTCTTCCGACCACGGGAGAGTCTTCCATTCCGGTCGAGACATAAATGTCCGTCTGCGCGTCACAAGTGCAGAGAGGATCACGGTGGAGCGGCTGCTTTCGAAGATGACTCGCTCTGTGGGAGTAGCGTGTGCGGCTGCTCCGCGCTGTTCAAAGATTCGACCCAGTCCAATAGCATGATTAAGCCATGCGTTTCGGGTAGTGAGGTTGAGAAACTGTATGAAATGAAAGGGTTAGCTCAATGGTTTATCCTATTGTAAAGGACACGGAGACTGCTTGGGGTCTGACTAAGGGAACGCTATTTGTACCTCAAAAATGCTGAGCATGTTGACGCATAGAAGCGTCTCGTTGGAATAGCATTCGGACGGAGAGGCAATCTTCTTATGCAGGCCCGCCAGAGCAGAGCAGTACAATTGCGTTCCCCGCATATACATGGATTGCTGCCCCATTCGTCTGCCAACGAATGCTATGACCAGCGATTCCAAACATGTTGTGGCTAGCGGCTTATCGCGCAGCAGGGCGAAGCTGTCCAAAGACCATGGCACTACCTTATCTTTGCCTGTTTTGTCCAAGTTCAAGAAGCCTTTGAGCATGTTGAGGAGCATATACGTCAGACAGGTCTGTGAGTCGATTAAAAGCGAATTTGACATGGCGACAGGCTTGACCTGCAATGATTCGGGCGAGTTCGAACGACCTGCTTTGCGCTCCAGGCGCGGTCGCTCGTCGATAAAGTTGGCTTCGCGATAGCCATCGCAGTTGATTTGCGCTTTTTCGCAGCGTCTACACGTCGGACGGGTTTCATCTGTATTAAGTGTCAGTGCATGAAAGAAGAATTGAAGCAGTAAAGCGACACATAATACTGACCGCACTTGAGATGACGCCGCCGACAGGTTAGGCAGCCTTTGGAACGACCTGGGCGGCCTACCATGCTTATGTGTACATTGGAATTGCCGCAAAGATTAGATGCTTAAGAACAATGGCGGAATTAGGGAAACCGTTTCAGTTTGTAAAAGAGCTATACACAGGACCAAAAGTCAATTCGATTCATCATGACAAAGGGATTCTTATCTCCCAAGGCTGACGTCGGAAATCAGCGGGGCTGTGACCGACACTAGAGAAATGAAATTCCAACTTAAGCTTTTGGCCCCCACCGTTGGACTCGGACCCTGAATCTAATCTGTCCAACTTCGGCATCGTGTGTTTACATTTCTCTTTTTTTTTTTGAGAGAATTTTAACACTACGACGAGAGGTTCTAATAAAGGAAAGAGTATCGTTTAAAATTGTTTAATCTATTTTATCATTGCTTCCGGATATACGGCGCTGAATATTGACTGACTACACGTGGGTCATTGCTATCCTCCAAAGGCGAAATTCCCCTGGCTGATACCATTCTTTTCAATATATCTCTCCAGCATTCGGCTTTGACATGAGACCTCTCGTTGAGAAATGTACTTAGCTGACAAATAGCTATCCATCCAGTTGAAATATCTGCCATTCTTGTTACTGTGCCGGTAGACGGCTGCAAACAACGACCGCGTCAGATTGTCAACAAGTGCCGTGCAAATATCAAGCAAGGCATGCACAATGAGATCTGAACAACGCCAAGAGAATGTTTGTTGGTTATTGCTAGTTTCTAGAATCTATACGCCTCAAAATAATGTGTATCACCCAAGGTCAGTGCGCAAACCGTTTCTCCGTCGTCCACTCGAATCCACCTTCTGGCGCTGGGCCACAACGCCGACAGCTAAACGAATGAAAATACCCATTTGGAAGACCAAATGGGTTTCCCATGTCTGTTTCGAACGAGCCCCTTCATTCGTATTCTCATTAGAGCACGAAAGGACCGAACGTGAAGTTGAGAGCCTGTTCTTCGAGCGCGTTGAAAAAGTGACCCGTGAATACGCAACCTTCAAAATCATCTCTCGTCGCCCAAATTGCCCATTTTTATCTCAACTCCTTTTTCGCCTTTTATCTTTTAATAAAATCGATAATTGAACAAATCAGTCGAATTACGGTTGTTTATACAGCCAACCGCAGCCGCACCGACGATTAACTGTGAGAGCGCCGTTTAACGCTCCACAGTCCTTCTATCGGTATTTTTATATCCCTTCTTATCCATCATTTTGTGATGGCTGGGATAGGACGTATAGTCCATAATACGTCTGTTCGAAACCTGGAACATTGTCCAAGTCCTACCGTTATGAATCCTAAATCCAACCGTCAGTCATCCGTTCCTGTCATCCTGTATTTCTCCTTTGAGTTATACTCACGGTATCTTCGCCAACTCATTCAATGAAACTGCCACAAACGCTCATTGTCGAGTGGCCCATTTCGCTTTTTTATCGAACCACCAGGAGGCACTATGCCTTACTGCGTTCTCTCCTCTTAGCGCAAGAAGATGTAACTTGTTTGATCCGGGGCTGCCGTTCTTTCCTTTGGGTTTTTGTATATATATTTCGTAATGTTATTGTAATCCTCTCGGCTGATAGATAGCTTGTATATGTCGTCCCTGGGATACCAGTCTGCCGATGAAACGAAGCCGTAAGGCCTCGTGCATATCACGAGAAACGACCAGCATTGTTTTGCCGAGTGTTATTTATTTTCGAAAGTCGGATTCGAATAGTTGTGAATGTGTTTCCTTTATTTTGAAATTTTTTTATCATTTGCTGTGTTGCGTATGTCGTTGCAAGTCTGGCGATTTTATTATCGAGCTAAAAGCGTATCGTTTTATATTAGCGCAAGGAAATCCCTTGCGCTGTTCTGATTTTCGTTGTTATATATCGAGTATCGTCGCAATTGGAAATTCCCATAAAATCCGGGAAACATTTTCCGGTAATGTTGGATGTCCGTAATATATATCTCCCCTGCGGTATTATTTAGCCATCGTCAACCATAGAAGCCAGTGAGGGATTTACATACTTCAGTATTTATGGCCATGACCATTCAATTGAAACAACGGTTTATGTTTTTCTGATAAAAGTATACACGCTGACATCAAATTCATGAGTTAGCCTTCGAGCATTGTTTGTGTTCTTCATACATCACCTGATATCTTCGTATCATGTGCACTGTATCGGGTTGCGGAAAGGGCAAGTTCGAACCTCTGCTGTTGCGTGCCCACTGCACCCTGCTCTTCTCTTCGCACTTCCCCCACCAACAATCGAGTAAGAAAAGTAAATCAAGGAAAGAAAAGAGGAAATTATTGAAGAATATATAGAATAACGCTGGAGGGCGAGAACGAAAAGGCGCATTGGCACGGTCGCTATCAACAGTCGTTGGTTTGGCCCAACAAGCAAGGCAATCTTGCAGCATTACAGCACTATGACCAGAAGCTGCAGAAATGTCGGTTGGAAACAACGCAAACGACAAGGGATCAGAAACGGCAAAGATGATTCATCGGAAAGACAACAACCAATGAAAAGAAGTAAAGAAACAATGACGAGAAGGAAAACGGACAACGCAGAACAAGACAAACGGAATCTACGTAACATCGGACAACTGCATTGTCGCACCACATACGTACATACAATAGTACAATTACATCTCTGATTCTTCGTACGACATTCACAGCAATCAGGACTAGCACCTGCAGCTGTCAATCATATCAGAATATCAATCTGCACCAATACTTTCCGTGAATCATTGCAAGCGCTGGCTCGACTCAGGAAGAGGGGTGCGGATAGCGCCGGGTAGATGCATGGATTGCTTAGTCGTTTGCGAATTACATTCATCATACCCCGGTGATATTCTGCAGCGTCCCGAAGAGCCCAACCGCGTTCGAACACGACACACAAAACATGGTTATGATTGCACAAGAAGACTTCCGGAAATGCAAAGAGTACTTGCATTGACGAGGCTGCGAATGGCTCACATAGCTTATAGTAAAATGAGCAAAGCGGGGAAAAGTGAAAAAGGGAACAAGTATGGAGCGAAGTGCCGAACTGCATATCCGTCATGCATGCTGGCTTGATAGATAATAGAAATTACAAGAATGGAATAAAATAAGCTGATCCTGCGTAGACGCCCATACTCTACCACCCCGGCGAGCTTCCGGTCGAATGCTCAGGAGTACTAGACGGCACAAAAAAAAGCAAAAATGGAAAGAGGGGAATAATTACAAACGCCAGGGTTTGAAGCAATGACAAAATGATAGGAAAAAGAAACGATGGCTGGCAAGTCAAACAATAGCTCAATATACTCCCATTCCGCTAGCCTTTACACCCAAAAATGACCGATTGCCAAACTTTATTTCGCTTGTTCTGCCAATGTAAAAAATTTACCATGCCCGTGCAACTATCAACGGTCTCTATCAGACTCCTCCTCAGTTACACTTCGCTCATCACTAGAAGTCCATGCTCGCAGAGAAGGAAAGGCTCTCCAAAAGTTTGCGACATGACTCTGCCGTTCATTGGTGGTTTGAGCAGCAGATTCGTCAGCACGTTCTGGATCGGCTTCGTCTTCTACGTCTTCTGTAATGGGTAGAGCCGACGAAGGTGAGTCGTTTCTTGTCTCCGCAGCCCGTGTCTGGACATCTTGGTACGGCGTACGGATTGGACTGGATGAGCCTTGAGCCATTGACCGGACTACGTCGCCCTTGCAAATTGGGCAAGTTCGCCGACGAGTTGTCAACCATGGAGTTCTGCATAATTTGCGTTAGTAAATGTAACATGAGGAGAACCTTGGCATGCATGTACTTACATGCATTCTGCATGAAACTCGTGACCACACGGAAGGCTCATCACCCTGCTCACCCCATCAATGTATTCCTCCAAGCAAACTACGCATTCCACTTGTCTGCCGGTATACTTTTTCCTCCATTTGGCCAGCCCTGAATTTTCCTTTTCGTGTTCCTGGCCCGCGACGGAAGAGCTCGGCCCATGTCCCGAAGCAGAACCTTGGGCCGAGTGGGCTGCAGGCGTCCGTGGATGAGGACGAGAATCCGGCCGAGGCCCGCCTTGGAGAAGAGGTGAGGCAGCTGACGGGTTTGCTGGTGGCCCAATAGATAATGAAGAAGACGAAGACGAAGACGAAGAGCCCGAGCTCGAACTTATAGATGGGACGGTATGATAGGTCCGGACGGGCAATCGCTCAACTACGGCCTTTGGAGCCCGCCATCTTCGCCTCCGGATTTGAGAGCGGAGTAACAGCAGTGTATACACTACCGTCAAGGTGACCAAGGGACTGACGACAAGCACCAATAGGGTGTCGAACAAAGGACTGGTCGACATGCTTGCTGGAGACAATGTGACCCAGAGACCTTCATGGTCTCCAGACTCGTCAGCGTTACCGGATCCATCAAGCTTAGCAGCTTTAGTACTTGGACTTCCTTTCAAGCCGTCGGTGTCTATATGGATATTAGAGGCCCCTTCTCCTTTCGGTTTCTCATTTGACGTGTCTTCGTCTTCCTCATACTCATCCGCCCAGGAGAGGCGCGAGATCCACCTAAAAAGGCTGCCGTCGCCTTCATCTTCAACTTCAGCCTCTGCTTCGGCATTGTTTTCGTTGGATATGTCCATGGGCTTTCGAGATGGTGCGTTGTTACCGACCTCTTGGCCGGGCTCAGCGTATTCGCCACTGCCAGGAGTAATGCTGCCCCCTTTGAGGCGCTCCTCCTGCTGGCCTTTATAACCCTTGCCAGAACGCGAAGCATCCGTCCCTCCATTTGAAGAGCCTGGGGCATTAGATTTCGGTTTGGATTGTGAAGAGGTTGACTGGTGCTCTGAGCCACTACTGGATTCAATTAGATCGGGATCGCGCCAGTCCTGGACACCAATAACAAATCCATCACCTGAAGCCGGTTTCGAGTATACATCGCCTGGGGCTTTTGTGGATCCTTTGTCAGATTTCCCCTTTGCCGAGCCAGCTTTCTTCGAGCCCGAAGATTCCTCATTGATTTCATCCAAAGCCTCGGAAGGAACCCAGTGAAGGTGACCGCTGCTCGGAGGACGTCTACTGTCCTCTCCTGAACTGCGCGACTGTTTGCTGCTACCAATCCCGAACATCAAGAAAAATGAGCGTATCCACCCTGGGCGTTCGTTATTCTCAGCTGCGTTCGGGTCCTTTGTCGGATTTGAAGATTTTAGGGCTGCGCGGCGTGTAATCTTCTTCGAAGAGCTTGCTTTCTTCTTGGTGTCTGCCGGAGTCTGAGGAGAATGATCGCTAGTTGGGCCTGCCTTTTGCCGCATAGCTTTATCAGTTGTAGGGTTGCTTTTCAAGTCCGCTTTTGCTTTTACCGTAGCACTCTTGACTGCTTTCTCGTCCGCGAATCCTGGAGGAATGAGAGATGACAGTAGATGCGCCGTGGTATGGGACGTAAAGAGCGCTGGAATGCTGACATTGGAGGTATCGCCGCGAGCGTACATGGTGACAAGCCCACCGCCCCGTGTATCATCGCCCACAATAAGCGCTATGCCACCTCGCCGCTGTACCCATTTGACCTTCTCTAAAAATCCACATCCTCCTCGACTCAGTAGAACGACCTTTCCGGCAATCTCTGCGCTCTCCTGAAGCGACTGGATATCGGCGTGGGCAGGGCTTTTGGCTCCTTTGTTTGGGGCAGAATTGGACAAATCATGGCCATGACGTTCGGAGTTTGAAATGTCGGAGCCAGGAAGTGGATGGTGTAGATAGTCATCTGTTCCATCATCCTCGTGTGGGCCGGAGGTCACTGCACTGTCCTGCCCCTTCTCAATGTTCCCTTCAACCGACCGCTTAGCTTTTTCGTTTTTGCGTTCTCCCTTTTCTGCCTGCTTTTTCGAAGTGGACACTTTCTTGAGGGAGCCCTTTGATCCAGATGTCCCTCCTGCTCCAGCTTTGTCCAGTTCACCCCATCCAGGGACGTCGCTGCAGCCTAGCTCCCCTTCGGAGCCTGCTATAATACCACCTCTTCGTAGGCTATCGTCGCCAAACCCACTCCCGACCCAGAGCGGCCCACTCAAGCCTTTAGAGGGTAGGAGAGGCCCAAACGCTGCAGGCCGGGCTAAAAAGAATGTAGAGTTGTCGTCTGTAAGGCTGATGATGGCCGAAGGTGGGAAGAGGGGTGTATTAAAGGAGAAGAGAGCGCGAATACCGCGGGCGGCTCGAGAATCGGTCGCAGAATTTGAGCTCTGTCGCCGAGGATGCGCTGAAAGAAGTGAGAAGGAAGTGAAGACGACCGAGAGGGCGACGAAACATAAGAGCAGGAGAATCAGGCGTGGTAACCGCATGTTTGGAGGATTTAGGACGGCGATGGGGATGAGCGCCCCGTGAAAATGAATGAAAGACGAACCAGCGCCAAACTGAATAGTGCTTGCTCTCCCTGCCACTTGAAGTTGCTAATAAAGACCAGACGATGAAAAAGAAGAAGTTGCCGACATGGATTAAGGGAGTAGCAAGTCGCTCGTTGCTACCTACTTTAGACAACAAGTCGCACACGACGACAAGCTTGGTGGAATCATCATTATTCATCTCAGGCAATAGGATGCTTCTCTCTTTCCGGAGGGGTTCCATAGCCGAGCGGGTAGACTAACTGTCTAACCGTATGCGGAAAAGACCTCTCAGATAAGCTTCGCTTGGCCCCACTCGCCCCAAAGAAGCTGTACTTTCCTGGTATCGACTTATATTATAACACCACTGAAGAGTCATACATCGTTCTACCGGTGCAATGAGATTAAGATTTGGTGACCTTAATTGGTATCTTTCCAATCTCATTGGCATCTCACAATGATATACACATATGTATAATGGGTAGAGGTTGGGTTGCAAAGGGCTCAAGTATACCCAAACAATTTAGTATTCTGCCATGAAAAGCCGTCTTAGTACTTCAGAAGATGATCCAGATGAAGTAATAAAATAAAGTTATCGTGTGAACTGCTACTCGTTTATTTGAAGATATACCAAAGCTCTATCCAGCATAAGCAGTAGACTATTTACTTTTTGATAGTTTATACCGGCTATAGTCTGTTATTTGTCCCCGTGATCTTGTCAATAATATATCATCCTGGGCGTCAATAAGTAAGGTAGGTAGATTTGGTGGTTTGCTGGATAGCTCAGTCACCTAAGAGAGTCTCATTACAATATTCATATTCTCTGATAATGCATCTACCTAGATCATTACATAGAGCACTTGATCGGAGGATCCACTAGCAATATCATTTTATAGTGTAGCTAGTGCCGGTATTTGTATAATCTAGGTATATGCTAACATTACTGGCTCACAAGGCCGAGCTTTGCAAGTGATGCTTGTTGGCTCAAAACTTGAGAATGCAAACCAAATATACATTTCTGAGGCCATTGAGGACTGTGGTGGATATACTACGATAAAATATTTCTAGAAAGGTAGAATCTTTACAGAGATTTCTTTGGCAGCGCTCGTGACGCCAATCCATATATCTGGCAGCTGAGTTTCGAGGAATCACACGCGCTCTCGCAAGGCACAATGTCAATATTCTCTTTTGGATCTGTCGAGCTCAATTGTAGATCCAGCTGTAGAAGCTCAGCGGATGGCGGCTGAAAATAAATCAATGAACAGTGTTAGTGGTAGCTTGTGATCCGCTACGCTCAATATTAGATGACCCGCAACAATTCAACATTTGTGAATTGTGAAACGAAAAAAAAAAAAAAAAAAAAAAAGAGACTGAATTTTTTTATCCTGATAATCGCTTCCACAAAATATGTTACAATCGCAGTGACTATGAGTTGACGTAAATGATCTACGGTAGCAAATGTGTGGCTTCCTTGTGGTGTTTTAGCTATCCATTCCTCCTTTGGCATGGCGTCATCGTTTGACTTCCTTTTGTGGGGAACGGCCGTCATCCGGCGTTCTCCACCAGTCGACTTTGATATCGCGGCCACTGCTCTTTACAGTTTCCACCACTCAAACGCCATGTCTCTTATGGAAGCTGCATGCTCTAAATCCGATCATCCCACGGGCGATAATGGGTAACTCCTATGGGACCCAATCAGAAATACCGTCATCCTAAGCAATATGGAACGCCGTGGCGTCTGATGACGCCCTTTATCCGAGCAATCCCATCCAATGTTAATGGCAATCGTGCCTAGACACCTGGCGCGTTTTGGGCTCGCGCAGATCATGAGAGCTGTTGCCCCGCGTTGCTCTTCTAATATGGGTGGCGTAATGAAGCTCCATAAAGCGAAGTCGTCCTTCTCGTCGCATGGATGTGGCTGATGGCGAGTTTCAATAAAGTGTGAAGACAACAAGATCGACTGGCTGTAATTATTCTTATTGTTTGGCCCTTTTATTTTTACGAACTCCGGACATCATAAACTTAGCAGCTCGTTGTGTATAACAATCTGATCGCGTTTCTTTGAGTCCACGTCGTCAGGATGATGGACTCATTTCCAATATCGCGCGGCCTGGCCGATGCTGCGGCGAGGCCTCGAAGGCACAAGACTCCGCCGGCAATCAGCCGCTTTTCGCCCACGAATCTGCCCAATGGCTTCAGGAATCATCTCATTGCCATGATAGGGGAATTTGTCGGCACCTTCCTCTTCTTATTCTTTTCCTTTGCCGGTACTCAAGTTGCCAATACAGCTGCTTCATCAACCATGGGCCCGAATGTTGGCACTCTGTTATATATCAGCCTCGCCTTCGGTTTTTCATTGGTCGTCAATGCATGGATATTTTTCCGCGTGACTGGCGGTCTCTTCAATCCAGCCGTGAGTTGTTCGACCTTGAGTCCCCGGAACGCAATGAAACCTTAATCTAATCAAAGGAGGCATAATAGGTCACCCTCGGAATGTTTCTGATTGGCGCTGTGCCTGCCGTGCGTGCTGTTGTCGTGTTTATTGCGCAGCTGCTAGGAGCCATGGCGTCGGCAGGTGTGGTCTCTGCGGTTTTCCCAGGCCCTCTAAGAGTGGCTACCCAGTTGGGCATGGGCACTTCCAAATCGCGTGGATTGTTTATCGAAATGTTCCTCACGGCCGAACTTGTTTTGACAATCTTCATGCTCGCAGCCGAAAAACACCGAAGCACATTTATTGCCCCAATTGGAATCGGGCTTTCTTTATTTATTGCGGAGTTGGTTGGTGAGTGACTACTACCAAAAAAACTTGGTCTAGATCAGCTCTGAACCAAAACTTGTACTTTTAGGCGTAGGCTATACGGGTGGCTCCCTGAACCCTGCCCGTTCATTTGGGCCTGCCGTGGTGAACCATTCATTTCCAGTCTACCATTGGATCTACTGGGTCGGACCAGGCCTGGGTTCGCTCCTGGCCTGCGGCTTCTACAAAATGCTCAAATCTTTGGAGTATGAAACCTGCAATCCAGGTCAAGACATGAATGCCAAGGAGGCCGAGAGGCTTGACAAAGAGGAGGCTGAGAAACCGATCTCGGAACGTCGACAGAGCGACATCGAGCCTGGCGTCGAGCCTACGATAAGCAGTCCCAGTCAACAATACCGGTCTTCCGATGCTCCCATGACCTCGGAGGATTCTTATCGAAATGGCCCGGTGATTGAGGCGGGCAGTCCGTCTCGGTAGATTTTATGTTTAGCGAATTTGTGTTGTTTTAATTCACGAGTCTCAAATGGACGCATGTCTTTGCGCAACGTTCTTTCCATGCGAAAAAAGTATCCTTGATGGATCAATTTGGAGGTGATAGTCTTGCATTTTGTGCTCGGATCAAATGCAGCAACTTGGAATCACAAACTTTACCGAGTACTTTCTGTGATGCGTCTTTTGCTTTTGCCCGTTCGGCCCGAACTCAATGCCACTAACCCGTAGCTTACACGCCTTCAGACAGAAGGGGACAAAAGAACTGATGCATGGGCGTTTGGAAAATGGCGGCAGAAAATGGCGGGCTCTTACGGGCTCACTCCCCTGAGAAAAAGTAGTAGGTATGTTAGGGGCTTTTGCTGTCACTTTCTCTGCTGATTCTGTCGATTCACTTACAAGTAATACTATCGATACAATCAATGATAATATAATAAAATAGCTAGTATAATAGCTTCATGAACCGTCCGGTTGAGCCCGACAAAACAATAGACAGATGCACTTTTACTGCCCATGTCGACGGCCGGCAGCCAAGAACCAACCCCACTGTGGCTCGGCCCGCGCCTTAGATCGCGATCGTGCCGAGGACTCAGCTTGCTACGCCTGCCAGCGCGGCCGCTACTCCGCTATCTCTTGACCCATAAGTTTACACGTCTCGTTCACTGACCTGCCTACTTATATTATACAGGCCCACCCGCTATCCACAACGGATATGATCAACAAACGAGCCAGGGGTTTTCTTTCCAGTTCGACACAATGCACCACTTATAGTTCCCCCCCCAAAAAAGAAAAATGTCCTTGCGGTGTAATCCTCGGACGTGATAAGCGACGATCTGGTCGACTATCTTGATCTCGATCGGCCACACTAGGCATCACACAGTCCTGTATGTAGGAGAATTTCGGAGCTGGACTTCCAATCTCATCATCTGTTGCGCGTTCAATCACATCCAACCTGCCATTCAAACATGCCATTGGACCTTGTGTAATTGAAGAGAAAAGTGGCGGACCGGAGCATTCTCCTGTCTCAATGAAACATGCGTTCTCTGGAATGGCACTGACAGTTTTCTAAGACAATGGCCCACTCTTCCCAAAGCCTTCATTTGCTCGAAAAGCCATGATCTCAGCGGCTGCTTATCTCTGAGCTGGCTGGAGCAATGTCTACCAGTCGATACAGGTAGACACCTGCTTTGGATCGACTGGTCATTTGCAACACTTGTCTACCTACCTACCTGCCCCGCACGATTGTCATTTTAGGATGGCATGTGTGTCTCTGCGACTTCTGCCTCCCTTCTATTTATTGGCAAAAGGTTCCAGAGGAAGTCAGCCTTTCTCGAGACATATTTCTCATTTGGCAAGCATAGACAATAAGTTCATCCACACAAAATGGCCGCCACCGAAATTACACCGTTGGTGAATCATTGCGAATTCCGTACCAAATATCGAACCGACGGAACCCGATATGTATACAAAGCATCCGACTGTGGGCAAAAGACCTGCAAATACTCCACAGCCTACGATCCGTCAGCGCGATAAATCAAGTGAGGTTATATGTTACTCTGGTCTTGATAGTTTCTAATTGTTCTGATAGATGTATAACCCGACCTGAGATTCCTCGCCATGCTCGATCTGGTGTTCGCCCTCCTCCTACTGTATCTGGGATGCCCACCCATCATAGTCAATCTGGGGCTCCTCCTCGTCATATATGAGATAGCGAGATGATGTTCAATTATTTTTGAAAACTGTCTTTAGGAAGTTTCGTATCTTAGACAGTGCATCAATATCATTTTCGCATTCAGCAAATTTTGTGTCGCGTGAACTCCATCCAGTTGTCCCTCCCTTGACGCCCAGCGGTGCACCTTCTGATTTGCATGAGTCGAAGTCGATGATGACCGGTATATCCCCATCTATCATGATGTTTGACGGATTTATGTCATTATGGACGAGTCCCAGTCCATGCAGATGCTGTATACCATTTTCGATACCGTTTATGCATTTCTCTATGTCTAGAGTGCTTGCATCTTCTTCCACGGCTTGAAAGAGGTTCTTGGGATAATTGGCAAAGCACAGCCCTCTAAGCCTCTCATCTTCAATAATGCAGCCGAGATATTGAGCAATGTTCGGATGAGGAGACTCTTTTAAAATCTCACATATGTTTGCTTCGTGCAAAAGTTGAGCGCCTGGATTCTGGGATGCCTCAGTGTCGCCATATTCGATCAGTCTTGGCTGTTTTACATAACAGCCTGGAGGCAATGGCTTGGGAGCTTCAGTCAATTTGGAATTGACTCGCGGCCAGATCTTGTCCAGAGGGATTTCGGTAAGCTCTGAAGGAGGGAGATCGAAAGTAGAGCCCGGTAACAAGCGACGTTGGGATGAGCCATAAAAAAATCTGTCCTCTGCCCTCAGGACGACTTTCGTATGAGAAAACTCTAGATCGCCATCCTTCTCGATGAAGGCTTCACTCTGGTCGTAAACTTCCATGATACAATCTGGTCGATCTTAGAATACATATGTATTAAATGATACGATAGTGAGGACTTACTGATGAAGGACGCCTTTTTCTCACCTTAGATAGGACATTAGGTCTTCTAAGTCAAGTCGGAAGCAGGGTTTCTTTTATTTATACGATGCCTGAGGTATAAAGACATATCATGTGACCTTTGGTCACGGGGTACCATAGTCACAGTTAAAGAAGACAAGGAATGTCAAATGTAGGTAGCTAAATGAGGCTATTTGACCGAATCTGCATGGCAAGGACTAATTGTCAGAAAGGGCCTCTGTACCATCATCAGCAAGTTCTCAACGTGTTTTCCTGGAAATCAGGTTCCACGCCGACCTGGTGAGTGAAAAAATCACTACCTCGGGGCTAAAGCACCGTCTCTTAACAGTCAGATCTTAGGATCGTTGTAATTTCACCCAATCGGAGATCCATCGCCCTGCCAGAGCGCTGCAGGAACTGACCGCCCGGCGGATCGGAGAAATAGTAGAGACAGGGAGGGTACAGACTTTGTTTAAATCTTAGTCTTAAGGTATACTACGTATAGCTGGCAAATCCAGCGATTAGTTTACCTATAACTACCATATAATGTCCACTAACCTTACTTTGAGAAGGATACATATTTCTCCTGAGGTCTTCTACACACATCCCCGAAGCCTGCTGTAGTCTAAGAAGCTGAAAGGACATGTCAGTACCCAATTGGGCAATTTGTGTCGGAACCACTTTCGTTCCCCCTAGCACAGCTAGTACAATTTAGGCTTAGCGTTATGTCGGCAGATTCGGAAATTTAGGAGGAAAGTCTTCCGAATGAAGTCTATCTGTGCCTTTTTGGCGGACCAGCTCAGACAATTGTATCTATCAATCTTAAAGATATTGGTCTAAGGATTTCTGAAATGTTTTAAGTATCTCTCACTGAATTGCGCTCGTGGCGGTTTGGGGGAGGTAAGTATTTCATTCAAAAGCTTGGCTACAGAGTCGGTGTTGCACAGCTATTATTTTCTCCCACTCATTTCAACTCTGGCATTGATCGTCTTGTTAATTCGGCGCTGTTCTCATTGTCAGACATTGATCATCTGCTTGTTTGCCGTTCATATCGATCGTCTTTTTACTTTGAAGAACACGAGATAGATCGTTTGCATTACCCGGCCTCTTCTAACTCTTTCCTTTCTTTCCCCTAGAGGCGGTTTCTGGATTATTTGACGTTTGAAACCATTGCCTTTTTTGACCTTTTCTCATTTGGTGGTTCTGTTTCTTTTCTTCATAATATTCATGCCAGCAAAAATGTCTTTTCAACGGGGTTTTTTAAATACACATAGGGTGGCGTCAAGTCTAGAAGGACCGTTTTTGCAAAAGTGCAAACTCCTGAGAACACCAAATCCGGGACGCATATGCTGGAGTTTGCCGAAATGCTCAATGAGTACTTTTTCTCGTCCAAGGATGCGCCACAATGCAACCAGGTCAATTCGTTTGCTTGGATTCACCCTTGCTACGGTTGGCGCCGTTGGATCTTACCTCTCTACTAGCCGCGTGGCCTATGCGGAGAGTCCTACTGACCTGGATCTGGATCAAAATGGCGCCAAAGTGTTTCGATTCGCCGAAGTACAGCGTCACGGGGTCGGCGCCGAACGAATATGGGCAATCCGAGGAGACCGCGTATATGATATAACAGAATGGATACCAAGCCACCCCGGAGGTGAAGTAATTTTACGAGCAGCGGGTGGACTGATTGATCCATATTGGAAAATTTTCACGATCCATCAAAAGCAAGACGTGTACGACATCCTCGAGCAATACTTTATAGGTGTCGTGGATCCTCGAGATCTTGTCGATGGCCATGTGCCAGCGGACCGCGTCGAAGATCCTTTCAAAAATGACCCGCACCGAGATCCGCGGCTCAGTCCGCACAGCGACCGTCCCTGCAACTCTGAAACGCCAGCCAGCGAGCTGGTAACATTCATTACACCCAATTCGGTTTTCTACGTACGCAACCACCTCTGGGTCCCTCCTGATGACGGCGACTCCCACAAAATAACAGTTGAGCTTTACGACGGTACGACCAAAGACTATACCCTGGAAGATTTGCGCAAAACATTCCAGTCCCACAAAATCACTGCTACTCTCCAATGCTCCGGAAACCGTCGCAAGCACATGACGCTTGGCGCTCGCTCCACCAACGGCTTGCAATGGGACGTTGGCGCCATCGGAACCGCCGAATGGACAGGAGTCAGACTTCGAGACGTCCTCAGGGACGCTGGCCTTGATGTTGAAGACCTCCCGGAAGATACGAAGCATGCCCAATTTGTGGGTGAAGAAGCATATGGCGCATCTATCCCTATTGAAAAAGCCGTGGACAAGAGGGGCGACGTGTTACTCGCGTACGAAATGAATGGAGAGCCTCTTCCGCGCGACCATGGTGCGCCAGTGCGAGTGATCGTTCCAGGTCATGTCGCGGCACGGAGTGTTAAATGGGTCAACAAGATTATCATGTCCGACGAAGAATCCACCTCGCAATGGCAGCGCCGAGATTATAAATGTTTTGGTCCTAACGAGGGTTCCAAGCCGGACTGGGAAAAGGCACGTAGTATTCAAGAAATGCCCGTTCAATCAGCTATTACCTCTGTGAAGGAGTTCTCCAGCCATGAGCCGGAAGCAAGAAGTCTGATTCGGGTATATGGCCTAGAGGAAGACTCTATTGCCCTTCAGGGCTATGCTTTCTCTGGTGGAGGAAGAGAAATTATCCGTGTGGATGTCAGTGCAGACAACGGGCATACATGGCATCAGGCAGAGCTCACGAACTCTGATGCCAAAGGTCACAAGTCCTGGGCATGGAAACAATGGACACTCGTCATGCCAAAACGCTTGGCGGGAAGATGGTTCATCGTCAAGGCAATTGATGAGGCGTACAATTGTCAACCAGATTCATATGATCCGACATATAATTTCCGTGGAAATCTCACAACCGCATGGCATCGGTATCCGTATGAGCCAAAGATGAAATGAGCCTGATTGGTAACGGATCTTAAGGAAACTGAGGCTGCGGCCAAGCTTCAAGGGCGCCCAATCACAGCCTTTTAATTGGACTATCCACTGGACTCATTGAACAAAAGCTCCTGCTTAAAAACTACCCTAATGCATCATAAATTTCACTTTCTCCTCTGATAATCCGCTCAAGTTCAATAGCATAATATACCACAAAATGTAAACTTAAGCATTGAAGTCGAAGAATACTGATTTAGTCTAATTTTACTGTTGCGCCCATCACTCTCGAGTGTGGGTTAGTTAAACCACCGTCCATCGATCAGATAAGATTCAGCGCATCTCGTACCTGGAAATTCCCCCAGATTCGCTACGTCAGGCGAGGAGGGTAAACAACCATATGACGTCGGCACGCGCTAATGGTTAATGCCAAGGGATATCACAAGGCTGGACAGGGTCAACCGTTCTTTCTTTATTTCATTTTTCTCATACTTTATCGTTGGGCAGCCTTCATTTCATCTCAGTTACGCCTCAGGGCATTTCATTTGATTTTAACTACGCGGATATATCAGTTGCAAACATGTCTGCGAAAGTCAAGGAAACCGTGTCCGAAGAGGTCGTCCGTGTTCGAGGCTTGACTGCCGATGCGGCGCGTTCTGGAGCTTATTTGTATCCTTTGAAGGTATGTTCGTGAATCGTGATAATTTTCACAAGAAAAAGTCTTCAATGTAAAACTTCCTGTTTGATTATCTTGCCGTTTTTGTTTCCCTTTGCGGCCTTGATTGCAGCAGCTAACTTTTTCTGTGCTCTACCAATTCAGGGAATTGCATACTTCGCCACCCACCGCAGTTTATGGAAGCCCTTTCTCTCAAAGCTTCTGCCGACCATTACCTTGGGCATTGGAGTGACGGCTACAATGTTCGTCTTTACGTATCTTCCGCAAGCCGCGGTGCTGGCTGTGGTCAACGGGCCTCTGGCTGCTTTCACGACAGTATTGCTCGTGCTCAATGAAAGCTCGACTATTTTCACGATCCTCAGCAAAACTTTCTTGATAGATGATGCCTTGATTGACACATTTGATGGGGTATGCTTCTTTCTTCAGATCCGTTAAAGTTGTGGATTGAACTACTCTAAGCCTTGGATAATTGATGGCTAACTTGCGCAATGCAGACGCTTGTTGCTAAGGGAATGACTGGCGTCGTATCCGACGGCCGAGAGATCAAGCGCGGAAATGACCCTATTTCGAAGCTGGGAAAGCTTATCAAAAAACCATTTTCCAGCTTCACACCGCAGGCCATCATTCGGTATTTCATGTACCTCCCTCTGAACTTCATCCCTGTCATCGGTACAATATTGTTTTTGGTTCTTCAAGGCAAGAAAGCGGGTCCTACCGCCCATGCCCGCTATTTCCAGTTGAAAGAGTGGTCAAAGTCCCAGCGAGCTGCGTTTATTCACCAGAACCAGGGCGCTTATACGAGGTATGCATATTCTATTCCTAGCCCAACAAGCACGGAAAGATGCAGAAACCGTCTTTCTCTTCCGTTTTAAATGTTGTTCAGGTACTGATAATGTGATCGAACAGTTTTGGCCTCATTGCCGTTTTACTCGAGCTCATTCCTGTTGCATCCATTCTGTTTTCCTTTACTAACACAGTGGGCGCGGCTCTCTGGGCGGCTAATATCGAAAAAGAGTCGACGACTGCACCAAATTTGCGCGAACAGGCAAAGAAGGCTGAGTAGCCTCATATCAATTCGGCATTGAGAGACGCATTACCGGGACAATAAGCTGGCCGCTCATACTGCCCCGTCCCCAGCGACGGTCTATGGTTGCAACATCCCAGAAGGGATTCTTTTTCAAAATTTTAATCCTGTCGGAGAAGTTTTTATTCCCAGCAAATACCTATATTCTCGATATGCCTTTGTAACGTTAGTTTTCATTTTCTGAAAGTATCTGAATAATTCTAAGCGGCTGCAGGTTCAGTTTATTGAGGGCGCCCTCAGAGCGGTCACTCACTCTCTGGAGTATTTCTCCGCGGTAATCAAGTGGGAAACGATAGTCTGATTGTGATAATCTGGTTTGATCATTCTTAAAAATAAATTATAAACATCTAAATAAATCTTCATTCTATATCTAGTCGGTCGACAAAAAATTTCTCGATCTCTATCGTCGTGAATTCCTTCAGAGTTGTTCATCTGTCAGTGGTCAACGAAATCGGGGAGGAACAGGAATTCCTCTGTAAAGCGTTTCATCGGTCTCTCAGCTCCGCACCACTGAATGCATCATCGCCTCTAGTTCGTGTTTCATGTCCTACCAGTCTCACTTTCTCTTTCCCAAACGACTTCGCCAAGCATTGGATTTCGCAGAATGTTGCACGAAAAATCGACTAGACGCGGGCAGTGGTGTCTCTCATCGGCAAGCAGCTGAATATCCCTCGCACATGGAAGGGCAACATCGAACACCGCTTGTTTCAAGTCCGGAACCTAGTGCGTGTCTTAATTACGGCGCTAAAATGTAGAAAAAGCAATAAACCAAAGGAGTTTGAAGAGATTGCGGAGTGACATACAGCTTGTTGATTTTCGAGAGACGGATACCCGATTATTTCGACATGCTCCAACTTTGGACAATTTGCCAATGCCGCAAGGATACCATACTTGTTCTGTTCTGTGGCTTCAATCTTTAAAGCAGCGGAAAGCCAGCGCAAATTGCCATGTTTCTGCAACAGTCCAAATAATTGCTCCAGCGTCAGACAATACATTACCATATCGAGTCGGACAAGGTCAACGGGCGCATCCGGTCCCGTTAATGCATCAACCAGGGCGACAGAAGACGATGGCGGGAAAGGAACAACACCGGTGCCTTGTGATATCCTGCTCACAAGTTACTAAAATTGTACTAACCGTCCAGCCTTATATGCATTGGGATTCCGTGCCGCTGCGTCTTCCCACGAAAAGCATTGCAGCGAGTCATTCTCGGGCTCAGCTAACAGAAATATTTAAAGTCAACTTACTCTGCAGAGAAATCCAATCCAAGATGTGTCAAAGACGGTCCAACCAATCTATGCATCTCTGTTGAAGCAATCCGTTCGTGAAATTTCTCATCCTGGTTCTGGAAAACATAGCTAATGTCCAAGGCTTGCAAGCAACTCTTTTTACTTGTTGTAATAATATCACCCAGCGTTGCAAAAAATCCGGGATAGGCAAAGACGTTCTCGAAACGCAAATCGACCAGTTCCGTCGCATGCTTGAAGAATTCTACGGTGTCTTTGTGTGATTCTTCCGATTCGCCTCCAAGCAGCGAATTTCTAACAGCAAATGATTGAAGATGCTGTAATTGTTGACCAAGAGCTGTGAGAAAGCCCATTGGAAATCCAGAAGAAAAGCCACCCAACGTGATATCCAAAATGGAGGGTGGAAGGTGTTTTATGCCGCCATAGCCTTGCTGGAGTGTTGTTTCGTACTCCACATGCTCGATGTCGGAGATCAATGCAATGCCTTCGACTTTGCTGCTTAATTGAGGCAACTGCGGTATCTTGAAAGAATTGAGAGTTATACTAGCATAATTTTGGTCTGGATTGCTGGAAATCTCACTGCCGGACATTGCATCCATTGTCAAAGAAGACGTAGTGTGATTGTAATGGTAAAAATGATGATTCCAGGAGCACAGTAACTATTCAGCTAGAGGCGCACAAGCAAAGGATAAAGTCTGACAAAAGCCGAGAGGTTATTTGTCCCTCCAAGCAATGCCCCCCTTGGCATCTATTGCGGGGAAACCGGGGAACAATAATAGTCCGCCGTGGAGAGTATCATCTGGGGTAGGAGAGAAGAAGTATAACGAATGTTGCTGAGAATTGATGTTACGTCTCAGAGTAGTAATGCTGGAAGTTTCAGAGGACATGACTGCAGATCATTACACCTTCGACCACTACCTTATGCTGCTCATACATTTCCTCTTCTGCATGCAGTGAGCTCGTCCGCATTCTGACAGCGCTAGCATGTGATGGTACAGCTACAGCCTGTGGCTGGTTCATGTGGCGGTGCATAGTCAATGCTGACTCATCGTCAGCCACAACTTGTATGCGAATTGATTTTGGCATCATCATGCTATGGAGAGATTCCAGTCTCAAAATCTCAGCAGCATTACATATCGACCATGCCTCCACGACTAAGTCTCCTGCCCCTGGGCAGACCACTCACAATTCTATCACGTCCCATTGCAGCACCCACCGCTCGGCCTACAATTGCGCTTGCTTCAGCGTCTGTCAGATCCCAAAACTTATGTAGGGGTTTCGCCGACGACAAGAAGGCGCCGGTTGATGACGTCCCGCCCAAGGTTGGCCCGAATATGGATCACTTGCCGCACGTCAGTGAGGAAGCAGCTGCTCTTGGAAGAATCACCGGTGAAGGTGGACCTGAGCTCGAGCAGGGAACGCCAATTCAGGAGGTGGGTATCCATTTTATTACGTCCTTTTTGTCCTAGAAATGGTCTCCCATTGCGCACGATCTGGGAACGATAAGAGAAGATCACAGCAATACGTATATAAGTTGCGAGACAATATCTGACAGAAGCCCTTGACAGATTCTGGAGCGCGACCAGGACGGTCTCAAGAAGGCCCCCAAGGTTTTGAAAGACCAGGTTGAACCGCCTTCCGGACCAAAAGGCACTCGATCCTTTTCCACATCTACCCGTCGCTCGGCCGCTCTCACCACTGCTGTCGAGGATCCCACTGTTGTCAATCTTGAGGGCTCAAAGTTTGGCATTCCTGAATTTCCTCTCCCGACCGAGAATCTTCTCAAGCAACGATACGACCCGGTCGTCAAGCAATTTACCAACCTTCTGATGTGGGACGGCAAGCTGAGCAAGGCGCAACAGGTAAGCACTATAATTTTCACATCTTTTTTTGCATACGATTCTTTTGAAGTCGATATGCCCTACTTTTCTCCTGTATAATACCTTTCCTCAGACACTGACGTCACACTTTGTCCAGGACATGTCGCGTATTCTGTCCATCATTCGAACAGCACCCACGCCTTCAATCAACCCAGCTCGACCTCTTCTCCCGTCTGCTCCTCCGCCATCCCACCTTCCGCTGAACCCCGTCCTCTATCTGACCCTCGCTATCGACTCTGTCGCTCCCCTGCTCCGTATCAAATCCATGAAGGGCGCAGCTGGTGGTGGTGTCGCCCTGCAGCTCCCCAATCCCTTGAACCTCCGCCAGCGCAGACGTAAAGCCATTACTTGGATCCTGGAGGCCGCCAGCAAGAGAAAGTCGAGAGGTAGTGGAAGTGGTCAGTTTGCCCAGCGAGTGGCAGATGAAGTTATTGCGGTCATGGAGGGCCGTAGTGCCGTGTGGGACAGGAGGAACGCGCTACACAAGCTTGCTATTACCTCGCGTGCCAATTTGTCCTTTTATAACAGGAGGAGATAAGCCTTTATACGATCTACTTCTGTTAGTGAGCGTTGTACAAAAACTTCGATTCCAACGAGGAGACCACTCTTGAAATGAGGGTTCTCGATTCTTCAAAATTTCAGTGTATATCATGAATGGCATTTTCTAGGGTTAGGCTTTTCAAAATTTCAATATATTCTTATTTTCATTTATTGTCATAAAAGCTTCTTGAGGCATCGTTTGAGGTTATATTTTGCTACGGCCAATACCGACTGCAGAAGGAGTTGAAGCGAATCCGAAATGGAGCTGTGCAGTACGGATATCAGGAATCGGTACCATAGATATCTGTTGGGTTGGACGCACTCTGTGGACAAACAACTGTTCTGGCAATTGTTGCATTTCCGAACAGGTCAACTATATTTCGTATGCGCCAAGGGAAAGAAAACGTCTGTAGGGAAATGTTTCCGGGAGAATGATCGTTCACAGTTATTCATCACAATCGCGATCAGATAAGCTCGTGAGAAAGGTTATGTTCTCCCTGCCGAAACGGAAGGGACTGATCGGTTCGTGGATTTTCATAAATGGCTCATGGGCCGAGTTTTCGAAAGTCGAAAATTGTGTCTGCAGCAAAGAGATACATTACGTAGAGCCAAGAATGGAAAGGATACACTTGTCGCGGCAGTAGAGCTTGCCAAGTCAACTAGACGGTGAATTAACCTCGTTGGAGCATCACCGGTCCGCCTTGGCTTTCCCCGCCCGGTATATCCACACACAAATTACGCACGCGAGCCGCCTCGTCCAGCTGGCGATGACTGATACTTTTTGAAGCTATTGAGCTCTTCTTCACTTCCAATTGCTCGTGATTGTCTCATCGTTGAATGTGCACATCTTAATATGGTCACTTCCACTCTATGAACATAATAGAGATATACTGATAAGTGTCATCTATCGCTCTGCCCCGCTCCGGCTCTTTCCACTTCGATCCGAGCCGGAACTATTTTCGACGATCATATGAAGACGGGGAGAACAGCTACCATAATTCTCACATAACAATAACAACCGCCTACATTCACTAGCCATCGTATTGGAATTTTCTGCTCATACCTCTGAAGCGCAGGAATCGGGATCTAAGGCTTCTCGTATCGAGCTGTGCTGAACGATATAATCGACGCCCCAAAAGCTCCTCCCAGCTCTTCAAGCTTTATTTGCGCCTAGCAAACTACGCCATGTCGCTGGAATCCGCGCTAGACGAGGAGCGTCAGGAGATTTTGAGGCTTCTGGGAGGAGCAAAGAATGATGGCGGCCACCCTCCAGCTGAAGCGCCTTCTCTCGCCCATAGGCACCGAGGGGCCAGTCCACCTGGACCTAGGTCGCCGGTGAGGAGCATGCTCGACATTACAGGGAAATCAGCAGCAGCAGCTCGACATGCATCAATAGCAGGGAGTAATGTCGGTGCAAGCAGACCTGGAACGCGGACCGATCCAACCAGCGAATACCAGTTCGATCCCCTTCCGAATACGCCCAACCCAGCGCCCAAACGGGGCTCGCAGAGCAAGAGCGGTTTGCCAAGCGCGATCACAGATATCTTACAAGGACATACCGATACTTCGTATCGGCAGGGAAGAGGACGTCACAACTCGACTGCTGGAATATCACAGCACAAATCAAAATCACCCTCGACGCGCTTGGGACGTTCAGTCTCTCCGCGCCATAGCTCGCTCAACACCAACTCGTTCAATCCGATGCCTACTCCGGGAAGGTATACGTTAGATGATGGAAAGGTGGTTGATATGAACAGTGCATATCGGAGGCTCTCTGATGCTGCCTTGCGCAAGTCTGGTGGCAGTCTGTCAAGTTTGGCAAGAGATCGTGTGCGCTCGGACAGCGGCGAAAGCTTGTCTCCGTCTGGTGGTGTTCGGCTAAATAAAGATATCGATGCCGATGACGACGAGGCCGCGGTATCGAGTAGCGATGACTCTGATGACGGAAGTTCTGGGGATGAGTGGGATGGAGACGGTCGACGGGGCCGGAAAGGTCGACGAGATAGTGATGACACTTCAAAGAATACTCCGGCCGGTATGGGAAATAAAGCAAAGAATAAGACTGCCAAGAGCTTGATGGCGGCTTCGGACGAAGAGAGTATGTTGTAAAATACATGACAGCAATTGATGGACCTCCGCTAATTGTGCTTTTTCCAGGAAAGCGAGTTGCGTCTGGCTACAAGGTGAAGTCTCTGCTCGAGCCTTCTGTGACCATAACTGGGCCAGGAGGTGAAAAGTTAACAAATAAACGCCCGGGCGTGCATCCCACGACCAGCTTCGACATGACCGCTTCCGGCGCTTCGACTCCAGTCACCTCCGATACGGAACAGGATCTTACCGACATTAGGCGCGCGCAACGGATGAATATCGCCATGTCCAAGATCACATCGACTCCAGGATCTCACCGTGCTATCCGGACAGTAATTCGGGGTGAATTTTCCAAGATGCAGCAGGAGGCCGAGGACGGTCTGCGCCGACAAAGGACTTATTTGGTGGCCACGGATCTTAGTGATGAAGCCGCGCACGCACTTGAATGGACGATTGGAACGGTACTCCGAGATGGCGATACGTTGCTTGCTTTTTACGCCATTGATGAGGAAGGTGCTACAGGCAAAGGCGGCGATCTGGAGGGTAACCAGGGCGTTGCGATTGGCGAGGGCGCCTTGGCCGTTCAGGATACGGCTGCTGTAGTGGGATCGTTAACTGCTGATCAGTCAACATCTCATCTGCATGCTCTCTCTCCGCTGGGTCAGGCCGCTCATCTTGCTGGTGGAGCCAGCAGCTCTCCCAGTACTCGGAACCTCTCTAGACCGGAGCAGGAACGTTTTCGGGCCGCAGAGGATATTTCCCAACGGTGTATTCGCCTGCTGCGTAAAACGCGGCTACAAGTGCGAGTTGTCGTGGAGGTGATACATTGCAAGAGCCCGAAGCACTTGATCACAGAAGTGGTAAGTTCCACGTCGTCTCGCCTTGGGTTCAAGAGAAGTAGAAATGGCTAAATCTTTGTATAGATTGACTTTATTGAGCCAACGCTAGTGGTTCTTGGATCAAGAGGTAGAAGTGCACTCAAAGGGTATGTAATCTATTTCCAAAAAAAAAGCGCATTTCAGATGCTCATCACTCACATGAACAGTGTTCTTCTGGGATCATTCTCCAATTATATTGTTACCAAATCGTCGGTCCCTGTTATGGTGGCTCGTAAGAGGCTGCGAAAGCACAGCAAATACAAGAAGACGAATATCCGTCTTTCCAACAATCTGACAAGCCCGAAAGGTCTCGCAGCAGCCAAGATTGATTAAAATTTGTCGTTTTTGGGGTTATTTATTGATTTAAAAGGCCGAACTAACATTAAGCCCCCTTTTTTTTTCTCTAAGATCTCGGCATCATGGTAGGCACTGTTGTTCGAGCACCTATGAAATCTGAGTACACGGCGATATGCTCAATCAAAGCAGTTGATGCGTTGTTTGGGCATGGGCGATTGGCGACTGACTGGTACAAGCGAAGGGCCTTTTACTCATGTTCCTTTTCTTTCTATCCTTCACACCACCTTTACTCTCCTCTCTTTCCTCCTTCCTTCCTCTCTGTTCTCCAAAGCGAGCTAGTTGCAAACCGGGGTTATGAAGCGCGTGCGGTAGGCAAAGTCAATATGATATGAGATACCTCGGTATCAACTTCCTGCGAACAGATTTACGGAAATTGGTGGCATAGTGATGACGAAACAGTGACTGAAGGATCTGATAATGCCACCTGCGCGTGGATGCTCATGAGATTGATAACTCTATTTCTATTCTAGCGCAAGCCCTATTTTGCTAGAAACACCATGCGGGAGCACATTTTCTCGCTGTTGATGTTCGGCCTTCGGTCTTTCGGGGAGTGTGAAGTTCGGTCTTCGGAGATAAGAGGGTTGGATGCCTAGGGGTTAAGCCGAATTAGGAAATAATCTCACCCTCCCGCCCGCACCAGTTGACTCTTTTTTGTTTGGTGTGCAGGTCGGAGATTCACTACTGACGTTGAACCTGGTTGACTCCAGAATGGCTTTAGCTCAATTCAAAAATAAGATATGTGAAATGTGGAGTCCTCTCCTAGAGACAAACACTCGGAAAAATTGCAACTCTGTCAAACTGACAATGCGAATTGCATCCTGCCATCCTCTGAACTCGAGGACCAACTGCACAAGCGGCAGCAGCAGCAGCAGCAGCAGCAGCAACAATGGGTGAAGAAGAAGAAGACCAAGTCATGACCCCCCCTTCGGGGGAGGAGAGCTCTCATTCCACCAGAGCGGGGTCCGTCAACCGCGTCATTCCACGCCGTAATCGTAACCGCATCTCATTGTCTTGCACCGAATGTCGAGCGCGAAAGGTCAAATGCAATCGAGCTCGGCCTTGCAACCACTGCATCAAACGCAATTGCGTCGACAAATGCGTCTACATTACCAACCGTAAGGCTCGTCCAGCACAGCGGGCCTTTTCGGACGTCTATGGACGAGCCCAGTCCCCTTTAGCCAATGGCACCGATGACCCCTCGGACTCGAAAGCACCACATGCTCGCGATCGAATTGACCGATTGGAAAAGCTCGTGCTGCATCTCATGTCGGAAAATGTCCAAATGCGCGATGCACGGGGTCTGGCTCCCATGCCTACGGCCAATCTCGGAGGCATACAGATCGACAGAGACATGTTTCGCGACGCGGATATCTCCCTGCCTTTTAGAGGGAGCGTCAGTGCAGCGAGCTCGAGTGAACCGTTCAGTCCACACGAAGTGTCATCCGCCTCTATCAATGCCACTGACGAGGACACTGCCCGGGCCTTGGGTGTGATGAGATCCCATCGAGGCATCCTGACATACTGGGGCGCCAGCCATTGGGCCATGGTGCCGCCAGAAATGGCCGATTTCAAGGGCATTTATGGACACACAAAACCAAGTGCAGCGCATCTTCTAACCAAGAAGAAGAGCCAAATGAAACTATTAAAGACCAATCCAGAGCTGGCGCTGTGTGGTGGTGGATTGGACATGCTGGAAGGAAATGGGAATTCCATCTTGATTCGGTTTCCGTTTAGTACACTGAAGCCAGTGACAAAAGCGCGAATGCTGCAGACGTTGCCGGAGCGCAAGACTGTCGACTCGCTGGTCGATCGATTCTTTTCGTTTTTCAATCGCTCGTATCATGTCTTGCACGAGCCGACGTTTCATGAAGAGGTATGTTTCCGTCTGAAGAGCTTGAATAAATTTCTATAGAGGGATCAAGTTTTGGCTGATTGTTACTAGTATAATGCTTTCTGGATAAACTATTCCAAGCCCGACTTTGATGCCGAGAATGTCGACTTTGGCTGGCTCTCCCTTTTATTCGCAATCATCGCATTGGCTGTGCACTCGAACCTCGGGAGCGTCAACATCCCCCGCGAACCGTGGGAATCGGCGCTCGCATCTGCGTTTTCCTACATCCGCGCTACTGAACAATGTCTCTTTTTGTCCGGCAACTTTACACGAAAACCCACTCCGTCAACCCTCACGGCCATGATTCTCGTCTTCTTCGCCCGCAGAATGCGCGTTGAGGAAGTTCAGGGCTCGCTTTGGGTCTTTCACGGCGCGATTGCCCGCATGGCACTCAGCATGGGTTTGCACCGAGATCCCAAACCGTACGGGACCATTCCGGCTTCCGTATCCGAAGTCCGGCGCCGCCTTTGGGCGACAGTGCTGTGCACCGACATTCTCGGATCCCTTCACATTGGGCTTCCGTCAACCATGTATCATGTAGAATCCAACAGCGAGATGCCACTAAACATTCACGATCACGAACTCAGTCGCGAGGCCACTGAGCTCCCTCCTGGTCGACCGCTCACAGAATACACGGGCACGTCATTTCTCATCATCAAGACACGGTTATCCCTTGCCTTTGCTAGCATCGTTGCCCAAACCACCACTCTCCGCGCTGGAGTTTCGTACGAAGATATTCTCAAATGGGACTATAAACTCAAAGAAATCTTATCGTCAAGTCCAGATATGCTCCGCCTGAAACCCCTAGTCCGGTGGGGCGGCGACCCCCTCTGGCTCATCAGTCAGCGCTGTGCGTTGGACATTCTTTACCAAAAGGCCTTGTTAGCCTTACATACGCCGTATACGCTACGATTCAGAAACAACATGCGGTTTGCAACATCGTATCAGGCGTCGGTCGAAGCAGCCGTTGCGTTACTTCAACATACGGTACAATTATACCAAGTTGATTCATCGCTACTGGATCAAGTTGAATGGCTTACCGAGTCATTGCTCACGCACGACGTCTTGCATGCAGCCGTTATTGTCTGTTTTGCCATAAAAGATTTGACCAAAGGGCAGAAGATTCAGCAGCAGCCGCAGCGGCCGCAGGAGCCACAGCAGAATGATCAATCAACTGCGACGCCAACGGCGCACGCGCTGGCAGGCGAGCTTCGCTTTTCCAAGGACGACTTGTTCAAAGTACTGCATGACGCCGAAGACATTTATGCCGATTGGAAAAAGACGTGCTTGAAAGCATCTCTGACATTTAACGCCGTGTCGTGCTTGATTGGAAAAGCCAAGGAACCTGACCATTGTCCTGGCCCTCCCGTCACCTGTCCCGGTCCTTGTGTTACTTGCAAAAAGAAAACCCTCCCCACCAAGCCCAGCGTACCAAGACCGGCAGCAGCAGCAGCAGGACCAACACATCCAGGCAACTATCCCGAGTCCTTTGTCCGGTTGCAGCCAATTGATGCCGACGATCAACCAAACGCTTCATCTAACAACAAGCGAAAGGGGAAAGCCGCGGCAATACAAGATCCCGCGCTCGCGACTGCAGACTTCTCCGCCATGGCCGGCAGTAGCGCAGGCGTTAGTCCCCGTGATCAACAACAACACCAGCACCACCAGTCAACATCGCCTTCAATAAACATGTTGACACCCACGTCCGCGCAGGACGTCATGCTGAACGGACCTAATACTCCTGGTCTCGTTGGGTCAGGTCACATGAGCCGACAACAACATCAAGCTAATTGCTTCGATCCCACTGTCGTTCCCTCGCCTGCTGGCCTGCCTACCCCCTTTGAAGCAGCTGCAGCCGCGCCGTCGGACTTTCATATCCCAGGCCTCGATCATAATAGTATGCAGCTCGACGCCACAGGCACAAGTCCAGGTTCAGGGTCTGCGCAGAATGAGAGCATGGCATGGAATTCTGCAATTGATAGAGTATGTTTCCCATTTTTTTTTTCTGCGCTCTCCATATTTGCCTCTCTCTCTCTCTCTCTCTCTCTCTCTCTCTCAGCTATCTTCTTATATACACGCTAATTCGGGTACAGGAATTCTGGGATAACTTCATGCAAACTCTCGACGTAGGCTGGGATCCACCCGCAAGCGACTGGGTCGCGGGCATGTACATGCCTCCATAGATGCCGCAGGACTGTCTGATCAATTCTGTTCTCTTTACGGGGAAATTACGGGGAAATCGTATTTACCGTGGTTCTATTTGTCTCATGATTCCTTTTCTCCTTCTCGGGCTCTGGGTATAGTTCCCAATGCGTTATTTTTCTCCGCTCCAGGATGTTTTGATATATATATATATATATATCTTTCCCCGCTCTTTCTGTATTATCAGCCCTTGTATAGATACCCATTTTAGTACAAAAATGAAAGACGATATTTCCTCTAGTCAATCACTTTTTCTCTTTCATTTCATTTCTTTTCTTTTCTTTTTGCTTCTTTTCTTTTTATTTTTCTTCTAAATTATATCTATATAGAGCTTTAATATGCGTATCTTTACAAGTATAGCTCATTTCACTATTATCTTACCTAGTTGTATTATAAGGACTTCTATCATGTATACCAAGGTTGTGCGCAGTCCAGGTATGTAAGGAATATACTTTGCGAGCTGGGGGTAGGATTGCGACCAAGGGGTTAGCATTATCTCGAAAACGGTAAACACTCATAGTAAAGTCGTTCGGCTGAGCGCCTCGATCTCTGCACTGCGTTTGTTGGCTGGATGAGCAAATTGAAATTAAGCACGAACGTGTAACGGTGTAAGTGTTTCATTAGGGTCCAGAGTGTGTATTACTATTACTGTATTACATGATTTAAATATTGAACTAGAGTAGGGTGTCCGTTGGTCTGGTCTGGTCTGGGTCAGTCTTTAAGGTAAAGACCAAGACCAAACTCCAGACCGGGCGTGGATGGTCTTTTCAACTAAACCCATCACTGATTGTTGATGTACTTCCTAAAATGTAATGTTGGTGGTGATCATAGACTGGTGGAGACATGTTCAAAAGATCGACCCAAGGTGGTCTGGTCCTACTTTCAAAATTCCACACTTGGTCTGGATTGGCTGTGTAAAAGACCAAAGACCACCAGTTTCCACCGGCCCCAACCGACACCCTAGTCCAGAGCATGTATGACATGGTTTAAATATTGAACTAGAGCTTGTATACACAGTAAAAGGATTTAAGAGGAAACGTTCTTCTAAACGGTATGAGCGGTATGAATGGTATGAAAGACTTCATCATATTCTGCATTGTATATCCAAATAATCTAATGGTATTCGAGTCAGTACTCCATCTTTTGCGTAAATTGATGGAACTAGCTTGCCTTTGACTTTGTAGTAGGCAATAAATCTGTCAATATTTCATCAAACTTCCGCTTGTGCATGCTGCTAGAATATGTTGAACCCAGTATCCGGGCTTGATTAGGCTGGCAATGCTTCCCGTCGACAATGTGAGTCTGACTATGTGCGGCAGTGCCGGCACAGGCACAGTGAGTCTGGCCGAGTGTAATGTCTCGTTGATTTGTTCGAATGTGTAAGCTTTTGAGAATTTTGCGGCAGAATGGCTGTCCTTGCATCACTTGGTAGTGGCATGTCATCTGCATTATGGATTCGAAAGCTGAAAAGCACACTGTCTCGGTGTATCCGTTTCTAGATGGAAAATCTGCCAATATTGCACTAGATTGGCAATTGCCATAGGTGAGCTTCATTCCCGTTAACCTCTTGTGGCGATTGATAGCGACCTCGACAGTTTCAATTCCATCCAGGGAGGCAGATGAGATAAATGCTCCCCATGAATTGATCTTTACGGTAGACAGCATATCAGTGGGAATTGCGACTTCAAGCTCGGACGGGGTCAAATTTTTGGACACAAACGATGGTATAGGCCCAGACTCTGTTAGGATCCCCATCTCCTTTAGAAACTTCACGCCTATAAATCTGTCATTTAAACTCCTGAATAAGCCATAGACTCCCGTAATAAGTCCCTTGTATCTTATTGCAGGGAGTGCATAATCGCTTTCAGGACATTTGAATACAAGTTCTTGATGCCCGTTGGTTCGTAGCTTCAACTTTTCTTAGAAAGGGTTAAAGTGACTGCGATTGGGAATGGGAACTTACTCTGATTTGCTCAATACCAATTTGAGTAGATGTAACTCCTATTCCAAGGACTCGCTCACCGCCAGGCCCGTCGATAATCTTACATTGTCGAGTCCCGTAACAAGTTCCCCACTGTTGCACTTGTTCTTTTGTATAGATGAATTCCATTCCGGTGATCGAAAGGCCAGGACCAACAAAGAATGCATTTATTTGGATTAGTGTTTCTAAATGGCACCCGTTCGGCCCACCAAAATGGCACACATGGTATGATTCTTCGCCGCGAAGAGATGAGTGAGGCTCGCTCAATGAGATTGGTGTGCAAGTTGGCGGTAATTGCGGCATCCACGTTAATGGAGTTCTTAATGATCCTGGCGGGCCAAGCTTGACAGATACGAGCTTGAAGGTCTATGTCGTGTTAGCATCCCAGGCCGGTGAACCATCCTTCTGCGTCTTACATCAAAATCAAAACGCAATATATCACCACTTTTGATGCAGCATTTGCCTATGCCTATATTGAGTCCAGACCGTTGACCAATGAATGTCTCTTTCCCCGAAGCATCCGTGAAACCAATCCCGACATAACCCCCTTCTGTGTTGGAAAGAACTAGTTCCATTGGCGGTGAAATCAAATGTACGGGAAGGCGCTGCAAAGAGCCTTGATAGTTCCATCCACACCCGTCAGAGCCGTCAGAAACTCGAATCCCGGAGATATAGCGTGTATGGCCAACGGAAAGCATGGAAAAGTTTATGGGGCCGGTCTCGGGCTCGAAACAGAAATCGATAAAAGAGGTTCCCTTGCCTGGAGCCATCGGAGCTCTCAACCGAATGATTGTGCAGAGTTGATCAGCTTGCTTTGCAATTCTGCGAAGATTCCTCAATGATTTTGCCGTATTTCCAATCCCATTTCTCAGTGTTTTCTTGACAAGTTTGTACTGTGCTTCATACCCAAGGTTGCTTTGTCCTTTAAGCAGTTTCACATAGGGTAGATCCTCCCGGAGACGAGTGGACCAAAATCTTGTAGGGAGCCTAGTTCGTGCAGCAGCAGCACTCAAGCTTCTCAAATTTCGTACATCTTTAGTAGGTAAATTATCGAATATTGAGCAGATGATTTCTTCGGGAACTTTGGAAAAGATGTCTGATTCTAAATCCCGGAACATGGTCACAATCGGTCCGCTCGTTTCTGGATATATCGTTGTGCATCGCTCAATATCCTCCCAGGAGATTGCAACAGGGTCAGCAAAAATGAAATCCGTCTCGTCTGTACTTTTGGGATCTATCTTCTCGGGAAGATAGTGTATTCGACGACCATCAAACTCAATGTGTAATGCGGCGCTGTCTGCCTCAAACCATTTAGAAAATGGAATTGTATGGAGCAGCTCACAAAAGATTGGTGATATGCAGTTCAATCCGACCCTTTTTAGGACCATGGCCAGGATAGTGTAACATGCAGTATGAATTCCAAATACAAATGAGCCATCAATAACTTGCTGTCCGTCCAAGTATGAGGTTGAGGGCGCTTGGTAAATTGAAGCTTGGCGTATAACATCTGTGATTACTTCGACGTCTGAATTCAACCACCTGACTAAAGCAAAGTTAATCCAGGCTCGATTGATCGTGCCAAGTAGCGATATTACCACAGTTCAACCAATTCAACCATGTTAACTCCATTTCACCAAGCTGTAGTCCACAGGCATAACACCTATGTAAACACATTGCAACGAAATGGACGGTAAAGTCCAGAAGTCTTCTTAGATCTGAGTATCTGGCGGAGATATCCCATCACCTGACATTGCGGCTGGCGAAAAGAGAGGCTCGATTGAAGTGACGTGTAAGGGGTGCCTGTGGTGGTTATGGAGTGTTCCTGTGGATGGAGCATACAGGCACCTCGGGGGTACATTGATACCTGTGACTCGATAATGTGTACGCAACGTGGACCCTGAACTTATCTGGGCATGACTTTTTAACTAGGTAAGTATCGGGGCGGTGAGCTCGCACATCACTACCTTTACCTAAGCCCAGTTATCCACACTGCTCACTATCTTCACCAAAGTCTAGAAATTTAGAACATTGCTGTTTCCTACAACTGTACCTATATCAAAGGGGGCTCTTCTTTCAAACTAATTAAACATCCTGCCATGACACTGTCAATAGCTGAAATCATCTCCGAGGTGTCTTCTATTCTAGGCGCCTCTTTTCGTTTGCCAACATATCCACCACTCAGAGGTGGTTCCCACGGCGTCTATGTAATCGAACCTGAGGACGGCTACAACGGCAAGAATCGATGCTGTCTCCGTATACCCTTGGACGCTGATGCAGCTTCCGCTAGTACCAAGGGGACCGCTATCCTGAAAATTGTGAAAGAGAAACTACCTGTGCTTCCAATTCCCGCAGTCATCTTTCAATCAGAACATTACACCGTGATGGAGTACCTCAATGGAGAGGTCCTCAAATCCTGGAACACACAGTCACTCACAAAAGAGCGACGTCGGGTGTTGCTAGATGATCTTGCAGCCTTACTATTTTCCTTGTGGACATTTGGCGGACAGGCACAAGTGACTCAAGGCACTGGTATGTTCTATGGGGCTCACAGCTTTCTTTATGGGACGTTCGTTGATATGTCGTTTTAAATTAATGTATTATTTTAAGTTTACCTAGACGTGGAATGAGGAACAATTATAGGGATTCGGGCTGACAGGATATAAAATTAGAACACATGCCGACTTACAGAGAATATCTTCAAAATGAAGTTGACAGAGGGCTTCGTCGTACGCTGAATGGAACTTCCTCCTGGGGTCATCCCATGTACTACCTTTACCAGCGAGTTAAGATTGACAGCCTTGTACCTCGTCCGGAAAATGCGCCTATAGTGGCCACTGGAATCAAACATGGCGACTTGAACGCATGGAACGTGATTGTGGATAAAAAGGGACTCTCAGGGTGAGTTGAAGTGGTTTACTTGCCTCGCCGGAAAAAGCCCACATAATTCCCTCATGGGCTTACGGCTTTACCTACTTTATCTAGACTGACAAAAAAAATAGTGTTGTGGATTGGGACACTGCTCGGTTTGTCCCTGCTCCTGCGGCTATTCAGCATCCTCTCTTTATTGCAGATATCCCCGGATGGCGGAACGACAATGTGCCCGGAGGAATGACTTTTGAGGAAGACCGAGCATATCTAGAGCATGCGATAGGAAAACTGGATACAAATTCTGCTCCTGGCTCTGGTTCTAATTCTCAAACCTCTGGGCGAATTAAGCATCTGCTACAAACATCTTTTGAGCGACAGTTCTTTGAACTCTCACTTCATAATTGGCGCATCAACGATGAGTATATTAAACGACGATTGCGATTTGAGGATATGAAAACGAATAGGAATGCAGCACTCCAACAACTAGATGATTTCCTGTCTGCCGACGAGTCAATGCGGACTCTTCCTAGAGTTATAGAAGTGCAAAATCGACTCAGGAATGATGTCAATCTCTTTGAGCCTTTCGTCTAAAGATGATTGACGTACCGATTTCTTTTTTCTTTTCTTTTCTTTTCTTTTTTATTTTTTTAAATTTTTTTTTAGCTCAATATTTCTCAATCTACAAGAGTAATACAAGTTGTCGAATATACAAAGTAGCTATCAAAAATCCCTGTTGTTATTTGAGCAAGGTACTTGACATTTATAAAAATACCCCTCACGAGTCACGAGGCACAACCTTTTCGTCTTCGATCCATATCATGAGTCATTTGCTCAAGTCCACTGTAAATACAACAACATCCTACTACTTCCATCATCGCCTTCTACTAACATTCCAATCTCATTCGGGTCCTTATCTGTGACTCTGTAAGTTTCTACATCCAATCAATTTAGCTCCTGCCTATCCATTGTTCATTGATTAATTCTTAGTTACTAGATTTATACCCGTCTTTAGACTTTATCCAAGACCCGGATCCTGGACCCTAATTATACTGATATCGCGGCACGGCAATTTGACAGCATGGCCACGTCAAACTACCTCACCCGCCAATACACAGCAGAACACTTTGTCGAATCCAGCGGCGCTATCCTGTTCGACCTCTCGCACAAGCCCCGTCAGGTATGCTTGATTAATTACAAGCCCCATGAAAAGGACGACGAGTGGCTTCTGGCCAAGGGGCGCCGAAATGTAGGCGAATCGCGGCTTGACGCCGCGCTGAGAGAAGTCAGAGAGGAGACGGGGTACAATTGCTCCATTCATCCAGTCACCATGCGCACCCGTGCTCCGCAGAGTACTGAGGCGGCTAACATCCCGGATCAAACTCGACTGTATACCAACATCTGCGAGCCTTTTATGCTTTCTATACGAGACTTGAAGAACGACGGCGCAGGATCTGAAGGAGTGAAGATTATTTGGTGGTACATTGCCACGACGACGACGGCGGCGGGGCCGGCGGGGGCAGGGGACCAACATGCTCGTGGTAGAACCAAGTTGCCAGAAGGCAGAGGTAGAGGTGATGAAAGTAAAAGTAAAAGTGAAAAAGATTTTCGCGCAGAATTCTTCACATACAGCGAAGCATTGGCGAAACTTACGTTCCAGGATGACCGTTGTGTTTTGGCGCGGGCGATTGAGTTGGTGGAGATGCAGCAGGAGCAGCAGGAGCAGCTCGGAGGGACCAGAGACTAGGGACTAGGGACTAGGGACTGGGGAATAGGGAATTGGAAATAGGGACTAGGGAATAGAGACTACGGAGCTAACAAAGGCATGAACGATATTTTGAACAGCAGGAGTTGCAGGCAATTTGAAGGAATTTACTATATGTACATAAACTATTCAAGTATGAGGAGCTCGGCATATATACAGATAGAAAGGTCGTACCAGGACGTCCGGAGAAAACGCTGTAAAAAAGATAAAATAAAATTATAGAAAGGAAAAAAGGACCTAGGATCGTATCATGTATAAATACACGGTACACCTAGCATCATAACAATATAAATACACATCACCGCGCTCGTCTTTTGCCTTTTGACTTCCTGCCGCCTCGTTGCCCGGATGACGATGCAGGAGCGGGAGGATCAGCAATGGATATACTTGCTTGCTCGATTTCCTGGGCACTGATATGGCTTTTGCTGCCTGTTTCACGTGTGCGGCCTGAGCCGGTTTCAGGAGCGGATTCAGGACCGCGACCGGAACTCGAGTCAATAGCAGTAGCAGTAGCAGTAGCGTCGACAGGCTGATTAGTTGCCCCGCCGGCATCTCCTTCTGCTGTATTACCCCCACCGCCACCGCCGCCGCCCAATTCCCTCAGTTTCTCCCCGGCAGACAAATAGAATCCCAAATCTCTATTCAACTCCTTTAGATCTTCATTTTCTCCCCGCAGGGTAGATAGTTGTGATTCCATAAACTTTATTCGCTCGAGAAGACTTTCGTTTATGGCTTTTTCCTCTTTATACTCCTTCTCGAGGAATCTGGCAGTGCGTTCGAACTTGTCCGCGCGGTTTTCTGCACGCATCTTATCGCGCTCCAGGGTTGGAATCGTATCGGTTGTGAGGCGATCATACGCCGCCTGGAGGTCGGCGAGGTCAGCCTGGGCGCGAGAGGAGGCGGTGAGAGCGGATTCGGCAGTAGCAGAAGCGTGCGAGGCCTTGTCGGCGGCCCGGACGAGCTTTTCTTCAAAATATGCCCGCTGGGACTCGAGTTGGCATGTAAGCAGGTGGGTGTATTCCATGCCCATTGAGTCGAGGTGTGTTTTGAGTTTCTCATCGGTGGGGTCGGAAAGGGTGGTATTGGGGTCATCAGGAGCGTTGGAGTGGCGAGGTTCGTCAGTGGCATCGTTGCAAGGAACATTGTCGGCATCAGCGCGAGAAGAGGAAAGAAGTAAATTGTCAGAGGAGGAATATGTATAGTCGAGAGGATAGTCGGAGTTGTACAATGATGTGGAGGAATGTAGGTCGACGAATTTTCCGTCAGGCGTGTTGTGGATGAGTCGATGGACGTAGCCGTCCCCAGCGTAGTCCCAGACGCGCTGGGTGACGAGGTCCATGGCATAGGAGTGCGAAGTGGCAGTGTAGTGGGCAAAGGCATGGGCTTCGTCGTAGCGCCCGCACCCAACGTTTCCGCATATTAAACTGTGTTGAAAGGTCAGTAAAGTCGAACGGAGAGAATGTGTGATATTCTGGAGGACTGTTGGGGAGGAAATGATAATACTGAAAGGACATACCATATCCATAAATTAGTATCGGATGCACAGACGCTACATTCTTTGACTATATCCTCTTTGTGGAGTACACTAGAGGAGCCATCAGCTCCATAGAGTCCTTGGCCCTGCGTATACCGACATATGGGACATCCGCTGCCGCGCCATTTATGCAGACATTCGCAGTGAAAAACGTGCTGGCAAACAATCGTGAGTAAGCCAGTCGTCTCATCCATCCGCTCCAAACAGACGGGACATGTTGGCAACTCCACGAGAGATGGCGTGGGTGGTGCCACGGGCTTAACGCTCAGTGATGTTCGTGATAGTGATGCATCTGTTGTATTTGAAGCTGCATGTGCATGTGGTGGACTAGGTGTAAATGGATCGTTGGCCATATTTGGGAAACTGGACGGATCGCTTGATCCATCTGGCGTTTGGAAATGAATCGACTTGATAAAAACGACGTGACATGTTTCCGGCTGTAGCCATTAGCTATCTTGAACGGCTCTTTATGGACAGATCTCTGAAAGCAACACTATCAAAAGAGTGGGTGACTGGATATTGGAAACATACCCCCATACTGTCAAAGGCTTTGCCATTCCATTCCTTTCGCCATGCTCTTGCTTTACGCGCCTCTCGAAACTTCATCAACACCATATAGCGATTCGTGCGCTCCGTCCGGATCATGCGGAAATGACTGACTTCCTCGCGTGTCTTTTCGCCTACAAAACCCATAAAGTCGGAAGGCGACAGGTACGATGGCACAGCGAGAATGCATAATGTCGTGCAATCCTTTTCGTCAAATGTTGATTTCGAATCCCCTGCTCCTAATCCTGCTCCCAAGCTCTTTGTGGCTGGTGGAGGTGGGCCATCGTCGTACAGCCCCGGCGTCTCCTCCACGTCGCGGTACAGGTGCACTACACCAACGCCAAGATGCGTACTTTTTGGGTCTGACGGTATGAATCTAGCTTTTGTCGCAGGTCCTGCCAGACTCTGCCCAAGCTCGCTGCTCAAGTCTCTCGAGGACTTCCCTTTTGCTTCCGACTGTCCAGCTGTATGCGAGACCATTTCGATGGATTGGATATCCACGAGACCAAACCGGCAATCGCGTGGCTGTAACGGTGAATCGGAAATTGTGCCGCTGGATTTCGTATTGCTGGATGCAGGTTCGTGGGTACGGTCGCTTCCTTTCTCCACACTGATTCTCAGATCCTCTAGCTTTCTCGTATCCGCTCCCGGCTCTGATGCAGATCCCAAACCTTGTGCAAAGTCAAAACCGTGATCTGGTAGGTTTACTTTGAAAATATTGGTTCGCGGTGGCGGCAAAAAGTATGTATGGCTGTCACGCGACGACGTAGATGATTGCGATTGTGTGCGCTTGTGCTGCTGCTGTTGCTGCTGCTTCGACTTCAGGTTTCCCAAATGCGCTTGATGATCCCTCAGAGGATAGAGCTCGAATGAGAGGTGATAGAAGAATGAAGGAAGCAGCATCACTGGGTTAGAAGATGCGCTCAAGGTGAAGGCGAAGACATGCGAACGTCGGCCGATAATCTATGACGAGTGAAAGGAGCTCAGCGGGTTCAGAGTATCAGAGGAGTCTTCTATAGCGTAGTTAAAGAAGAGCTCGATAGTCAAGTCACAATCAGCAAACAATTGACTAATCGAGCCCTCTTTCTCTCTTCTCGCAGTCGCTATTGTACTTGGCAACGGTCAAAATGTCAAACGGTCAACAGCCGATCGGCGTCGCTCACTTAGGCGGAATGCATCCCGAAGCGGAAATGTAAGTACATCAACTAGATCGCAAACGTAGCAGTGCGATAAAGCAAATGTGGATGATACCCGCCACGAAAAACAACAATAGAATCAATGATTTGCAAGGGGGAAACAAATTTGATGATTGTCAAAGATGGCAGAGTATTGCAGTATTACAAGATCAATACTGTGTGATGTCGTCCATGACATGAGAACAGTACTCATAGAAAGTGGACCCTTGATCGTCAATTGTGGTACAACTAACCGTTCTGGGGCCGTACTTAGTAACTTTTGATCGATAGGGTCACAACGTGGGGCAGCCAAGTGTGGCGAACAAGACGACCAGAGACACTTCACGTGGGGCCATTACTTCAACAATTCATCTCAGACCACGGATTGGCCAGGTCACAAAATCTTACACCAGCATATTTGAATCAAACGTCAATACAAAACAATCATAAATATTCGCGCAGTCGTGACTGCACATTTCATAAATGTCTACCGCTAGGATATGTTAAAGAGTCCTATTGACAAGACCAATTGACGCCAGATATCAGCCCAGGATGGAATAAAACGAATCAAAGCAAAAGCAACTGGAGCCGTTGCACAGTCAGCCTCCTTTTAAAAAGAAAAAAAGACGACATATGATACAGGCTCAGCAGAATGATATTGACAGACGAAGCAAACAAGAAGATGCCATCTACTGTCCACCACGAAGACGCAGCACCAAGTGCAGGGTGCTCTCCTTTTGGATATTGTAGTCAGACAGAGTACGACCATCCTCAAGCTGCTTACCCGCAAAAATCAGTCGCTGCTGGTCGGGCGGGATACCCTCCTTGTCCTGAATCTTCGTCTTGACATTGTCAATCGTATCCGAAGACTCCACCTCCAGCGTAATTGTCTTACCCGTCAGGGTCTTGACGAAAATCTGCATACCACCACGCAACCGGAGAACCAGATGCAGCGTGCTTTCCTTTTGAATGTTGTAGTCGCTCAGGGTCCGGCCGTCCTCAAGCTGCTTGCCAGCGAAAATCAGACGTTGCTGGTCCGGGGGAATTCCCTCCTTGTCTTGAATCTTTGTCTTCACATTGTCGATGGTGTCTGACGATTCAACCTCAAGCGTAATGGTTTTACCGGTAAGAGTCTTGACAAAGATTTGCATACCACCACGGAGACGGAGAACCAAGTGAAGGGTAGATTCCTTCTGGATGTTGTAGTCGGAAAGGGTGCGCCCATCCTCAAGCTGCTTTCCAGCAAAGATGAGACGCTGCTGGTCCGGAGGGATACCCTCCTTATCTTGGATCTTGGTCTTCACATTGTCGATGGTATCAGAAGACTCCACCTCAAGGGTGATGGTCTTGCCGGTAAGGGTCTTGACGACTAAAATCGCGCATGTTAGTTATAGTCCACTATACCCTTCAGATACGGTGGTGATCAGGGAGTAATAACGTACAAATCTGCATTCCACCACGGAGACGGAGAACAAGGTGGAGAGTGGACTCCTTCTGGATGTTGTAGTCGGACAGAGTGCGGCCGTCCTCAAGTTGCTTGCCAGCGAAGATCAACCGCTGCTGATCCGGGGGAATGCCCTCCTTGTCCTGGATCTTGGTCTTGACGTTGTCGATGGTGTCGGAAGACTCGACCTCAAGGGTGATGGTCTTGCCAGTGACTGTTTATCATTACATGTTAGTTGTTGCCTACTGAGATATGCGCTCAAGTGGCGAGCGTAACATCAGTGAGCTACTTACGAGTCTTGACGAAGATCTGCATGATGGCGATAAGAGGATATGAAGAGACAGTTGAGAATGAAGATGATGCAGTATAAGACGTGAACTGACGGATGAACCTTTGAAATAGGGTTCGAGTTGATGGAAGGAGAGAGGGGATGAGATGAAGAATGACGAAGAGGCAGATGAGGCAGGCCTTATGTATGTGTGTCTCTTAGAGAGAGATGTGGCGTGGAAGGATGGCAAGATGACACACCCACCCACCCCTCACACGCCTCCGGTTTGGGCAGAGCAATGGGAGAGCATTATTCACCACCGTCCTCGTCATTCATCAACGGTCTATGGCAACAGCCAGAGTGAGAATAACCAATCAGCACTGCCTCTATCGGTCCTGCCATAACCGGACCAATCATGCATATCTCTCTGCCTGCGTCCGAATCACCCTCAGCCAATCACGATCGATATTGTCTCTTAAACGAACCAATGATACGCTGTCTATCCAGCCTGCTATCCGAGCGAATTAGGCGTGACGCCCAGAGTTTGGACCTGCACGCGATAAGGAAGGAACAGGAAGTGGCTGGAACCTTGGGGCCGACTCAACCCGGGATACCTCACCCTTCCCTCTTATTCAGCATACAGCTCAAGTTATTTTGCTGTGAAAATTTCTCTTTGAGGCGCCGGCTAATTTTCTCTCTTCCGATAAAAATCATAAAGGGTTTTTTTGTTAAAAAGGTTTTGGCCAAAGAATGCTCTGCTGCAACCACACTTGTCAAGAGCTGTCAATGACGAACCGCGCGCGCATCCCCAATCGTTGCCGCCTGGGGAAGCTCCCTCTCGTTCCGTCCCTTTATCGAGCATTATCCGGGCGCAAAGTGGGTCCTGACATGCCCTTCCCAGAGCAGCCAAATTCCCCTGTTACCTTGTGAACCCGTTTTAGTCTCGCTTATCATCCCTCTCTTGACTTCTCGCATCATCGTCATCCGCATCTTCATCATCCCCTTTCTCCCCACTGCATTCGATCAATGATCCAAGTTTTTCACAAAGAGGCCTGCTGCTTCAGGAAGCTCTATTTGGCTAATCTAAGACTGAGGTATTATTTTCAATACTTGTAACTTGTGATATTTGACCTCGTCGAGTATGAATCACCAACACAAATACAGAAGGCGTTATCACTGACTTGTCCCGCTATATCGCACGTGATCGGGATCGCCTTTTGTTTATCGGGACATCAAGGTCCTCCTGTACTCAAGGCGCATGCATGCGCAAAACATAAATCTCAACCCACCTCAACAGGGTCCTCACAGGAATAGACCAGCATATACCCTTACGAGAGGTGAACTCTTTGATAAAAATTTTGACAAAATTTGCATTCGTTACTGGCTCAGGTGCCCTCGTAGATACAAAAGGAGATGGCAGAAACCTGGGGGAGAATCCCCATCGGCCAAAAATCAGAAAATGAAAAGAGAAAAATGCAGATTACGCCGGCCCAGTGCTGTCATGATTTCATGATAGTATGACAAACATGAATATCGTGATGGTCATCATTCAAGTCATCAAGTGGTCAAGGACATGCGACAGGAAAAGCTGCGTGGAAGATTCTTATCCCACCACAATTCGTAAAGATTGCATCGGCCAAGAGCAATCTCGGGACCATCAAAAGCAAAGACAAACAGAAGAAGGAAAGGAGAAAAGAAAAAGATTGTACGCGTAGACGCGAAACTCCGTATGCGGGGGATTGCGTAGGTATCATAACGCAGAAGAGCAATTCATATGAATGCAAAAAATCGACTTGAGAGTATTCAAGAGTCATGAAGGATCGTGTGTTGTTGGAAAAGAGTGTCATCAATAAGCACGAAGGACCAATTTCGCAAGGAATTTGTTGGAAAGACTGTCAAAGTCCTGGCGATCGAATTTACAAGACGGACGAGTTTTGAGATAATCCTCTGTTGGCTTCACGTCAGCAAACCGATCGCGGTTCAGAAACACGATAGTGGCTACTTACCGTATTTCGTCACGTGTTCCCGCATCTCTGTCATTGCATCGCAGACGGCTTCGTTGGAATTCAAGAGGTGATGATGCTTCTGAGTGTCCCACTCCATAAAGGCTGGCAGCTTCTGAGAGATGGCTGAGAAGAGGCCGACAATGACGCCCACCGGCGTCGTCTCCATATCGTTGCAGAACTTCTGCACCGCAGAGGGGTCCTATCACTTTGTTAGTTAATCGCACAACAGAAGGCAGGGGAAAATAAAAAGAAACAGAAGATAAACTTACCGGAACGCGGTAGTGGCAGTCAAATTGCATTTCTTCCCAAACCGCCAAGAGAATGGCCGCCAGCATGAAAATGGTGGGCCAATTCTTGAGTTTCTCGCCCGTGTAAACACTCGAGTACAGGGCTGACAACTCCTCCAAAATGTCCTTTTGGAGCTCACGCCACATTTCTGCGAGGGCGCACTTGACCTGAAAGTTAATCATGACAGGCGCGACATGCTTTCCTTGGAATTTGGAACCGTCGTCGTCGACCTTGCCGGCAAGGCCCTCTTCCTCTGGCACACCCTGGACCATGGTAACATGCATTGTCAGATTGTAGGCCAACACAAGCTTGAGCGCCTTGCGAATGACAGGAAGCTTCTCGCGACGGTAGTAACGGTACGCGGTGCGCAGAATCTCCGTCAAGAATGGCGTACCCTCGAAGTACTGGTCGATAAACTTCTCGAAGCCGCCATCAATGTGCTGATCAAGGTATTCGGAAAGAACCGTAGTAGAAATTCCTTCTTTGCCGGCAGAAAGTCTGGCCGTGGGGATGCTGAACTCGCGTGGGGTCTCATGAATGCTTTCAGTCCAATCAATGTTGAAGCAGTCTTCGTCTCGCACGTAGACCTCGCGCGCCTGCACAGGCAGCACGAATCCATACCCGTGCGTTATATAGAGCAATCTTTCCTCCTGAGCGAAACCCTTGATGTTACCGACCGAAAAGCCCAGAGTCACGTGTCGCTCAAAATCTACCCTCCAATCTTTCATGAAATACCCGATATCTTTGATGTCAATCCGCGTGCAAGGCACCTGCCAGAGACGGGCATGGGATGGTTGACAACCATTGCAAGGTTCGCCGGGATCGCACTAAAATCAATCAGGCTTTGAAGCAAGGGTTTGGAAGTGGGAATAATCGCTCTTACCGTCTTTTTGAGGAATTTGCAACGCAAGCATGCTCGCAACTTTCGAATTTCACATGCCTGCTTCCTCTGATCGGGCCGCAGGGGACCTCGTCGTCTCCCGACGCGCTTCTCCGTGTCCTTTTTGCTCGGTTGCGAAGGTCGTCGAATGCCGGGTTTTGTGGTTTTGGCAATGGGACTTTTGCGGGAATTTTTCTTTGTAGAAGGTGAGCCAGCATTGACGCCGGAACCAGAGGCGGGAGCAGTGGCGGCGGGTTTTGGGGAGGTTCGGGTAGAGGGCGATTGCTTCACAGGGACAGGAGCGATAACCGACGTAGGAGGGCTCACGCTGCCGCTCAACTGCTGGACGACCGGGCTGTGTTCCTGGTAGGAATGGCTGTGATCCGAACAGGAGCCCACTTCGAGCTGCGCCTCGGAATCAGGCGAGTTGAGAGGATAATCGACCCCTTCAAAACTGCTGCTATACGAATAATGAGACTGATCGAGGTCCGACTGAGACGAGTTTGACTGGGAACGAATATGTAAGGCTTCGCCCGGGTTGAAAATGGCACTGTGCGGAAACTCGGTGTAATCAAATGACGGACGGTAGTCCACGGTTGTCCATCCATTATCACTGCCCGAGCTCGTGAACGAGCGAGCCTCAAGATAGGATTCCGTTGGCGAACTGTCGGGCAGCTGTGTCTGCGCCGCCAAGCTCACATCGGACAGTCCATCACCGGCAAGAACCAGAAGATCATTCTGAAAGTCGGGCCATTGCCACTGAAGCGTGTCCAGACTACTCGGCATCGGAACAAAGGGCGCATCGAGCGGCACATTGGGATCCAAGGGTGCCTGAGTCTGCGGGAGATATTCGATAGGAGCAGCCGTCGGGAAGGCTCCATAAGGATTTACATATTGCGCGCCCAGTGTATTTGCGTCCTGCGGAAAAGCTAGTTGTTGAGATGCTTGATGAATTTGCCAGTCCGTCAGTGCTGTCGGGGCTGCGGGAATTGGAGCAGCGAACGGCAGGCCGGTGGTCTGCAACGGAGTTATTGATGTTGTTCTTGTCGGGGTCGCTGCCGTTGTGTTCGTCGTCGTCTGTGGACTCGCGAATCTTCTCCTCATAGCCAGAGGGTGCTGGAAGTTGGGATCCATTGGTATCGTCGGCCAGGACGAGGTAGACAGGTAGGAGGAAAATTGGGCAGCGGCGGCGGCGGCGGCAGCAGCAGCTCGAGGATCGTACTCCAGACCGATCAGAGCTTCGACGGGGTAGTCGAAATTTGCCGCCATTGTTGGGCTGAGGGAGGTTGAATAGTATTGTAACGGTTTCGCAGATTTGGCGGATGAAAGGCTTCAACGAGTCCTTTCAAAGAGCGGTGTCTCTCACCAGCCCCCGCGGTGAAGGTGCGGTGTGGCCGTGTAAAGTGCGTGGGCAGACGGGTCAAGAAGAGGGAAATGGAGACCTTTCGGTGGGCGAGAGGAGGACGATTAGAGGGGACGGACAAGGTGATGTGACTGGCTCGAGCGTGAAGTAGCGGTCAGCAATAAGCGACGGGCCGGGGGTTGTGAAGGTGTGTGTGCGCGCGAGGTGTGTGCAAGGTGGGTGCATGTAGGTAGGTGGGGTGGTGGAGGAGGTGGTGGGAGTAGCCGGTGGTGGAAATGGTTCGAGTGTTGTGGGACCGTGGGACTGCTCGGGTATAACTGTAGGATCGTGCTAGGATGACGATCAAGGCAGTTGGCCTCAGCGTTCACATCCGAGATGTAATGTTTGTTGGACCTGTCTCCATACATATCAACTCGGTAACAGTACTCCGTAACGTCCATCTTTCTCTGAGAGAAGAGAAAAAGAATTGATGAAAACGATGAAGTACCCCCAATACATCAGATAGAGCTCCGTGGTGATGCAACTTTGCCCTTCAGTAATTCGGGGGTAAATGGGAAAAAAGGGAAGTGAAACGGTGCAGGAAAAATCCATCCCGACTGGATGCTGGAGGTGTTTTCGTGCAGCGTTCATCCCTGTCATGCTGTCGGACACGTCCAATGGCAACGAGGCAGCACGCTACACTCGCTTCGGCTTGGACCCTCCCTGGCTCCAAACCTCCTCCTCGTGATGCTTCTCTTCCTTCCCTAGCACTTCGCAATCAAGTAGAAACTCACCTCAGTACTTGTTCCCTCCCCTGATGATCTCGTGCAGTCGATGCCGCAATCCCACATGTCAAAAACTACTCCGACTCTCCCCCTCTCCATCTCTGGGGGTAATGGACGCTTTGGAAAGGCGCTTTGTTTTTCCGATACAGCTTACATGGCGAGAGGAACCCCACTTTGGAACATTTGCCGACCGTAAACACAGTATACCATACCTACCTGTATGGGAAAGAGATCTCGGGCCGTGCCATACATGAGATCACCAGCACAATGGAGTACCGCAGACTATCAGAGTATCGGAGTAGTACTACTCTGTACTGAGTAGAACGGATGCTTATCGACCGACAAGCGAAAAACCGACAAAGGCAAGTCAACCAGCATGAGAATAGACGGGATGTCAAGACGTTCATTTACCGGCCACCAAGGCGGGTAAATGGCTCGTCTCCAGTTCCTGTCATTGGGTGAACCAGCGGAACCCTGGACGGGACTGGCCGTTTGATCGGGGAAGCCAACTCAGTCACTAATCTAGTGGCCCTTCACTACGAGCGCTCGGTATGAATCGTACGCAACACTTAAGTTATCTCACTTTACTACTCGTGCGTAGCGTCCTCGGTCGGATCTCTGCCATTGACTTTTAGACCATGTTCCTCGTCGGTCGATTGTCCATTTTCTTGTTGGTTCAACCACTACCGGAGCATGAACCGTACCAAGGAGAGTTACTACTGTGTTGGAGCAGCAGGGAAGCCTCGCTACTCGGGATACTAATCGAAGCATTGAGCTCCTCGAGCACGCTTTACCTCTTTAGCCACAAGCATCATCCACCAGAGCAAGTTAAACTTTTTCGGCCATGAACGGAAGTCTCTGCTTTATTATCATTCTTGCTCCACCTCGGACCTTTAGGTCTCTAAGTTACCGGTTTGAAAAGATTGTACGTATTCTTTGTACGCTGATTTCTTCTTTCTAAGCTCGAAAGAGTACAAGATGCTCAAAGACTTGAAAAGGTGGATACCACGCAATCCACTTGGCAGAGTCGAAGAATACCTGTAAGTAGTTGACGAGGACGTAATGCATTTTGTCTCTCATCACGGTGTTCAATGTCTTCAATGCTTGACTCAAGACGCATCATGAAGCGAGAGACGGGAGAAAATACATTTTTAATTGGCTTTGGTGGCTAATTTCTCGCCGTCTGTTACCCGCAAGATAAATAAGCCCCGAGCCTGGGCCACTCTCCATGCTCTGTGCTGGATCCTCGCGTTCTCATCCAACTCTCCTTCCTTTCCCTAGGCTTCTTTCATTTTCATCCAACCGCCTCCTCACATCGGCCCATGTGCGGGTCCCTTGCTTCAGGTGCGGGGGAAGCGAGATGTGAGCATCAGTGATGAAAGATTCACACGCATTCAAGCCGAGCACGCCAATTTTCTTGATTCATCCCTACAGGGGAATATGTTAAGGCGCGAACCATATTTTTGGTGCCTCGGTGGTATACGGAGTACAGAGGTACAGAGTGCAGTCCACACCTATCGATCAATCGATCTCGCTCATGTACCTGCTGGCCCCTACAATCAATCATCTTCATTACTCCGGTAATTCAGATGGTTCATGTAACTTGCATTACAGGAGAGAATTTATGAAATCTGAAAGGTATTGACAGTAAAGAGACATGAATCGAGGCAGAGAAATAACGGGACAAATCGGGGTGTTCTGGAGGGGCTAGAATCTGGTCGGTCGGTCGGTAACAATAGTAACGCTACTTTGATGGCGATGGATCAATAATGATACCTCGCGGATTATGCATAAAAATTCCTGTAAACTCCATCTTCAGACGCACATCCTGCTCGTACCATCCGACTGTGAGCATGGCAAAATTATGCAGGTCCTCAATCACAGTGTGCTTGTGACACACAGAGCTTTGATCAAGTCCACGCGAAACACATGAGCACATGGACACTGGAAGAATCCCTCCTTATTGAAAATACAGAAGTCGACAGAAAATGATATAATGAGTACACTAAATTCATCAACTCTAAAATTTGCAATGTCGCCAACCTCCAACGATAATCTGCAGGATGTGAGATGATACAGAAAGGCATGTTGTTATGAGTGTCTCGATTGGTGATGTGTCAGCGTCACTTGATCTTGCCGAGAAGCTTTGCCCGACTGGACAAAAAAGACGAGCTATACCTTAGTAAAGGCAACGACAAAGAAACCAAAAGGACAATACCAAGGCAGATCGAAGGGCCGGATTGCATTTGAAAAAATGATTCAATGATTGACTAGGGAAACAACACTCACCTGGGAGCCCATGACAATCTTCGTCAGAGCCCCCAGCAGAAAACGCGGGGTCAAATTTCATCCTTCAACTGCAAGCTCCAATTTTCCTCAATCCAAGTCACGAGATCAGCTGTTCCCAATATCAGCCAGCACCATGGATCGAGATGAAAATAAAATTGAGGAGCTGAGCGATACTTCAGCCGAGACAATAGATGCATCCGACGAGGAGGACGAACGCCTTTTCGGACATCAACAACATCCCACAGGTGCGGATTCGCCCTTGGTGCCACCACTGTTTACATCGCTGCCCCCAATTCAAGACTCCCTGGAGACCGAAACATCTCAACTCCAGAACCGTACTATCCAGGAATGCTTGCCGCTGCTAGCTGCAGCTGAAAGAGCGGCCGGTGGGGCCATTTTCGATTTCAATCCGTACGGTCTTCCACGATTAGATCGGGAGAGGCATGTTGCCTTCTTACAAGGTAGCTTAGGTCGCCTTCCATCGGGCTTTGTGGCAGCGGATGCAAGTCGCCCCTGGATGGTCTACTGGGCTTTGACATGTCTTTACCTTCTCGGACAAGATCTCGCGCAATATCGTGAAGAGTAAGTAATTGATCTCATTGATACCTTATCCCTATAATATCTTATACTTTGAGTTTTTTTGCAATGACGTGTGATCCCGCGCATGAGGGGGCATCTATTCTCCACGCGTATTCCGCGTGAAACAATTGGAATGCATGGGTGGGGCTGAAGTCGTTTCAGCATTGTGTAAGGAAGCAAGGGAAAAGATTTACTGACACCCTTTCCGTTAGGGTTATTGCCACACTTACGCCAATGCAAAACCCCGATGGGGGGTTTGGCGGCGGACATGGACACTATTCACATGTCGCTCCATCCTATGCCGCTGTGTTGAGCCTTGTCATGGTAGGTGGGGATGAAGCTCTTAATTTGATTGACCGCAAAGCAATGTAAGCGAAACCCATGTGCCGCACTCCTCTTTATTTTTTGACCAACCTTATCAGGTGGCGCTGGCTAGGAGACCTTAAGCAAAGAGACGGAGGATTTCAAGTGTGCGTGGGTGGCGAGGAAGACGTTCGGTTTGTGATCTATCTCCCGTACTTTTTGACTCGTGTCGGGGATCTAACGGCTGGGCAGCGGAGCATATTGTTCCATGGTTATTGCGTCTCTGTTGAATCTTCCTCTTGAGCTGCCTTCTACTTCCTCAGCAAAGCAAAATGATAGTGATACCCTCATCACTGGATTACGGGAATATCTGGCAAGATGTTGGTCAAAGAAACCCTGGAAGCCATTCATCACCCGCAAAATCACCATCCGCTAATAAGGTCTAGGTCAAACGTTTGAGGGTGGCATCGCTGACTCGCCTGATAATGAAGCGCATGGTGCTTTTGCATTCTGTGCCTTGGCTTGTCTGTGCCTCATGGATGACCCGCAGAAAATCATCAACGAGTAAGCGCCTATTTGCAGGATTTAGCTCATTTTCTCCGAAGGGAAATTACCCTCAACCGCAAATAGACTGACACTGCGGAATCGGACTAGGACCCTTGATGTACCCCGTTTAATATCCTGGCTTTCGTCTCGGCAGCATGCACCAGAGGGTGGATTTGCCGGGCGGACGAATAAATTGGTGGATGGCTGTTATAGCCACTGGGCTGGCGGCTGCTGGCCATTAATCCAGGCGGCTTTAGATGGCCCGATGCCGTTTGATGGTCCTGTCGCTCCGACTGTGGGAACGATTTACAGTCGCGAGGGGCTCACCAGATACATTCTCTGTTGCTGTCAGGGCAAGCGGGGCGGCCTCCGAGATAAGCCAAGCAAGTAAGCGGAACCCGATATGACATGTCAAATCATATATCCAGACTAAATGGAAACATTTACTAGGCACGTGGATGCATATCACTCTTGCTACGCTCTCGTGGCTCTGAGCTCAACCCAGCACAGTTATTTCTACATGGGTACTGCTCCGGACAAGCCCATTACTCCACTGACGGCGGCATTCCATTGGGCAAGCTCACCTCGAGTTCTTGACTCAAATGGAGAGATTCAAGAGCCCATCTGTGACGAAGAAGATCGAGTAAAATTGATTCACCCCATTTTTGTCATCCCTTGGGGTGTTCCGGAGACAACTCGGGCTTGGTATGAAGCCAAGTCCGGCTTGTAAAATGGCATGGTGTGCATTCAGGATTAAAAATATCACCCGTTTCCCTTCCTCTTCCGTTCGGAAGGATTTAGCTTAGGATGGAGAATTTGGCGCAATACCCGGTCCTTTTTTTTTAGCCAGAGAAAATTCGATTTCCACTGAATGCTATTTGAAGCTTGTTTTTCTCGGGCAATTGAGCTTTGATAGCCAATTATTACTGGAAGGCATTATCAATGATTTTGCTGGTCTGCTAAAAGTGCACTTTGCGGCTAAATTTCCACGTCGTTGTTTCTCCCGCTTGGATTTTGGCGTAGCACACGGCATAAAGAGAGAGCCGAAAAGCAGTCCTCCTTCCAGATTTGCAATTGGTTACCTGTACAGATCAATAATGCTTTTTAGTCGGTAGGTTGCAGCAGGTTAGGGTTGATACGTCGCTTCGACAGCATCACGTCCATTGCCCTAAATGGGACAAGTCTTTTTCCCTTTCGGCTTCTCGAGACTACCCCTTACTAGAACCACCAATAAACTACGTTTGAGCGAATAGCAGGCAGATCTTCCAGTGATGAGTGTTTTGGTTATGTCTTCTTCAAAAGACATTCTTCTAATCGATGTCGCTCCGTTACGATTTACACTAGATTTTTATTATCCTATCATCGATCTCAACGAATTGAGATGCGAAGTTTTCGTGATCAGCATGATTTAACGCCAAGTGGGCTAAACTGTCGCCCGCACCCTTTGGGAAACCTCGAAAGGACCCCTGAAGCTAGGGTGTATATAGCCTTCGGTTGACGATACCTGACTGTATCGCTTTCTGGGGTTCAACTGTCATTTTAATAAATGGAGAAGGAACAGCCGCGATGGGGGACATCATCCGCGATGTGGCGAGAACTCGGGAAAAGGCAAGTGTCTTGACAAAAGGATTAAAATTGCATTGATGCAGTGTCAGAGAACTACTGGCTTAGTTGCTGCCACCTTGCATCTGCGCGCAACGCCTGGTCTTTCCCTTGACGAATGAAGCCTTTCCAACCAAATCAACCGGCGCTTTGCTAGGCTGATCCAGCTGAAGTTCCGAGTCTGAACGCAAGCGACGGTGCTAGGGCAACTTAAAAGAGGCTCATTATTGCTCACAAGTCGCTATGCAAAATGTACAGTGGGCCCTGCCACTCATTAATCGCACGCGTCGCACCTGTACAGGGCACTCCAAACATGAGCCGTGGCCCTGTTCACGTTGGGCAAACTCTTGGGGTTATTTCCCCAGGTCATGGCGTCGGTGGGTCCTTGCGATCGTCCGGACTCCGAAAAAAGCAAATTGCACAGAACGTTCACCCACTGATTGAGTTGACCTTGGACATGATTCTCTCTGTGGCTCACTGCCACTGCTACGACAGCTATTGCTGCCACTGTTGCTGTTGGTTGCCGACATGAAATGCAAGAATGTCAAACCCCCCGATAATCAGCATGCATCAATTTCGCGTGTCAAAAAATTCCTTTAAGAGCGACATCTTGCCTGCACGCGCTGGCCTCTATCCGTCTGCCATGGCCGTTTCTGGCCGGCGTTGCATATCATCCCTCCGCCGAGACGTCAAGTGGACTTGCCAACTCATCAATGCGTCCGGGATGTTGGGCCCCGCCTGCCACGCTGCATCATCAGTGTCGCCTTGTTTCCCCACTGGGCCGTGCCACCAATTTCTCTGCTTTTCATAGCTAGAGTCCTCGAGCACATCATCTCATCTCTTACCACTGCCCTAGCGCAAAATTATCTCCATTTTCTCGGTTTCCGCTACCGACATCTGGCCCGTGGGCGGTTCACGTTATTAGGAGTGGTTCGTAAGATCCATTTGGGGTTGGGACTTAGGAGACTCATGCACCCTGTGTCACATCAGACTGTGGTCTCTTAGTCGGCGATACTTTTTGGTATTCTAGCAGATCTGGCATCATTGTCGTAGCTCTTTATCCTGCAATTCTCAACTCGCTAGGCCTCAAGGGCAGAAACATGTCCTCTCGCAGTAACTCAATATTCCGACAACTCATGACAACCTTTGCAACGACCACGCCAACCTGCCTGGGTACAAACGCTCATGAATGCTTGCTCTGATGCGGCAAATGCATTAGTGGCGGTCAAAAAGAGTCGAAACCCTCAACGGTGCACGCACAGACTACACGCAGACGTGTCTGGGCAAACATGGTTCTTTCAATCGCGCGCTTGCTATCTCATTTCCCCTACGGGCGAGGGTTCCGTGAAACTGTAGGGACATGGGCTTCCTTCTCGACGGACACACGCATTTTGTAGCATGATCCATGATCGATTTTGCAGAGAGCAATCGAGACGATTTTGCGGAAGCTTGGATGCGTTTCCTTGTTTGGTATCATTTTGCCCCTCTCCCGCGCTCTCCCTCGCAGACGCCCGCCCACCCACTCATCCATCCACTTCCATCCCTCCTGTACATGAGGCGGATCGGCACGCTGAGGCGTCGCCCTTGGATCTCATCAGGTAGTTGCCGCCGACTGGGTTCTTTTCTTTTGGGGGGTGGCCTCGATTGGTCCTGATGGTGACAATGCAGGACAACGCATCATTATATGAGTGTCACTATCAAAATGACTTTGCAGAACACCTGCATTATACCGGAAGGTAGGAAAAATAAGCAGACCAATGCATAATATATGTCAACAAGGCATGGGCTTTTTAGGAGAATTGCTGCTGCAAGCCGACCGCAATAAAATCCACTCGTGTCCCGCAGCGGGGCGGACTTGTTTGCCATATGGTTGACAAAGGCCAACGCATCACCCACCTGGTTTGGCAGATAATTGCTTTCCCCTCAAGGCTGAACGTCAGTCCACCGTGGTATGTCTTTGCACATGATGACGGTTCTGCAATTGACGTCAAACACCAACACCCTTCTTCTTCTCTAAGCAACTGCATCCTTTCTGCTGTGTTACTGAAATATTGTGCCACTAAAAAAGCGCAACCTAGAGCAGCCTCGGGCCACCAAAGTCCTTGAGAGTCGTTCCTTTTGCTCGCACAAGGCCATCATTGCGGTAGGCATATTAGAAGGGAGGGATTGACAACGCAACGATTACAACACAGCAACACTTACCATCGTCGCGCCTGGGATTGTTCAATTACCACGTTGTCGGAGCAAAAGAACAAGTCAGAAAATTCTTCAAGCATCCATTCACGACCCTGTTCGTCATGTACTATATGCAGTACCTGTCAAGTAAGCTTCTTTTAGTTTCTCTAAACGGCCGTTTTCTTTGTGCCTAAAATTGTTACTGTTCTTGGCTTCCGATTTCATTTCTGCCCAACGGCTTTTTTTCAACCTTTTCGTGTGTTTCGATATCTGGAGAAGGGTGTCTTCTCTTCTCTTCTCCCCGAGCATCAGGCCATGCATTTGCGGGCAACCCAGGCATTGTCCAATTGCCATGTGCATAGGATCAAGTCTGTCCCGTTAATTCTCTGGCGCATTGCTCAGTCTCTAAGCTTCTCACCTGTTTCAATTAAGTTTCTCTTCATCCTTTTGCCTTGGATGCGAGTGATCTGGCTGTCCGAGTAGCTTTTAAAATAAGCCAGAGAGATATTCTTTGAGTTCACGCTACTAATTACTGCCCAATCAGGTCTCTGCCACCGGCGTCATTGGCCTGATCCTCTCTACGGCTCCTACCGCACATCTGCCGGATACACATGCACAGTCCGCGTCAACAATCGCGAATACCAAACAGACACTGGCTACGAAAGCGAGAAACTGGCACGCGAAAATGCAGCCATGCGAGCGTACCTGATTTGTCGCAATTTCTCCGTCAATGACGGCATGTATCCTGCCGGATACCACAACCGGGGCAGCAGCAATGGCATCATCCAGGGCCTCCCCGTAGCAATCGGTACTGGCCGCCGAAGCACTTACTCTGATGACGGGGCATATGAGGCCAGCGTCGGCAGCAGTAACGAAAGTGTCGGAAGCAGCCGCGCTAGTAGTGACAGCGGCAGAGGCGGCTCCAGCGGAAGCTACGAAGGAAATACCGTGTCGCGGTCGTCCTTTTTTTACGAAAGGCGTGTATAAGCGGTCCTCTTGGCCAATCATTCCGCTGCTGGCGTTACGAGACGAACCAATCGCGCGCCTTGTTCTTCGAGGAGAGTTTATATTCTTTCCTCTGGCATTGTTACACAAAACTCTCTATTATTCACACCTTGGTGGTATTGAACCGGCCGTTTGGATCCGATTACTACTTGCTATTTGGCTTCTTACATTATCGAACACAACTACCGGCATGGCATGGAGTGCACGGCATGACGCAACACAGCGCAACGTGCTACCGTATTTGCGCAACCTCTTATGCTACATTATGAGTTATGATTGCACGACACTAGACGAGCATATGACGCACGACGAATATATTTATGATCGCGTGGTATTTTGTTTATGTTTTACATTTGCAATGCGGATAAGAATATGAATGAATGAATATGATGTGATCATGGGCTTTATACCATATCGTTTTTATTTTACTTATTTTTTTATTTATTTTCTTTTTTACCTCAGTAATATATAGCATTTCTGGTTCTCGCTTCCTCCCTTTAATCTACTACTCTATTCTGTTTCCTCTTTCTCTCTGCGCGACTCTCTTAACTTATTCTTCTAATTAAAATTCTTTCCCTCGTCCATTCTGGCAATGCGATTATTTATTAACTTCGATACCGGATATACACCTGCTTGAAACCAGGGCGGCAATTTCTGAAAAAATGTTCTGAAATATGTGAATGGATACAGGAGGCAACCTTACTTAGGTTTCATGGGTGGAATATTCTATCTTAAGTTCCTCTTTTCGCTCATTTGTTATATCCTTTTTTTCGTTCCTCTTTTTTTGCTTTATTTTGTTAAGCCGTTATCGGTCCCTTCATTTTTATTTTAATTTTTTACTTAATTATTTCTTTTTTCTTTTCTGTTTTCTTCTTATTTTTATTTTTTTCCATATTCAATTTTTAACCTTTTTTTCTCGATTCTATTCTTTATTTTCTGGTTTGTTCAACATAACACTCTCGACTAACTTCCTCCTTACTACATGCCGATTGCACAGCATTAGGACTATGAATAAATTGGTTTACTGTCATTGTTTATGACCTATGAAGTTATATTGTGCACACTGCATTTTATTCTTTACTTGACTATTGTAGGTTTGTAGGTCATGAATGACTGTCGCGGTTAGGGTGTCCGTTGGGGCCGGTGGAAACCGGTGGTCTTTGGTCTTTTACACAGTCAACCCGGACCAAGTTGGGAAATTTGAGAGTAGGACCAGACCACCTTGGGTCGGTCTTTTTGAACATGCCTCCACCGGTCCGTGATCACCACCAACATTACCTTTTTAGGAAATACATCAACAATCAGCCAGCAAAATTATGCTGAGAATGCTGGTGATTTGCCCAAAATATGCACATTTATACCACATTTATGCATAGATGGGTTTAGTCAAAAAATCACCCACGCCCGGTCTGGAGGTTGGTCTTTACCTTAAAGACCACCTTGGTGTGGAAATTTCGGGCAAAGACCGACCCAGACCAGACCAACGGACACCCTAGTAACACGTTATAATCTACACAATCGCACGGAAACCCTACTACAGGTAAGGCGATCCAACCATGATCGGGTTAATTGACCAAGCGGCAACCCGCAGATATAACATCGATACGGAAGCATTTGTGTTCAGCCATGGATTTGAAATCGCTTTCTGTCGATCGGCATATGGTTTCATTCAGTTGATTTCACTGCAAGCGACAAACTTGAGTGTAGTCTACCGACTGACTTCCCTGCCATGGAGCAGAGGTGGGTATCCGGAGTACATTGATAGACGAGATCTGGGGCAATTCTGCAAGGGACGCTGGTCGCATGCCACAATCCTACAGCCGTCATGGCCTGAAATGCGTCCCAAATGCCACGAGTAATGACGTTCTATCTTGCAGCCATCGTTCTAAATAGCAATTTTCACTCTCAAGATCTTGAGTGGAACAAAAGTCCAATACAAGCATGTCGCTCCGATGTCACATGTGTGGCATGAATCTTGGTGATACTGAGATCGATTGGATGAACAATCTATATATTAGTACGCTACCATAGTGATTAATAGAGCATTGACTGATGAGTCCGAAAGTTAGATGGATTGATTCCAGGGTAGAAACTCTGAAAATATCCCGCCGCAAATTACACTACTTTCACGGCTTGTCGAAGACCTATAGAGCTGGACATGATGATGACGATGGCTCGGTCAATTTCGGCGTTCACTCAGCATGCCTTCAAATCCTTTCAAAGGCTCTCCAAGCTATAGGGCTCATGGGAATTCCCACTACCCTCTGTATGCTTCTACAAGATATCCATTTTCACGTGATGTTCCAGACAGACAGAGCTGCAACCTACATTGATCGTGACAGCCGCTCTGTATCATGTCATTCCATTCCGTGTGACGAAGATGAAGATTCAGTGTTTGCACACCCTCTTCCAGTTTTCTGGGAAGACCTAGAAGACTGTCACCTGCCGGAGAGAGACGAAGAGAAAGCCGTGATTGCAATTCTCCAGCGTTCAAAAACCGATCAACTGCTGAAACTCCCTTGTGAAGTCATGTCCCTGGTGCTGCAGTACTTGCCTCCGGCAGACCTTCATTGCCTAAGGGCCATCAGCCTAGCCGCAAGGCTTGCAACGCTCTCGAATCATTTCTGGAGGAACCGCTACGAAGCTGACATTCCATATGCTGATCTGATCAGCGGGAGGGGTGCTTCTACATTCGAAGTCAAATATAAGATTCTAACCCGGAACCTAAATCATGGAACTGGACGAGCGGCTTTCTCATTGCAAAACCTGCACAGAATCTATTACCATGCTCATAGACTGTGCAGCGTTATATCCTCCAGAGTACCTCTTGGTCCAAAAAGAGGGTTTATTCCAGTTTCTTTGCTAGCCGCCCCTATCCATATCTCATTTCTTCGAGTCGGACGTTCAGCCTTTATCGCTGGTCTATGGTCTTCGTTAGATGAGTCCTTCGGGTACGGCTATCGTTATTATGGTGAGCCGACCAAATCATTCAATCATTACAAGAGCCGATGCAGTCCTTGCTCTGGCCAAGTTGTGCTTTATGGAGCAGAAAGTGGTATTGTTGGTCTAGGATTCAAACAAAGCTCTTCCGATGAGGTATATATTGGTCTTCAAAATTCCGGGACAGATTGCATATATCACGGTGTAGGGTCATACCAGGAACGCGACGGATTATATCTCGAATTCGATGTAAGTAGGGCCGCCACGAAAATTCTCATCCAAAATATATTGTCGCTGTTACAATATTGACTTTCTTTTTAGAGTCTGAAACTCAGAGGAGTAAAATTCGGGCCTGAAAACGAGCTGGTATCACCGTTACTGTGGACACCACATTTATTACCCTCATCCTGCCTTGCCATTGACGTTTCATCTCGAATTCAGCTGCATGAATCGGAGCCTCGGCATCTTTGCTACTTTGGCAATCCAAAGGACAATTTACTGGAGAAATTAGTCCAGATAAATGCATTTTTTACGCGTCAAGATGAAGCTATTACCGGATTAGAATTTGAGTATTACCAGAAGCCATCAATAAAGTGGGGCCCCTGTGTTGGTAGCCGTCTTTGCAGGGTCATTGATGGTCCGGGCGGTGAAAGGATAGTTTCTGTAGAAGTCTCAGCTACGGACCGAGGCATAGAATCAATCATAGTGAGTGGCACATATATACTAGAAACTTGGTTCATGAATTAATCTGATTGTACAGCTATATACCAACTCACAACGCAGGCTTGTGCTCAATTCAACTTCAACTCCAAATTCCTCCTTGGTCACAGACAAAAGCACCAATGTAATAGTTATAACGGGCTTTTTTGGCCTCTTCCGGAATACCTCAGTTTCATCAACGGGGAGTCCATCTTTGAAGACCATCGGCATACTATCAGAGTCATCAGACCTGCCAGCAGTAATCTCAAAGCAAGATAGAACAGGCGATGGAACTGTTCCTCTGCATGCACTTCGAAAAGTGTCGCAACCAGTCTGGAAAACATGTGTTGCATCTGCTTCTGCAGAAGAAGTTTCGAAAATTACTGTTCGAATTGATACCCATGGAAGGGTGGCCGGCATGAAATTCACCTACAACAATTGCGCACTCGACAGCATCTTTGGAGACTATCAGACTGGTAACAACGATGAGGAAATTCACGAAGCATGTTTGTCGTTCGGGGAAGATCTCTTGGGAATCCGCTGCTCTTATCACCGTAAAAGTAAAAATTACGATCGAAAGACCCTGCGAGGTTTGGAATTCTCGACATCCAGGCGCGTTCTGACTTTTGGTGAGACCTCAAACGGACTCTGCTCTGTCGAGCACCACGTGCTCGAGTCAAATACAGGAAAGGTGAGGCCGCTCGAAAATATGACCTACATATTAATTTAGAAGACTAACATGGCATCCAATACTAAGTGGATATACTGGGTCTACAATGCTCTGTACGACCATTTACTTTCTAGCTTTTGATATACGACCTTTTGTTCTTCGCAGCTATAATTTTAATGCATTTACTACTTGAGGTATTCCATCTTCATCTTCATCTTCGTCCCTCAACCTGCAGCAAGTTCAACTTTCATTCTCTCAAGGTGTTGTCCAATTGCCGCTGCATCAGGTCTCTTGTCAACTTAGAGCTTTCCAAAAATTCCCTCCATATTTCCACCCGAATATCTGAAGAACTTGACCTTGAGTCCAACCGCAACTGCTCCATACAGACACCCGTTATCGTAGGGTGTCCGTTGGTTTGGTCTGGGTCGGTCTTTGCCTGAAACTTCCACATCAAGGTGGTCTTTAAGGTGAAAACCAACCTCCAGACCAGGCGTGGGTGGTTTTTTTAACTAAACCCATCTATGCATAAATCTGGTATAAATGTGGGCAAATCACCCAATCCTCGGCATAATTTTGCTGACTGATTGCTGATATACTTCCTAAAAAGGTAATGTTGGTGGTGGTCACGGACCGGTGGAGGCATGTTCAAAAGACCGACCCAAGAGGGTCTGGTCCTACTCTCAAATTTCCCAACTTGGTCCGGGTTGACTGTGTAAAAGACCAAAGACCACTAGTTTCCACCGCCCCGACAGACACCCTAGCTGCTATCAACAAATCTGAATTATTGTCATTATCTATGGATGTTATATTGTGCACTTTATTCTTCACTTGAGTTTTGTGGGACTACATCATGAGCGACTATTACTCTGGTCGTTGTATCTTTCTGAGGTCACTAGTTTGTATACTGCCTCTTGAGTTAAGAGCCATTTCTACAGGGTCTATATGTACTACTACGGCACAGCAGTAGTAATAAAACCCAGGGCGATCACATGCTGTTGCCAGGGTATGACTTGTACAATGTTATGTAAATACCTGGTAGTTACGTTGCGTCACTTGTTTTTGCGGGGTACAGTCGGAGGGTCCCGGGAGGTTGGGGAGGAGAAGGGGAGGAGAAGGGGAGGAATAGAGGAATAAAGGAATAAAAGCAACAATCCGTTCAATAGGGTTGATAGAATAAATTCTCTCTCCTCTATTTCTCAATAATACAGGGTTTCTCTGTATTATTGAAACTCGGGTACATATACGTGCTTAAGAATCTCTGATAAAGTAAATCCTACAGTCAGTGGTAAGCGCACTTCTACTATCGCTGCCTCTATGCTTTGAATGATAGCTCAAACTAATCATCAAGTAGTCAAGACTCAAGATCAAGAGCAATGTCTATCTTTGAGCAAAACCCGGCCATAAAGTCGGCATTAGAGTCAATTGATGATGAGTCTTATGAGCCTCCAGTTGTCACACTTTGGACTGCTATCCTTTCTACTATATTTCCGACATCCGAAGGCTTTTTGGTCGAACCCCACAATGTGCTTGGACATGGATCCGGAGACACGGTTGAGCGTAGCCCAGATGTGGTCGTTGTGAGAACGGAGTATGGTCCAGGACTTCAAAAACGCCCTCGACGCGATATCCTTTTTGTCGAGTGCAAACGACCTTTGGATGACAGGCCTTCTCGATGGGTGTTCCATGAGCAGCAATTGAAAGACCAAGCAAGCCGCAATCGCAATCCTTCGGGTGACGATGACATATTTACTGCCGAAGCCATCGGGTGGAAGGTTAAATTTTTTCGGTGGCACGGAAGTCGGGAGGAACACGAGCCTCTATATCCTGATTCTGAGATTCGAGAGCCTTTGAATCTTAAAAATTCTTACCAAGGCCGGCTCGCAGAGAGATTTCTGACTTGGATGAAATTATCTGCTATAGAATAGACCCAGTATAGTGATTTACCAAATATCGACGAGTTGATTTAATTAAAGCATAATTGAAAAGACGCGCTAAGTAAGTCATTTCAAATGGAGTACATGTAGTCTTTCATATTAGAGGATCTTTTGACGAGGCAACCACTGTGTATGTCTGGAAATAGGGATACTATTCCCACGGAGCCAGGTGGCCTTGCGTAAATTAACACACTTGCGTCGCTCAGGCTGAAAGCTCTAGAATTGTCTATGATTTATCCGATTTCTCCGAATGTAACATTCTCTAAGTTAAATACGCACACTATTCCGTGTATACACTATCCAGATGGTGGGAGTGCAGCGGAGCTCTGGCTCTGACCAAAATGAGATCGCTTGATGTAAATCCTTCCATGCTAGGATTTGGCGTTACCATAACTGATGGCATGTTTCAGCAAGCGACTATCCCTTCCGACACTCTACCGCCAAACTCCAATACTGCCACGTATTATTTTCCAACTGATCCAGTGTTTATAGAAGTCGATTTATTATTAATATTTTTTTGTATGGCATCTATATTATCTTCGAGGATACCACCATGCTTCCGTATCGATGTTATATCTGCGGGTTGCCGCTTGGGCAATTTACTCGGTCATGGTTGGATCGTCTTACTTGTGGTAAATCTCCTTTGGGATGCGTAGTTTGCAACGTGCTACGTATATTGATGTTAGCTTAGTGCGATGGCATGGATCTCAAGTCCAGATAATTCCTGATTCATATCGTCAAGGCGTTGAATTTCGGTCACCATTGGGTATCTATCTGGCCGGAGTGCAGGAGGACGGATGGTTTTTATTTGCAATTCATACAGCATGTTACAACATTCTACGTCTGGCCCTGCAAGCGACATCATCAGATGAGATGCTAGCAAGTGTCTGTGATTTTTTTTACTCTATGCCGTTCGAGAAGCTCTTTGAGGCAAGTGATGCTTCCCTGCAAGTTGAGTTTGATGGCTGGGATATCTTTTACCATCCTGATCCAAGGATAATCAACAACGGGCAGAAGGAGTACCTCTTTGCCAACCCGAATGCACTTGAGTGGCGCGATCTCAATATCGATCAGTCCGTCAAGGGAGATATTCAGATTGTCAATATTTTTGTACGCCAGAAATCAGATGACTTGCGCAAACTTCCTCCGGAGCTGCTTGATTCTATTATTCAGCATCTACCCACCAAGGACGTTCGAAATCTCTTCATTGTAAGCCCTGCTGCAGCACTTTTACGCCTTACACCAACATTCTGGTCTCATCGCCTTATGCAAGACCTGCCTTTTATAGAGCTCATAAAGGGTGATCTCGACAATGGCATCAGCACTGAGACACGGTACAAATGCTTGAGCAACATCTTGCGGCACGGAATTGGGCAAGCTGCCGATTCTTTGAGGAATCTTCAAAGAATATATAGGCAAGCTCATCAAGTTTGTCACACCTTACAGCTCAGAGAATTAATGATCCCGCCCGAGGTATCTTTTGAGAACACCGATCATGGAAACCCACCTGGTGTCAATTATGTTTCGGGGCCTCATGGTTCCGAATATGTCGATATTCCTTTGCTTGAAAATTCGCTGTATTTTTCTTCTTTTGCTATTAATAAGACACGCTATCTTTCCGGTGTCCGGATTGGTTCACATAAAGCCTGCAGCGGATATGGCTTCCACTATCAAGAAACGCTACATGTGCTTCCAAATTATTTGTCTGCAGGCAAGGTGAGAATGTCATTTTGCCATACCAATGGCGGATACGTGAAGCTTGGATTCACTACTTCCAATAATGAAGAAGCTTTCATAGGCTCAACATCTGGAATAAGCATATCCCAGAGCGAAATTGCAGTGAAAAAAAGCAGCATCATGCGTCTGGAATTCGATGTACGTGGGAGCAAATGGCATTACTATGAGAACTTGATGCACTAATGCAAGGCAATGTCTAGCACTACAAGATCGTGTCTATCAAAGTCGGTCAACCGGGACGCTTGAAGCCCCTTATTCTGTGGCAACCTCTTCCGCCTGCAATATGCAAAATCAGTCCATTGACACCGTCACAATTTACATTTGCAAATGACGATTTTCGCGAAATGTGTTATTTTGGTGGGAGCAATGGGTGTCACCTGGACAAATTAATACAAATTGATTCATTTTCAATTGGCAGCGGCTTTGGAATTAGTGGGCTTGAGTTTGTTTACATTGGTGGGAAACGAATTCAGTGGGGATCCTGCTTTGGGACCCGGCAATGCAGACTTATAGACGGACCGGGTGGTGAACGTATAGTTGCAATGAGGGCCGCATCCAGCGATGTTGGCATTGTTCAGATAAGAGTAAGTATCCTTTTCTTTTCTGGCTTTTCTGTCGAGTATCTATTCTGACTTGAAGGAGCTACGAACAAATGCACACCGCGAGCTTGTTTTTAAATCCACAAGACGGGCAGTACCGCTTCCAAGTCCTTTCGAGGAAGGTTTCATTACGGGATTTCATGGCTATTTTCAAGAAAAACCGGACCTTTTCACCGGTGCAAGGTTTCTCAAAGCAATAGGATGCCTTTCAGAACCTTTGGAAACGCCATTGTTTGTGGGCAAACAGCTATACCAACAGCCCAACCTCGAACTTTCAAGACAAGCACGCTCTACAACGGAACGACTTTCATGGGAATCACATGTATCGTTTGCGCCGCTTGATAATATACAAACTATTACGGTGATGCACAATGAGCATCAGCGTCTGACAGGATTAAAGTTCACCTATTCAGATAATAGGTTAGACATGATATTGGCTAATTTTATTTGTGAAAGCAAAGATACCCAGGAGGAGAGCCTTGCGGCACACGAGCAGATAATGCAAGTAACCTGCCACTATAAGATGGAAAAACTTTTACCTGGGAAGAAATTTCTCAAAGGTTTAAAGTTTACAACTAATCAACGTGTCATTGATTTTGGTTCGAAGTCATCAGCAGTTGAAGATGTCACTTTTCAACTAGACGCACAATTGCCAAAGGTAATCATTCTCCACCGCTTTAAGGAACCTTTGATATTAAAATTCGTGCTTCTAGGGTCTATACTGGATATACAATGTTGCATTTGATCAACTCTTTTGCAATTTCCAGTAAACTTCATACGACGATGGTAGGCCGGGTGTTAGCATTGACTAACCAGGCTCTGGCTATCCCAAAAGGTCAGCTTACGCAACTCCCACTACTACCGGGACGCAGAAGCAGCACGACTCTCGACGGTCATTCTGGAAAAGCTATTAGACTGAGGGGGGAACATGCGAGTGACGATGAATCCGTCCAGTAAAATGAAGATTTTCCAAGTTCGAGTAATTTACTAGCATGCATTATTTCGGGGAGTTTTCAGGAAGCATTATACGCTAGAATGCTTCGACATCTAATTCCATTGATATTGTAATAATGTTCCTTATCTCATAAATATCTCTGGTTAAATGAGACGAAAGAAGAGCAGATTAATTTCCGTGTCCCGGCCCAAGATTTATTTAGAGATTCAAGGGGACAAACGTGTTAGAAAGGGCAAATTTAGCAATAGAATGGTTGAATTTTTAAATAAAGTCAAAATGTGCTAACCTTATAGATCTTATGAAGTTATATACCTTACTTTTCTCTCCCAAGCATGTATCCCCTACGGATTGCACCTTGTGTGATCATGAGCTTGGGTGCCTTAAGTCCGTGGTCTTCAACAGAAGAGAAATTTATCCTTCAGTCAAGCTGATCGGCTTGACCACTACATATCTGTAGACTGTAGTCCGGCCCCAAGAGATGCAGTTGACGAGTTTCATTTCTTATGTTGGTAGTTGGCAACTTGTCCTAGTCGCTTCTTTGTACTACGTTTGGAATGCTTAAGCGCCTTGCTCTCTAACCGTGGTGTCGCCAAGTTCGGCGCTTCCATCGACCAATAATTCAGCCTTATATCGCAACGCATATACAGACACTCCAACATCCTGATATCCGCTCTTGGGACTGATTGTGTTGGATAAATTCTGGTCAAGAATTAGGATCCTGGTCCCGCCCTTTGCGTGGGCCATCTAACAATCAACTATGCTAACGTGTATTACAATCAACCACATTGTCATTTGCTAAATGACAACCGACCTTTACCCAAAATCCTCTTCCTTTCTCATCCACGTTATATGACAATGGCTTCCCTCCTAAATTGGGCTAAACCAGTGATTCGGAGGACTCCCTGGCCTCGTTTGCTCTTCCCGACCAGCGGATTTAAAACAATCAATGCATCCGAGATTGTCGAAGAAGAAGTGTTCGAAGAGTTCAAGAAGGGACACTACTACCCTGTCAGCATCGGCGATGTCTTTGACTCCAAATACCAGGTAGTTGGCAAACTTGGATTCGGAATTACTTCCACGATATGGCTCGCTCGCGATCTTGCGTAAGTTAAAACTTAATACTACTCTCCCTTTGTTCGATCATGACAAAGTCACAAAACTAATAGGACTAGGCGTCATCAATATGTCACATTGAAAGCATATACACGCAACGAATCTAGCCAGGATGAAGAATTTCAAATCTATCAGCAAATGCACCGGGGGAATCCGTCACATCCTGGCCATGCTCACGTGCGAACAGCACTCGATACATTCACCATTCCTCGCCCTGGAGGTGGCTGCCACCAGTGTCTTGTCCAGAGGCCCATGTGGGAGAGTTTCAGAGACTTGCTGTTTCGCAATCCGAAACATCGATTTACCGAGGATCTTCTCAAGGCTGGTCTGATCCAAGTTTTCCTTGCGCTTGAGTACCTACACACGGAATGCAAGCTTGTTCATACTGGTACGAGATACGCCCTACTGGATTCTTTAAGTAGCTAAAGCCAAGCAAGTGAGCAACTAACAGTAGGTTCACTGTATAGACATTAAGAGTGACAACATCCTTCAAGAAATAGAAGACACCTCGATCCTTGATGCCTTTACCCAAGCCGAAATGGAGCACCCTTCTCCGCGAAAATCTGTCAATGGTATACCAGTTTATGCTTCGCGGCGGTTTGGTTTGCCAAGGACATTTGGCAAGGCCGTCCTCAGTGATTTCGGCTCAGCTGTCCGAGGCGATGAGAAAAGAAATCATGATGCGCAGCCCAATGTTTACAGATCACCGGAAGTCATGTTGAAAACTGAATGGAGTTATCCAGTCGACATTTGGAACGTCGGCGTCATGGTATTTTTCTTTTCTTTTTTCTCATTTAAATTTGTTTTATGTTCTATGTTTTTGTTCTTTTCCCCCTTTTTCCCGGTTCAATTTTCATATGCATTGCTTGATCACGACACATGCGTACTTTGGATCAACTAACCAATTGGAGTAACTAGATATGGGATTTATTCGAGGGCAGACACATGTTCTACGGCAACGATCCTGATGGGAAAGGCTATTCCACCCGCGCCCATCTTGCTGAAGTCATTGGCCTTCTGGGGCCGCCTCCTTTAGACTTGCTCAAGCGCGGAAAAAGAAGTCCTGAGTTTTTCACTGAAGATGGTAAGTGCATTATTTTTCTCGTTCCCTTAAAACTAAGCGGAGCTTGGTCGTGGCTTATACAATTATTCGACAGGGCAATGGAAAGCCGACATAGAGATACCAGAAGGAATGTCACTAGAAAAACTAGAAACTTTTCTCCAAGGACGCAATAAAGAAATGTTCTTGGACTTTATGAGAGGGATGCTTCAATGGCGACCTGAAGATAGGAAGACGGCGAGGGAACTACTACAGGATCCGTGGCTGGATAGCGGGTAGCCCGTCCAGCGAGCACGAGCCCTCTTGATTATTTAATGTTTACCTTGTCATTCAACTCGTATTATTCCTGATTTTGCGCAAGATTAGTTTACTAGAGCGTATAATATACCAAATATGGCTGTATTCTATAATATGATGCGACATATCACGATGTCATATAATTGGCAAAGCCGCAAACACCCTGTCAACAAACCCATTTCTTTTGATCTTGGAAGTTGGCTGTCAGACTGTCAGACTTATAATTGCAAAGGTATATAGTATATATATACGAGCAAGTGGAACTGTGGGATCCATCATTTGAATTCCCTTCTGAAAGTTCCAACTCGCTCCCGGTGAGGACTTTTGGACGAGGGGAGCCTGGGAGCCTGGGAAGTACATAGCATTTTCGAGCCGCGAAAAGCGCGTGTCCTCTTTAATTTCCAAATTCTAATTATTGGCCCATTCAGGACAGTAAACTATTAGCGGTTCGCCGGTTGCAAATCCATATATGTCCTGTAAACCTGTTTGGTTCTCTGATTGAGACTAGGATTGTGTAATTGCGTTGTAGTTTCCCTTTGTATTGTATTTCTACTCCCTTTCTCCCAGAATGTGCCCTTGTAAGTTGTATGTATGTGCGTATGTGCGTATGTGCGAGACTGAATAATTATGCTGAGTATCATACGGTGACTATTGACTAACGCTTGATTTTTAGACAGTCTACCAGTCTAATGACCTGCCACATTATTCTTAGCACTAGAAACAGGGAATAATCAGCCAAACAAGATTGGGTAAGATCTGCCATGGTTTTCTTGGCTGTCACGCTTCAAATTCCCTTTTCTCTCTCTCTTGTCCTCGACTTGACTTTCCATTCTCTCCTCTCTAAGCACTTGGAGTTTCATTGACGCAATACCTTTGTGCTGTGTATAACTGGGTTGTTGATTCCTTGCTTTCTTGACTTCTCATCTGACTTGGCCACGCTGCCTTGGCCAATTGCCATGGCTGGTAGCTTCCAAACCCGGGCCTCCTTCACCGGGTACTTTCTATTTTCGATCGATAGAAACGGTGCTTGTGCTCCAGACTCGGTTCGTTATATGAAGCAACAGCAAGCTTGGCGCTGATATTGCTATCAATTTTTTTTATGTTATAACGCGAGTGACAAAAAGAGTTCGGATGCCCCGTCTTCTCATTCGAAGAGTGGTTAAGGCATCCTACATCTCTACCCCTTCCCCGGTGCGGCCTCATCTAGGGGCGCCCCTCAGGCAGTTGGAAATAAATCCTTCTGCGATTGTGGCGACACCCCGACTCGAACTCACCCCGTGAAATTCCAGGACTTTGCCAGAGAGCTATTAACCGCTCTGGCATCGTCCCTTCTGGTTCATATTGGTAGTGATTGACTCAGTATTTATGTTTGGTTGACAGTGAATGAAAATAGCCGGGTGGCCCGCCCGGTGGCCATGTGCATTCGCACGATTCAAAGGTGCCCTGCATGTATTATAGACTCGATGTTATCTAGGCTCCCCTCATATATGACAAAATCGGATGGACTTGTTCCATGATGGAACGGGAAAGAGGAGGCTAGTCAAAAGATAGATTCACGGTATCTAGAAGACCTGGACAATGAAAAATGTAGCACTGTGGAGCGAGCGGCAATACGAGTCAAGAGGTACACTAAAATTTTCATATTAAAGCTTCTCCAAACCCTAAGGGCCTAAGCTATTGATGACCCCAGAACCGCTTCGACTTCATCTGCAATAGCCAGGACCTTCTCCTCCTCCAGCCGTCTACACACCACCTGCACACCGACAGGAGTTCCATTGAAAAGATCTGGATCATCTATCAACCAGGTAAGCGGGTCCTCTATTAGCAATGGGAAGGTTTATCGAAACTATTATTAGATGGGAAGCACTTACATTGTTTGCAGATGGCGCCATCCAGGTCACTTAATGGAGTATAATCCGTTACAGGGATATCCAGGGTCCGATCTGCTTTGGTGACGGGGACTACTACCGTGCTGTAATCAAGCACGTTGTAGACCCCCGTATAACCAAAATACATGCCTTCCGACGGCCGATATGAAGCAGTCGGAGCGACGGGGGAGATGATTGCGTCCACCGGCTGCCCAGTGCGCGTACGAGCAGCTGTCGAGTTCCAGTATTCCAAGTAGCGTGTCTGGTAGTTGTATTTCTGCTGATTGGTCCCCCAGAGGTCGCTGACGGAGCCGACTGGAAGATGGCCAAGTTTCTCGCCATACGAAACGGCCAATTGGGGAACTGGAAGTTCTCCGCTTTGTTGTAGAGCTTGGTGGATATCGATACCCCCGTCTGCAGCGAATGTGTTCCACTAAAAGGAACAAAAAGAGTTAATATTGGCTGGACTCTGGAGGGATATTCATTTTGAAGGTTGGTGACTGACTAGAATTTGAAAGGCCTCTGAGTGCGCGGGAGGGATCCACTCGATCACCTGCAGGCGTCAATACTGGACAATCATTGTTGGACTAGGTGATGTACATACTTCATACCCTGCATTTTCCAACGCCTGAACAACCTGCTCAATTGCTCGTTCTACCGGGGGATGAGGCTTCACGACCCCGTCGTGTCGTAAAATACCAAAAGTCAGTTTCTGCGAGGCCTTTTTCGCACGCACCTCGTCCTCCATCTCCGATCGCCATGGCAGTTGGATGACTTTAGGATCGGCCAGCCATGGGGAGCACTCGAGGACTGTCTGAACAGCGAGTCGAAGGTCAGAGACCTTGTGGCCCATAGGCCCAATTACTGATGGAACAGTCTCGTGGCCTTCCATCTATTTGCAATCACTGTTAGTATAAATTTCTCAACAATTTTTGATAGACACTCTTACACTGTTGGCAACATTCAGGTAGGGAAGCCGTCCATGAGATGGCTTCAGGCCGGTCGTTCCTGTGAATGAACAGGGTACGCGTATGGACGCCCCTGGTCGTGCCCATTATGTATATTAGTTGGTGAACGAGGAATAGAAATGGTGGAATGAAGGATTGTACTAACCAACATCTGAGCCAAATCCCATGATACTGCCTCGCAAACTCAAAAGGGCCGCTTCTCCTACCGCACAAGCCATATATATATTAGTCCAATCAAGAATAAATGCTGAAACAAACTTTGCCACTTACCTCCAGAGGATCCGCCAGAGGATAGCAATCGATTATGAGGGTTGGTGGTATACCCTACGATATTGTTGTTCGTCTCGATCGCCTAGAACCCAGCCCACATCCCACCATCAGAGATGATTTTTTTTTTTATAAAAAGGAAAGAATTGACAAATACCATCAAGCTACTAGGAACATTGGTCTTCGCAAAGATGATGGCACCCATGTCCTTCAACTGCTTCACTAGCCATGATTCCGTCTCCTTTGTTTCTACCTTACCCAGCCAGCCAACATATCCAAGTGACGTTTCGGCACCCTCTACTCGAAACTGATCTTTGAGAGAAATGGGCAGGCCGTGCAAAGGGCCGATTGGTTTCCCATGAGTCCGCAGGTACTCATCCAGCTCCTCTGCACGAGCGAAAGCCTGCACAAACAGGACCTCACTTAGGCAATTGAGCTGTGAAAAGGAACTTGTTAGCCCATTTGACCAGTACATGATTCCGTCTTACTCACCAACTGGTGGGCAATGGTCGCCCGATGACAGAATGCCTTGGTAACCTCGACCGCAGACAAGGTTCCATCTGCCAGCTTGGAGAGCAACGCTTTGGCAGATGTGGTCTCAGTAATGTCCCGTTCTGCGGGTGAAAGGAACTGCTCAATGAAGGTGGTTGCGTTGGGCTGCTCGTCAGCTGAGGGCACCGGGTCAATCCTAAAGGAAGGCGGCAGCAACTCCTGCAGCTTTGCTCTTTTTTGCTCTCCAATAGCCTGCCATGAAGGTTTCTCGACGGTCATTTTGAGTAGCACAGGACGCGCAAATACAGGGGACAGAGCCTCGTATGGTCAAGTAAACAAATGGCAGGGAACGATAAGCACCTTTAAACACCACAGAGAGTCAGTGTATCCGTTGGTTACCTCACCTATTCTTTTGTGAATTGAAGAAGGAAATTGGCCGAATGTTCTTCTTGTTGACTTGTTTGAGCTTTTTTCTTTGCAGATTACAAATATACTCTTTAGACCTTTATTCAAAATAAGATCACGGTGGGAAAGAAACGCATTGGAAATGTGTCACAGGAATTCGTATAGTACTGTAGAGGTAGAGCTAATCTGACCATGTTCCGTTGATGAGATAATTGTTCACGGCAAATCATGACATTGGACCCTGGCTGTAGAGCCGAACGCTAATGCAAATCCTTGAGAAGGACCCATTAGTTAGATTAATTCTGATTATAAATCTTTGTGGGTTCAACGGTACACGGGGGCTTAGAAATGGCCCCGTGAAGGCATCCAGGATTCAAGGTTCATCGCCGCCGAGAGTTGGTCCGTTCGGGCCGAGCCAAGCCGTAAGTGTTTTTTTGGCATTGCGCTTTTTTAGTGGGAAACATTCTATCTGAAACCGCCAGCATTTAGGTTATCGTCTTTTGCAATTACTACGAACACCATCAACCCTATGAGAATCCGTACAAGCTCAATGCATTTTAGAGCTGAATTAATACTAAATTTAAAAAGTTTAAAGCTTTGAAAACGATGTAATATCTTCGAAAATCTCTATAAAGCTGAAAGTCGAGTATGCGGACAATGTACAGGAAAAAAAAAATAGATAATTCCAGAATTTCTTACTGAAGCTTGCCTCACGGCCTCATCCTGCTTCATCACAATCGTATTCCGTAGTTAATACCCTCTTTATGGCCCTGTCGCCTACCGATTGTCCTTCTTGTCATCTTTACGCTTTGGCCATCAATGCTGGTGCCTTTGAGAAACGTGCCACCAGGCAGCACGCGACCGCAACCGTGACGGAGCAAGCACAGAATAGTTGGGTGCCAAGCCACCCACTAGATTGGAGGATCGCTCCGGCCACTGGGGTCCCGATAAGCAATCCCAAGCCTGCAAAACAGAAACTCATGCCCATGCGAGTGCCAACCATCTGGAGACTCGGAGACAGACTGACGACCGTGGTGGGTGGCAGGGAGACAAAAGTGCCCGAGAAAAACCCGTAGAGAAGGGAGAAGATGATGAAGCCACCTGTGCTTTCAATGGCGATCCAGCAGAAAGCTAACAGAGCGGATATCAAGGAGCAGGGAATGAGCATATTCAGTGGTCCGGTCTTGTCGGCCAAGAAATTGGGGATGATTCGCCCGAATACAGACCCAGCGTTGATAATGGGGAGCATGTAGAAAGACAAGTTATGTGACATGCCCGTATTTTTGGCGGCGTAGGCGGTGCAATAGAAGAAGGGAATGTATAATCCCATGAAGCCGAAGAATTCGGCAACGGTGAACATGGTGAAGGGGAGTTCGAGGAAGGCGCGGGGCTCCAGAAGACGACGTTTCTGCGGAGGAAGCACACGAACCCGCATGACAGCCAGGCATCCTAGCAGCATTCCGAGCATGAGGAAGGCAATCACACGCGTGGCCCAACCAAAGCCAATGCGTGGCTGCAACCGAGCAAAGACAATCGGATAGATGACGCCGCCCAGGCCGCTCCCAGAGGCAGCGATGCCTGTTGCAAATGATTTCTTCGTGGTGAAATACGTCGACACAATGGCGACACTGGGGATGAAGAGACAGCCACTGCCGAGGCCGCAGGTAAGACCCTGCGCCAACATCAATTGCCAGTACTCGGTGCACAGGCTGGTCATGAACATGCCGAAGACGACCAAGAAAGATCCCACCGAGAGCAGGACGTAGAAATATCCGGCATCAAATAGCGGACCAGTAGCCACTCCGATAATGAGCAGCAGACACGCCTGGAGGGATCCAATCCAGGAAATATCAGAGCTGGAAACATGGCGGAGAAGTTCGTCTTCGTAATAAGATTGGAAAGCTCCAAACGAATTGATAACTCCCCTGGAGGCAATCAGCATGTCACTACGAGAGGGTTTTATCCTATTGACTTTCACTTACCAAGTGTTGAGAAAAAGAGAAAATGAACCTAGCACCTGCAACCAGGCCCTTAGGCCGCCATTTGGAATCTCGTCTGCTGGTTTGGAGGTTGATGGGCTTGGGCTGGCGCTCTCGACATCGGAGGATGTAGTATTGGCCAGAGGATCCGTGGGCACTTCCTCTTTGAATTCTGCAGACATTTTTTTTTGTTTTATTTTCTAGGACACAGCAAGCGCTCAAGATAAATTAAGATAAAAAGGTAGACGATGGACTGCCAGCGGACCTAGAACATGAAACTATCCTTTGAACAGACGCCGCGATGGCGAGGACACAAGGATAAAGTACAAAATATAAACTCATGGTCGTAGCTGATGATCGAATTTGTCAGTGAGAGCACAAATAGACGCCGAAGCCGAAGCTGCAACAAAAAATTGGTATGATTAGTAATGCAAAGATAGGAGAGTATGTGATTGACGGTCCCGAGTAATTTTTTTATTGCCTTCCAATATGTAACTTTCCTGTTTTTTCCAGAAATTTTCAATGTGGATATCGGCCTATTTGTGATTTATAAGGATGTACCATGGAGCTTTATGTAATGTGGCAAAGATATACCCTGTAGATAGGCAGATAAACTCTCAACATACCGCATATTAATTGGGCAAGAGGAATGCAATAATTACAAAACCCTGATCGGATCAGGAACAACCAGGGGATGGATTGCCGCCTTGGGCCCTGAATGGTCAATAACGGCCAGTCAAGAAGAGGGTTTGGTGCACGTTCCAACCCTAAGTCACCCCACGCGCGCTTGTTCGCGGTTCGAAAATGCTCCGTAGCTCCCCACCGGGAGCGAGTAGAACGTCGGAAGCAACCCGAATGACCCACCTGTTCGTAAGTAATTAATTAATCAGCTTCCCAAGTGAAAAGATGCTTGTTCTTGACAGGCCTTTTGTCAATCATATGACATCATGTCAAAATATGACCATAACCAATTCAAAATGTTATCCCATGATCCATGTGACTACCTTGAAAACTATTTGCTCGGCAGTGTACTGACGTAAATGGCTGTGAGTGCCTGCAATCCGATAAAATGTGTTGAGATCTAAGACTGACATTATCATCAGATCTGAAGATTGTAAAGGTACAGGCATTGGTGCCATGACGGACCATTCTTCCCCAAATATTAATGATAAGCACCACCAATGATTAAAATCCTTGGCAATGTGCCCTGGACTTGTCCTGAATTTGTCCTACTCAACATGTGTCTTCTCTGGATGGCCTTGATGACGCGGTGCGGCCTACCCCTGCACTCGATTATTCTACCAAGCGAGTGCAATAATAATTTGCATGTAGATAGATTGGGCTCTGCATAGATCCACATGCGCCCAATCGTCCAAAAGACCCTGATCTTATCGAATTTGCTTTCTATCTCGATCATTTGCAAGCGTATGGTGCATTGCAAACAGCGCAGCAGTCGTGAGGTAAGCAAATTATAATATTCAGAGACATTGCTGGGCCAGCCGGAAATATATCAGCATGTATTGTTTTGACGAAATGACAAGTCACATTGATTCTGTTGTTGGAACGGCTAGGCATAGCAAAGCGTTTTTTTTGGGGGGGCGGGGGGGCCGGGGGGGTTTGAAGCAGGGTATTGAATACGGTCGATGAAGCTGAATGGGGGGCAGGGAGGGGGAAAAAAACCCCTGAAAGTCTGGAATCGTTCATGCCTTCTTGAGGAGTGGTTGTTGGCATAGACGGGCTTTCTCGTCGTGTCTTTTATAGGTTTCTGTTATGGTTTTAGAAAGTATTTACGTGGACTTTGTTTCAAAGCTTGAAAATTTAGTCAAAATTTAGTTTCAACATAAGGTCTGGATTTGCAGATACAATTTTTCAGCTTGAAAATTTTTTTTTCAGAGGTCATTTTGTTGGTTCAATAATCCCAAATGCCAAGCCGTAATGATCTGTGGCTTCAAGCACTGCATTTCGAAAGCCCCATAGTCCTCTTTGCCCAGAAATGAGCAAATGGTAAACCTCGAGGTAATGCAAAAAGTGAACCGGAGAACAAGTCGTCCCTAAAATGTCAAAACGTCTACCAACAAGATGAACACGACAGACCAGTGACAGGGAATTCGACGTGTCTATTAGGATTGTACATGAACCGTAATTCATTGGGCTGAAATGCTCAACGCTTGTTCCGTCATGAGATCTGGGGTTGGAGGATGCGGGGTCTGGCGACCCCTTGAAAGTAGTCACCAATGACCCAATGCCAATGGACCTGTCCAGCGAAGACGGGGGGCGAGGGTAGGGAATTCATTGGGTGGGTTGACGTTTATTCGATCTGAGGAGGTCGCAATAAAAGGCCTGGAAAAAACCCTTTCCTCCAATTATGCTGTTCGACCATCTCTTATTAGGCGTTGGGGGCTGAAGGCACAAATGGTAATTTTGGACACCTTCTCTCCGTCATTAGATTGTGTCAGATTCCCCCATTTTCCCCCCTCCTCTTCCCTTCAGTCTGCGTACAAAGTCTGTATTGCACCTTCTCCCTGTCCGACGTGTCTCCTCTTCCTCCTCTAACTCGAAGGTAGTGGCCTAGGTCTTTAGTATCAGGGAGCAGAGCAGAACTAACAGCTCGGCCCTCAGGAGAATGGAATCTTATCTCAAACTGGATGGCGTCCTTGACGCCATCGACGATATCGAATTCGAATCGCCCAAATCGGCCACTACTGCATTCTGGGCAACTCTACTTCCCGTCATCTTTCCAGCGCAAGAATACACCTGCTCGGCAGAACTCCGGCTCCCCAGGCGACCGGCAGGGAATTTTATATTCAATGTTAAAGACAGGCACAGCAGATCCTTGAGCCTTGCACAGGATCTGATATACCTGTGCTTTGCGGGAAACTTCTTTCCACAGCCCTGAAGTGGTGCCTTTAGCAATAACTGTGTAACCATATTTCGTGCAAGTACGTTTGAACGGGGCAGCATAGGAGCCACGACCACCAAGAGGAATGCAAACGATCGATATTTTTGTCCACTTGGCCCTTTGAGTGAAAGCATCAAATCTTCAACCAAGATAGGGTGCTGAGTCGGATCGTCTTGGCCCCGGCGATGATGGCCCACATTTGGGCAAAACTCGTCCGGGAAATTCCCAGTCTGTAGGCCGAGTAGACCTCGCTGCGTGCAGAATTGTGCAGCGCGGCGTTGCGAACGGTCTTCTTGATCAAGACCTGACTCGATGGTCCGTTGGTCTGGTCTGGGTTGGTCTTTACCTTAAAGACCAACGTCCAGACCGGGCGTGGGTGGTTTTTTTAACTAAACCTATCTATGCATAAATCTGGTATAAATGTGCGTATTTTGGGCAAATCACCAGCATTCTCAGCATAATTTTGCTGACTGATTGTTGATGTACTTCCTAAAAAGGTAATGTTGGTGGTCATCAGGGACCGGTGGAGGCATATTCAAAAGACCGACCCAAGGTGGTCTGGTCCTACTCTCAAATTCCCACGATTGGTCCGGGATGACTGTGTAAAAGACCAAAGACCACCGGTTTCCACCGGCCCCAACGGACACCCTAGCCCTGACTCTTGCTGGCGACCTGATCGACGAGCAGACAGGGAAGGCGTGACTTGATTGATCCTCCGCTTGTGGCCAGCTGTTTGATTTGTGTCAGACCCGGACGAATTAGGTGACCGCGAGCGCGGTCGGATCTGCGAAGGTGCACAGCTGGTTTGAGATGGTGTAGGCACTGTACGGCCCTCTGAGGGAGACGGTAGCGGAGATGACGACGACAGTTCATAGGACGAACTAGAATCTGGGCTCGATGTTTTAATCGAATTCCTCGTGGTCTTGAAACGGCCAGTGATTTTCCACGGACGCCACATCTTCTTTGGCTTCCGCTTCGTTATCCGCTTCCGCTTCCGCTTCCGCGACCCACTCTCTTCTAAGCTGCTGATTGAGCTGGACGACTGAGTCGTAGGATTCGTTTCTGACCCATCCGTCTTGACCCAAATCATCTAGGAGGGACAGCCAGTGTTCCGTCAGAATATTCATCTTGAACCAGTTTTCTTCGAGCTGGTAGAATTCTTCGACGTCGCTGGGGTCAAAGTGGACAGGACAGGACATGTGTTGACCTCTGTCCGCTATCAACTGATCCCAGCATGCGACAAGTCTGATAAGTGCGCCCTTTAGCGTAACGATATTGCCGCTCCATGGCTTTTCTGCTCTGGTAACCAAGTGTTGACGAAGCGCCAAAAGTGGATAATACAGCGCATCGAGATGGGACTGGTTATCTCTTCCGTTAAAGACCATGTACAAATAGAATAGCATTCTCCGGCGATGCAGTTCGTCGGCATAAGCCTTTTCCTCGGGAGGCAGAGATGCATAGTCTTCAGGCAGAGACGGCTTCTCTAGGTTCTTTGGCGGTCCAGAATCGGGATTCTCAAAGAGCGGTGGATTACCGGCGGTGAGGAGGAGCGGAAGGATTGTCGTGTGTTGCCAGTCGATGATGCATGAAATTTCACATGAATCCGAGACGAATATGTTGGATGGAGTTAGGTCTGCTTGTGTCAGTAATACGCCAACGTAAATGGACAGAGAGGGTGAGACCTACCAGGATGACGCATTGTCGGAGTGTTCATCGGACTTGCGCGATCTTCGGGCAGGATGAATGGTGATATGGAAATATATTTGTCCAAAAGATCCAAGTGCAATTTAGGATCAACCTTTCCTTTGACTATATTATTTTGAGGAAAGTCGTTCTCGAGCGGCTTTCCGAATCTGCGCGTCCATTCCAATTCGCGTATCCCGATCGAACGAATATAATCGAGCTGATTTCTCCCTATAAAACATATTTAATGAGCAATTCCCAATCTCTAAGCCCACTAAAACTGGTATAGAGACTTACACGGCCCGCGATGCAAATCTAGAGAGGCACGGTTTCCTCGCCAGAACATGTAATCTGTAGAAGGCCCAATAGAGAATCTTTCCCCGGTTCCATCAACACCATCTCCCATTCCAGGAGCATATAAACCTGGTTGAAGGTTCTGCGGTAGACAATCTTTGTAGTACAAGCTGCCATACGCTCCAAACGGGATAGAAAAGAGTTTCGTCTCGATATCAACATAGCTTGTTACCAAACGGACTCTGTCTTTAGGCGTGAGAGTGAACCAACACTCTTCCAGCGGTTTTCCGGGGGCCTTTTCCATGATAATATACTCTGTTCCGACTGGATTATCGCTTTTCGAAGAATACGCGTAGACTCGAGGAACGGGGATGCCCTTGGAACGCAAAAAGTCTAGAGTAGCAACTTCACTTTCAGTGGTTAAGCCTTTCGGGACTGTGAATGAATATGGGATCTTGGCAATCACTTCGAAACCGTCATCCATGGTAAGAAGGAAGACACGACTGAAGCCGCCTTCGGCGAGTTTTTCAAGATGCGTGACCCCTTTCCGACCAACGCATTCTGCGGCAGCGGTCTTGAGAGCTTCGACGTTGAACTCGACATGTCGTTCGGCAAGACGGATGTTCTCGTTGTAGAGGAAGCGCCCGGAGGTGTAGTTGAACAGATCTTCAGTGGACGTACGGCGGGACTTGGGCCTGCTCGTCGACAGACAATATCTTGTTGTTGAGAAACCGTGAGCTTTGAAAGAATGGCTGTGTCGCCAAATGGGGATATATGTCCGTGACGGAATGGCGAAGTAGAGTGGTAAAGGTTCCAAAGGGCGCAGACGGGAATTAGAGAAAGATGAAAAAGGAATTGTTCGACAGAAAGTAGTCATCGCGTCAGATTTGACAGTATTGATGAGTCTTTTGGAAAATTGGAGTGAAAAATCACATTGTGTGTGTGTCTCTACGATTGTGTGTCAGTGTGAGAACTTCTCCAGCTTAATTACTGTGACTTGCCTGGATCCCAAAATCTCGTTCCAGTGTCAACTATGCAAATTTAGCGGACTAGATGACGTCTTGAGAGTTTATGACAATGTCATGCAATGACGACTGGATAGTCGCATTTATAATCTTCTACCGGAGTTCTCACAATTTCCACTTCGGTCAGTTGGTAATTTAACAAAGGCGCAGGAAGAATGATGGAGAGCAGAGTCTCGCACTCATCTCTTAGATGATTGTACCTAGTGGATGAATTCAGTGGTCCTGTATTTGCTGTCATGCAGGCCGTGGGTAGCAACCTGAAGAAGTAACTTGGAGACGCGCTCAAATGTGTTTGATCATCGCGAAAGTTGCGACCAAATTCGAAGCTTACCGAACAATATTTCCCAAACGGGCTATAACAAATTCAGTTATATCTCAGCTATGTCTCACACAACAATATCACTATACAGTACCGGCTACTAATACCCAAGCTCACTACAACCTAGACAAAGTTAGTTGAGCGGGATGACAGCTTGTCCACCGCACAGTGAAAAGCTTAACTACACAACAGCGTGCGTATAAGGAAAGTCCAAACAGAAAAAGTAACACCACGCAATCCATTTTGTCTTCGGAGGCTCTAAATTCTGCAATACAAACAATACAGGTACAAGCAGCGAAGAGCTTCAATGCTGACTAGACCTAATGGAAGGTTTTGTATGTTGACGGAGTAACATCGCACGTGGAACTTCGCAAAGTACGCTGAATAAATCTAGGTACCTAGTAGATACCTAAGGTAGATACGTATCTCTCCGCCCCAAAGATCTAAGTCATCTGATCTGATCTGATCTGATCTGATCTGGACATTTTCCTTTTTTCCTTTTTCGGGATTATTTTTAGTAATATACGGTAGTGAAGACCTCCCCGGGAGGTCCATCGTAACCTATACTGGGAGGGGATACCTACCCACGATAAAGGACAAAATATAAATATACCTCTGTACCTATAGGTAGGTAAACTATAGTAAAGACGGGATACCTATGATAATAAAGGCGGGATATAACCAGGTAAGTGGCAGGGAAAAAGTTATTGGGACCAAACCCGATCACATCCGCCAATATGATATACCGGTACAATTAAGAGATCATCCCGCACCCCAGCCGATATGATAACTACCATATAACATGCAATAACCCGACACCCGACATCATACAAGTATAATAAACCCGGCCATGGGACATGATATAATAAAGTTCTCTGTATAATAAACAGGGTCAGTTACCTACGTACTAATCAGCATACACATGGTCATGGATGAAGGCGAAAACGAGGATGTTGTCAGTAGTCGGTAATAAAATCCATTATAGAGTATTAGAGGCGGTCAGTTGTTTGTACAAGCCCGGAGAACGAGATGAATGTACAGAGGTATTGTACTTTGTACACGACTGGGCATTTACTCTGTACCTTATGGACAGTATAATACAGTGTTGTGAAAGATGGCATACTTGGTAGGATAATGCAAATCTAGAGAGAATAAAATGGTATATGGTACAGCATAAAACAGAGAATGAAATGTAGCATAACACACAATACAGGAATAAAACATATAGCATATCACACAACACACACAAATAATACAGCGACGATCATAACAATGATCAAACTTGTACATGCATACATACATACAAACCTACATGCATACACAGCACCACCGCATCTTCATACATAAACTGTTCACGGGATAAGTGCCTAGGTAAGCACTTTCCTACATACCACACACATGGGCAGCGGTAAACTCTGTACGAAAGAACATGTGTACAGTGTTCCACTGCACTAGGTAAATATGCATTCTGCAAGCCGCAATCAGCCACGCTGCAGAGAGCAAACACAACTGTACTCTACGTAATACATACATAGTATCACTGCCTTGGCAGCAGATGGAGGCTTTCTCAGCAGTAGATGGGCTTTACCCACCTTTTGTAAGTAAAACAAACCAGACCAAAACAAACCTGCATGGAGAGACTGGCGATGCTGGCGTTGCTGGCGACACTTGAAACCGGAATTGTTTTCCGGCCAGTCACCAGTCACCAGTCGCCGACACATACACATACACATACATACACCGGGAAACGAATCTCGAGTGTCAAGGCAGGAGAAGAAACGAAGAGACGAGGAGACGAGGAGACGAACAAAGAGAAACTGACACAATACAGAGGTACTACACTTTGTACAAAGTATAGAGTATAGAGTACTGCAAGGTAGGTAAGGTAGGAAGATCAGGAGCAGCACTGACGTATATCCGTATCGCGACAATTCAATTGTCAAGCTGGCTTACTACAACTCGTCTATGCTCATCAGGTATGCTCACTATGCTTACTATGCCTACTACCTTACTCCATACACCAGTAAATAAGATACCTTGCGGACAGAGTACTCCGTACCTCCGGTATGTACAGAGTATGTGCGGAATTGTATCGGAATTGTTTCGGAATTTCAAGAGTCGAGAAGTCGGACCGCGACCGCAACCGCGACCGGCACTTGAATGAAATGAACCGAACGGAGTGGATCGTAAACTCGCAGATCGCAGATTCGCAGATTGCAGTAACTACCTACCTACCTTCTCTACAATTACAATTTCAAATACTCGTACAGAGTAGCTTCGTACTATAGCTCAAGGCACAGAAGCTTGATAGTTACCTACATTACTCGAGACTAGTAGCTTGATCGACAAGGACGACCATGAGCTAGTAGAGAGCTGAGATTCAAAAATGGCATGACATTTCGGGAGATACCGACTAGTCAGTAACTTAGCATTAGTTACTCCGTCTCCGATTGAGCAGAAACTCCTTACCCACAACCACGCCGATCGACTCTGACGGAGCAAAAAGTTGCCATGTGCCAGGCCCCTAGTCCGTAGTCCGCCTACTGGTACAAACTACCAGTAACTACCTGTTTTGTACCGTTTGAGGTAATTCGGCACGAATATCCAACGAGGCTTTGAACCTCTGTGCACCTGGTACGTACGTAGTACGCTTCAATTTCGTCGATTTGTCGATTTGTCGTTTTGTCGGAGATGTTCGGGCGCATGTCGAGATGCAAAGCGCACTGGCGCTCGCGCGCTCGCTTCAAAGACTTGAAGCTCCATTGGGACGTCTCGTCTCGGAATGTCTCATAATGGCCAGTACTCCATGCTCCATACTCCGTACGAAGTGTACTCCGAGTACCTAAGGCAAGGTAGGGAAAGGTAAGGTAAGTACTTCGTACAGAGGTAAATACAGAGGCTTGTCTGGTGTATCTCTGTACTGTACCCAAGGTAGTTGCTGTAACGTCAACACGTCCTTTGTACAGAGGGCGTGGATGCCAAATGCGTGGATGCGTGGACGCGGCCCACCTGCGGGACCCTGTTGTTGTTCGACAAGGGAAAAAAAAAATCGTACGATTTTTATGCACCGCGCATGGCGAAAATGGGTCAAACTGGGTCACTCTCCAAATGGCGTAGCGAAAGGTACGCAGTGAGCGAGGGAGTAAAATGATGGGTGGATCCAGGGATCCAACCAATGCATCCCCTGGAAAGCCAACGCCAACTAAAACTGTACTGAGTAGCAGTTACGGTTAACTAGAGTAGAGAGTAGAGAGATTGAGCAGTTATTCCCCACCAACCTTATCGTCCGTTCGACGCCGTCGATTACCAGTAACTCCGTACCGTCGATGGTAAATGCACCATACGTAGTAGACCTACGTAGTACTTCGATAGTAAAATCACTGGCTACGGAGCGATGGGACCGTAAGGTATTATTTCGCACAGGAAAATAGTATACCCAACTAAGCCATTGCACTACCACTAGTTCATTTTTTGCCATGTGGCATTTTTTTTGAGGAGACCCTTTGACCCAAAAAGTGGAGAGGTATAGTACCCAGAGTAGCTCCATACGAGAACTCCGTTACTGGTAACTAAACGGAAACCCCCACCAGCAACCTCGCAAAAAAAAAATCTCTTTGGATTATTGATCCATCCCCTCATTGGCTGCCCCCCTAACTATAGCGAACCTGACAACCCTCCCCCCTGGAGCACTTCCTCCCATTTGGTAGCTCTTGGTGCTGCTTGGTCCCCTTCCTGCAAAACTCGGACACCAGGGGTTAAGAATCTCAGCTAGACAGAACCCGTTGTCAGTTAGGTGGTCGTCAGCTCCGCAAAATCAACTTCTAGGCCTAGCCCGCACTCGGCGCCATCTCGGCCCGGCCATGGTACAGTTTTCCTCGTTCCCCCTTTCCCATCGAGATATGTATTCCGAGACGCCAAGTTGAAAGCTGCAACGCGAGTCGGTGATTCAACCAATTCTTTTTACCTTGTCTCTCGGCAATTGAAGTTTCCGGACTATTTGGCTCTCGTAAAAGAGGGGGGGGGGGGGGGGGGGGGGGGGGGGGGGGGGGGGGGGCCGGCCACGACGTTGAAAGGCCTCTTTTGTGTGAAGAAGCGCTTGTTTCGGGACTGACTTGCGCAGTTTGTTTCTTTGTTCAAGAGACACCTCCATTGTTAAGACCCCGGCCGTTCTCACTGTACCATGTAGCCTATACCATACCGTATGATTATACCGTAAAATGCGAGGGAAAAAAGAAAAGTCTCAGATCCGTGTCGAATTTTGTGGATTTGAGAGGTGCAGCACAAGTGCTTCCCCATATTCGCCTGATGCAGCCTCATGATGCATCGACCCGACACCGTTTTTTTTCTTTCCATTTCCTTTGATGCTGTACGAGTATTATGCACACAGTCGTTAGAGTGGTCTGCAGAAGCGCGCCGATCAGGGATGGCGGGCAGCCGATTTGAGAAGCGCGATTCCGAAGCGATCTGGTGGACACCCGTCTGCGGGTCCCATGCGTTCGGCTTTGGGATCGTTAACATCATCATCGTATCACATTATGATTATTAGTATTATCGCCGAAAATCTTTCCCGCGTGGTTTGCATTATGATAAATCATTATCGTCACTATCATCTGTCGTGGCCGCCCTTTTGCCGACATGGGCATGCAAGACCCGACAAGGTCCCTGTATACACGGGTCATCATAATAAAAAGAAAAGCGGAAGGCAATTAGTCCGCGTGGAACCGAATGGCCCGCCTAAAATGTCTTAAAAGGCTGACCGTTCAAGGGATAGAAAAAGTGGAGAATGTCCAGCTCCTCTGACACTTCCGCAGGTCTTCTTTTTGTGAATGTGAGCAGAGCCTCATGCAGAAATCGATCCCCAGTTGCAGGTTTAGAGATCCACCTCCAAAGAGTCAATCGGGCGACAAGTGAAGCATGCAGACACAGTCAAAGATGATTCTAGAATAACAATCATCATCTCACCTGGGCAATATCAGCTGTCACGAGTTTTCAGCACAAAAACGGTAATCGGTGTATCACCTTCCATTTGTAGCCAAAAGGTCTGGACGCGGTGGACAAGCGAGCCAAGCCCTGAAAAGGGTTCTCAAGGTTAAGGAGACCCGGTCCGTCACACGCGAAGACGAACAACCGACGGTCCAGAAGCTAAAACGAGAATTCTTACCTGAAAGGAACATTGGCTTCTCTGAAATACTCGAATAGAGAAGAGACGAAATGAATTCCTATTCGTCGACTTCAAAAATGTGATTCGTAGGGTTCAACAATACAGTGGTTCTCATTTGTCAAAGCGAGACCCTCACGGAGCATCTCAGATGCTTAGGACACTTCCCAACCGGGCTGCACCCATGTAGTGTAAGAGGTGGCAGTAATCCCATGATATGCGAGAGCCGATGGCGTATATGCCACGTTATTTCGTTTTGTGGATTGCAGCAGTTATGCGGCTTTCTAATTTGCTGATCCCGCCCCCTCACTATTCTCTTGTGCATCTGCCATGTGGCATTGCGCCCGCAAAGCGGTGAGATAGACGACACATTGTGAACGTTCAGAGACACGTTCGAGGCTTGAATCATGGCAACAAAAATTCCGGAGACAAGAGAAGAATTGGGAAAAAATAAAATATGCCGAAAGACACGCCGGGCGGCGCCCTCCGTGAAACCTGCAAAAGCAGCCCAGCCTATGCTGCGGTGCAGAACGAGGAGAGAAACAAAAAGCGAAAAGTTGTGAGGTGTCAAACACAAAGGCGCGCCCAGTCGGTTTGGGTGCAGCGCCAAAACCTTCCCCCCAGGCAGGGAGGGGGGAGAGGAAATGATGAACTGCAGACGAGCAGCAGAACGGCTAGCCAGAGCCGCCTGCTGTACTCAGAGTAAGCGACGAACCAAGGATGGAGAGAGTGTGCGTGTGTGGATGGATGTTTGAGAGCGAAACTTGTGCTTATACCGTAGAGGGCTCCAGCGGGTCCCTGTCAGCAAGGGTTGTCTGAAAGAGTAACAAATTAGGTCTAGCAAGGCGTGATAAGGAGATAGAAGGGCAAATGGATGCCGCCTTCAACGACTTGAACCTTGCCGGTGGGTCTGGGGAAGAAGGCGAGATGGCGGGCCCACGTTGCACAACCTGCCTTCATTTCCATGTGCAGACACGACCGATTCTCGTTACCAAAAACGATACTTGGCTGACGAGACGGCGATAAAGTCCTCCTTCTGGAATAGCTGCAGGTAAGGGGGGAATACTTGCACAAGCGATGAGCCCCCCCCTCCATCGTTCTAGCGATGTCTCCCCTCCCCTTTGGTGATCAGCGGACCCCAAAAGCGATCTGACAGGCAGCAGTTGAGAAACAATGCCAGTGCGAAACTGAAAGAACAAAAGAGAAGCAAAAAAGAAAACATGAGAGATATGAAACTGTCAAAGGGCAACCCGAATGAGGGGTGACGCGCGTGCAGTGGCTTGCGGCTGTGATCGCCGCATCATTCGTTAATCTTGTTGAATTAGTGCCCACGGTAATATTGTATCAAGAAATATGCTCGGGTCACAGCCCAATTTTGATAGGCGCAGATGCGGTTGCGATGATGATGATGATGATGATGCCATGACCGCTGGTTCCCAAGAAGGGGGTATTCCCACGACAGCGGAAGCACAAAGCCGGCGACGGCGCGGGAGGATTCTCCTAGGAGGTGGTGAAGGGATAGTGCCGAATAGAGCAACGCTATTCCATTGTCAATGGATCCATTGACAGGGGCTTGTGGAGAGGCTCCACTCAAATCAGACCACCTCGCAAAGGAAAAAGATGATGAATCAACGAGATGATTTCCGTGCCGCAGCAGCCACGGACTGCGCTTGGTTGAATGTGGGCACCCATTTCCAGGAGCGTGGGAGAGGTGGGCCTCGATCGAGGCTGACACCACGTGGGAATAGCTCCCGAAACCCAGGAGTTCCCTGCGGTTGGATCACCTTTTTCATTGGGGGGGTGTGTGTTCAAATATTGTATATGCTCGTCTACGGCACAGACAAGCGGACGGTCGGCTCTAGATTTTTTGGCCTAAAGGCTAGGGAAGGTTGTCTTCTAATGACGCTTCCCGTTTTCAGCAGGAGATATGGTCGCCCTGGTGTCCAGCTCCGAGGGGAAGCAATAATGGTAGACACTGATCTCACAATTTCCTAACTCGTACGTCTGCCCCGAAAAGAGAGTTTTTCTCTTACATAGACACAACGTCTGCTCGAGCATTTGCTCACATGTAGGATAATATGTACGTACCAGTATATCCTGGCTCAGCATGACAGAATGTCGAACATGGTTCGAGGGGCCAAGGATAGTGGGGCGATCTGGCCTTCGACCCAGTCTTTTGTGAGGGGCCGTGCTCTATGCCCCGTGCTCATTTTGATCGCCCAATTCCAGTACGGCGTAGCTTTTTGGCTGTAGCCAGCTCAGGAATCCCAGCATATCATGCGCCCCAAGAAATGGCTTCCTAAGACGCGCTATACCTTCAACAACCAGCCGGAGCAAGCGGATGAAGTCCTAGGCAGGTGAGGAAAAGGGCAAAGCGTAACAAACAAAAAAGAATGGGTTTCTTGTCAGGAACCGAGGCCCGCGTCGACGGATCAAAACAGCCATCGGGGTTCCCGGGACGGGCTGGAAGCCCCTCCGATCGAGTCCATCTCGCTCTTTTCCAGACATGTTCCCCCCCTTCTCTTTCTCTAAACCCCTTCCCTGACATTTTCAAATCATACCAGTGCGCTTGGGCCAGTACCATTTCGCAACAACCGATCCTAGGGGTACCGTCAAGTGGAGAGACCCAATGGCTGCCTTTTCTCTCCGGCGCCATGGCGTTTTCTCCGCGACCGCACCTCCTTGCACGTAAGATGCCCTTTGCGCCTGCACGCCGTGTGCGTGGTCATGCCCTTGTCTTCGGATCTTGGTGCTATTGATGAGACAAGAACTTGGATGGCTAGAATCTTTTCCCTCGAGGCTTGGCTGCGCACGGGCGTGGGACTTCAATCCACATAACCGTTCAGTTCTATCGTAAGATAAATAAATGCTCCAACCCATCTCCTTGGGACCATTCCCCCCATCACCAGTCCTCAGAAGACCGCAATCATTCGCTGCCCTTTCCACCCTGCTCTCTGCCTCTTCAGCAACGCGAATTAGCATCCGTCAAGCTTCATATAAACATAAAAGATTTCACGCGGCATCGCCGCCCCACGAACTCGCCCACAATGTCCGGTACACCTTTAGGAAAGAGTCTCTCGGTGGCAGTATTTTTGGATAAGATCCAGATAAACAAGGAGGATCAACAACAAAAACGTACCTATAAAATGATGCTGGTATGAGGAAATGTACAAAATAGTTCTGCCGCCGGAATCAATGCTAATCGGCGATTAAAGAACGAAGCCGCCCGAGCATACGACTGTTTTGCCCTGGACCGAAACAACCTTCGACCCGCACTGCGAGCGAACCCCAATATGGCCCCACCATTCTCACACTCCGAGATGAGTGAGACGGCCATCGATTATGGCATCAACATGATATGGCAAAATGCCAGTGCAGCAACATGGCCGTATTATTCCCGGGGCTGGTATACCGATGCGAGTGGAAATCGAGACAATTGGATCATCCGTTGGACGCTGTATCACATTTTCCGATACCGGGACAAAAGAAATCAGAAGAAGAAGAGCAAGAAAACCAAGCTCGTCATGACAAATAAGTCATCAAGCGATGATGACAGTGTCTTTGACGATATGGATTCTCCAGATAACGCTAGTCACAGTAAGCTTTGCCCCCAAATAATTCTTGGTCATTGAACAATGGACTGACTCTGATTCAAGTGGAATACTCTTCGGATGCCTATACTTCTTCATTCCAAGAAAGCCCATCGCCGCCGTGGAGGTCTGACAGCGGGTTCTATGATCCAGTCAGAGACGCTCTCGGCTGAAGGGCCTCCAAAAGAAATTTCACGTCGAAACGATGTTATGACTATTCTTCCTCACGACAGATATGAATTGCATTTTATCAATAGCATCCACATTGTGGGCAAGGCCATATGTATTTGTAGGTTGAAGGTTGGGCGAAGCGTATCATTTTGAGCAGTGGCGAGGCCTATAGATCCGCTCGGACATATGCAGGAAGCCTTGCTGCCTTTCTGGCGTTCTACAGCACCTTGGTGGTATCACTTATTGTGGTAATTTGTTTTATTTTTATTCCATTTTGGGGTCTTTTTTTGTTTAAAAGGTGGTCCACTGGTGTCTATATAGTCGGTAAACCTCTGATATCCCGTAGCGAACTTCTGGTTATGAATAATAATTATCTACTGCAATAATTTCATGGTTTGCTTTTAAACTCAAAGTCGCTTGCGCTTTTAAACTATGTTAGAGTGAAACTCAATTAGACCTCTTATAATGAGAGCTTGGGCGCCGATCCTTTAATGCCATAACAAATAAGCCAGAACATTATCTGTAAATCTTTGGCGAAAATTGGTGTAAAGAGGGAAAGGAATTGACAGAATGCTGTGTCTAAAAAAAAACACCGATGGTAATAAGATGCATCAAATATTCCACCCTAGATACGCCGTCGCTCACATGCAGAAGGATAAAGACAACCGAAACTAGTCATCGTGATCATCCTTCTCTGCTTTTCTCTTTCCCTTCTTTCTATCGCCTTTGGATTCTTTGGCTTCGCGCTCCTTCTTCAGCTCTTCCGTGACGATTGCATCGTGCTCATCGACAGTTTCGTCCCAATCGACATCGTACTCGCTCGCTACTGCCTTGATTTCTTTGCGGAGAGCATTTGCTTCCTCGACTAGCCCTTCCCATTTGGGAAGATCAAAGCCTTTGCTTTGATAGAGCTTGTTCTGCCGTCGGCTAATGGTGAGATTTAATGCAGATTGGTAAGAGATTTCCCGATTGTGATACAAAAACCACAAATAACCGCCCATCAAGGTCGAAAGTCCAACCAGGTACTATAAAAAAAAAGGTAGATAGTCAGCATATGGGTAGTGAAACTCCCAATATTTGCCGGGGAATCATACCGTCACAGGTTCCATGGTATCCCAGCCAAGGTCAGTCTCAAAAGTGAGCCGGTAGACAATGTACCACCATGTGGCCATAACGCCGAACCCTGCCACGGCCATGCGCTGACCGCCGCGATGGGCGGCTATATCACATTCGCGTTTGATGTCGGCCATGCTTGCAAGCTTTTTGGAAGTCTTACGCAGTCTCATGCGTAAATAATATGTTCGGTCGCTGAATGAAGGTACACCGACACGAATCTCCTTTGGAAGACCCTCAATCTCAACGGCGAACTCCTGGCCTCGGGCTGCGTCGCGAATGAAATCGCCAATCTCCGTTGAAGATGACCAGCGAACAAACTTTTTCTCATCACCTTGGGGCGACTGGGCTTCGCGTCCAAGGCCACTGTAGGCCTCCACACCTCCCTCACCAGGACCTCCGCGCATTTCCTTTGCTTTGTTTGACGAGTGCTTTAGGATCCCTGTTCGATGTACCTCCCCATCAATATTGGTCTCGTCCAAGTCCTTTCCATCACTAGATTTCTTTGATTCGTCTTGCTTCACTGCCTGTTTGCCTTCATCTTCGGGTTCTCTCTTATCCGGTCCCATTTCATCGCCCTGTGACTCCTCGGCACGGAACCAGACTCGTGGAACCTTGTCGCGTCCTTCTTCAGTTTTGATCGAAGGAAGTTCTGATTGAATCAGCCGTTCTAGATATGAAAGGGGCTGTTGCGGGTGGACGAGTAAAGCCAATGGCTCGACATCTTTGCGATCCGAGTTCTTATCCTGTGTTGTGAGCGGGAGGATCAACTTGAGTAGTCGAGCCGGAGTTGTAAGCAGCTTGCCTAGATAGTCGTTAATCGGGTCCCAAGCTTCGAATTTGCTTCACATACCTTTGGTCATAGCACTGGCTTGCCGTTGCCGCTTGACCGGAGGAAGTTGAGAGCCCTGGCGGTGCCAAGGTGTTCGTATCTGCTTTTCCTTCTCCTCGGCTATGGCATTCTCAAAATCGGACTCTTGTGCATCTAGCCCTTGCTGGTTGAGATCTTTGGCTTGCTGAGAGTATCGGTCAACTGGCTGATAGAGGCCTTTTTTTGTGGAGAATGGTCGAGCCAGAAGGCAAGACCCGTAGTTGGAATCGGCGTAATGACGTAAAGGCGATATTCGATTGCTGAGCACAAGACGTGATGCGGACTTCGAAGATGCCGTATATCGATCATTTGCGGAGCAGTGCGGGGATAGAGGCACCCGTATAGCATTGATTCTTTCTAGAGTTGCTGCTGCTCGCCGGGATGATTCTCGAAAATACGGTTGCATTTTGCGAAAGGGGAGGCAGCTAGCCGGCGGCAAAGGCTTGAGAATGAGAGTCGTCAAAGTCAATGAATTGCTGGACAGCTTCGAGATCAAATAAGAGTCATCGCATGACTTGAACAAAATACTTTAAATGAAAGAAGAAAAGGGAAGGCCGAAGCACGCGACGCAGAAAAAGTGAAAGACTGTAATCTGGGAAACCTGGAACAGCTGGGCTGTCAACAAGGCCAAGTTCGGTACATACCTAGTAACCGCGTGTCCGGGGTTCGCACTGCCGAGGGGTCCAACGACGTCAGCGATCCGGTTTAGTTTATTAAATCGCCCACGTCAGTGGCCGTCCTTACCGCCCGATACGTCTTACCCGAAACGCTTCGCCCCTGAATCAAAACAACAGCGTCTTCACCATGTAGAAGGCATCAATTATAATTCTTCAAGCGCAGATTTAGAATCGAACATGAAATTTAAAAAGAAGAGGTCAATATTGAGCTTGTAGAAAATTTTCCACCTTAATGTTTACGAAACGTATATGTGCGTGGGTAGATCCATTTACATACAGATTATTAAAAAAAAAAAAAAAAAAAACATATCACGCGAAAAAAAAGTAAATATTATAATCATTATAGTTGAATAGGCGAGACTATAGACAATGACTTGTCTTCATCGCCTTCCATGCGGAAATTTATAGAATCTTAAGTCAAGGGCGCACCATCCTTGATGGTGCCATATGGAACCTTGGGGTAGTCGCCGTTGCAAGCATAGTCCGCATTGGCAAGCGCCGCCGACTTTTCTTGCACGGCCAAGAAGGTGTCAATGTCACACCAGCCATCAACACGGTCGCCGCACTCTGGGAAGCTGGCACCTAGAGGGAGGGTCCGCTGGTTGAGGATGAAGTGAAGGTACGTCGTGGGCGGTCCAGCAACGTAGTCCGAAGAGCGGTTGGCCGGGACTGGCTGCGGGGTCTTGATCACCTCAACGTCGAGGCGAGCGCCAAAAGGCGTGATGTGGGAGATGATCGTGTTCCGATTCACCATGTGAGTTGCTGGCAGATCCTCCTGGAACTGGGTGAAGCCAAAGGCGGTCAAGATGGAGAAGATGTTGGTATCGTGAGAAAAGTCAAAGTTGAGGGTCTGGTTAATCGGGAAGGTGGCGGTGTTGTTGTCGAGAGTAATGTTAGCAGTGCCCTCTGGAGTGGAAAGGACGTGATGCTGCAGCCGAGCAAGGAACTCCTCAACATAGGCGATACCAACGGCACGGCCGGTCGGGGAAGCAAACCCATCGTCGCCGTTGAAGTTCAGGTCAAGAGAGTATTCAAATCCCTGCCACTCCTCGTAGGTGAAGAGGTCACACCACTTGGAGAAGCCGAGGGCAACGGTCTCGTACGGACAAAGGGTTTGTGCCGCATAGGTGTCGTCAGCGGTCCAGTTGTAGCCAGAGGTCATTGAATTGAATCGAGCAGTGGCATTGGCCAGATAGATGTTGTACCATTGCGCGGTCGCATCATCGCCGAGTGCGCTCACGTCTCCATTGGAATTCTTGCAGTTTTTGCCGCCAGCCAAGCTGTTATTGAAGCCACTGTTCTCAATAATCACCTCAATGGTGGCGTTGTTGGTCCACTCCTGACCGAAGAAACCAGCCAAGAAATACTCGGCGCTCTTGGTCATGCGGTCTTGAGTGGGAGTACGGGCAATAATCTTGGTGTTGGTGTCATAGAGATGAGCGTATTGATAGTAGTGCAAAACACCCGAGTCGAACATCCTGCAAGAACGATTAGGGTTAGCCGTGATTCCCATACATAAGGTAAACAGGCCAAACGTACTCCTGACGGCCTACAGGCACGAGAATCTCAGCACCGAGGCTGTACTTCCACGAGTTCAGGAAAGATAGGGCGCCAGTGGCATTAATATGGGCCTTGCCTAAGGCGCTGCCAAGCTTGGCAACAATGTTGCTCGAAGTTGGGTAACGGCTGCCATGGCGATGAAGGACGTTCACCTGGGTGATATTGGCGCCCGCAGGAAGAGGGTACTCCTCAACGCCAAAACCTTCGACAGCGGGCTGGTAATGGCTCAGCTGGCCCATAAGCCGGAAAATGTTTTGTTTTTCTGGCTTGCCTTGAATGGGCATTTGAGTCTCCAGAGGATCATTGGGATTGACCGTGCGGGATTCACCAAAGGGAGCAAGATTTGTCTGCGCGAGAAATGGAGCCGTTCCAGTTGCAGTAGGACCTGATTGTCGTTCAGTTTCTACATGCTCATGAGGAAATTCTGCAGTTTCTTACCAGGCCACAGTTCGGGCGTTGTCTGGAAGTACTGAGGCGTCTCTGTAGTGGCACTGGCCGGGATTGTCGCCGCACTGGCGCAACCCATAAGGGCCATTAGGAGGAGAGAACGGTCAAACATGGCGGAAAAAAGCAGACTTGGAAGATGAACTGTTTGATGCACGAATCTGGGCCGTAATGGTCCAGGAGAAGTTCAGTCTGGCGGCCAAGAGACACGCAAGTGAGGAGATGGAGCAAGTGTTATATACATGAATGAAATCGTCATGCCCGAGTCACACAGACCCTGCAAAGCAAACTAAAGAAAAATCTCAGTGCAACTTGTTCCTGGTGGCCGCAATGTCATCCGCAGACATCATCCCAAGCACGGGAAGTCTTGCCGCAGACGGGCATAGCAGACAGTGTGATTGACCAATCCGGGACGACAACTGCGACCGGTGTAGGATCATAGGACCAGCGATTCGAGGATACCATTCCTCCTAGTAAAATATCAACAGGTCCAGCTCCGACAGAGTGAACGAGGGTTCCCTGTATAGCAACTGCAGCAAGAAGCTCTCATCAGAGTAATTGCTGTATGACATAGCGTCGCTGGAGCGATACAAGCCAATGACGTTTGGCGATGACCAGCACGTGGGGTAAAATGCAACCAGAAGACAGGACGATGAGCTATACTCGATAGGTAGAGGTACCAGGGTCGGGTGAGCTTCAGTGGGGGTTCTCTAGCACGGGACAGGGCTCTTAGCCAAGGTAGCGGAAAGACTAAAGTACCGATACTTGGCCGGGTAAATCGATTACTTTGTGCGAGCCTGTCAATCAGACCCCGTGGGCGGCATGGAAATTGGCTGTCCCAGTATTACAGCGCAAAAGTGGATAGGACAAAATCGAAAATTTTTTTCTGTCATTCGATAGTTCTGCCAATGTTGATAAACTAAAGACTGTTTTTGCGCTAATGCACTCCCGATCTTCGGAGGCTTAGGACTGACCCTTCAAATAGTGAAAAATATAGACAATCCATTGTTTTTTTTTTCTCTTTGCATGGCCTAATAAATGAGCAAATGACATGCATCCATTGCAATGCAAGTACGCTATTAGAGAATAAACTTATGAAAATTAGCCTGCTCGTTGTTGACTACCTGCTGCAGCCTTACAGATGGACAGGAAGGTCTCTGCATCTCAAAGACTGCTTCGGTGTTTGGCAAATGCAGCTGTAACCGATCCTCCTTGATAGATATCTTCCTTGACCCGGTCATCCGCTTCAGTTAGTCGTGGAAGAAGCTGAAGTACATTTTCAAGTTCTTTCTGTGGTATGACAACGACTCCTTCCAGAGGATCGCAGAACATAATATCTCCCTGAACAGGTTCAGCATCATTCTTATGGTATCTTGTCTCGGCAGAATGGCAGGCTCACTGGCTGAATATTTCGACCATTGACAGAAATGGGGACATCAATGGCATAGGGTTTTGCCTCAAGGGCGGTTCCAACGGTAGAGGTTGACTGGGCCCAGATCTAAAAGACTCGTCAATTAGATTATTATTGCGCTGGAAACATGACGAACAGTGCATCTTACCGGCAGATCCACGGACCGTAGCTCGCGCAGATCTCGCACTCTCCCTCCCACAACCACTCCTTTTGCCCCACGCACCTTCATCCGTGCAGCCATAATACCCCCCAGGACGGCGCAACGTTGGTCTGGGGGCTGGCTCATGACAACCACCGTCTCTGGGCTGGTGAGATCGACATAGTGTGTCCCCGGCGGAATGTTTGGAATCCACATGGGCGTGTTAGGATCAAAAGCTTGAGTTGACGATTGATCGGGGTCTTTGGGGACGAACGCCACTGTTGACGCAGGACCAACCACCTTCGCCTGACTGTCGAGATCTGCGGAGTAGGGCGCGTGCGGGGCAAATGGCACTATTAACGTCAACCCCGTAATCATTCCGAGTTGAGCTTCAGACTCACGCATATCAGGAATTAGTCCAGCGCCTGGAACATTTAGTTTGAGCAACGCATCTGAGACCTTCAAAGGGCGGGTTCGACATGGTCAGCGCATAAGGGGATATGAACGGTTGCTGCTGAAGCTTACATCACAAGCCGAATAGCTCTGGAGGATTGTTAGCTCCTCAAACAACATATTCAATGTTTTATTTTAGTAATTGAGTTTGTTGTAACTGGTTATCTATTTCAATTGATGAAATTACTTTGAAGGAGTCGAAAATTGTGCGTCTTAGTCGGGAAGCAACGAAGCTTGTTGCGTGATTCAAGGGTTCAAGCAACAGCCGAGGTTGGTCCGCCTTGTTCTGCCGGACTCTTATCTTCACCGCCTTCGCTATCTCCACTATCTTTTTGCGAATCAATAACTTTATGACTACGTAGGACAGAGATACTGCGTCTGTGCAAACTTCCCCTTCAACGCCACTACACTTGTAACGGACATGGCCAGTCTTGGACATTTGGAAGACTTGATTCAATGGGTAACTGAAAATGGAGGCGCACTCCATCCCAGTGTGGAGCTTAGCACTGATGGCATCAACGGCACTTGTCTAGTCGTTCGACGTGATGCTGAAGAATTATCCCCGGGCACATGCCTGGTTAAGTGTCCACATGCTCTTTCTATGTCATATCTAAATGCAACGAACTCCGCTCATTTCAGAAGTCATAGCTTGTCATTTCCCGAGAAGTTTCTGAAATCTTTCTCACCAAAAATCATCACTACCTTCTTCCTCTGCCAGCAGTACTTGCTGCATGAGAAATCTTTTTGGTGGCCTTATATCCGCACAATCCCTCAACCTTCTGATAGGGATGCTCTCGGCACACCCATGTGGTTTTCTGATGAAGATAAGGTCTGGCTGCAGGGAACAAATATGGAGCAAGGCTATCTTGAGCGGGAGGTGATTTGGCGCCAAGAGTACGATGAAGTCATCCGTGAACTTCAGTCGGAGGGCTGGGACACATCCGGTTATACATGGTAAAGTCAGCAACTTACACACTGCTCCTTTTCAAGAGGTGACTAAACAATCCAACTGGTGTTGCTGACGAAAAGGATTATTAGGGAGCTTGCAAAATGGGCCGCCACTATCCTGAGCTCGAGATCCTTTATTTCAGCACTACTTGCTGAAGCCATCTCCGACCAGGACCGCAATGACTACGCACGCAATTTTGGCAGCGAAATGCCGTCCTTTCCAGTTCTCTTCCCATTTGCTGATGCGTTAAATCATCGGCCTTTGACCAAGATTGAGTGGCAGACGGGCCCGACTACACTGGGTTTGATCACGGACGATGAAGTCCTACCAGGCGAGCAGGTCTATAACAATTATGGGGCCAAGAGTAACGAAGAGCGTAAGTTATATTTTAAGTTTTTTTTCCTCGGGCAACAGGACGTTGACAAACTACTCCAGTGTTGCTTGGTTACGGGTTTTGTCTACCATCCAATCCTTTTGATCAATTCAGTCTCAAATTACGCCTGCCTAATTTTGGTCCAATATCAATCATCAGGCCTCTTCTCGAAGCCTCAGAGCATACATCTGTGACTAAAGATATGATTGAGGGTATATACTTTGTCCGTGGCACGAATCATTTCACCAAAGGTTATGAGAGCTCCGTGCCCGAATACTCGGCATTTCCGCCAGAGCTCCGTGCAATCTTCTCTATTCTGGTTGCGAACCCAGATGAGTTGAATAGAATGCAGGCCAACGCCGCAAAAAATCGTTTTCCAACTGACGGCATAAGCGGACGGATGCAACTGGCTGTGATGAATCAGCTTTTGATGGCACTGCGGCGAAAATATGCTGCCATTGTGCAGCACGATGCGAGGCTGCCCCAGAAACCCGCAAATGCATGCCAAGAAAAGGCGAAGGTCTATCGCGATGGTCAAATCCAGATTCTGCGGGAGACGATTGGCCGCTTGGAAAGAAGACTCAAGCTAGCCACGAGATCGAACGAAGGAGGTCCGGGATCAGAGGAGCTGTTGACCCTGGATAATGCGCTTCAGTTTTTGAGGCATGCGTGGCGCGATGCGTACGACGATCTCAAAAGGCTGCTCAAGGACACGTTTGGAACGGCCAATATTAGAGAACTCAGAGAAGCGGGGTGGGAGGAAGGAGTCTGGGCCATTTGGCTGTGTGCGGTGAGGCATCAAATTGAGAAGCGCCACATCAACTCGGTTGATGGAGAGCAAACCTCACCGTATTCTTCCAAACTTACTGGGTGGCTCCGTGGTCTGGACGAGGCCGGTGCCCTTGAACTAAGTAATGCAGGGCATGATCCTTCTGAGGAGGAAGCGGTAATGGAATTGCTTGGTCTCGTGCAGTCGAATGAACAGCCATGGCTTCAGGGATCTTTAAATGCCGATCTAGTGCGGTGGGCATCCCGCGTTGTGGGGGATGCAGGATTCAAGGTCCTTTTTGATGAGCGGGACGAGGAAGTCGGCATACAACATGTCCTCTATGTGGGATCATGAGGTTCGTTTCCCGTTATACGAGTTTCAAAGCATTAGCCAATATGAGCGCCATTTCCCTAAATCAACGGATCGCCATTCAATGCCCATATTTTGGTCATAGCTGAAAAGAAGTCTGATCGAGTCGGTCCTTCCGGATTCGGTAAACATTGGAAGCAAAGTTCATGGAAAGTCTATTGCAATTCCTGGCAGGAACTCTCCCGGAGAATCAGACCCAATTGTGTCGTAATCATGCTTTTTCCAATAGGCGGCGGAATCGGAACAATTCTGCTGGTGTTCAACGTGGGTTAAATTTATCAAATCCATCCGTAAGTAGATAAGCTCTAAATTTAATATAAGATTTACAGCTTTCTACAAGATCCTGTCAGTTCATCAAATCCTCATCTGGACTTCCGCCCCAGACGCCACGATAGCTTGGCATTCGCTTACTTAGGACCCAGAGTGGTTGGAGAATGCCGTCTACCACCAACGCTCTTGAACTTTAGCCAGCCCCGCTATTGGCGCCCTACGAACTTTGACGGAATTTTTCACGTCAGTTCATGATATCCAAAATGCCGTGCAGAAATTGTATTGGGAATTGGCAATATAAATTGGTCCAGGATGCAACGCTTCTCAATGAGGTGCTACTACAGTGTGATCCCAAAGCGTCTTTAATCAGCATACAATATGAAGAATATATTTGCTCCATTCATCATCGGCCTGTCTATAATTGGCAGTGTGCTTGCAATTCCATCACCGGATCCGAATCCATGGGGAAATCGCCATTATGACCGCTGCTTGGACGAAAGGGAGGCCAATGACATTTTGAACCGTTGGATCTCTTTGTTTGTGAACATGGACTCGACGGTAGCGAGTCAAACGGTTACGGAAAATTTCCAATTATTTTCTGACAGTATAGACTATCTCGCTGGGCGTCAAGTGAGTTTTCTCACATCAAGATTCTGGAGCTGCTCTAAGTGGACATTTCCCATAGCCCGGAAGCATTACTGGCATTCCGGTCTATGCCAATATATCGGCATTTATAGCTGGTCAAGAAGCAGACCAAGCGTCGGGCACGAAGGGAGGCTTCGCTGTTCGATCTTGGTTTTATGGTTGCACTGGTATCTCCTTCGTCTGGCGGTATGATGGAACTACCGCAACCGGGTAAGTGATGCAGAATGAGAGAGCTGGTTCTGCTCCTCTCCAATGCTTCTCAATCCGCAATTTCTTTGGGCCTCTCCGGGACCGGATCTTTGAGCTGACCAAAAATCGAAACATCATACAGAAATCACGTGGGGTTTGCTGGTATCGATCATCTCCTGCTCGACCGGCATAGCCATCTTATATACCGGGCTTATACAGAGGAAAACAATGGCGAGCTACTCTACGATCTTGGATACGTCGTCTGTCCTCTGAATGCAACAAACAGCACTTCGAGATAGTTCCGAATTCAATTTGCTTGATTGCTCAACCTCTTGAGCTTTCCCCTGAGCACGCTGTTCCTGTGCGATGATAACTTATGTGGGGTCAAAGTTAGGGTGTCCGTTGGGGCCGATGGAAACGGGTGGTCTTTGGTCTTTTATGCAGCGTACCCAGACCAAGTGTGGAATTTTGAAAGTAGGACCAGATCACCTTGGTGTGGAAATTTCAGGCAAAGACCGACCCAGACCTACGCTAACGTGCGGCTGATGAACTTTAATGGAGACTCTTGAGCTAGGGTCGAGGAGAGCAGTCGCTGAAAGCTTCTGTAGAGTTCAAAGGTGAATTGTATCAAAGCTTGTAACTTACCTCTGCCATTTCTTCTAATCCTTGGAGCGCTTCACTGTTGTTCCCTGGCGCTGCTTAGTCACAATACAACTCTAAATGTGTATTGAAGATGCCTTTTAGGCGACGGAATTTACAGAAAGACGTGTAAAAGTGATCCGTTTAAGTGTAGAAACAGAATAAAATAAACTAATATCTCAAGGTAGTAGAGGTGCAGGCTGTCTTATATAGGCAGCCCGAAGCATGAGAACGAGGTTTTAGAATGATTGGTGGTTTGGTCAGAGAACCAACGAGTTGGTCCGATCAGTGACCATGGCTATACTGCCGACAAAGAAAATATCTGCTTAGTCATATAGGCCAAGCCCCCACGTGATGTGAATGAACATGTGAAAGTCGGTGTCCATAGAGTAGTTCGAGCTCCGGCAGTCAAGGAACACTATCCTGATTGGCCTATTCGAATGCCGAGGCACATCTGGGTCGGTCCTCGGCCGCCCGAGGGGGGAAGATCCGGGGTAAAATAGTTGCATGAGAACGTCAGCATTAGTTGCGATACACATGTGTTCTTTAGTTTATTAATTCGGTGGTAAAGAAGTGCTCTTCTCCACTTTTAACTCTTCCACTACCTCTATCATTCTATCTGGCTCTGTTTAGACCTGATCCCCCTATCTACAAGTATCATCGGTTCTTGTCAGTCCGTTAACGCATCTGAGAGACAGTATCCAATATGTCTGCAGGTATGGCTGTTTCTTGATAAAATTCACATATGAATTTCCTTCGGCTTTTTGATATTTTTTTTGAACTTGTATGCTAACGTATTGCGCTTCTTATTCATAGCAAAAGCGCAAGAACGGTTATCACAAGTGGCTAGTCACTTGTCCCCGTCCGCCAAGAGGGGGAAAGATGCGGTATTGGAGAAAAGCCCTGATGATGTGAGTACTCATTTTCAAGGAAATACAAGTTTGCCGAGCTTTTCTGGCAAGAGTTTGGCTTTTCCATGAAGCTGTCGCCTTGATAGCTCGGTCGCAATGGACATATTCTGACATCAATGCAGATTGTCGTCACCGCTGCTTACCGGACCGCTCTGACCAAAGGTGGGAAGGGCGGCTTCAAAGACACGGCTGCAGCTGATCTACTTGCCGGAGTATTCAAGGCTCTGATCGACCGCTCTGGCATCGACCCCGAACTTGTCGAGGATATCAGCGTTGGGTCGGTTCTCGCGCCTGGCGGTGGAGCTACTGAATTCCGCGCTGCCGCACTCGTTGCAGGCTTTCCGACATCGACCGCCGTGAAGTCCTTGAACCGACAATGCAGCAGTGGCTTACAGGCAATCGCAGAGATTGCCAATGCGATCAAATCAGGCATGATTGAAGTTGGCGTTGGCGCGGGCGTGGAAAGCATGAGCCAGCAATATGGGTACGTTCCATCCAATTTAGTACATTCGCTTTTTTTTAAAAAAAAAAAGAAAATATCTATATGGTCACGAGACTGACTCCAAGCTCCAGTCCCGGCGCAGTCACTGAATTCTCCGACCTTCTTGACTCCTACCCCGAAGCTAAAAACTGTAAAGTCCCCATGGGTGTGCTCTCCGAGCAAATGGCCAAGGACAGGAAGATCTTGCGCAGCGATCAAGACGCCTTTGCCGCATCATCGTATCAAAAAGCCGCCGCCGCGCAGAAAGCCGGGCTCTTTGACGAAGAAATCATTCCACTCAAGGTTAAATGGACCGATCCCAAAACCGAAGAAGAAAAGGAAATTACTGTCAGCAAAGACGACGGTATCCGTGCGGGCATGACGGCCGAGGGTCTGTCAAAGATCCGTCCTGCCTTTGCCAAGGACGGGAGTATTCACGCTGGAAATGCGAGTCAAATCAGTGACGGCGCCGCTGCAGTACTGCTGATGAAGCGCAGCACGGCGGAGAAGCTAGGTCAGAAGATTATCGGCAAATTTGTTGCAGCAAGTGTGGTGGGTGTGCCGCCCCTTCTCATGGGTATCGGACCATGGAAGGCAATTCCTGTGGCACTGGAGAAGGCTGGTCTCTCAAGCCACGAGGATGTGGATATTTTTGAGATCAATGAGGCTTTTGCATCGCAGTGTCTGTGGTGTGTCAATGAGCTGGGTATCGATGTGAAAAAGGTCAATCCCAAAGGTGGCGCGATAGCATTTGGACATCCCTTAGGGTGCACAGGCGCACGTCAGGTTAGCACTTTGTTCACAGAGCTCCATCGAACAGGCAAGAAGATTGGCGTGACAAGTATGTGTGTCGGTACGGGTATGGGTATGGCTGCGGTATGGGTAGCGGAGTAGATGCGGTGGAGTAGCGAAACAGCGTCGCAGAGGGAGATCAATGGCTTTTGATTATGATAACTGAGTGACAGGAGTCTCATCTTGTATATGTATATTATTTACATTTAGGATCGGGCATATTTAACACGAATTGTTTTTATTTTTTTAATTTATCCAATATTTGAGTTTTATTTTCTAGTGAAAATCCTGTATATTGTCTTAATGGCATGCAATCTTTTTTGCTTTGCGGGGTTTCCGCCACTATATAACCCCGTAATTTTCCGATGAAAGCCACGGGTGTCTGCGTCCTTGCATTCATGCATGGATATTCGATGCTGGGGAAGGCGCCTTGGCAGTCACGATACCAATGCTGTCAGGCCAGACTCATGGCATTCGGGGGATCTTGGATCGAATATGTATCTGAAAATCATGCCATATATTCATATACAGGTATAACATAGCTATACCAAAATACACTCAGTTTTCTTTTCGAGATTCCAAGCAGGTATACAAGAGAAAGTCTCGCCACAATCGACTGTTGTTTACATTAGTTGTTCATCGGCTATTGTGACTGAAAGCTGGGGAAGGGGAACGGCGGGAGCGGGGCCGCAGCCACATTACATGGGTCATGAGGACTAAGGAGAACGTATGGATCTTTCGTAAAATTTTATGATCTTGTTTATATATATATAGGCAAACTCTCTGAGACTGATGGCTTTGTATTGGGAAAAGTAACAGAGTTGACAAGAGTGTGTGACTGCTTGTCAGATTGATTGATAAAAAGGCGGTGTACCCTACCCGCACTAAGTGGGGAATCGACACGAGAGAAAGAGCTTCAACTACACTAACTGGGGAGCTCCTCTTATGACTATTGTGGGGCTGCTCAGGGCAAATTACACCAACAGACACCTTTGACGACGACAAAATACGACATACTTGCAATTGAATCGAGAAAACTATCAGTTCTGAGGTACGTGGTAATAGCATTGGGAAACAAAGTTTTTAATTTTTATTCGACGATCCAGGTTAACATTGACGTCCAGGTTTGAGACACCCGACGTCATGCACGACATTGTCCATCTGCCCAATGGGCATACTCTGACTGTCACACCCGTCTTTGGTGGCTTCTTTTTCCGAGCCAATGCTTTGAAGACGCATCATTCCGTCTTTCCGCCCGGCTGGACGCTCAATTTGAGTACCGAGGCAGAATCTACTGAAGGGGAAGCAGCAGGCGCAAATGGAGCTGCCGACGGTGAGTATCATGTCTCAGACGCATATACTTTTGCCCAAAATTTCTTGTCATTTGATTAATTATCTATTTTCTAACCATTGAGATAATCCAGACAAGCAAAATCACCGTTTCACGAAGCCGACTCTTCGCAATGACAGCATCTTCATCTCCTCCATCTCCAGTCCCAGTAGCAGGGATTTCCGCCCAGCGACATCCCCGACGCGTGAGATTGCCATGATGCTCTGGGCCTCGCTCTACTGGTACTTTCACCAGCCCGAACCGGACACACATATGACAACGTCCACATCGGCCAAGACTCCCGGGGCTGGCAAGCCCAAGGGCGACTGGCGCGTTCAAGTCAAGCGCCAGGGAATCCTAAAGGGACGCAACCTGCTCCAAAAGCTCGAGCGCATGGGTCTTGTCTCCAGCGAGGACACGAGCGTTGGCGTTGAGCTCGATGAAAAGCACAGCGAAGCGTGGAATGACATGTTCACTTCCCGCCGCACCTTCTGGCAACTCGACCCTCGGATTTTCCTCTTCACCCTCCCTCCCCGCGGGCCAGCCCCATCATCCTCGCCGTTTTCTTCATCTGGCACCGTAACTCCCGCCAGTGAGCAGCCTACCTCGCCGACCGCACAAGGAGGCCAGATTTCCCGCGCGGATCTGCACGCCGAGCGCGTCTCGCAGGGCCTCTGGTCACCTTGGCCTCCTGGTCCCGGACCTTTTGCATCCGGCAGCCATTTACCAACCTACTACCCGCCTCCGCCATTGCAATTCACCTTTTCCAACGGCGTCCAGCACCCGGTCCGCCCTAAACCTCCGCGACAAGGCGAAACGTTCTACACCCGCTACGTTCCCAGCTTGGGCCAATGTCTCTCTTTCCGCGTCGCGTCATTGCCGGCCAAGGGCGCCAAGCCCTTTCACTGCGGCGGAACCGGAGGTGTACCCGACGCCGACGCCAGCAACAACGGCTCAACCATTGGCACGCAGGCGAACCCGTACATCTCCACCCCCACCGGCCCCGTGTCAGATGTCGACTTGCTGCATAAATGGATGAACGACCCGCGTGTCGCGCATTTCTGGGGCGAGCAGGGCCCGATTGAGCACCAGGAGGAATTCCTCCGAAACAATCTCAAGAGCCGTCATAGCTTCCCCGTGATTGGATGCTGGGACGGCAAGCCCTTTGGATATTTTGAAATCTACTGGGTCAAAGAGGACCGTCTAGGCCGGTACCTCGGCGACGGTGCGGATTATTGGGATCGCGGATTCCACTGTCTGATTGGCGAGAATGAATTCCGTGGACCGCACCGTGTTCAAGTCTGGTTGTCGGCTCTCGTGCATCATTGCTTGGTGGCCGATCAGCGGACCCAGACTGTTATGTTAGAGCCCAGAGTTGATAATCAAAAGTAAGGGTTTTTCCTGTTTCCTCGTTTCCCCTACAATCTCATCCAAGCTGTCCCATTCCGACGTTCTGCCCCAATCTTATTTCACATTTTACAAGGCAAAGCAGCTAATGGACCGCAGACTCATCAATTACCTCCAAGACGTCGGCTTCTACAAGGAAAAGGAGATTGCGTTCCCGCATAAACAAGCCGCCGTCATGAAGATTAAGCGTGAAGCTTTTGAAGCTCCGGCCTTGTAGCTGACCATAGCGCCATTTTTACGTTTTTCACTTTTCCCAATTTACTCTCCAGCTATCCGGGTCTTTGGGCATTTGAAGCTTTGACCCTATGACTCTTTTGTCTTGTAAATGTTAAATGGCAAATGATATACATGTAGATATTTTCCTTGGATATTTTAACGTCAATTGCGCAGCGCAGCGTTGCGAAGTGTTTGGATGTAGCATTATATCTTATCGAAATAGCATCTTTCTTTCTTTCTCTTGTTGTTGTTGTTGTTGTTGTTGTTGTTGCTGCTGCTGCGGCTGCTGACGTAGTCGTCATCATCGTCGTCGTCGTCGTGAAAAAGTTCTTCTCTACAGCCCACTATATCCCATCCTTTTAAAAAAAATACAGCTTGTAGCTAACAGACCCAAGGTACTTTGTAGTTACATATCGAACTCGAGTAGACATTTTTCGGTCTTCTTGTAGTTGTGACAGGATCTAGTACTAGATTGATAGAGTCCTACAGTATCTGCATGAGATTATCCTGCTAAAGGGTGGAAATGAGTATCGGGAAGGGCAATTTTGATGTATATAATTGCATAAATTAGAGAGCTTTAGTAGCCAGTTTAAATTGCATATCAATTCACGCATTTCAAATCCTAATCAGGAAATGCAGTGGGCTAAACCCGTTTAGGTAGTACCAATGCCCCCCAGTTGCAACACATTATAGCATTAGAATAGGCTTCATTTTATTAACATAGGGATGATAAATAATCATTCGAGCAACAGAGCAGTAAAAAACATCATTAAGATTAATTTTCAAAAATTGAAATATCATTTCAAATTGCAATCCTTGCACCTTCCTATTTTGGACATGCTAGCCTGATTTGGAATTGAAATGCAATTTGAAATGGCTGCTAAAGCTCTCTATTGATGAATGAATTATATAAAAGTTGATGATCGTTGCTTTTGGGGGAGGCGTACATGTCAGAACAGATCTGCATACAATATTACTATATGAGGTGTTAGCGCTCGTACCCTTGCTGCCAAAACTTCTGATACCCACTTCCGTATTGTAATAACGAATCATTCTCAGGTACTTTGTAGATTCCTCATCATCTATTGCTTATCATATCACAGACCTCCCTATCCTCTCTCGCTATAAGTAATCACTTCACCAGATTCCTCATCATCTTTTGGTAATCATACACCAGACTTTCTTCATCCCTATTGCCACAAAGTAATCTTTTTGCACGATGCCTCGTCATCTTTTGCGAATCATACGGCAGACTTCCTTTGAGTCCAGCTCGACTTCTTGGGGAGATAAATATGCGGCCCCTCGCCCTGGATATTGTCCTCATTACAATCGCATCATAACAACATCTTTCCTCAGTCCCTAGCAGACATCCATCCAAACAATTACCTCTTTTTAATCGTCTCGTCTCGACCGATTACCTCGCTCTCAAAATGTCTCTCACTACCGAGCTCCAAAACACCTACAACGGTTTCCACGAAACCGCGCCCAAGGAAGTGTCTGATATCTTCAAGAACACGACTGCCGACTTCAAGGCCTCGTATGATTCTTCCAAGGCGATCCAGCCCGGTGCAACCTTCCCCAAGTTCCAGTTGAGCGATGCCACCGGCAAGCAGGTCTCCCTGGACGACCTCCTCGCAAAGGGCGCCATCCTTATTTCCTTCTACCGCGGAGAATGGTGCCCGTTCTGCAACCTCGAACTGCGCGCCCTGCAGAAGCACTTGGACGAGTTCCACGCCAAGGGTGTCACCCTGGTCGCTGTGTCTCCCGAGCTCCCTGATCAGTCCTTGTCCACCAGCGAGAAGCTGTCGTTGAAGTACCCCGTTCTTTCTGACGTCGACAACAAGCTGGCGAAGCAGCTTGGAATCTTGTTTGCTCAGCCCGAGTCCGTTGGAAAGGTCTTTGAGAGCTTCGGCATGGACTGGAAGAAGATGTACGGCAACAACAGCCTGGAGGTTCCCGTTCCTGCTACCTTCCTCGTCGACAAGAAGGGAATCTTGCGCAACTCCTTCATCGACGCCGAGTACCAAAACCGCCTCGACCCCGAGACTGCCCTCAAGTGGGTTGACAGCTTGTAAACGCAGAGTTTGCAATACTTTTATTACTACGATCAGCATGAATGTACCGAGTTTTTCTTTTTCTTTTTCTTTTTTTTTTTTTGGTCAATGCACGCATTTGCATTTGAAAGCGTTTCAACTTGTTTTGTTCCGACTGGCCTTGTAGCTAGATGCATTGTACATTTAAAAAATCTATCTAGATAAATCTACCGGTCTTTGCCTTTGCTTGCCCTATTACCATGTAGCCGTGATCCATGACCGTGTTTGTTTTGCACCATGCTTTGTGAGCCATTGGGGAGCATCTATTTCTAGAGCTGCATGTGGGAATCACAATTTAGTGTAAAGTTTTTCTCGACAAGGATTATTTCCGTGCCTGACAAGTTTGCACCTAGATATTTTTTAAAAATAAGTACTCTAGCAGCTTCGTCTACAAGTAAGGCTCTGAGTTGGTTACCGTGGCCCGGGGAGGCATCGGTGACTGCATGGGCCATGCCCCGAGATGAGCACTGCTACAGAGTATATCGGACTCATCCGCTTGGCTTGTGGGGCGGAGCACGGGGATACAGTAGAGATTGGGGGACTGTTCGATAAGCAGTCAGGTCAGAGGTGCAGTTTCCTTGCCCGTTGCCCCTTGCCCTCTGGTTCATACAAAAAGGTGCATTATCTGATGCAGACCTGGTTAGACAGGCCTCAGGCCTTAAGCTGGAGTTTGCAGTGAGCTGGCACGAGGTCATAAAGAACAGCTCGAATAATGCCTTCTCTCCATCATCTCAATACCGAGGGGCTCTTTTTATTTCTTTATCTTACGGTTTAATCAAATTTCATCGCAGTCACAAAGTCTTTCTAATTCCAATCTCAAATGCCGGGAGCTCCTTGGCAGGCAAGTCGACCCAATCGGCCTAGGCCTGATGGGGCTGACATGGCGCGCGAGTCCTCTGGCCCCCCGGAACAAGCATTTGCCACCATTGCAGGCCGCCTTGGCCAGCGGCTTGTACGTGCATTGCTCTAGTACACCTACGGTCTACCATTACTACTGTAGGCAACTGCTAGAATGGTAGTAAGCTCTACAGCCCTCCTGACTATAATCGTCTGGTACTGCTTAAACACTACTTCAAACAGTATCTCAAGAATGTTAACAAGGTAGTCCTTAAAACGGGGAGCTAGACCAGATTGACGCTGTCCGGAAGAACTTTATCCCGACCGGCGAGCGCTACCCTCCTATCTTCCAGTACCGACACCTAAGGAAGTTTTGTCTTGGTTGCTGCATGAGTAACAAGTATCATTTATCCAATTGATTCTACCATGTTAAAGGACCGACTGTAATTACTAAATTGGTATCTTAACAAAAACTTGCCCAAATGCAGTCTAATGAAATGCCAGGATTGGGCAATTGTGGCAACAAAATCACAAAAATGAAACTAATTCGGCTTTTGGCCCGGTGGGCCCTGACCAAGAGGGCCCTGTCCCTGCCCTTGAGCTTGCATCTTGGCAACCTTTTTGACATTTTTCCATTCCATTGCCAATGACCCAATCACGGAGACACAGGTGGCGACCAGGGCAACCTTGAAGGCATCAGTCAGCGCGTGATTGTACACATGCAGCAGGCTGTCAAGGTCCTGGCTTGGCACAGTGGCTTGCAAATCTGTTGCTCCCGTGTTTACAACCGTGCCTGGGTCCAATCCAGGTACGTCCTTGACCACCCCTTTGACAAGTCGACTGGCAAAAAGGTTCTCGCCAACAGAGATGAAGACTGAGCCGCCAAGGCTCTGGGCAAAGAACATGAGGGATGCGCCAGTGGGAAAGTCCATGCGCGAAAGCACAGTCTGGGCAGCAAGCCCGGGTTGTTGCATGCCTGTAATTTCATCAGTCTAGCTTGAGCAAAAGAATTGCCGGGACAGTAGTCTCACCCATTCCACAGCCAATGCCCCAGAGCGCCTGATAGCCAATCCACTTGGGATGTCGAGTATCGACTTGAAACGTAGTGATGAGCGCTGCGCCAATGGACATGAGGACGGTGCTCGCAATCATAAAAGGCGTATAGTATCCAATGCGTGTGATGATGAAACCGCTCGACAGGGAGGCGATCGTCATGCCAATGACAAGGGGAAGATTCATGATGCCCGACTTGACGGCGCTGACATTCTTAATGGCCTGGAACCAGATGGGCAAAAAGTAGATGAGCACCATCTGAGCTGCGCCCGTGCAAAACGAGAAGAAGAATCCAGCTGCAATGCTGCGTTGCATAATGATGCGCGGTGGCACGGTGGCCGTATCCTTTTTCCAGACCTGGACTGCAACAAAGGCAAGGATGAGAACTCCAAACACGACCAATAACGCAATGATTCGTCCATTGCTCCACGCATAGGTCGAACCGCCCCATTGCAATGCCAGCAAAAGACAGATGATGGCGGGCAAGAAGAAAAGGGTGCCAACGGGATCCATCTTGTTGATTTGCTCTCGGAACGACGCTCCTTGGTTCTTTGGCGGCGGCAGATGCAGGATCAGGATGATGACCACAATCGCTGCCCCTCCAATTGGCAAATTGATATAGAAGCACCATCGCCATGAGACATTGTCCGTGAGCGCACCCCCCAGGAGAGGGCCTACCACCGAGGCAATTCCAAAAACGGCACCCACGAGGCCCGTATAGATGGGTCGCTTCTGCAAGGGAACGGTGTGGAACATGATGATGATGTTGCCCCCAAAAACCCCGGATGCACCTAGACCGGCCAGCGCACGCCCCACAATCACAGCAGTCGAATTGGGCGCAGCGCCACAAACGGCTGAACCAACTTCAAAGATGACAATGGCGACGATGAAAACCAGCTTCGGGGGGTAAAACGTGTAGATGCGGCCATAGAGGAGCTGAAAGGAACAGAAGGTGAGCAGGTAGGCACTTCCGTACCAGCCCACATCGTCCAAGTTGTGAAAGTGATCAGTGATGCGCGGGATAGCCGTCGCGATAATTGTCCGATCCTGCCCGTGTTAGCACGTGTCCAAGTACCGTGTGAGCCCTCTAGTAGGTAGGTAGGTAGGTAGGTAGGTAGGTAGGTAGGTAGGTTGAATGTACCAGAGCCACGAGAAAACCAGCCAGGTAGACTGCAATAATAATGGCTGCAAACTTCCAGCCGGTCGGATAATTCATGGGGCCCGGCGGACCTCCTGGAGGACCGCCCGGAGGTCCACCTGTGCTTGGCTTCTGCACCGATTCTGGCGGTTGGCGATTCGAACTTTCATCGTGGGCCGAGTGTGGCGCCGAAGCCGGCCAAGGCTCATCGTCTCTCTTCTCCAACGTCCCATTGTCCGACAGGTGGTCGCCTTCGGCAACAGCGCTCGTGTCCTTGGTTGGGGTGTTTTCGGCCATGTTGAGGAGGAACAACCAGGAACCAGATCAAAGGAGCGACAGCACAGGATGTGCAGAGTAGAAGAAAGAAAGAATTAAAAAAATATAAAAAAATTCAACAACGAAGAGCAAAGCTAAAGAAGGATAGTGGTGAGATGGCCAAAAGGGATACTCTATGGTGAAGCATGGTGAAGCATCGGAGCACGACGAGGCCGATGGAGGGCGAGGGGGAAACAGTGACGACGACGTCTGGGTCCAAAAGGGGCAATTCCCTGGCGATTCCCTGGCGATTCCCTGGCCACTGCCCAAAGAGATCAGTCAGGGTGGCCAATACCTACGATATACCAGAGCCAACGGCATGTTGAGTACTCTGTGAAGACTCTGTGAAGCCTCTGTGAAGCCTCTGTGAAGCCTCCATGTCGGACCCGAACGAGGCGTCGGCCCCGAGAGCCCTGCAGCCAATCATCATCGCCAGCGGGCATGTGGAGCCCCTTTTGCCGCCAACTCACCGTCAACACCAGAACAAGCTTTGACGGCTCCACCACATGTACGGCATTCGTCCCGAAAAGATGGAGATCGACGGCAAGCATCCCGCATCGTCCGTCCCGTACGGAGTAATGGGGGTCAATGCTCCCTCGATTCGGCTCCTCACGTGACCTCACCTGCTCCTCCCCCTGGACTGAACCTCCACTTCTATGATGCCGGCACAAACTCGCGATGGGTTGATATATTTCAGCTGAACCCCAGCGTCCGGGTAGCCGGCATTCGGCTTCGCAGAATCCCCGAGCTCTCACCGAATTCCGAATATGATCAACGACGAATGGCACTGGAAAGTGGCCGTCATGGCAATATTGGCTCCACCCAGATATGATGGCATTGGTTGAGCCAAAGAGAGGTCCTGTATTTCCGCACGCCATGGGCGTGGGCATGCAGATGCTCGTCTTCTGTTGTTGTGTACTTATAGCATTTCTAGGCCGGCTGGCTGATGGTCGTGGGAGCAGCAGAGTTTAGAGAGCAGCGTCTTTCGTTATTCATCACCGTTTCTGCTACAATCGCCACTCCTTTCTTCATAGCTCGAATTTCATCATGTCCTTTCTTTTACGCTTCTTCCTATTTGCAGTGACACTATTCTGCACCAGGGGTTCATTTGTCAGTGGAGCCTATGTGAGGGAAACGCTGGTGCTCACGGAAGAAGTTGGTGCCCCCAATGGCCAACCGCGGGACATGATTATGATCAATGGGCAAATGCCTGGACCCCAATTGATTTTTGACGAGAATGACGATGTCGAGGTCAGCTTTAACCTTGGAAATGAGCCTTGCGAAGCCGGGCTAATCGCGTCGTGTGCAGATTACGGTACAAAACAACATGCCCCAAAACGCCACCATCCACTGGCATGGTCTGTTGTATGCTATGCTGCCTCGCGTTTCCCGAATACAATCTAATACCATGGCAGACAGAAGGGCACACCTTGGTCTGATGGCGTGCCTGGGCTGTCACAAAAGCCGATCGAGCCCGGGCAGAGCTTCATCTACCGGTTCAAAGCGTATCCTCCCGGGCAATACTGGTAATTTTTCCCTAGCCATTTTAACCCCAGCCGATACTGACTGTGTACAGGTATCACTCACACTCTCGATCCACGCTGTTGGATGGCCTGCACGGAGCATTGTTCATTCGGTATAGCACCATGTCCACAGCTACACCTTGTCGGTACCCTAACACATTGCAGTCACAAGCCCGACGCCCCAGCACCATGGTCGTTGATCAGCAAAGAACCCGACGACATTGCCGCCATGAGCAATGCAGCCAGTAGTCCTCACATTCTCGTACTATCCGACTGGGATCAGTATACATCAACCGAGTACATGAAGGCTAACGAAGACAGCCGCGTTCAAATCTTGTACATCTCCCCTCTGAGTAATTTTTATGTCTTGCAAGCTACTCACTTCTTCTTCTTCTTCTTCTTCTTCTTTCTACAGCTGCGTTGATAGCATCCTCATCAATGGCAAAGGAAGCGTCAACTGCCCCGGGCAGCCCTATATAACATCCATTCAATCTGCCTTTATGAATGCCAGTTGGCCAAACACGACCGTCTCTGACAAGGGGTAAATTCCCCTTCTCCACCTCCTCTCCAGCCACCCTAACTATTATTCAGCTGCTTCCCCTTTGTCCCCAAGACCCAAGGCCCCTGGCTTGACCAAGCCGACCTCTCCCGCATCCCACCGCGTCTGCAAGAAGGCTGTGTGCCCTCAAACGGCACCCACGAAGTCATCGAAGTAGACCCGGCCGATAAATGGGCGAGCATCAACTTTGTCAGCGCGTCCACGTTCAAAGTCATCTCCGCCGCCATTGATGCACACGAATTCTACGTCTACGAGGTCGACGGGCAATACATTGAGCCACAGCGCGTCGACACCATTCTCGCCTTTGCCGGCGAGCGCTACTCGGTCATGATCAAACTCGACAAGGACCCGGCAGACTACCCCATCCGCCTCCCTGACGGCGGTTTCACCCAAATCATCTACTCCTCGGCCACCCTGCGCTACAAGTCCAATTCTTCGTCTACTAATTCCCCTCCTTCCCCTGACCTGCCCCCTGGTTCCTCCCATTCTCCCAATTTCCCCCCTGATTCCACCCCTTCCCTCAACGCTTCTACTGCTCGCACTCCTTCCTCCAGCGTCCCCAAGCTTGCCTACAACGGCGACTACCTCAACAACGCCACCGTCCTCGACGTGCTCAACATGCCCCCCTTTCCGTCCACGATAACGCCGTCCCTGACCTCGGACGCCATGCATTTGCTTGACCTTGGCAAAGCCAACTCGAGCTGGCGCTTCACCATGAGCGGCAAAGCCCTCTACATTCAAGACCGCGACGCCTACACGCCGCTCCTCTACAACCCGTCCTTGCCCGATGCTTTCGACCCGGAACTTGTCATTCGCACACAAAACGGGACCTGGGTCGACCTCGTTTTGCAAGTCGGCTGGGACCCGCGCTGGCCCAACGACTTCCCGCACGCCGCCCACAAGCACTCGAACAAGTTCTGGCAGATTGGCGTCGGCGCCGGCATCTGGAACTACAGTTCCGTTGACGAAGCCATCAAGGCCAACGCGTCCAATTTCAATCTTGTCAACCCGCCCTATCGCGATACCTTTATGACCGCGTTTGGCGGGCCCAATTGGCGAGTCCTGCGATATCAAGTGATGAACCCCGGCGCGTGGCTGTTTCATTGTCATTTGGAAGAGCATTTGGCCTCGGGCATGGCCGTTGCCATTCTTGACGGGGTCGATGCCTGGCCCGAGATTCCAGCAGAGTATGGGGTTGACCAGAAGGGGCATATGCCGCTGTGACATGGTGGTCATTATCGTTTACAAGTATGAGTACTCTTGAATGAGTGAACAATGGTAGCTGGTTTTCAGGTCATTGATACAACTCAACTTTTTGATTAGAGACTCTGACCAGAACCTAAATTGTCTAGTATTAAGATTTATAGATTTCTAAAAAGTTGATGTCATTTAACTTGGGAGAATGTACTGCCTCCTTTCGCATTGAGGCATGTAGCTCAATTATATAAGGAGTCAAGATGGTCCCGGAATCTCAATTCTTTTAACATCACCGTGCTATGAATACTATCCTATGACTACTATGCTATGAAACATGCTCCGCAGGCGAGGCCGTGGAGAATAGTCAATACTATATAAGAGTCCGGACTAACCCCTCAGACTACCCTCTCAATAGGAACGATCCGATCGCCTGAGTAGATCAAGCGCCAAGCGCCCAGCGCCCAGGAATCTCACGTTCAACTTGTTAGGGTATATAGATTATGTCGGTAGCTAGATTGCCAATCAAGCTTCATCTCTCCTCCATCTCGTATACGTGCCAGTCTTACATAATGCCTACGCTTTAATTGTTTTTTTTTTTTTTTTTTTTCTCTTTCCTTTTTGGATTCTTCGTTATGATTCCCCTTGACGACCGTGACTCGACCGTAACTCCGACAGATATGATCCCTCGTATTATGTAGGCGAAAATCGCGAATCCCACTGTGTATTGCCGTGTGTAGCTGTGGTATTTGTGTCGACCATTGACCGCACCGTTGACGTTGACCGTTGATCGTTGACATAGACTGTTGACAGGGACTGCTGACCATACCATAGACCGTAGACTCCGATCATCATCTCATTATAGCCCGTTGCTTTTTCTGGCTTGTGATCCCCCTAGGATTGCATCTGCATGTGTATCTGCGTTTTTCCAGCTGAATTTAACTCGCGATTATTGGTAATGTGATGTATAAAGTCCAAGTATTCAGTATGGCCCAGTCCAGTGTAGTCGCGTGTACTTCACCGGATACAGCCTTCTAGACTCTGGTCGTGAGAGCTCAGCTAAATGTCTCGTTTGCACAGTCGTCAGTCGTCAGTCGTTAGTCGTCGCGTCTGAGTGCTAGTTCCCTCGATTCGTTTCGTCGTTGTAGCCGGTTGGGCATCACTTCGCTCAACCAAACGCCTCCCTTCGTTCAACCAAACGTCTCACTTTAGTCAAATAGAGGTCTCACACGTTCGACCAGCCTCACTGCGTCGCCTAAGACAAGGCGAAGCGACTCTTGGCTCTCAACTTCGCACCAAAGATGTACAGCGCAAAAATACCCCCCACGCAGACACACGTGAGGCCGGCCAGCAGACTAACGCCGGCCCCGACGCCGAGATTGATATACATGGGTCTCGAGAACAGGACGGCGCCTGCTGCGAGAGCGGACCGCAAAAAGTCGTTTCCCGCAAACAGAGACGCAGCGTAGGGTAAGTAGCTGAGCGGAATGTATATGAACACGCACTGGAACACGATGAAGACGCCAAAGGAGTAGATGGTGATGCCGATAATCGGGGCGATCCAGTGCACCGAGGGGCGGGCGGTCCAGCCTGGGCTTGTTAGCGGGTATTGATACAGACAGACGCGAAAAAGAATGCAGAGAGACGTAAAGAATGCACCGAAGAGGGGTAAATAATCGAGGATAAAAAAGCCCATCGAAGAGGGGTAGAATGTGGGAGGGGAAAGAATCCTGAGACAACAGACGGGAGGTAGAAAAATAGGGAAACAGTAGCAAACATGGAAACAAAAAAAGGACTCACCAAACATGAACAATCCAACGGGCAAAAAGAAAGCGGCATACAAGGCCGGCACGAGTCGCTTCTCAGGCGCTTGGAGCCCCTTTGCTTTAATCTCCGGCTCGACCCACCAGTACAGATAAACAAAATATGCCATGACGGCGAGTGAGACCGAGACGGTAATTGACAAGAAGGCGAGCCCCTGCTCTCCCAAGTTGAAATTGTACATGACGGGGAACACGAGCGGGAAGACCTCGAAGAAGGAGTAGTAAATGGCGTAGACAAGACTAGTGTAAAAATCCGCAAAGGCAATGGCCGGGTCGAGCGCGGCAATCTGGAGCGGCTTCCACAGCGAGTCAATCACCACGTCGTGCACTTTGGTGTTGCCTTGATCGATCTCGGACTGGGATTTCAGGCGTGAGTCCCCCGTGAGTTTCCGCAGGCGACGGGCCCGGCGCAGGAGAATGTTGGGCGTAGATGTCTCGGGCAGGGCGACGAATAAGAGGATAAAGATGGGTCCAGAGAGCCAGAGGATTTCCCAGAGTGACCAGCGCCAACTTGCAGAACGTTAGTAGACTGAACGACAGGGAGGGAGAGAGGGGAAGGAGCGGACGAGCAGAAAGGGTAATGATGGGATAAAAATGAGAAATATTAAGAGATTATACGTACTTTTCAGCGGCAACACTGAATCCAGCAATGACGGGACCAAGTGCGGGTCCGCAAGTTGCTGCGGAGACCCAAAAACATAGCATATATGGGAGTTTGAGAATATTAAACTGCTCGAGTCAGCGGTTCAATCTATGGTAAGAGGTAAAAGGGGGGGGG